AATTTTCGAAAAAAAAAAAGGAAAATGTCTGAATATTGAGGTTTAAACTTGGATCAATGGGTGGTGTGATATGATCAATTCGATTTATTTAACCGACGAATATACTACGGAATTTCGGAAGACCCTATCCGGTTCGTTTTCTCGCTCCGTTTCCGCTTATTATATGGCTTTTAAAATTGAATAAATTTTATGTTAGGAAAATACTATCTTGTACCAGAAAAAGAATGATGAGGTTGGGCTTACAACATTTGCAGATCTAAATTTCGAACATTTCTGTTGGGATGTGCAAGATTTTAGGATCTCTTTTTTCCAAAGGCATACAGAAATTTTAGATACAGGATTTTGTAACAACGATTGCTGTTATTATAAACTATAATATTGGAACTTAATATGCGACTCACTCACGTTGATATGTTTTTTCACTTCCTGCTGTTCATTCCTTGCCATATCTCAAACTTTATTTGAAAAAAATGTTGGCTAAGGAATTTCTCTTGAAATTACTTCCGCATTCTTAAAATATTTGTTTTTATTTTTGGAAAATTCAAACACTGAACGTTGAGTTGTTTTCTGAATATAATCTTTAATTCCTTATTTCACTGCGCGAAATGAAATCTTCCTTTTTTTGCAGGTGATAGCAGCTTTTCGAAACCTTTTCCGCATTTTTATCTTCCTGATTTTCTTACCAGCAAGGAGTTCATAACCGATCTTCGATCAGAACTGGGAACTGTGCAGTATGATCGTAAGGAGAATGACCTTTATTCATTGAACCAAACAGCTGATTTATCGAACTTTGATGCTAATAAATTTCCAGCATTGACGAAATTCAGGCAAGGAATTTTTTTTTACTTCTAACATCAAATTTTAAAAAAAAAATGGACGAAATGTTGCCTACTGAGCGTGATAGCCCAAAATTCGTACGGAAAAAAGAAAGTTTTGTAATGTACTTGGAGAAATGTTGAACTTTCTTTATAAATTTATAGAAATATCAATGTGCAACCAGTTATTACTGTGGCATGATTTTATGATAAGTATCATTTTAAGTGAATGTTTTCTTGAAAACCATGCATGTCATTTAATTTGTTTTTTGATTCATTATTTGTGGGAAATCTAGTTTTCCAAAACATTTTAAAATTATTGGCACTCATTATTGAATTCCAATTTTAGTATCATTACTTTTTTAGGGATTTATTTAAAACCGATGTTCTAAATTGGTTACGTAATGTGTCCGGTGTTGATCTAAATAATGAAGTGGCAATAACTAGTAGTAATTATGCTTATACCGACTTACTCTTACCACATGATGATCAGTGTGAAGGACGAAAATTCGCTTTTACACTTTATTTAACATCGGATTGGAAGGAAACTGATGGTGGACAGCTATTACTGTATGATTGTGATGGTAAAATTATGTTGTTGTTAAAAGCTGTAATTTCATGTCCTTAAATTGTGATTATAGATTATTCGGTCAGTCAGTGCTTCCTGTGTTTTATTAACTTTTAAATTTTGCTAATCCTTTATCTACCATTAGCTTTATTCACACACATGCATTGCTGCTTTGCATTGTCATGCAAAAGTTTGCAAGAAAAAAGGAAAATCAAGTATCGCTTATAAAATTTATACACTCCTACTTATTAAAAGTTTTATGCATCAGAATAATTTGGTCTTGGACGGAGACATTTGACATAGCAGCTTGAGGTTAATATTAAATTATCTCCTGTCAGGTATGTATCACGTTTTAAATCAAATGTCTAGCATCGTTAAATGTGTTTATTATATTTAGATAATGACAATCCCATATCGGTTGCCCAAATTACGAATCCAACAGAAAATATGCTTGTGATGTTTGAAGTATCACAGCGTTCATGGCATATGGTTACTGAGGTATTTCTTTGACATATTTTTGCTATATACATTTGAATGGGATTTTTTTTATTTTGGTTTTCATATTTATTGTATTCGCTTCTTCCATGCTTCATTTTTCTTTATTTTAGTTTACTCTGTTTCATCGCTTTGCTCATCTTGTTCTACTTATTTGCCATCTCTTTTCTATGTTCTTAATTTTTTCAATCCACTAATTTAGGTACTTTCACACAAAGGACGTCTTTCGCTACACGGTTGGTTCCATCATACGGCATGTAACGTTTCTGATAAAGTAAAGTCAGTTTCCGAAGGAAAATTGAAACCAGACATGAATATTACTGTAAGTTAATAAGCTCACGTAGATAAAATTCATGGTCTTAAATTCAAACAAAATCATTTATGATGCTTTATCACTTACTGGTTTCAGATGAAATCCAATTTATTTTGAATTATTTCATTATCTTACTGCCTAACATAGATAACTTACTTTTAACTAAGGATTCTCTTCACACCACAATGTCCTAGAATGTGAAATTTATTGCGGATCATTAGTTTTCTTAATGGGATAATAAGTTATCAAACATAATTTTTCTAGATATATAAAATGCAGATATATAAAAAGGGAGCTAAAAGAGATGAAGAATAAGGAAAATAAGAACTGGGTTTATTTTGGTGCATAAATTTCTATGTAATGCATTTTTTGAACCGAAATATTAAATGTTCGAATCACTGAGAAATACAATTGTAGTATGAGGAGGTGCTGGAATGGATTAATCCGGAATATATTGATCCCTCGCAACAGTCAAAAATTCACTCGATTTTCGAAGAGAATTCAGAAATCAGTTTATTTAATTTTATCCGCGTAAGTATTTTTCCACTGATAAACTACTCGCTATGCTGTGTATATGTAAATGGGACAGCCTATGAAGTTATTTTTTATAGGTATTCAGTTCATTTGACACTTATGTTTTGTCTGAATGATAATTCGTGAGAAATCTCAAATAAAAAGTATAGCTGGCAAGAAATGCTAAACAATTAGTCTTCTAAATGAAAGATGCATTACTTACTGTTTGGCATAAATGTATTTGCTAGAAAAAAATTTACTTCTGTCTCTAAAACCAATTTTCCGCAGTAATTTTCATCCCAGATTTGAACGTATGTTACATTTATAACAATGAAAGAAATTTTTACACATTGCTTCACAGTTTTTCTACATGATTTCCGAATTGACATTGTAAAATGTAGGAAAAAAAGAGAAAAATTGCGATGATACTGATGTGATGAGGTTTTAAATTAAATAGATTTTCTTGAACTGTTTCTTATTGCTGTTCAATAATGCAATATTTAGGAGAATAAATTTGAATTAGCCTTGCACGAATTAGACACTGCTTGTTTCGAACATATTGGACCTCTTAATAAAAGGTATTTTATTTTTACAATGGCGATTGGAAATAATAAATTCTTATTATTTAATTTCCTTAAAATTTTAAAATTTTTATGATTTCATTTTTTCCAAAAAAAAAGAGCTTTTTTCTGATAGGAAATTGGAACGTTTAAGAGAATATGCACTGCCATTAGATAGCAATTTGCTCTCTCTTTTACGTTTAGTACGATCTCAAGCAATGACACTACTTCTTTCCCAATGGACTGGTCTACCTATGAATTCTGCTAATGATTTCGATAGTGAACCAGGCTTGTTATTTTTTTTCTTTTTTTTTATAAAGCATAAATATGCATTCTAAGATCATTCTTTTCTCAATTTGATCTAATATCGCTTTTTGTTTTTCAGATATCAAAAAGAAAAAAATTGATGGTAATAAGTGCGAGAATATTACATCTTATAACGGTATGAGTTTCCATTGGAGATGTATTAAAATCATTTTAGAAGTGTTTTTTTCACCTTCTATCAAAAATTTTTAAGATATTGAATGTTGTTCATCAGTATATCGAGTTGGAAAAAGTTGTTATACGATGGTCGACGATGAAGTTGTTGATGAGACGGAGCAGCTTGGTTGTTGTTTAGATTTCAATGTAGTTTTTTTTTTTTTTTTTTTTTTTTTTTTTTTTTTTTTTAACTTTTTCCGGTGTGATTCTCATATATGAAGATTTAATAGAGGAAAGAGACATCGGTTAGAAGTGAAAGATCAGTGGTAAAATAAAGTTTGGAATTTTTTTAGCTATTTTTATTTCCGAATGAGTGGGATGATGAGCATGGTGGTTTCATAAGCTATATTACCAAGAATGAGGAGGAAGAGGTTTGTTTTTGGAAATATTACTGTTATATTTCATTTCATTATATTAGAAATTTGTGAAATATATTTGCAGTGCCATGCTGATGGCGTAATTAAGAGTTAGATACTATCTTACATGGTAGACCTACTTGTAAGATAGTATCTACATATTAATTTCAGGCTTTTTCGTTTAATTAAGTCATGTATTAACATAGTGCAGCCAATGTTGTTTTTATTTCAGGTGCTAAGGGTATCTCCGGTGCGGAATAGTGCTGCTTTGGTATTTCGTGAACCTGGAGTATATCCATTTGTGAAATATGTGAATTGTAAGGCAGAAGACAAATATTACTATGTGATTAGTTGTTCGTTTTACGGCTTTACAGTTGATGATTCTTCCGTTACAAATAGCGAAGAGAATGTGGAAAGTGATGATGAAGTTAAAAACGATGATGAAGCTGGATCTAGTTTTAGTAAATTTGAATCTGATGGAAAAAATTGATTTGAAATGTAATTTATACAGTTTACTTGATCTACAGGCTAATTAAATTGGAATTTGTTTGTGATAAATTGATATTAATATAAGAGAAATTGACATGAAAAATTGATTTGTGAGAAATTCAAACATTATTTTTGTTTTGGTTGCATACTTCATATATATGCATCATTAGCAAACGATATGTTGTAGCATGCAAGTAATGTTTCTTTTTTTTTTTGCCCAATTTGCTCAATGCAAACAAATATTTTAATTTGTTATGTTTATAAGACATCTGAATAAATTTATTGATTTAAAAATATGACAACTGTAGCAGCTGAAATAAATTAACTTTTTTTCAAACATTTTCAGGTTTTTCATTTCCGAAATTCTTACATAAGCTTAAATTCAATGAAAATTTTTGGCTGAAGAGAATTTTATTGTTGTGGTCCGGTACAAAGACATGTTTTACGACACCACAGAAATCGTGTAGCATTGTTGGAAAGACAGTAACCTGCATCTGCCCAATGACTGCAATTAGTTATACTGAATTCATCTTTTTCAATGCTGCAATCCATTTGAAATGGTTTCCCTGTAATAATCACTTCTTTAAATTACAAAATGATAATCACTATAATTGCTGGTAATCACTATAACTGTTAATAATCACTATAATTGTTAATAATCACTGTAACTGCTAATAATCACTATAATTGCTAATAATCACTATAATTGTTAATAATCGCTATAACTGCTAATAATCACTATAACTGCTAATAACCACTGTAACCGTTAATAATCGCTATAACTGCTAATAATCACTATAATTGTTAATAATCACTATAACTGCTAATAATCATTATAATTGCTAATAATCACTGTAGCTGCTAATAATCACTATAATTACTAATAATCACTATAATTGCTAATGATCACTATAACTGCTAATAATCATTATATTTACCTAAGAGATTGTTACAGTTGTAATATTTCTCCGCTCATTACTTCATATTTCTCTATTCTTCCATTTCAGATTACTCAATCTTTATTTTCTATTTTAAATCATTTGATCTCCTTTACATGTTTCAGATTAACTGATCTCTTTGTTGTTGATCTTTTTTCTTCAAATCTCAGTATTCTGTGATCCATATTATCTAATCTTTATTTTATTACCTTTATTTATTACCATTTAATTTATAATATAATAATGTTTAAAATAAAAATATCGTAGATTAACTTTGTTTTGTTTTGTATTTCAAATTATCTAACCTCAATTGTTATCAGAAACTTTTGAATATACTTCTTTTATGCTTTAGTATTACTACTTTAGTATTACCCTAATCTTCTTAATACTTTTCAAATTTGCTATATGCACAATAAATGACAAAAAAAAATTCAATTAATGATAAAAAAAAAAAAATAAATAATCAGTTTTCCTAAAAATTCAAAACTATTTAATTCCTTTCTCTCTCTCTCTCTCTCTCAAGATTCTTCTATTCAAAATTGTTTTACCAAAAGTTATTTCATTTGCTATACTATAAAGTATTTTTTTCTTTACTTTTTACTTATTTACTAAGTTTATAGTTTAAAAAAAAGAAATAAGACTTTATCGCTCTTTAATACAATGATAATTGAGTCTTAATTGTATTCTTTTTACTTAAGTAACTTACTTAAGTAAGTTACTTAAGTTACAATTGCAAAACCGAATAACTTACAAAGTGGTTGTTTATTGCGTTTTAAAAAATTTATTTTATGATTTGTGGTTATCGCTTTCCTTTCAACATCTGAAATTATTATTAAAATGAAATGTAGTTCACAATTTACAATTTCCGAAATTTTGTTAACATATTATTTTAAAATATATTTTTAATAAATATGTTTTTAAAATATTTTTTTTTTTTTTATTTTTAAAAATATTATATTTTTACATTACATAAAGATGATATTAAGATTTGTAAATTTGAATATATCAATGATAATTTGTTATGCTTTTTGCAGTTATTTATTAATTTTATAATTTTAAAAGCATTAACCGAAAGGTTAGCCATATTAATTTTCATGCTTATATAATTAATTCAAATTTATCAAATCTTAATTTTCTACATAAATATCAATGAAATTGTTAGTTTGAAGTGAAGAATTAATTTTTCTCGAGATTTTTCTCGAATCTTCTATTAAAAAAAAAAAAATGCAATCAAAAATATTACTCTTAAAATTTATAAATTATTGAAATGAGTGCAATTTTCCGAGACTTCTCATAACTACCATCTATATTCTCAAATATCAACATATATTTTCAATGCAATTAGTAATATTTACAAAATTTCAATATTACATATTAATTTTATTTTAAAACATTGATTCAAATTTTAACTTTTACTAAAAGTTAATTTATAATATAATAATGTTTAAAATAAAAAGAATTAGTAATTTAATTTTTATTTTCCAAAAAATAAAAAATAAAAAAAAAAAAAGAAAAAGCAAAGAATAGATAAATTAACTAACCATTAAAAGTGTGAAGTTGAATTTTAACTGTTGCATTACTTTTCTCCATATAATTCAAATTTGTTTTATTTGTTGTTGTACCATTTAAAATATAATCAAAATTTTGTTCCATTTCTGTTGAATTTGTCATATTTGACTTTATAATAATTCCATCTATTTCTGATATTTTATTATCAAATTCTGATAAGTCTTCTGATACTGTTAAATTTGTTTTTTCAATTTCATTAATATTTTGCATTGGTATAGAATTAATTGTTGTAAATGTATGATTAGTTTCTGTTAAAATTTTCTCAATTTTTGAAAATTCCAAAAATGGTCTTTCAATTATTTTTTCATATGCATTTTTAGTTTGTTTATTTTCTGCAGTTTGTAATTTTATATTATTTGGAGAATTTTTTTGCTTTCCTTTTACATTTTCATTTTTATCAGATTGATTTAATTGTATGGTAGTAGCAGCAACCGGAATAGAATGAATTATTGTTGTACGAGTAAACTGTACAATAATAATACCGGTAGCACTTTCCGATGCTTTACGTTGATAATCCCGAAAAATGATCGTTTCATTTAATAAATCACAGAATAATTCAGTTATTTTTACATTTTTCTTATCATCTATGATAAAATGTCGACAAATGATTGATTTTTGTACGCTCAAAATATCATCCATGCATTCATCCGGTTTATCGAACCGGCATACATTATAATAGTATTGTTCCGTACATTCAATTTCAGCAATCTCTTGATTTGTCATGCAAATTCGAATCAAATAATTGGAAATATTCTCATCATATTGTTGTTGATATTGTTTCAGTAATTGCCAAGCTATTTCTTGATCACTTATTGTCGTATTAAATTTCAAAAATTCAATCCATTGACTCAAAAGAATCGTATTGCTAAATTGTTCATCGGTGAATATTGTAGTACCATTGTATTTATTTAATGCAAGTGCAACATTCAAATTTTGAAGCATTTTTTGTGCCCAAAATTGAAATTCTAAATTGCTGGCATTTTTATTTTGGCTAAAAATTATTGCACTTATTTTATCATAAATAATCGTTTGAATCCAATCAACAAATGTTGAAATTGTTAATGTATTACCTTCCTGACATGAATATTCCGTCGAATTAATGAAATAACCGTTTTCCTGATCAATCTGAAGACAAAATTTATGACATTTTTTTGTTTGTTGCAAATTATTGCATACATTTGTATCCTTATTTGTTAAATCTTCCACATTTTTGATCATTTCTTCGCAACAAAATGTTAATTTTTGATCCGTTGAACAATTTCGATCGATCGTTGAAATATGCAAAATATCCAATGGTTGTTGTTGTTGTTGTTGTTGTTGAATTAAATTAATCGATTCCAACGATGAATTCCAAAAATGTAAGTATTCATTGAAAATATGATATTTTTGTTTTTTACTATTAGAAATACAAGATTCTTCCGTTATTTCCATTTTTTTTAATTTTGAAATTTCATTTGTTGTATCAATCATCGTTTCATCTGTATTATGCTTTAATTGTGATTCGGAATTATTTGAATACCACCAATTTGATTTATTTAATTGCCATTCTTCGTTATTCGCCCAATTTGCTTGACGTGGATAATTTATTTGACCTTGCTGATCAACACTATGACCTTTTGATAAATTCTTGCTGATCAATTTTACAAACATTGGATTTGATTGTTGTGTATTACCAGCAATTCGTGCTAATTGATCATATCGCTCGTCTATTTTTGCTAATTTCTTCAAGTTTTCCTACAAATTATTCATACATTCTCAAATATTGCTAAAAAAGATTTCTTTTCCTCTAATTTTCAGAAAATTTTTTCGCAAAAAAAATGCAATGAAAAAAAAAAAGACTTAAAGAAATTTCTTTTTAAATTTTCAGAAAGAAATAAATATACGTTTGATTGAAAGTAAATATACCTTTGATTGAAAGTAAATTACCTTTGGTTGAAAGTAAATATACCTTTGATTGAAAGTAAATATACCTTTGGTTGAGAATAATGAGATGAAATAGATGAAAAATTTGAAAATCTATGATTGATAACTTGACCAGTGCGTGGTATTATTGGAAATAATTTGGTCATTTCTAAAAATGAACACAAATTAAAGAAAGTATTATTTCCAAAAAAAAAAAAAAAAAAATATTAGCAGTATTATTTATGCTAATTTTTTTTATTGTATGTCAAAAAATAAACATTTGTAAATAAAAAACAAACAAAACAAAAAAATATATATATATTTTTATAATTTGAAGCTGATAGTTTAAACTATCGTTGTAAGTTTTTGATACTATCAAAAAATTACAAATGCATTTTTTTTTTTTTTTTTTTGATTGAAATTTAATATTTCAATTAAATGCCATACCTAATTCTGTAGTATTAATTGTTAAACAATGATGCAAAATTATCCACAAAAGAATACGTTGAAGTTTCATTTTACAAAATATTTCTTATAGTAATAATAAAAATAGTAGTAGTAGTAGTAGTGGCAGTGGCGCTAATGACACTGATCAATATTAAAAAATAAGCGCCCAAATGACGATTTATATGATTGATTCCAGTAAAAAAATTAATACCAATAAGAATTTTTATTCAAAACAAGAATGAATTGATAAATTTTCATAATTTAAACCATCCATTGAAAAGTTAATAATTGGGGCGGAAAATAAGATCCACAAAAAAGCAAAAAAAAAAGTAAAAGAAGAAAAACAGTTCCATAAAAATGGAAAAAAAAAATTACAATATGGAAAATAATTTAATTTTATATTTTTTGAAGTGGGAAAGAGAGAAGAGGAAAATTTTAATGAAAGAAATAATTTAAAAATATGTGTAATTAAAAAAAAAGGAAAGAAAAAAAAGAATGAAAGAAATGAAAAGAGTATAAATTTCAAAAATTTTATTAAAAAAAAAAAATTAACTCTTCGACCTTCTTTTTTCTCATAAAGATTTATACATTTTAAAACGAATTTTGTATTTTTAATTTATAAATTTAGGACAAAAATTAGGAGAAAAGAGAGAGAGAGAGTGAGAGAGAAAGAAGGCAGAAGAGTTAATTTTAAATGGATAAATATGATTTTAGTAAAATTGAAACGAAAAAAGAATGAAATTTTCTTTCTTTCTTTTCTTTTTTCTTTTTTGTTTGCTTTCGTTCTTGAAATTACTTTCATTTTATGGCAGTAAAATATTTTATTTTCATTATTCAAATTTTATGTTTTTTGAAAAAAAAAATAACTTATATAATGCATGAAGTTATTAAGTAACTTTTTAATTTAAAATTAAGTAACTTTACTTAATAAAATTAAAATTTTCGAAAAATTTTTCAAAATATTCAGACAAAAAAATGTTTATATTATGGAAATTAAGTTATATCCAATCATTCTTCATTACTATTTTTTTTTTTTTTTTTTTGAAAATTTCAGTATTTGTAAATTTGAACATAACAATTTTAAAATTTGAAAATAAATAATATAAGATTTGCAATTATTTCAAATTGTCTAATTTTGAACATTTGTGTTTATCGTAGTATTCAATAAAATGTTTACTTTGTTTTTTTGAAACAGATGAGCTATTAATTTCTGAAATAATATTAATAATTTATCAAAATTAATAATCATTTCAAAAAACTATCAAATTATTTCGATTAATTTCATTTATTCAATTCATTTAAACATTGATGAATTCCTTCCTGGTCATTAATTATTTGTTTCAATCTTTTTGAATAAAATTTTTATCTAACTTTTATGCAAAATTTTTCATCATTTCGGCAAAATTGATATACTTGCCGAAAATTCCCGGAAACACGAAAAAAAAAAAAAAACCGGAAGTGAGATAATGTTATGATGAAAAATTTTTAGCATTTAAATAAATAAAATAAAATGGGCGGCAATAATATGATATAATTTTTTTGTGAAATTTGCATAATTTAATAAATTTCAATGAATTTTTCTTTTACTACAAAATGGCAAATTTCTTAACAAATTATCATTTTCATCACTTGTAAACTCGAATAATTGGTTCTCTTTCCTCTTTCTTTTTTTAAAAATTTTTTCAATTTAATTTGAGAATTTAACTCGATGACATCAAATCCAGTGGTCAGTGTGATTGAATTAGCTGGTCAATATAAGAGTGAATTTGAAAATGGTTTTAGTAAATTGGTGAAACATGCTGCTACATTTGCTAATTCAACTAGCAAGGTACGATATAAAGTTTCTTATTTTTGAAAAGAAAAGAAACAAATAAATAAACAAACAAACAAAGAGGAAAAGAAAAATAAAAAAAATTAAAAGAAAATTGTCACCAAAAAAAAAAAAAAAAAGAATTTAGATCAAATATAAATTAAATAATAGAATAATTTTCATCCTTTTATTACACTTAGCTCATTCTATATTAAATAGCAATTTTTTTATTTAACTTCAAATTTTTAAAATTGACTTAATTCTTAATTAAAATTTTAATTAATTTAATTTAGGCACGAACATATGAGCAGTTCAATGTTTTTCATCGTGAATTATTGAAACGACGTGATGAGATGATAGTAAAAATACAGGACACACAGTCAACATTATCTGACTTTGACACTGCGACACTTATGAAAGCTTTCTCCTGGATGGCTGTAATGTTATTAGGATTAAATTTTGGCGCATTTCTTGGTGGCATACTTTTCACTCCGTTACTCGAATTTTTCCTAAGCGGTACGGATGCCGCATTGTTAGCATATTTTATCGTTCCGCTTTCCGCCTATTACTTTCTACATTTGCCACTGGAAATGAAATCAATGAATGATGATGATGATCTATTTCGACGACATATGCTATTTCTATTTGCCACTTTTGAGGTATTTTTTTTTTTTTAATTAATTTAAAAATGAAATTTTTAATCAAATCATTTATTAATAAATTTGCATTTAACTCTATGTTTAGTACAAAGATAGTTAACTTTGTAGATGTAAAATGAAATAGGTAAAAAGTTAAGAAGCAAAAAAAAAAAAAAAAACTTATCGGGATGTTTTTTTCTTTTTTTAATTATTGCATTATCAGTATTGTTTATTCTTATCATTGTATTCCTTATCATTTCAGGGATTATTAACAGGATTTATCTTCTCGGACAAAGATCTGATCGGTATACCACCAATTGCAGCATTAACACCAATATCTATCGGTTTAATTCCACATTTTGGTTCATCAATAATTGGCAAAGATCATGCAAAACTTTTATGCTTAACAATTGGTGGTGGATTCATTTTGCATTTATCATTGGGTACAATTATTGACTTATCACTACCATATCTTTTACTTGCTGGCCTCTATGGTTTCATTGGTTTTGCTATATTACAACTTTATGTGAATAATGCTGGAAAAGACATTGTTAGTTTGAAATTTTTTAAATTTATTGTAAAGCTAAATTTATTCACTGAATATTAGCTATTACTAATGATCGCATAAGCTGTTAGGTAATCTTTATTAATTTATTAATATTTTAGAAATCACAGTTATAAATTGATTATAATATACTCAAGAATTGATCATTTAGATAGATATATCTAGCATATGACATATAAATTGCACGTGTTTGACGTGAAGTAATGCATATCTAGCATATGACATGTAAGTTGTACGTGTTTGACGTGAAGTAATGCATATCTAGCATATGACATGTAAGTTGTACGTGTTTAACGTGAAGTAATACATATTTAGCATATGACATATAAATTGTAAGTGTTTGACGTGAGGTAATATTTAGCATGTGGCGTATGAGTTATACGTATTTGACGTGAACTAATACATATCTAGCATATTACATATGATTTATACGTGTTTGATCTGAGGTAGTACATATTTAGCATATTACACATGAATTATGCATATTTGACGTGGGGTAACACATATTCAGGATGTGACATATAAATTGACGTGTTTGACGTGTAGTTACATCAACACATTGTATCAAATTTTAACTTTTATACGCACAATTTTTGTTTAACTTTCAACTTTGACCTTTAAAAAAAGAAAAAAAAAGCAAAGTGAAATAATTGTGAAAAAAAAAAACATTTTCAGGCAATTACACATATGTATCAATTTTTGTTTGTTTACGCCGTAATATTCTCGCAAGCATTGATATATGCAATTTTTGCTTTTGATGCAAAAGAATTAGCAAATACAACAACACAACATTCATCATCATTATCATTCTTCTAAAGCCATATCATTTATCATTTACTTATCACATTGACAACAGAAGAAAAAAAAAAAAATAGAAATTGAAACACTGATCTAATGGAAAAGAGCAAATGTTAAATGAATAACTAATTGATAACAAAATTTTGCTAATAAACAATTTTACTACCAATGATTTCTCGTACCTTTGATTACTGATTGTTATTTGAGAGGCAAAGTTTACACATATTGAAATTTTAATTTATTCATTTTTAATTTAAATCGCTGCTTTTTTGCTATCTTTGATTCATAGACCGATTAGCAGTGATAAGAAATTAAAATAAACAATTTCAATTAAAATGAAAATTTTAATTAAAACACATCGATATATTTGATTGATGACAAGGAATTCAAGTAAATGAAAGATACTTAATTATAATATTAATAATTTATATTTTCATAATTGACAGTGAACTCTGACCTCAGCTTTTCTAAACTTTGCATATAAGATATCAACACTTCTTGTTAATGACTACAATATTATTATCAGTAAAGTAATATGATATTATCAGTTGCTCAGGAAGAGATAAAAAATTGAGATATAAACGGTTTAGAAATGATTGATAATGATAAAAGGGAAGTAATCGATCATAGATCAAATGTATTTTAATTAAAATTAGCACAAAATATCGGTGAATGAGAGATAAAATAGTATCAATTATTGTAAATAATTGATAGCACAATTTGAAATTAAAAATATATTTTCATTTTTTTTTTTTGCTATGATAATAGCAATTAAAGTTATTTTAATAGTTATTTGATTAATTATATTATTAATATCATTAACATAACAAAAGTAAATTCTTTCAAAGTATAAACAAACGCTGTTTAATTGAAGAAAAAAATTGATAGCATTGAAAATTAGCATAAAATTGATTTTGTACTATACTATAATATAATTTATAATTGAAATTGGTGATAATAGCTAATGTAAAATTAGCAAAAATTGTAATTTCTCAAATTTTATTAATTCCGATTAATTAGTACCATTTTCTAAATAAAATTTCAACTATAATTGTAGACATCATATATCTTAAGTTATCAATAATTTAATTTAAACCAAATTTTAAATTGATAATTTGATCATAGCTGAAAAATTTACTCTTCGAAGACTTTTGTACCTGGATTCACTCGTTGATAAGTGCATTGTACTGAAATATACCTTTAATTGTATTTCAGAACTGTTTCATTTTTTTTTTCAATTTTAAAATCTCAAATAGTTAAAAAGCGCTGTTTAGAAAATCTGAAAAAAAAAATTAGCATAAAATTGATTGTAAAAAGAAAAAGTTATATTGATTAAAATTTATATAAGTTTGAAATTTCTAATTATTGTTTAATTAAACGGAATTGATTCGGTTGTATCTAACAAAATACTTTTTTAATTTCTTAATTCTGTTTCATTAATGCATGTGCTAAAAATTTATTTTATTGGTAAGTGAACAATAATTTGATAGCAAAATGATTTTAAATTATTTTTAAATACTTCAATTTTTCTTTTTTTTTTTTGTTCTTTATTGTATATTTTTATTTAAATTAAATTTAACTAATAAATTGATCATTTCTGTTCATTTTTAAACAAATTTTTCAGTCTTAGTTAGTGCAATATTAATAGAATTAATTAATTGTAAATCGATGAAACGATCAAAATGCAAATGGATGAAAAAATCAGTAACGGCAATTTCAAAGAAAAAATCTGATTCAATGAAACGAAAATGTGTATTTAGAAAAGGTATGGAAGAAAAAATTAGTAGCAAAATTAAAGTAAAATCAAAATATGAGAATTGTCAATAACATCGAGATTTTCCTCGAGAATTTGTTATAATCATTTTGAAAAGTTTTTCAAGGCGAGAAAAATACAACAACAAATTTGGAAATGAGAAATGCACTCAAAATGGGTATAAAAAGTGCGCTCAAAATGGATCAGGCAAGATCAGCACAAGGATCAATGTTTCTTGTTCATCAACAACCGGATATTTTAAATAATACCGGAGAGGATGGATTATTTCCAATTAGAGGTAAATTTTATATTTAAGAAAAAAGTAAAAAAAAAAAAAATTTCAAATTCAACAAATAATAGAAATAAATAAGATTGGTTAATAAATATTTTCTGATGATAATAATGATAATATATACCAGGTAATAAGTGAAATTTTCATAACATAAAGATCAAAATTGTCAAAATAATATTGTATGAGTTGATTCATACAAAGTAACAAGTAATACTTTCTTAAGTTTGCATAAATTTTCTCGAGAATCTCGCTTTAATTATGTTATCATTTGAGTACACAGTGAATTTTAGGCAATGAAATTGTAATTATATACAAAAAAAAAATTGTAATTAAAAAAAAAATTAATTATATATAATTATATATTGTAATTATATGCATTTTTTTTAATAAAGTTAAATTAATGAGTTTCTAAAAAAAAACTTTTTATTTTCAAAAAATATATTCTCATTACTATTATTATTCTAATATTTGGTTCTCTCTTTTTTGTTTCCTTTAACTTGCAAATTATTAAATTTCTTTTGAAACTAAAAAATTTCAATTTCAATTACTTTACAATTTCTAAAATAACAATCTAATTTTTTCAAAAATAGATTATATTTTCTTGTATCTAAATAGCAATTAAAAAGTTTCAGTGTAAAAATTTTTCTAGAAAAAAAAAAAAAAAAAAAAAATTCAAAAACAAAAATCTCTTTATGAATGCTTTTTTGTTCATTAATTAATTTTAATTTTTTCAATCCTAAATGCTTGCCGTATTTAATAATTTTATTAGTTTATAATTAGATGGAAATATTTATTCTATTTTAATTAGATGAATGGTTGGATATAGCAAATCGAATTGATGATCATCCATCTGCCGAAGAAATGGCATATAATTCAGCTAGTCAAATGGTTTTAGCATTTATATTTCACCATGAAAACTATATGCATTTTAATATTTAACAAAATTATTTTTTATAAACAAAAAAACTTTTTTTTTTTTTTACTAATTACAAAATTTCACTAATTACTAATAATCTTTAACCATTACAATGGAAATCTAATCGATAAGAAACAAAAAAAAAAAAATGAAATTCTTTTTAAAAATTTTTTTTTTATTTAGTAATTTTTTATTCATTAGAATACACTAAAATGAATGTATTTTAAAAGTTTAAAGAAAAAAAAATTGAATTTCAATAAATTTCAAATTTAATATTGCAATTTAAATATAATAATTTGTTAATATCTACAGGCATATTTAATTCGTGAACGACAAAATGATGAAAGTTGTAAATCATCCGTTGCTGCATGTGATGCTTATACATCGATGTGGCCACAAATTGATGGCCTTTGTGAGTAAGTTATTAGTATCAAAGTTAGTTAAATTATAAATACAAATAAAATTTATCAAATAATTTTAATTGAGCAAAAAAATGAGATAGATGAGTTCAAAATATTTCAAATGGTAACAAGTATTTCTCATTTTATTAAATAAAATGAGTTTGTCTCAGATTTCAAATATAACTTTTTTGATTTCATAAAAATTTCATCGTTGATAAATGCTTAATCTAAATAGATCTTCAAATGATCATTGTAAAATTAATTTGCATATTTTTTTTTTTTTTTTTTTTTTTTAAAGAATTAAACAACTGTTATCTTGAAAATAATCTGTTGTTTCTTAGCTTTTAATTTTAACTTATGGTATAAAATAAAATTGTTGTATTAAATTAAAATTTCTCTGAATAACAATCCAAATGATTAGCAATTTGATAGCAATTCATTGTAATCAGATTATCATATGATCTGTTGAATTATTCATGTTCAAATTTCATCCAAAATTTCAAATTAATTTTTATTTTAGCTTATTTTTTGTAAAATGTTTGGTTGAAGTAGCTGGTATGATTTGTCGTAATTATACTGAAAAAGATATTTTCAAATATGCGCCAGATTTATGTGATAATATATCTGATTTTTGTACTCAAAATCGAGTAAGTGTAAAATAATTTTTGATAAATTCAAATCACCAGACTTCTAAAGTTGAATTTTTGACAATTCAAATCAAACTTTAAAATAAAAATTGAAGTCTTACTGATACTGCAACACCTGGTATCTTTAATTTCTATTAAACTGACCCTAATACATTCTTTACAAACTTTAAAATTATTAAAATTTTAATATCATGAATTTAGGAAGCAACAATTTCATTCTGCTGGGCGTATCTTTATCATCGATATGGAGAAATTTCAATGAATCCGCAGCCACCAAAAACAGGATTTAACAAATTTATAGAAAGTTTCATTTAAATGACTGAAAATTTTATTTTGTTTTAAACAAACTCAGAATATTTCATTCCAAGCTTTCAAATTTTTTAGAGTAAGAAGTAATTATTCCAGAAATTACAAGCAATTTATGCTATTATTTAATGTTCATAAACTGATTGAATGAATAAAAGCTAACACGGTTGTGCATTTTAAATTTCAATCACAATTTCAGTTTCAAATTAAAATTGCAAAGCTAAAATTATTTATGACTCTTTTTTCGTCCTAATACTTTCATAAGAAATTTCAAAACTTTTCTGACAAGCAATTAAAATTAAACATTAAACAGTTGACAAATACTGCTGAAAAGAAAATTAATATCAACAAATTTAGTGAAATGAAGAATTATATTAAAGAATAGTCATCAATTTTTTTAAATTTCTTCACACTCTCTTTTTTTTTTTTTTTTGAATTATTTGTCAATTGTTTAGAGAAGAGTTTAATTAAAAATAATGGTCAAGTGTTTGACGGTGTATTAAATAATCTTAGTTAATTGAAGATTAGAAATTAATCTGATAATAGCTAGAAATAAGAAATCAGTTAGCTAATTTCAGGCTATTATGTGGAATACCCAAGTTTTTACTTGTAACTCTTTTAATTCTGTTATTGAATTGAATAACATAGACACTTCTTGAAATAATATAACAAGTTTTTATGATATCCAAAGTCCTTCGATTTCTGCAGATAATGGATTGTTCTTATTGCTTAGTATTGCAAGTCGCGCAATAGATTTCCTACCGTATGCTCTAAGAAAGAGAAGAAGGGATCGTACTGTAGACAGCCTACCGTATACCTCAAGAAAGAGAAGAAGAGATGGTACTGTAGACAGCCTACCGTATGTTTGAAGAAAGAGAAGAATGGGTACTGTAGGCTACCGTATACCGTTTATGATTAGGATGAAAAAAAAGAAAGACTTTTTGTGATAATAATTTTACTCTAAATAAGAACTAATCACAATCTTCTAAACTTTTTCTGGTTACTTCCTCGAATCACAGTTTATGAAATTTTTTAGAATTTTTGAAATGATTTCAAGTGCTTTTGAAAAAAAAAAAAAAAACGAATAAATGAGGTGAAATATCATTTAATGACAAATTACTGTATTACACTTTACAGCTCTAATTGAGTGTATTAATTGAGTATAATATAGCTAACAGCAAATAAACTCGTAACTTTGGATGACTAAACGATTGAACCATGTCTCAAATTGAGCCATATCTCAAACTTATGTTCGAAATTCCATCCAATTATTTAGTCATCTTTTTGAAGTGGAAAAATCGAAGTGACAATGTGACAGTTTACTCAAGTTATGCTTGTCAAAAGTAAAAGATTGTACTATTATTATAGTGAAATTATAATCATACTTGTGATATTGCAATATTATTTTGGCTATATAATTATGTGTTACCGTAGCAGTATTATCACCGTAATATAATTATATTACCATTATTACAACATTATACCATATTACTTGCAATATAATTACATAATTACCATTATATTACAACTATATTTCTCATTGTAATACCCACGTGGGATGTGAAGATTTCGCAGCGATTACGTGTGGCCGAATTGTTGTTCCGGTTTGGTCGGAATGACTTCAAGATTTAGCTAAATGCGAGGCGTGCAGGCGCTGCGTTTGAGTGTTTGCTTTAATTTTGTGGGAGTCTGTCGCATTTCTTTTTTCTAACCGAATTGGTAACGATAACTTTTTTCATTACTTTAATGAAAATATGATTTATATATTGATTTTATATACAAAAAGATGATTTTCATATTTGTTACGGGAAAAATCACATCATAATATCACTTCTTCTGCATTAAAATCATGCAAAATTTCTGTGATATTTCGCTGAAAAATGTAGCATGTGTGTTTTCAAAATTTAAAAAATGACATAAATTGCAGTTTTTAAAAACCAAGGCGATGATGGAAGAATTAACAACATATGGTGCAAAAACGGAAAAGTTGGATTTCAACCGAGTGGTCATTATCAGCACCTTACCAATTGAACTGCAATTTGAATCACAAAAGCAATTTAATCAAACAATTTTTCGCTTGATCAATTTGAAATTTAATCTTGGAAATGACGTCATCGACCGTATTATTCGTTACCCATTGATTGAGAGTATTCCAAATCAGGTTACTCATTTTTCACTTACCAAAAATGAGATTGACAAGAAAAGATCTCTATTAATCCTGGTGAAGAGAGATCGTATATTCTGTGACCACAGTTTTTAATGGGTATTTTATGATAGTTATCACAGTGTTTTGCAAGCTCGGATGATTTCTTACTTTTTATAGGTATTGGTATCATCAAATTAGCGGACATGTATGTACTTTGAACTCTTTTACGTATTATAAGTTATCATGTAACAACAAAACACACGTGGGTTTACAAGGCATCAGACATAAAATCATCATTAACATTCTTCGGTTAAACGAGTTTAGTTGATGATTGGCGTTTTTGAACATCAGTCAGATATAGTCTTCATACATTTCCAACTTATATGTATTGCGTATGTGTCAGTGTGCATAGTTGTTGATAGCAACTGCGTGAATGGTCTATCCTGGTGAAGAGAGATCGCATATTCTATAACCATAGTTTTAATGGGCATTTTATGTTAGCTCTTGCACTATCGAAATCATTGCTGTATGTTTGTAAAGTGTTTTCACTTTTTTTATGTGAATGGAATGCTCAATTGTATGATTAGAAGATTTGTGGCGGGATTTTCTCGAATATATTATGCTTTAGCAGCTCATGATCTTATTGTCGTATTATGATAAGGAGGTCTATGACCGAACAAAAGTCTTTTTTATTTTTGATATATGAACCTATGAGCCACTGAAATTTTCGCAGTTTTTTTTTTTTTTTTTCTTTCTGCTTTGCTTTCTATCCAATAAAAAATTAGATAACTTACTAGGTTTTTGTGGATGTGTAACTTTACTAAGATTTATTTTATATCAGAATGGTGATAATTGCTGCCGTATTTTTAACTTACGTAGTTGACTTGATCTTTTCTATACATTTAAGTAGAATTTGTTATATTTTCATTCTTTCTTCTGTATTTAATTTTTCCATTTTGGTAGAGATAAATCCACTTTATTGATTAAAGATCGGAAGGGTGGGAAAATTCTTTTACAAAAGATTTCATATCTAACTCTGAGTTGTTGCATTGTTTTCTAAGCCTAAGTTGCTTTCTTTTTGACATTATTCGTTGATTAGTCAAATCTAATGATTAATTTACTCATTTATTCTTGTATGAGTAGAGGCTCTTTAAGACTTTGTTACTCATTGCATAATTGCATAATTCGCTATTACAATTAGAGCATAATTCAATTGCACTGGGTCAGTATTTCTCCACGTTTTCCGATTCTTTCATAAACAATTTTACACTCTCTCAGCATGTCGAACATGTCTCTGACGTTACAGTCACATGTTGGAGACATCGTGATTCCTCGCGTGTACTCTGTTTCTTCCGGGTTACCACTCCACCGTAACCTAATCAATCACTTCAGGAGCTTGGTGTGAAGTGTTTGGTTTCATTCTATTCACGAGTGTATCGAGATCGTGTTATCTCGCAAAAAAATCAGCTTGACCCGCCAACAACGGTTGATGCAATCACTGAACCTCCGAAAGAGTTGAGCGGTGAAGCAGAATTCGAAGCAGTAGCAGCTCCGACAAATTTTGAAATGGCTGATGAATGTAACAGTAATCCGACTGATACTGTTGCTGTTGATGCCGATATTGGAGCTCAGAGTATTGTAAGTACTGATGTACCGATTATTCCAGTAGCTCCTATGGCATCAGAGCAAGATAATGTCGCTGTTGCATGTGGTGACGGCGATGCATCGAGACCGATAGTCGGCAAAGACGGAAAAAACGGTTGGCCTCTTACTTTGCTTGCTGAAGTTAAGAAGCCACTGAGCATTACCGTTCCTAATACGGACTGGATATGTCTTTGTCATTTCTGATCATTCTGTAATTATCACTGCATGTTTTGCAAAGCTGCTAAGGTGAGGGAGTATGTTTATAGAGATTCATGTGTATACACTTGCACTTGCATTGAAGGATATATTCTTAGCCATTGCGAAAGATAATCACAAATGTTTGAATCACTTTTCTGTTTTATAAATTCTGGGAGCAAACATCTGAAGGAAGTGAACTATCAAACTTTTTTCTCTTTTTCAAAAAATGAATCCCAAAAGACTGGCACATTAATTAGTAAAAGTGAATGTTTTCGATTTAAAGTATTGAAGGAAATTGACTTACTTTTAAGTTTTAAAACTTGGGATTATGTTTTCTAGCTGGATAAAAGAATTGTTTTTGTTTCTGTTCATTCTGCAATAATCCTTAAACTTTTGATAAATAAAATTTTAATTTCACCCGAAAATGTTTGAATTTCACAAATAAAAAAGGTGAAATAATTTGTTTGGCAAATGTCGTTGACACTTTTCATATTTTTCAGAAAATAAAGAAAGAACAGCTGCAAATGTCACTGATGAAACGGACGTTGAAATTGTTCTTGCCGTAGTGGAAAGTTTAAAAAATATAACAGTGAGAAGTTTGGGTGAAGAAACGGGTCCTGACAAATTAACCAACAAAATGATTATGGCGGAATATTATAAAACACTTCCGGTTGATTGGGATGGTGCTCCAGAATTTCAGTGGAGGCGTAAGTTTCACACTACTTGTAACATAAACGTCATTCCTTTGTCTGATCATTTGCGACTCAGTATTGTAACTAATGGAGCTTTTCGAAGAATTTCATTGTTTTACTTCGTCCATTAGTTGGTGAATTTTTTTTTAAAGTTTGTTAGCATAAAGTAATATTAACCTGATTTCTTCACTGTAGATTTATTGTTATACTGGTCAAAGGATGTGATATCTAGAAATCATCTAGAAATTCCCGATCCTTACACCCAGTTTACTTCAATTTTTCATTGGATAAAACTTTTGCAGTGTGCAAGGATGAATCAGATAGACGTGTGGTAATTTTTGAAAATGTTTTACCAGCAGATATGCACAATCCTTGGTTTTACACTGCACTTCTTCGCTGTAAACGAGTTATTATGGAATTCCCGCTCTCAGCTGGGAAAATTGATGCAGATTTTAACCATTTATATGGGTAGGTGTTGTTTCTGAGAATTTCACTGCATAATGATTGATTTTAAAAATAAATCTCTTTCAGAAATGCAACAGTATTCTAGTTTTGTTAATATCCTGTGATGTTTATTCCAGACGAATTGAAGGATATTTCCAAAGTGATCATCCTATTGCATACTGTGCTGTAAACAACCTCATTCATATACGAACTGGTGCACATCGGGTGAAAATCTATTTGCCGCAAAGTAAGATTCTATTTTTTTGTTTTCTGAAGCAGAAAAAATTTTATTGCAAACTTCTGTTTTATGTTTATTTATGTTTTTTTTTTTTTTCTTTTATTCATGTTTACATCAATGTGGGTCCTGCCTCCCGTCCTTCCCGTTCCCCCTCCTCAATAGTTTTATTTCACTAATTTTCACATTTGTGCCTTTTATTCTCGATGTTAATATTGCAAGTAAACGGTTAAATCTCTCCAGTGTCTACTGTCTAGAGTTCCGGTAATGGTGCTTCTTTTCCTTCAGTAGAATTGAGATGTTTTTTTTTGCTTGTCTAACTTTATGTAAACTTTATGTGAGCTTCACTAAATTTTGTTTGCCCAGCACCATTTCATTTTCATTTTCTCCTTTATAAAGTTTTCTTTCCTACAGAATGTTACAAATTTAGCAAAATGGGTACGAAAATACAAGGAAATACTGGAAAGTCGTTTGGGTCGAATGCGAGAACCGATGGAAAGTATGCGTTATTTGATCGTGAAACCTGTAAATAGCGAAGTAACGGAAAAGCAAATTCGTGAAACTTGTTTTAAAAATTATCCAATCGAGAGTGTACGTTTTGAAAGAGATATGTTAGGGTAAGTGTAAAAATTCATACAGTTTTGAATTTCAGCTTTTTTTTTTTTTTTTTTTTCAAATTAATGCAGTTTACCTTTAAGGCGGACAAAGTAAGGTAACACTTTGTTGTTTTTACAAAAATTTTAATCAGCTAAGTTGGCAATCTATTTTTATCTTACTTAGCAATCTAAGATACAACCGAAACCCACAAAATTATATTTAGAAGTTTCAATTCTTCGAACATAAAATTTGTAGGCAGCGTATGGCAATTTTATTGTTCCCAACTGCTCGGGAAGCTGTAGCGGCTCATTCTAATAATGATTTTATTCATGTCGGTGCACGAAATGTGCCGAGTAATTATATCAAAGTATATTTCCCGAATGGTAAGTTATTCATGATGCGGCATGGCTGGTTTTATGTAAATATAACGTTTTGATTAGGCTTGACAGTTATATTTATCTTTATTGATTACCCCATCGTTACAAAGGTAACATATTGATATAATAATAGACTTCTGCTTCAATTTGTAGAACTAGAAGTTATTTCTCAAATCATTTATTGCTATCAATTTTATATAACTTCACAACTTAACATTACTTCATTTCCTGGTATCTTGGAAATGTTTAGTCTCCTTTATGCACTAGAATGAGGTGTTTGTAACTGAAATGATCTACTATAATCTTCTTATAATCTCTGTCTTAAATTTTACTTTTCTTAAAAGCTAAGGAGAATTTTTCCCAATTTAAAAAAAAAAAAAAAAAAAGATTTCAGTGGATTTCCATGGTTGGGATCGTCTTATTGTACCAACACCAGAAACCGATATGTATTGTTTATTAACCTATAAAGAATTCATCTCATACACACAATCCAAAAAGATTGAGCAAGAACATGAAAAATTATCGAAAGCATCAGCAATAATGGAAGCAAAGCATATCCGAAATGAAAAAACGGTGCAGGATCGAAAGCGTACATTAGAAACGGATATTATCGAAAGTGGTGGTAGTACTAATACTGAATGCAGTGTTGCACATGGTTGCGAGAGCATTAAGCCGGCTGAGAAAAATGTTGGACTGAGAAATCTGCAGTCGAAACCAACGTTTCCAAAAAAAAATCAATCTTGCGGTGATGCGAAAAGAATAACAGAGGATGATGGTAGTGGGCCGTCTCGAAAACGGCGGAGGTTAATTGTTAAGATATTAAGAAATTTACGTAATGCAAATGCGTAATTTACTTATCAGACAAAAAAGAATTGGAGATTATTGTATACTGTTAATAGAGGAAATCTTTGTCGGATTTAAGAGAAATTTTGATGTTTTCAGAATTTTGCATATTTTCAATCCTTGTTAACCACAAGCAGTTGTTTCTTCACTAGTTTTTTGAGGAAAGTTCTTTTCTTTTATAGAGCAGGTAGGTATAGAAGACGACGATACAGTCGATCTGATTCATTTCGATCAATTCCATCGTATTCAATGCCACCAGTTCCACCGCGGTACGGAGGAGGCTACAGAGTAGAACCGTACGGCTTTTTATTTAACGAAAAAAAAAAAAAAAACTGCTTTGTATTTTACGTGTCATGCTTCTCTTAATTTTTATGAGAAGTATAAGTACATGTCTTCTTACGGATTCATTCGATCACTTACCTTGGGGAAAGGGGAAGTAAAGTGCCTTTGTATATCAAAGGTTGCTGTCATCTCTGCTTTTTGACATTGTTGTTTGCTAAGCAGGCAAACTTAAGAGTCAGTGTCATTTTCAGTTGGAGACGTCCACCACAGCCAGCTCCATATCCATACGGCCCTGGTTTTGATTCGTATGGTTACGCAGATGCCAGGCGAAGGAAACCACCGGGCAAATTGCCCGTGATGGACGTTGCCGTACCGGATGTGGCTCCACCTTTGTCACGTCCCACTGTTCCATGTAATGCTGTTTTTTTGTGTTTTTTCTTTTTTAAGTAGAAGTTATTTTGACTTATTAGCAAAAAATTTTAATCAAAAATCAGAGTGATTCGGAGGTTCAAAGTTCAACTTGGGTCCGTGCAATACAGTATCCGTTTATGATCAGACGCTTCATCATTTCTTAATAGGTAATAATCACTTACAAATTATCCATATTTAATAATACGGAAAGATGAAATACATAAGTTATTATATGTATATTTTTCTTTATTATAGTTTATTCATCACTTTTAGTGAGTGGTGCTATGGAACGGAGAAAAGAAATGGATTTGCAAGAGCATATTTTACGTCAACAAAAAGTTATTGAGTAAGTTTTTCAGATTTTCATTTTTGATTATTAATTTCATGTTTACATTTGCTTCATCTTTTATTCAAACAGTGCGATACTTATATTCATTCTCTGTTCTTTATTAGGTAGATTTCATAATTTTATGATTTTAGGCACTCCTTAGAATTCCAATTCTAATCTGCAAATGTTTTGTTCTTCATCATTTTTTTAAAAGCACTTACAAATCTTATTCCTTTTTTCTCGCGTAGTTCTTCCGATTTTATTTTGTAATTTATCTTGTCCTGACTTTCAGTCATCTTTAAAAAATTTCACTCAAGACTTTAAAAATTTAAATGTTTCCGAAAAGAAATTTGGTTCAAAAAAAAAATTACTTTCACTTTGGGTTTTTGCTATCAAGTTCGGAATTAATCATAAGTTATTCAAAATTTGCGAAGGACATTATTAATAGCAGTTTAGTAGTAAGTAAAAATACTGCAAGAATAGCTAAATTTTTAGTGATTGATTGAAAAAATATTTTTTAAGTTTTTAATTACTTGTAGCGATCTTGCGAAAAAGTTATCTTCACAAAACACTGCACCAGATTACATGAGAAGACCAGAAATGAATGATCCGTATGCAATTGTGCAAACACCATCAACATCATCATTATCAGCAGCAGCAGCAGCAGGAAGTGCCACAAATAAGATGCCAGCCTGGGTGACACCGTCGATGTAAGTCCCGAAATCATCCCTTCGCTGAAAGCAGAACTTTGATACGGTAAACCGTTTCGTTTGCACTGCCTATCAGATGTTTTTAATTGATTTTTGGGACTTTGGCACTCAATGTTCATATTCTTTTCCGAAAGAAATAAACAGTGTGAGGCAAAAAAAGAAAGAAATTAAATAAAAAAATAGGGAGAAAAAAAAAAAGAATTATCACTATTTATATTGGATGGCTTTTCAGGATTAAGACGTGAGAATCAGTTTCAATAATATATACTCTGTAATTATTATCGTTTGGAAAGATAATGATGATTTCTGACTTCTGCTTTAAGTTTTTGGATTTGGACATAAGATTTTAATAGTTTTATCAGTCGCATAAGCAAAAAAATAGTTTTATCAGTCACAAAAAAAATTACTACATAGTAATTGATATTAACAATCATTTTCTTTTATAATTCTTTGATTACTTGACAAACATCTTATTCTAATTGGATTTTAATTTGATTTTAAAGTAAGTAAATTCTAGGAAAAGAATTCCGAAATTTAGACTGATGATGTCTGGTAGGCTGTGCAGTTGTTTAATAGAAAACTGAAGTAGATTGAAGGAAATAGGAATAAAATGGACGAGAAAAAAATGTTAGGTTGATGAAAATCAAAAAAGAGTAAGAAATGACGGAAATGTTTTATGGCTGATATATGCAAATAAGTTTTCTGTTCCCAAAACTTTATTGATGAAATCGAGTTTTTCAACCTTTAGATATACTCAACCACAAGGTGGCAACTCTGCTGAAACATATGAAGCATGGCGATAAAATTTGAATAATGTTTTTTTTTTTTTTTTTTTAGATCTTTCGTATCTCCGATCCTTGTTTTCTTGTATTTCTTTTAAATTTTATAATTGGATTTAGAATAGTTTTCTTTTTTGCTGTTATTGTTTCAGTTTTTTTGATTTTTGCTACGATCTCATTTTAATTGATACATTTCTCAAGTGACGTTTTTTTTATGTCAATTCTAAAAATTTTGTTCAAAAAATGAAAATTAGTCAAAAATTCGTTTGGTACATTGTTTGCTGAAAAAAAATTATTCTTCATAGAAGATTATTTTACTTGATGGAGTATTGACAATTAATCTTTATTTTTGAATAAATCCTTCGTGATTTGAATAAGATTATTTGCTGTCTACTGTATATGTTAAGGTTTTTTTTTTTTTTTCTCTCCTTCTTGTATTACATATTTGATTGCTTTATAACTGAGTGTAATAGAAGTAAAAACAGGAGAGAGAGAGAGAGAGAGAGAGAGAGAGAGAGAGAGAGAGAAGTAATTTGAAATTATCTGTGCAAGGAGGATCATTGTTAAACTTGATGTGAAAATTGAAAGGAAAAAGTTTGAAATGTTTATGGACGCGACAGTTTCTGGAAATAAATAAGTGAATGAAGTAGGTTACATTCACAAGCATTAGTAATATCATTCATTTTATATGCTAAAACAAATGAAATATAATATTATCGTAGAAAACAAGTTAAGACGAAATTTTCATAGTTTATTTCTAATAAAAAAAATAATGGAACCGATAATACAAGATCAAATAGATATAAATCATAATGCCAGGGCATAACTTTTGCTCATCATTTTGTTCCAAATTATTATAAAAAAAATATATTTTTAATATCATTGTTTTATGGTTGTTTTATTTGTATTACTACTAAAAGATTAGCTGTATTATGTGTCAGTTATTGTTGTACTTCTTGACAGATAAGTGAATTTACGGCAATCAGTGCAGATGTAGCAGTATTCTAACTGATTTGCATCGTTACTTGCTTGAGGTGTACCATTATGTGTTAATATTGAAGTTAAAAGTTGAATATCTAGTCATTTTGAAGAACGAATTTGATGTTTGATTATATTTTGTTGATGCACTTGAAAGATTGACGAGAAGAAGCAAGTATTTATTTTCAGTTTTTTTTTTTTTTTTTTTCTTTTGATTAATTTTGAAAAATTAGCAAATGTTGGGAATGGGTAAAGTTTTGAAGCTTATGTGAGTAAGTCAGGAGGTAAATCTTTTGGCCACAGATATGAATCACGGCTACCTTTTCGTTGTACCGAAAGAGTAGAAATATATGCAGCACGTCGAATCTGTTCTTTTAATTTCAATTCAGGTCGTTTCACGAAGAAATATGCAAATGCGCCACAGAAACTATCACCAGCACCCTACAAGGTGTATTTAATAATTCGAATTGCTGCTCAACACTAATTGCAATATAGACAAATTTCATTTGGAAAATATATGTTTTGTATAATTCTTACCGTAGTTTCAACAACTTTAACTGTTGGTACTGTTATATGACCTGAGTCACCTTGTTTGGTAGCATATGTGACACCTTTTGCACCAAGCGTTAAAATGACAATTGATGGACCTGCTTGTAGTAATTTTTTGGCACTTTCTTGAGCATCTTCAATAGTTTCAATACGTTGATCTGCGAGATATTCCGTCTGAAACGATGCAAAAATTTTGAGGAATGTAATTGAGAGAAGTTTAAGATCAAAAATTTTATAAAAGATAGGTGAAGATGAAGTATTTGAAAAAGTTTTTGGCTTTAATTTCTTTGTGACATTTATACGTAATCCAATATTAAGTATAAATTTTAGGTAATTCCATATATATATTTCAAAGCTATATCATTTATTATTAGTAATAAATAGGTAGTCGGTCAACGTATTATTATTAATTGAGATTGTAAACTTATCGTTTCAGGTCTACCTCAATTTCATTTGTGCATAATATATCTGCCAATTTTAAAATACTTTTAGCGAAAGTCACTTCAACTGGTGCATAATTGAGAAATGTTTGCACTGAAAACATACTCATTTTTTTTTTTAAATTTTTCAACTTTTCAATCTTTGGAAGATTTTGAAACGTTGAAATTAAAACAATTTTGAAATTTTACTATTATTTATGACTTATACGACGAAATAATTTTTGAAATAACTTTCAGTAATTGTTAAAATAGTTCAAAAAAAAAGAACTCCAAACCATTATGCTTCCTAGCTAATTCAAATATTCTTCGTACAGATTCATAGATTGTTTCATTTTGACAAAGTACCAATTTTGTGTTAGCGATAATTTCATCCAATTCATCAATTGGTAATGATAAAGATTCCAAATTTGCACCTGGTGCAATTACTATCGAATTTTCACCTTAAATTTTTCAAATGCTTTCAGAGGTAAATTTCTCATGCAGAATTCACTGTAACATTTTGTATGTAATAAGCGAATTTATTATTGAAAAATATATATAAAAAAAAGAAAAAGAACAATAATACAATATTATATACCATCTTTTGTAACAATTATTGTAGCACAGCCAGTTTTTCTGCTCTCACTCATTTCAATATATTTAGTATTTACACCAAAAGTTTTTAAATTTTCCACATTACTTACTCCAAATACATCTTTGCCAACCTTAAAATGCAATTATAATTTGTTAGGATAAATTAACGATCGTAAATCACAGTGATTGAATGATTGGATAATTTGCATAATTTAAATGGATTTAATATATCAATGAATCATTAGCCATTTCTCATTTATATCACTCATTATCATAACGTTTTTTTTTTTTTTTTTTTATTATTATTATTATTTCTCATTAGGAAAAAAAAAAAAAAAAAAAACCATAAAAAGTTAAAATGGATTACGTTTATTACGCCAAAAGTTTTTAAAGTTCTTATATAGCACTTCTTCTTTCTGATAAAATGATATAATGAAATAATAATAACAATAATAATATTAATAATAGTAGTAGTAGTAGTAATAGTAGTAGTATTAATAATAATAATAATAATAATAATAATAAATCACTTACTTTTCCAATGATGTATACTGTAGCACCTAACATAGCAGCTTGAGCAGCTTGATTAGCACCTTTTCCACCTGATGATGTCTCAAATATACCTTTTATCGTTTCACCTGGTCGTGGAAATTGATCCGTATAACTTAAAATTTTTTAATTAATAGTTCATTCTGAGAGAAACGATGATAATGAAATAAGTTTGATGAAAGAAAAATGAAACGAAATAAAATACTGAATTTATGCTAGGAAATAATTTAGTCTTTTACAGGTAATAATTATCGGAAAATGATAAAATCATTCCGGTAAATGCATCCTGCTCAATAATAAGAAATCAATGTAAATTTATGGAAAAGAAAAATGATTACGATTTTACTTATTGAAGATAGCTTAATAGATTAGTTATGATTATTACAAACTAACATCTCAAAATTTTGTACATTTTATATTTCTTATAATTTTTTTTTTCTTAAAATTTCAAATTACCTTACTAAATCTTGTGCAATACTTCCGTAAACAACAATATCAATCATTGTGCACAAAGGAAAGTATTCCACAATTTTTCCTGAATGACAAAAACCTGAAAATAAAAGCAGTTCACTGTGAATATAATTATTATAGAATATAATTGTCCATTAAATCGAATTTTTTCTTTTTTTTTTTTTGAATTTTTCAAAATGTTAATATGACAGAAAAAAACACAAACTGCGTTCGTTAAAATTTGAAATTTCTATACCTTTTAAATCTGAATTTAAATTATCCGGTTCCAATTTACAGTAAAGAAGAAGCTACAGTATTGTTATGTTTTATTTTTTTAATAAAAAAAAAAAAAAGAAAACTGAAATTTAGCAAAAATTGAAGCAATGGAAAAATTAAAACTTAGCAAAAATAGAAATTTTTAGAAAATTGTAAATTTCAGAATTAATAGAGAAATTTGATTTAAATCATAAAGCACTCTTTTATCCTCTTTTTTCTTTCCCCCCCTAAATGACAAACATAAATTAGATTAGTAGAAAAAAGTAGGAGGAATTTAGAAATGCGACATTTCATGATAACAAACAAATAAAATAATAAATGCATCATTTTATTTACTTTTATATTTATTGAAATTTTCATACTAATTTAGAACTGAAAGGGAAAATAATTTTTTTTTTTTTACAAATTTGATTACTTTGCGTAATATTATTTCTTTCAAAAATTTTTGATAGTTTTAAGAAAGTATAACGAAGTGAATAAACAAATAAATAAGCAAATGAAACAATAAGCTTATTATGATAATATATCTTTATCACTTTGTCAACAACTCTAAATTATTTTAATATAATTCAAATATGCTAATTATTTCTTAATCGATAACTGTTTTATGTTATTGTAATAATTTTACATTTTATTTTTAAACTATCATAAAAACGACAAACAAAAAATGAGAAAGGAAATTTTTATTTTTTTAAAATATACAATAAATAATATAAGTTTCTATCCTCTTGCCATAAAAGGTAATAATGATTGAATATTATTTACTTAAACTTTATCATTCTTATCAATTTGTTTGATTCTTTCCATCAATTCTTCCTAACATAATTAACAATAATTCGCTATTGCTTTTTCTTTTCAAATTTTGATTTTTATTAATTTAAAAAATAAAAATAAAACATAAAAATTTTTTCTAACTTATTTGTAAAATATATTTCTTTTAAAATGGCTAGTAATTATTGCATTGAAATTTAGTAAATTTAAATTGTGTTGAAGATGTGAAAGGAAAAATGTTGTTATTTACAATTTATCAAACAGGTTTAAATCAATACGAGTAACAATCCATTTAAATTAATTAGTAATTAACAATTACTTTCTAAATAAGTTAGGTGAGAATAAATTTTATCAAGTAATAAACAATAATAAATAGTCACATAAACCTTACAAATATAAATTTATAAAAAAGCATATAGCATTTTCTCATCTTATCACTTTGTAAATAAATAAAATTGTGCACTGATAAGTGATAAGAAAGAGAAGAAGGGAAGAATGTATTTGATAAGAAAAAGGAATGAAGAAAATTAATGAAGCATTTCTAGGTTGATATGTTCAAAAAATCAATCAGTAAAACTATTTTGACAAATTTTTCTTTTTCTAATTTCTTCTTCAAAAATATTTTTTTCAAGTTCAGTTTACAGTAATCTTTGTACTTTTTAAATAAATTTAATAATTCTTTTTCCATTAATTAATTTATTAACAATTTAGTCATTATATCACCCTTAGCACATCTGTTTGATTTTATTTATTAATTTCTTTTTTTTTTTTTTGAAAATAAAAAAATAATAAAATTTCTAATTTTCAAAAATCTTTGTCACATACTAAATTGCTACTTCTCCATGTTTTCCTCTTTTTTTCTCCTTTATTTTATTTTATTTTTTTTTTTTTTTTAAAAAAAAATTTGATAAATAACAATTTTTGATATCACTTATACATTTTGTATGTATCTTTTATCTTTAATCTTATATTTCCATTAGCATTAAAAAAATATTTTCAATCTTTTACGTTGCTTAAATTGAAATTAATTATTAATTTTAGTTAAATTTAATCAATCCATACAAAAAATTATAAATTACAGATCATTTTTAAAGAAGTAAAAAAATAAAATCTAAAAATAAAAGAATAAAATCTTTTAATTAAAACAAGAATGAACAGAAAATGACATGTATTAGGATGATATTATCATAAAATGATTCATCAATTTTATCAATGAATCATTGATTTATTCTTTCCAAATTGTTACATTTTTGATTTATTTGTGATATTCCAAGTGTATCATTGTAATTTATCGTTATATTGTGCTTATATGAATTGGAAAATTGTGATTATATACATGATTCATCAATAATTGATATTATTAATAATATATAAACGGGTAGAAGAGAGAGAGGGAGAGAGAGAGAGAGAGGGAGAGAGAGAAGTATTGATAATTCTTTCAATTATTTTTAACAGTATGATCATAACGAGTAAATTGTGATTATATACATGATTCATCAATAATTGATATTATGAATAATATATAAACAGGTAGGAGAGAGAGAGGGAGAGGGAGAGAGGGAGGGAGAGAGGGAGAGAGAGAGGGAGGGAGAGGGAGAGAGAAAGAATTATTGATAATTCTTTAATTATTTTTAACAGTATGATCATAACGAGTAAATGGTGATTACATACATGAATCATCAATAATTGATCTCTCAACGAGTAAAATTCCCATAGAATTTGTTAAATTGTATGCTAATCAAACAAAATTATTGCAATTTATTCAGCTGCAAAATAAAATTATAAAATATAAATAATTCTAATTTTAAAAAAATAGTAAAACAAGAACTAAAGCATTTTTCAACAAAATAATTTCATTTACGAATATAAAATTAAAATAACTACATTTAAACAGCAATAATTTTGATCGTTAAGAAAAAATTATATTATTTAATAAAATACAAACTTTATAAAATTGTAAAGGTCAAATTTTTTGAAAAAGAAAAAGAAAAACAAAATTAATTTTTCAAATTTGAATTATTAAACAACAAATCGATGACTAATAAGTTACATATATAATTTGAATATTAACAAATAATCAAAATTTTGATTGCTATTGTTGCACTGATAACAAATAAACGATGATAATGATTAATTTGATAAGATTAATTTCTAAAAAGGTAATAAATTTTTAGAAATTAATGTGACATAGATGAAATGTCCACTTTGTTCAACTGTTACTGTTTGATTTATGCAAAAATAATAGCCGTAGTGGTGGAATTTGAAATTTAATACATGAAAACCATGATCGAATTGAATCGATGAAATTTGGGTCAGCGAAAAAATTAATAATTGGATCAAAGATCATTGCTAATACCCAAACAATTGCCGCCGTACAAGCTAAAATTTCCACTTGTAAGAAGAGTCTTCCATGAAGGAATGTTTTACACGATGATTTATCACCCAAACCTGTAAGTAAGTAAGTAAGTAAGTAAGTGTAATATATACATTTTAAGTTTTAATCAAATATATAAATAATAATTGTATTAAATAAATTAAAATGAATTTTAAAATTCTATCATCCAATCGAATTACAATAGTAGCGCATAGTTTGCTTGTAAAATTATCCTTATTGAATAATTTATTGTTAGAAGATTTGTTCATCATCTAATTGTAGAAACAATGTTTATTTAATTCGAATTTTAAGTAATACATTTCCGAAATTTCCGAAAAAATCGGTATGAATCTTATTTCTGTTATTTTTCCGAAAAAAATTATAGTCGGTATGAATGAAAAAAAGAAAAAAAAAAAATGATAAAATATAAGTTTACCTAAAATAGTTAGATTTTTTAAATTAGCTGTTGCAATTGCTGCAACAATAAGAATCGGTAATGAACCAATAGTAAATGTCACCATATTTAATGCTAATCTATTCATTGTTCGTACATTATTTCTTATTGTTATATCAGTATCCTGAAATTTTCAGAAATTTTTACGGATACTTCCGGATTAAACATATACGTTTTTTTTTTTTTTTTTTCTATTTTTTCATATATTTTTATTTTCAATTTCAATTCTCTATTAGATTTTGCATAAAATAAAATTAACTATTTTTTTCTGTATAATCTATAAAAGATAAAAATTTTTTCTTTTCTCATTTTTCATTCAGCTATTTAACAAACAATCAATATTCTGCAAAATTTTTCTTCATTTCAATAACTGAACTGTAAATTATTATTTAAAAATTGGCAAAGGAAAAAAAAATGATAAATAAAAATTTGCTCTTATCAGTATTAATCAAATTAATGAAAATGAAATATATTGATAATATCAGATATTTATACTTTAATTTCCTCTATTATATCATCTATAAATGATTGATTTGCTCTTATCAGTATTAATCAAATTAATGAGGATGAAATATATTGATAATATCAGATATTTATACTTTAATTTCCTCTATTATATCATTTATAAATGATTGATTTGCTCTTATCAGTATTAATCAAATTAATGAGGATGAAATATATTGATAATATCAGATATTTATATTTTAATTTCCTTTATCTATAAATGATTGATTTTTGCTTTTCTTGCTTTGTTTACATTTAATCTAACCATAATCTAACTCATTTTTTGTAAATTAATAATTTTAAAACTCAAATAAATGAATGAAATATTTAAAAAATTTGACCAATTGATTAGTTCGATCACGATTGTGAATAAAATAAAGTATAATTAGATAAAATGCAATGACAATAATAAAAAAAACACAAAGCATAAAAACAATAAATATAGCAATAGGCTGTTGACATCGATTAAATGAGCAATAAATTGGCGCTGTTTGCGGATAAAACAATGTAGCACCATAAAAACCAAGAAAAAGCTAAATTTAAACATAAATTTTCTAAAATATTTATTAGAAATTTTCACTCATTAAATCGGTTAAAATTAATAAATAATTTTTTGTTTTTTTTTTTTTTTTTTTTTTTTTAAAAAATTATTTAAATATTTTTTAAACTTTTTTTATTGAATGCAATTTCCCATATATTTTTTACTAAATATGATTGATTTATGAATTTTAGGAAATTTTACAATGATTCGAAATGTATTTAAATTTTTTTATCCAACATTTTTAAAAAGTTGAAACAAAAGGCTAATATAAAAATTTTTTTACAAATATTAATTAAAAAATCCGAAAAAAAAAAAAAAAAAAAGAAAATGATTTTTATTTTAGCAAATATTACCGAAAAAGCAATGGAAATAAGCCATAGAATTGCAATAACAATAAAACATCGTTTAACATTAACCAAATACAAATATTTTAATGGATGAACAATTGCTAAATAAAGTAATGCTGTCATTGCAACATAAGTACCTGTAAAAAAAATAACCTTATAGTTTAATAGAAACTTGAAATTTTTTTTTTTTTTTTAAAGAAGTGAAATTTGAAATTTTTAATCATTTAAAGTAGAGAAAGAAAAAAAGTGAAACAAATGATTGATTTAAAGTTAGCTAAAAATAAAGTCAAAAAATTGATAGAAAGTAAAAAAAAAAAAACGTGAAAAGTTTTTTTCATATGCTATAATATTGAATCAAATTTTGCACATTAAAAAAAACATGAAAAACTGAAATTTAAAAAAAAAAAAAACATGAAAAGCTGAAATTTAAAAAAAAAAAAACATGAAAAACTGAAATTTAAAAAAAAAAAAAACGTGAAAAACTGAAATTTAAAAAAAAAAAAAAAAATTTAAAAATTACCAGCTAATGTTAAGAATGATATTGATCCGATTAAAATGAATGCAGCAGCAGATGCATATCGAAATATTTCAAATTTCCATGCAATTAAAACAATGTATAAAAGAATCAGTGCAAGAATACTGCTTATCGTTCTACTTATCAGAAAGCTATATCGACACAATGAGCTAAAAAAAAAAAAAAAAAAAAAAAAAGATTTCAATCGAAATTTTAAAATTTTAAATTGATTAAAATTTAATGTAGTAGATAAAATGAAAAAAAAAAAAAAAAATCAACGAATAATAATTATTTTTATCATACTAAAAGATATAATTACATACTAAAATTTCCGCATATTTCGTCTTCACTTTTTTTTTTTTTTTTTTATTTTCTCTTTTTTCTATCATTTTTACAAATTAGTCGAATTGTTCTACCGGTTTATAACTTGGTTTAATTAACCTACCGGTTTATAAATTAGTCTAATTATTCTACTCGTTTATAACTTGGTCTTATTATCCTACCGGTTTATAAATTAGTCTAATTATTCTACTCGTTTATAATTTGGTCTTATTATCCTACCGATTTATAACTTGGTCTTATTAATCCTACCGGTTTATAAATTAGTCTAATTATTCTACTCGTTTATAACTTGGTCTTATTAACCTACCGGTTTATAAATTAGTCTAATTATTCTACTCGTTTATAATTTGGTCTTATTATCCTACCGATTTATAACTTGGTCTTATTAATCCTACCGGTTTATAAATTAGTCTAATTATTCTACTCGTTTATAACTTGGTCTTATTAACCTACCGGTTTATAAATTAGTCTAATTATTCTACTCGTTTATAATTTGGTCTTATTATCCTACCGATTTATAACTTGGTCTTATTAATCCTACCGGTTTATAAATTAGTCTAATTATTCTACTCGTTTATAACTTGGTCTTATTAACCTACCGGTTTATAAATTAGTCTAATTATTCTACTCGTTTATAATTTGGTCTTATTATCCTACCGATTTATAACTTGGTCTTATTAATCCTACCGGTTTATAAATTAGTCTAATTATCTTACCGGCTTACGAATTGTCTAATTATCTCACCGATTTATAACTTGGTCTAATTATCCTACCGGTTCACAAATTAGTCTAATTATCCTGTCGGTTCACAGATTAGTCTAATTCTTGTATCGGTTTATAACTTGGTTTAATTATCCCGTTTATAAATTAGTCTAATTATTCTATCTATTTATAAATTAGTCTAACTTTATCATTCTTACAAATTTCTATTGTAAAAATCCCCAACACATTTTTATTTGGCTTTTATATTCTCAAAAAATATAATGCAAAAAAGAAATTACCCAAGTTTTTTCCTTCGCCATAACTCTATTATCAATATACCATAAGTAATATTTATCAAAATAGCAATTGTTGCGAGTATAAGTGGAATTGTAGCAAAAAGATACTTTCGAATATCTTTGGCTTCATGTAATTCCTGAAAAGAAACAGGAAATAATTGTGCTTATCCTGAAGACTAAAATAAATTTACTTATTATTTGAAATTATTAATTTATTAAAACTAATAAAACATTAAAATATATCAGAGATAATTCAAGGAAATGTCTTGAAAAAAAAAGAGAAAAAAAAAAGAAACAATTTAAAACAGAATAAACTTTTTAGAAGAAAATAAAAAAATAAAAATGGTAAAAAATAATTCTATTTCAAAAAAAGTTTTTTTTTTTTATATTAATTATTTTAAAGATTATAAAAACAATAGCTAACCTTTAATAATTTACATGGATTTACATTCATAGGTATATGACATTGAATATATTTAATATCTTTGATACGATATTCAGACGAACAATTTTGAAAAATTTCTGGAACAACCATGGTACTCATATACAATTCCTGAAACTCATTACTTACTTACTTCTTACTTACTTACTTATTTACTAAAATTATTTAATATTAAAAAAAGTAAATGTTATATGATGTAATTTTCTTATCAAAGTAAATACTTTCGTTTGTGAAATGACTAAAACGATGACTAAAGTAATGTTAGCAAAATGTCAACGATAGATTTGCATTGATAGAGAGTGAAATATAACGAAGAATGTTTATCTTTGGTACTATTTTTTTTTTTATTTAAAAAAAGAATTACATAGAAGAATGAAGGAGGAAATGAAAGTTTAAATTAAAATGTTTTTTTTTATTAAAAATTTTAAAATTCAACTTTTAGTTTTACTTATATTTAGATATGAAAATATCTTTACAGTAATGAAATTTATGTATAAATTGTTAAATGTTAAATGAATTTATTATAATTATTAAAATTGTACGAATCTATTAATATTATTACAATTGTTAATGAAAAAGTTTGTAAAATTGAATGATAGTTCATTTTTATTCGCTTTTTGCTTTATATACAAAAAAAAGTTTATAAAAAAAAAGAAAAGATTTTAAGAAAATGATAAGATTGATATGATATGATAAGATTATTCTCCAATTGTTCTCAGTCATTCATTGTATCATTAAATATACATTTATGATTAAAATATCTTACATCCTTTTTGAATAATTTCATAAAATGTCAACTATGCACGAATAGACGATATAATATGATGATAATCCGGTAGAAATATATGCCGGAGTCGGTTAAACATTAATTCCATAAGAGATGAGTGATAAAAACTTTTCCACTGGTATACAGTCATCATCTCAATTGCTGTTTATCATTAAATTAATCGAAGTTAAAATTTCAATTCACCCAAAATTTCATTTTCTCTAATCCTTACTTTGCTTATAAATTTTCATTTGGATCAGATTTCATGTTTGTAAAACACAAAATTCAGAATTTAATGATAAAAGAGAGTCGATGACTCATTGTTTTTCTATGAGTTATTGCTTAAAGAGAATGACTCACTGTTTTCAATTTTAAAATTTGTTTACTCATTTAAAATTTGTTTATTCATATCTTTCTCATCTTTTTTTTTTTTTTTTTTTTACTTCTACAACATAGATGATTATAATATCGATGAAACAACCATCGATTGTAAGCGGTAATTCATGTTTTTATTTTCCATAACAAAATTTGAAATTTTTAATTAATTTTAAGGAGTAAAAATAATTTTAGGATTTTTTCATTTATAGAATTATTTTCATTGTATAAATGATTGATTGGTAATGCTAAATATAGAATATAATTTTAAATATTTAGGATAAACCGGAAAATGTTAATTGTGCTAAATATAGAATACAATTTTAAATATTTAGGATAAACCGGAAAATGTTAATTGTGTTAAATCTGTTAATAATGATAAAAGAACAGTAAAATAATATGCAGTGAATGTGAAATAATATATGAAAATTTGCAAAAATGAAACATAAATGAAACGATAAAATGAATTAATGGATTAAGTTAATTAATTAAATCGAATTGATATGATCGGTTAATTAGTAGCAAAAGAATTATGTTTGTTACCTTTTTTGATTATAGTAAAATAATAAGATTTATAAAAACACTAATTAGAGAGCGAATTTAAAAAAAAAAAAAAAAATTCTGTATAAAATATATGTATTTTTTAATCATTTTAATTCACCACCAAAAGTAAGCTTAATACTAAATAAATTTCAATTATTGATTAAACTGATATTTCAATTAGAAAAGACATTTTGTCCAATATCAAATTATAATTTCATTATAAAAATTTTAATTTCAAATTAAAATTACAATTACTTGTGCACTACGCAAATTAGATTTGAATTAATCAATGCAATAATATTTTAGGTAAAAAAAGAAATAACAAGAAAAGAGAGCAAAATTTTTTGCGACAAACAGGAAGTGAAATTAAAATTGTCAGTCATTGTGTTGGTGACAACCAATAAAAAAAATGGATGATTTCCATTTGTGAGAGATTTGACGAAAATTTTACTTTAATTCTAGAAGCTATTATTCTCTTTTCTAGTACAATTAAAAAAAAAATGATAAAAATTATGAAAAAAAAAAAAAAAAAAAAAAAAAAAATTTAAAAACCAAATTTCATATTTGTGTAAAATCATTCATCAAAAATTAATTTGAACTAATTCAAGAATAATAATCCATCAGTTACTTATCAAACAATAAAATTTGTTAATGGTAGAATTGAAATCAAAAAAAAAAGTTGCAAATTTTTAGATATGTTTTAGATATACTTTGCTACTGTAATCAAAAGCAGATAGTTTTTATTTGTTAGCTTAAATTTCCTTTTTTTTTTTTTAAAAATTTTAATAGAAAATTGAAGATAGAAAATTTTTTTTTTCATAAATTTTGTAATTCCATTTTTTTCTTATTGAATGAATCTTTTTTCTTTCATTTCATGTGTCTACCTCTGTATGTATTTTTAGTATATTAAATTTATGTGTAAATTTTTTAGATGTAATTTAAAACCACAATTAATTCTTGATTTCAAATATAGAATGAACTATTAAATGGCATATATGACTAAATTATTAAATCAAAAATTATTAAACATTCTCAAAGCAACAAATTATTTCACTCAATAATCTGATAATGATAACGATGTGTTATCATATCATTAAATGGTATTTAAAAGATTTTTTATTTAATAAGAAAGAAATATGTTCAAATATTATGTTGCTAATGTAATTTTGAAGTTTAATGAAAAGCAATTGATGTGATTATTTAGATTTCATTAGACTTCGATGAAATCAAGATAATTCAAAAATAGAATTCGTAGATGTTATTATTTTTATAAAATAAATACAGCAAATTCCTATCAATTATTATCATTTATCAAATCTTAACTTTTTGAAGTTAATAGATAAACTGTTCCATCAAATATACCATAAAATAACATTTACAAGCATCTGATGATGGAAATTTTGTAGCTCATTATTTTCTCTTTCTAAAAACCTAGAAATTCTCAATTGAAAAATCAAATACATCAGGAACTAGCTAAGATATTAATTTGCATTTATAGTTTAATTGAAAAATATTAAAGATTATCCAACATTTCTAAGTTGAAATAAAAAATTTCTCAGATTTACTTGACATAAGTATAAAACAAAAGAAAAAACATAAAATCAAAATAAACAATTTCAATCGTTACTAATTTACAATTTTCATAAAATTGTTGCACTTTTTATTTTTTCTAGTTTCACTCTGTTAATGTTTATTATGTTTGGTATTTTGCTTCTTTAACATTTTTTTTTTTTCTTTTTTAGTATTTCATAGAATGTTAGCATAACAATTAAATGTATTTCTACACTTTAAAAATTTCAAAATTTTTTATGAGCAATACAAAATTGAATTTTTACAAATACAATTTTTTTCTCTAGAAAGTATTATCATTGATAATTGACAATAGCAATTCTAACCAAATGAAAAATCATAAATTTAAAAATATGCAAAATCAAAAGAAACAGCACTATGAATAAACTAACCATGGATATTAAACGACTGTAGACATAATAAAGGGTAGTAAATAAAAATATCTTAAAGTAGAGTATGCCAAAGTGAAACAGTAGTAAAATAAGGGAATTCTAAAAGGTTGGAAAAGAAAGAGACTTTTAATGCTGAGGAGTAAAATTATATTCTAGTTCTCATAAAGCTGGAAATAAAGCACATTATGCGGAGCAGAACAGATGCTTGATAGGAATGCTTTCACTTTTTAAGTCCACAAAATTTAACTTTTGTCCTAAACCAAAGCTCAAAATTCATTAGCTATAATAGAACTTTATGCTAATGAGGTACATATGCTACAATGAAATGCATATACATTGGTCATGATAAATGTGTTCAAATGAATCTTGGATACAATTCAAGGAAATCAATAAAGAATAAATAGCAATAAATCGAGATGTGAAAAAAAAAAAAAACGTAATTTCGCTCTCGATTTCTCTTCTTCTTCTGGAATTTCAATATAAAAAAATCTTTTAGGAGAGACAATTATAATTGAAAAATTCCTGAAGGAAGAACAAAAGATCAAAAAAAAAAAAGTTCAATTAACCAACAATCATATAATAATGCAAATTTTGTATTCGCAATTCATTACGACAAAATTAATGCGATAAAGAAATAGAAAGAGCTGATAGATAAACAAATAAACATCGTGAATAACTGATAAATGAAATAGCTAATGGTAAAAAATCATCAATTCTATACAATCAGCACTTTTCAATAAAGCTTCCAAAATAAGATTAGTAATAGCAAAATGTTTTGGAATGAAATGTCAATTTTTTAAGATTTTTAAATGAATCATTTTCAATTTTTAAAACTTTTATGCATAAAACAAACATTGAAGTCATTATGTGGCATTGATACTTTTGCTTGATAATTCTTTGAGTGCATTCAAAATTTTCACTACTGGGCCAAGTTTCAATCCCAGTAGCGTTACCAAATTATTATGAGCATTATCTGGCAGTAACAACAGAGACTGGCCGTCTATATCCTGATTACGAAAAGTATTCGCACAATCCTCATTACCGGTTACTGACGATACCCAGCTTGCCACTTCATCACACTAAAATAAGAGGAAAATTGCTACTTATTAAATTTCAAAACATACCAATTAATCTCAAACTTAATCTTTTATACTGTATGTCATAAATAAGATTTCATGTTAGCAATATAAAAATGTACCTAAACCATTCATCCCATAATGCTAACATTCGCATAATACCGATAAAACAAAGGATCGAAGATATTGTCTTCCCTCTAGTCTTTTAGCTACTCTAACTTTTAGGAAATGGCAAGTAAGAATAATGATTAAGAAATTAGCTACAGAAGAAATTGCACCACAAATAACGCTTATCTAACAAACACAGCAATATAAATTCAATATAAATCAAATTCGTTATCAGTCACAAAAAAAAAAAAAAAAGTTACTTACAGTCCATGTTTTTGTTGGCCTAGAAAGGAAATCCATCGGTGCATGATCAACCGTTGAAGCTAAAGCAATAGCTGGAGAAACCGACGTCGACGGCACTTTACTGCACTCACCTAACGAGTACGAAGTGGACAACCCCCGAGGAGATTTTACAATTTCTGCCTGTTGAGGTGAGACCATTTTTAGCGTTAATGTTGGAGGTGTTCGCTGCTGCAAATCAATGGTACTACCTGAAATTTTAACTATACCTACCTGAAAATTTTAAATTTTAACTATATCTATTCATTGCCATATTTACATCATATTTTACGTCCACGTGTATTTTCAAAACTAAAATTTTTGAAGTGCGATTTCATGTTAGCAAGCTATTCATCACTTTATTAATGAAAAAAAAAAGGCGGTAAAGTTGATTAACCCTTCTATAAACTCTTTTTTGAAAAATGTAAAAGAGGCATCTTGCTTTATTCAACTAATCAGGCTATTAATGCTACTATGTACAGTTGTATTTTAAGAATTTTTATTTCGGTCTTATTTCTCTCCACCCTACTCTAATTAGGAATGTAAAACGACAATATCAGTACAAATTATAAAAAAAATTTTTTTTAAAAAATTATAAATTATAAAATATTATAAAAATAAACTATAAAAATTATAAATATATAAATAAATTATGAAAAATTTTCAGAAACCTGAAGAGGATGGCTCTGAAACTATACTAAGATTATGCACTGTTACTGTAGGACTGATATCTTTATTAATGGGTGATGTATCCGTTGAACGAATAAATGGTAGTCGTGGTGATGCATTGAATGAGCGCCCAACTGTAAAAAAAAAAAAAACAACAGCAATGACTAAATGGAAGAACTTAAACTAATCATTCAAACCAAACATCTCATCAAAAGATTGGAGTTGTTCAAAAAAAGGACAGTGATGATGTGAAGAGAGTAATCTATATATCTTTTCGTTGCTAAGAAAAACAATTAACCTTCAAAAAAAAAAAAAATAAAAAAAAAATAGATCTTAATTTTTAGGTAAAGCTGACTCACTTACTAATGTATTATAAGTGCAGAATTTAGAATTTAAAGTATTAACAGGAAGAAATAAAAAACGCTAATTATACTATCTTCGACACAATTTGCTCTAGGCAATGAAGAAAGATCAAGATCAAACCTTGCTCTTCACTAATTGTTGGATTCTTCTTCCATAATTTACGACATTTTTTCGAGCAATACTGCGGATGATTTTCCAGACGTTTAAGACGCAGCAAACCGTTGCAGTAGTTACATCTTTCAGTGTCAAGCTCTTCATCCGAAAAACTCACTAACAAACTGCCAGTAGCTGTATCAGCACTACTTTTTGATGAAGAATTCAACGACTGATCTGCAGTTGCTGGACTTTCTAAAAAATCTTGTACCACTTAAATTTTCAATTCAAACTAAATTTAAAGCACACTTCAAGAATTGATTAAACCAATTAATATTCTATAGCGTATCATCAAAACTATTAAATCATTAGTAATGATAGTTCGCAAAAATCCAGTTTAATAATACTCAGCTATTGCCCTATTTGTTGATATGCTTATATCATTTCATGTCAGCATACTTATTTATTAGATAGCTAATAAAATATAATCAATTTTATTATTGGCAGATTAACGAATAATTTATAAAACTTATTGCTTGATGGTCTAGAGTAAAAACTAAAACACATTTCAATAAAAAACAGAAATACCTTCACACTTTTTAGTTACAACTTTTGGTGAGATATCCACAGCATCCTCAATTATGAATCTTTCCATTACCGGTTCACTCACTTCAATTTTTTCCAGTTTTTGCTTATCCACCGATGAAGATGGTGGTCGTCCTTTTGGCTTTGTCAAACAACTCTTTGTTGGCGGTGGTAGTGGAGGGGGCGGCAGAGTTTCTTTGCTTTCTTTGGTTGGCTTATAAACTGATTTTTGCATAATATCAGAAAGACGACCATGAGATGGTCCAAAATCCATTTGTAGTAATCGATCCAGCTGTAAAGTAGCTAATCTGATAAATTCTTGTTTCGCTTCATCAGTCACTTCTATTGTAATATCGTTGCACATCCGGCAACGTTCTGTCCTTCACAATCAACCGCTGCCGCTTGAAAACGTTACTGCATGCTAATCCATTGCGATTTTCAAATTTAACAGCAATACGAAAAAAAAAAAATAAAGAAATAAGCAAACCTCGTTTGTTTTACGTTTACGAGTTTTCTTTTCTGTTTTTTCACTAGACGCTTCAGATTTTGTTGGAGATGTTCTGCAAAATTCAAAAGAAACTTTAACAGTCGACACCAATATAAAAACTTAACATAGTGATCATGATCTGCCTTTGGATAATAAAAACCATTGCCATTTTATCTCGATTCTAACAGAATGAGAAAGATCTAAGATCATGCAACAACAACTGACATACTATAAGTATGAATGATTTCAAATATTCTTACTTTGCGCGTCCTTTTTTAACCTCCACTTTTTCAGTGCTTATTTCTAATGTTGGTTCTGTGTCTTTCTCACCGACTAATTTCTTTGATGCTGCAAAAATAACCTGTTGGATTTTAATTTCTATACTTAAAGTATGATTAACACTAAACCAAACGATTTAAAGTCATTTGCATAAAATACTTCTAAGACATCAGAATTATCAATTCAGTGATTGTCCCTTTCTTACTTTCATCATAAGTATCCAATAATACTTGTTTGGGCCATTGTACTACTCACATATGTTTCATCTCTATTAGTTTCTATTATTACAAACATACATGTGCTCCATTTACATTCTTTGGACACCTTTCTCCCATTCTTATCTTCTATTTCGGATAAAAGCCAATCACTTAAACGGCAAGGTGGATCACATGGAAAAGGCTCATCTGATTCCTGAAAATACAGAATTTTTCTCAATTACCGAAATTCCAATAAAATAAACTACTTTCCTGAACGACCGATTCGTGTTACCTCAATTTCAAATCCTTCGATTAAATGAACAATTTTGCCTTTTCGTCCCATTTTTTGATAATATCTTTCGGCTTCTTTCGTGAACATCATATGAATATCGAGAGCATCTTTCGATTCTCCTAAAATTTAACGACTAGTCCAATCATAAAATTAGGTAAATAATGACAAATAAATTGGGAGTAAAGTAATAATATGACAACTTTGACACAATTTTAACAGGAGTATTACTTAAGTTCTAGAAAATGCTTCATATTACCTAACTATAACAGTTCTTTATTCTTCTGGTATGGTGTCTGCTTGATTTTGAAAATCAGAAGCAATGGAGGAAGATAAGCTCTGACCCTCTTCATTTCTGTGAGATACTCAAATTCAATCTGCTAACAAAATTCAACCTTTTTCACTTCACATGGGGCACTAGCAATTAATTAGCAATAATTAACATCTTCTGAATACAAATGATTCATTTATATCTAATTTGAGAATTGAAAAAAAAAAAAAAAAAAGAAAGACAAAAAAAGAGTACCCTGAACAAGAAGCGGTGGAGGCTCATTTTCGATCCCAGGATCAACATAACCACTGTCATCATCCGCAACTGTTTTGTGAGAATCATGAGAAGCTGAGTCTACAAATCGTCCTCTAACTACAACAAAAGTTTCTTTAAATACGATTTTGACAAAAACATTACTATAAAATTTTAAAAAGACGAAAACCAGAGTAGTATGAATCATGAACCACAGAAATTACACAAAGACAAACATTTGCTCGAAAATTTAAGAAAAACCTTGGGCTGCTGACTGGGAAACTGGAAAGTGAGTAGTTTGCTGATGTTGTTGAAATACCGGTATCATCTGCGTTGGTACGGGTGGATTTGCGATCAGTTGTTGATGTATGATTTGTCCATTTGGTGCCATGAATGGTACTGCTGCATGTCCCCCAAAAGAACTTAGCTGAGGCATTGGAGCAGACATTACCATCATAGGAACTGGAGCACCAACTGGTACCAAATTTGTAGGAGCTATTGGTTGAGGTGTCGCGACTAAAATAAACCTAACAGTACCAGACTTTAATACTTCATTTCTTCTTAATTGCCATCATTTCACCTATTTCCATCAAGCTGTATGTTAAGCTGCAAGAATTTAGCTAGGTTCCATTTAACTTTATAAACGTAGAATAGCACAGAAACACAAACAGAGAAATTAAATTGCGAAGCAGACAAGACCTTCCGAATATGTGTTAACCAGGAAAACAAGTAATCAGTATATTTTAAATTAATATATATATAAAAAAAAGAACCAACTTTTCACTGCGCCAGTTTTTCGTCCATTTCCCGAGTGTTTAGTACCACCTCGAACATTCTTTGATGAAGTTTCACTGCTTTTGACAGATGTTGTTGATGGCTTATTCGGAACTGAAACCATCTCAATCAGTGGATGACTTTCTGAAATTATGTCCATATTCAGAAATTTACAAATGGATTTCAACCAAGTAACATTCTGCGAGAAACAAGATTCCCTTGTGAAAGCTGTATCGAATTATCAAGCATTTTCCTAACGAAGAGTTGGCCAGAAAACATTCTCAAGGAAATACCTCGAAATTCTTTATTTAAATTTCGAGAAAAAATACTGAACATAATTTCAGTAAAAACCATCTGAATAAAATCCAAATCTCGCGTTTTTACCTATTTTAAGCTTGAATCATAAAACTGATTGATCAAAGATTAAAACCTCTGTCAGCAGTTGGCGAAGCATTACTGTCTTCTTGTTCTTCGGCTGCAGATTCCTTGCCGACGTTGCTTGATGTCTGCTTATTTTTCGATTCGACTGTAGCTGAAGCAACAAGTTTTTGAGTGGGTGAACTAGCAGGAGAAGGTTGCTGTTGTTGTTGGTTTTGTGACTGACTTGGTGCCACCGCTTGTCCAATACAAGCTGGAATTGTTTGTTGTTGAGGTATCGCAGTAGAAGTGCGCTGTTGAGGGGTAACCAACTCTGAATTTCGACCATTAATTCAAATTTAAATCCGAAGATGAGACGAAGAAATCGAAACCTTGGGAGAATAAAAAAAAGAACACCTGATGACAGTGCACAGAAAACTAAAGAATAAAAAATAAAAATGAAGTGAACTCACGATGAACATATGTATATGCTCCGGATGGCATTTGGAAGACAATACCTGATGAACCTGGTGGTGTACGGAGTTGGATTCCTATAAATTAATTCCGAATAAATGCTGGGACTGCTGTAAAGACTAACTAACTATCAGCTATCAGATTCTTTATTACATATCTCAAATGTTAGACATACACTACAAATTGGCATTTGGCAATTTAAAAGTCAAAGACGAAGAAAATCAGTTCATTATAAATCAAACAACATATCAAAACGAATAACGAAATTCATCTACAAGGATGTATACCTTGAGGAAACATTGATGGTTGCATTTGCTGCACTGATGCGGTTCCCAATTGTTGCGGGGATTGTTGCTGTTGACCTGATCGTTTTAGGCATCCATCATTTCCTTGTCCAACAGTGGATGATGTTGTAGTAGTTGTTGTCGTTATTGCAGTTGATGGCATATGTGTACTGGTCGCTACTACGGCAACTAAAAAAATTTTTCTTAAATCGCTCTTCCGCACATTGATAAACATAGAATTTTTGCCAGTGAATTTCGAAATCTCACCCATAACAGAGTATTTTCTTCTATATAAATATATGAGAGAACTAATCAAAATTATAATACTTATATTTTACCTTTCTTTCAGTATCTAAGTAGTGTAATAAAAATAATGCCTAAAAAAAAAAATAAAAATAAAAACAAAAATAATTACCAACAGTTATGATATTCCTATCAAAATTATCCAAATTTTCAGCATAATCATCGCCCTGTCCAGATCTATCTACTTATCTACCGCTCCAACTTTCTTAATGAAGCAACTAAAACTCTGAATATGTAAAATTCTCAAGTCATTTATTGCGCCAAATAACAGTAAGTCAAACAACTTGCAAACTAGATGATCTCACATTCAAATTTGATATGTAGAAAATCATATAAGACTATACCTGGTCCTGGTAATGCTGGCTTTGGTGCCAGACTTCGTGCAAGCTGTCCCAACGTTGCGCTATTAGTCACAAAACCTGGTTGCACGTATTGCTGCTGTGAAGGCATCTGTAAAATCAGAATAGATAAGTTATTGGTAAAATTTTGGTATTTAATTTGTGCACACAACATGAAACTTCCAGAAATCTTCAAAATTTATCTGGTAAATGATTGCAGCAACGCTACCGTTAAAGATTCATTCTGTCATTTAAGACTATGTTTCAAAAGCTCAGATTTTGAATTACGGTCTAGGAATATAAACTTACAAATCAAGATTTTAATATCCTCAAAAAAAAAAAAAAAAAAAAAAAAAAAAAAAAAAAAAAAAAAACAGAAAAAGAAAAGTGCACCAAGAAAAGTATTTGGATGACAAACAACAAGAACAAAGTATTAGAATTGGAAAAGAAGCAGAATAATCTTAACACAAGAATTAAGACACACAGAAACGATGCTAACATTGACAAAAAAAAAAATACAGAAAGAAAGGGTTTAACGAAGTAAGTTAAAATCTGTCAGAAAACATCAATATTTAATAAAGATTCAAGTAAAATCAAAAAAAAAAAACTCATACCAACGCATGCACTTGTCTATATCCGACAGTTACTTGGCAGAAATTGGACAAAGGTCGCATCCGAACGTAAATATAACATCATACTTCCACTTTTATCTTTAATTTTATTTAACACCACTCCTTCAGCACTTTTTTATTGCTGAGAGGCAAAAAAAAGTGTATCATTTACAAAAAGTAATGGTGTATGATGTATCATTTATGTTGTGTAAATCGAAACTTCAAACCAAACAATAAAAATTGAACAAGAACTGAATCAAAAAAAAAAAAAAAGCGTGCAAGAAGTGATGATGGAAGCGAAACAAAAATGGGAAAAACCAAATCCATGCCGGGTGCATATGACGATACTGTTGCTGTGAATAGAACTGCTGGGCAGCAGCTACTACATTTGTCGAATTTTGAACCGACTGTGCTTGTTGCTGTTGTATTACTTTGAAAAAATCCTGTGCCGAAGTGGTAATGGTGGTAGTGCATGATGTTGTTGGTGCAGAAATCTGTTGTTGTTGCTGCTGTTGCTGTTGTTGCTGCTGCAAATGAAGTGAGAACTAAATTAATAAAAAAGAAAAACAAAAATACAGGAAAGAAGATGAAGAGAAGAGGAGTAGTGAAGAAGAATTTCAAATTGTAAACGGTAAACGTTAGGGCTAACTTTGCAGAAAACTAAATATAAAAAGAATGGAAATCATAAAAAGAACACTAGAATAACAAAAGCTCTGTGGAAATTGAAAGGAAACGAAGGTATATGGTGCACAGATATTAAAAATAAGAGACATATTCCAATTTTGATCATTGGAAAATGGCTAGTTCAGAATTACCGGTCTAACAGCTGCAATTTGTTGATTTGTACCGAAATATTGTGTTGCCGACATCATATAGCATTGGCCATTATGGTGAACAAGCATGAACTGTCCAGGCTGAATATTACGTAATCTTTGCTAATAAACAACTAAACCCCCGATTTGCACTTCCAGTTCCTTATGACAAGATAATTAAGAATGTTATGCTAATCCCAGCTGTTGAAGTTCTATGCCTTTTTAGTTAGTAAAATTAGCGTCAGACCAAATAAACTAATAGAACCTTAACATTAGCATAATATTAGTTGTACCTTAAGCGGCACTACTTGAAAATAGAAAATATACCAAAAATTGCGGATTGGATATGGAAATAGAAAATATTCAAAAAAGCTACCAGTGGATTGAATTTAATTGAAATCAAACTTTTAAAAACTGTTCACGCAATTTGACAAGAAAATTACCGACGCAGAAGTTAGCATTAACGGTGCTTGCGGAACCATTTGAGTAGCAGAAGATGAACTGACGACTGCGGTCGAAGTTCTAAAAAAGAGAATATAAACTAAGAATATGAAGCGGCCTTGCAGTACAAACTCAATCAAATTTATTTATTAAATTTAAGCTAAATCTAAAGTTAGTATTATCAAAGCACCACTGTCCTGATTAACTGGTAATAGCACTATATTTTCTTCAACTACTCTGATAAAAATCTTTATTCGTCGGTGCAAATCAAAAAAGTTCCGAAGTATATTGTGAAATAACTAAATATGAAATGAGAACGTTAGTTAGAAACCCGTACTGTACCACTAGGATTCAAACCACGTGGATATGCAAAGCAGTAATGGGACTATGCAATGAATATAATAAGTAAATCATTTTAAAATTTTCTACGATAAATTTTTCCTTTCAAATTTATATCATGATTAGTTCACCATGAAGCTACATCAATTTTAACTAATAAAACTGCTGCAACTCCATATTGTAAACTTAAAACCAAAGCTGAAGTCTTACTTTGTCTTATCAGTGGAGTCCTTTTTACTACGAGATGTTGGTTTACGGCGACTTTTTGGCGCTGGTTGTGGTGTTGATGATGTTGAAGAAGCCGTCTCGGCATTGCTACTACTTGCTGATATTGTTGTTGCTGTTGCAGCTGCTGCACTACCTTCAGCGCTAACATTAGCTGCATTTTTGGTATCCGATATTACGCTCTTACTCGATGATGACACAGATATGTTAGAAGAGGCTGAAGCATAAATAAATTTGAATTATTCCCTGATTGTTTATAAATGTTAATCATTACAAAGATATACAGGACTACACTGCATCTAAATTCCTGCTTATAACTAAAACTTGGACTGAATGAAATACTACGAATGATTAATTAAAAGCAAAAAAAAAAAAACAATTTTAAAAAAAGTGATATTTAATGGAATATTTTTTATGTTAAATTAAAAAACTTCCATTATATCAAAATTGAAATCAGGAACTAAAATTTAAACGCTATGTTTAAAGTCATTAGCAATTTATCACTGTAATTTATTACAGAGAAAGTTCAGGTTAACATAGGATAAAGACGAATTAGCAATTACAATTTGTATGAAATGAACCACAACCTGAAGTAACCTGCATTGAATCGGAAACTGAAGAAGATGATGATGAAGGTGTGACAACAGTTGCTGCTTTTGTAAAAGAATCATTGCTGTTAGATGCTGATGCAATAGTAGTATTATTATTATTATTAGTAGTAGTAGCAGCAGTACATGTTGTCACAGTTGATAGTGAAATGTCCGTAGTCGAGGTGATATCACATGTAGTTTGCTTTGTAAGTACTGGTGGTGGATCATTGTCACTCATATCATTAAAATTATGAATTAACAAATTGTAGCAAATAGATGGAATTCTTATAAGCAGTAGAAATTCAAAATGAAAAATCCTTAATATATCAACATATTTTTCAGTCGTGAAAAAATACTGAACTGCTGGATAATAACAATTAATAATTATGCGTAGCCACAAATTCCTTCAAAATATAAATTACTATGTTAAAGGTTGAAAATAAAATTTTCATTTAGTTTCTTAAATGACCTGAAAATCTGTAATTCACAAATGTTTCATATTAAATAAATCATAAACATTGGTACTTACAGATAAATTAAACATGATATACGAATTTCAAAATCGTAACGCATATATATATATACAAACTAACTTAAAATTCGAATAAAAATGCAATCAGAAACATAACCGATACCATGGATTCCTCCGAGACTTACTGACATTCCCCCGAGATTTACCGATAAGACAAATCTGGTTGCTATCGAAGCTCCATTTCGACCCACTTATCTCTGAATTCTTCGTGCAAAACAAAATTCGGATGCGTAGGTGACCATTTTCATTCATCCTGCTAATAATATTCGCAATGGTGGGTAGATGCTTGGTAATTAGATTTCTTTTTTTACTTACCCGCGGGGGAAGGCAGATAAATGAGTGGGTGCGAAAGTACTTGCCCGCGGAGAAAGTCAGGTAAGTGAATGGATAAGAAAATACTTACCCGCGGAGAAAAGCAGATGAGTGAGTGACTGAGAGAGTATTTATCCGAGGGGAAAAACAGATAAATGAATGAGTGAGTGAGAAACAAGGGAATCGTATCCTCAAGTAAGTCTCGAAAATCTATTCGAGACTTACTTGAGGATACGTGAGGATCTTAGTTGAGCAGTATTTCTATTTGTATAGAAAAGTGATATTTTGAGGAATATTAGAATCTAGAACTTAGTTTAAGAGATAACAAGTGTATGTGGAAAATAGACGTAGATGCAAGGATGCATTAGAATCAAAATTTACGTGAAAAAGTGTCGACACTTATAAAGAATTATATTAGATCTTTGTGTAAGTAGACTTTAAAGTTCACGTGGACAGTCAAAATTTTAATTAGTATATTTACATTAAAACAGAAAAAGGCATTTAAAATATGATAAATTAGTAATCGTTTCGAAATGCTCCAATTGTCGTATACGAAAAACTTGTAAATTTCTCATTTTGTTTGCAAGTTTTTGGAAATTTTTGCTGTAGCCGATAGTATTTTAGAATTGATGGATATGCTAATCGCAGTAGTTTTAATTTCAATAATTGAGTTCTCATAATAAACAAAAGTGTGAAAGGAATTTTTATTAGTTCTAATTAAATTAGAAAAAAAAAAAAACAAATTCTGCCAAATAAACTCACCTGGGTATTAGGCATTATATACTAAGATATTGCATAACTTAATCGTGCTTCCAGGTTTCTTTGAATCTTTCAAGACTAGGTAATTTTGGAAGAAAGCACCAGAAGTGATTATTGCTACTGACATCAACCATTAGGAGAGTTCTACCGTGGTCTCTTTGTCACACTGATCAATGGCAGGAGTCAGAGGTAATACTCGAATTTATACTTTTCCATTATTCTTACTAGTGATAGTAGTACTGTAACAATATAATGCTGCAGTCAATACTGTAATAGTAGTAACCCTTGTACTTCTGAAATTACAGTAATAGTATCAGAAATGGGAATAGTAGCAGATTTACATAAAATAATAATGCTAGTAATAAAGATTCACCGTATTCTCCTTTGATCGTAATAGGTGAAGTTCTTACCAAAGGAAGTATTGATTAAGGGAAAATTATTATAGCTAATCGTTCATTTGTTTGATTCATCCTTCAACATCCCTTAATTTAAAAATATCTTTTGTCTTATCGTGCTTTTATCTTTCTTTTTTTTTTTTTTTTTTTTGTATTAAATAACGGTTTAATCCTTAAAACATTGAAAAGCTCGAAATAACCACAAATGTAGTTATTTATTATGTTATCATTATCATGAAACAGTTCATCTTGTCACTTATCGAAGAAAATATAGTTTTAGCGGTTGTACTCTTAGCGTTATCTGGTGTGGTTGGTCTTACGCTGCTTGTTCTGGGATGTGCATTGCCAATGTTTGGGTAAGGAAGTAAATTTAGAATAATTTTTAATATTACTTATATTACATGTTATTTTTTGTATAAATAAAATCAAATTAATCATAACTTTTAGACTTTTAATTGTAAAAAAATCTGGTGGTCTATTGAAAGAAGTTTTTGTTTAGTATTTGGTGGCCATTGTTTGTCGTAATTTTCTATGTATTGGCTCCAATACCGTTATCAATAGCTCGGCGATCTCACGTTGACATGACTGGTACTTCAGCATGTATTGAGTTTGCATTGTTCATAACAACCGGCATTGTTGTATCAGCGTTTGCATTACCGATGGTCCTTGCACATGCTGGAGTGGTAAGTTTTTTAGGAATTTATCTGAGATTTTGCTGTTGCTATTAATCATCGAAAGCGTATAAAGGATGTACTGGAGATTTAACTTTTACGGAAGGATTCATTCGAAATTAGGACAGTGCCACGTGACATACTTCATGTTATTTTCTTTGTTTTGTTTGGAATGGTTTTGTTTTTCAAAAATTTTGCATGTCTGGTGAATTTTTAGTTGTTGAGAAATGCATGATTTGCATGAATTTTGTCTCTCTTTAATTGAATGAAGTATGTATATGTATTGATTAGTCATAGGAATTATTTTGATAAAAGATGTGTAGCTGATAGATATAATCATCTGAAAATATAATTTGCCCAAAAACTTGCAATTTCTTTCCTTTTCTCTTTGTAAAAAAATTTTTTTACATCATCTAAGTTATGTTCTTTGGAGTATCGTAGAAAAAAAATTTTTTTTTTTCTTGGAGTCCGTAAATAAGGATTACTTATCGGTGAGACTAGTTTATTTCTCGTTATGTTGTTAATTGAGGACGGTGAGTGCTTTTTTTAAATATTATTTGTCAATAAGCAGTCCACTTAACAATTAACTGGTTGGTAAGTTACTTGTTATTCTCACACTTATAGGTACATCTTCAATTTATATCTAGTGCCTAAACTTTTGATTTTCTTAGATTTAAATCTATTGCAATTAAAAGTTCAAAGGTATTAAATGTATGTGTGTCCTCCTGTAATAGTAAATGTTGTTGTGTGCGTGCTACTTTTTATTAATTTAGATTAAATGGTTGGCATGTTTATGCGCAAATCTTGGTTCTTTGGTGATGTTTTTGACGATTCTTAGTTATTTTTATTTACATCGGGAAGACGATGGTAGTGGATGGAACCAAACACTCTTTTGATTGATACTTTGGAAAATCGTTGTGGAAATGGATTATATTGAGTGAAAAGTGGTAATGCATGTTGTACTTTTCATTTGCAAGATTTTTTACTGATAAAATCCGAAAATTTTAGGTTTTCATTTTTTTTTTTAATTCACTGAAGAAGTAATGTGCTGTCAAAAAGGTACTTTTTATAGCTTGTTTAATGTTTCAATTGTTAGCCTATCTTAGGATCAGTCGATTTGATCAATAAATGCATGAGTTTGCTTTTTTCTTCACATGTTTCTCGTTTTAAGGGATTTTGTTGTAACTAGCAAAGTTCAGAAATATCTGTTGACTTAATGTGAACAGTAAAATTTTCGAAATTTATTCTTTTCGTCAGCTTGCCTTTTGATAAGAAGACATGCATATTTCATAGGCTTTCATTGTTCTCAGTGTTTAATTTACGTTGTCTTTAGATGTTTAGTGTGATTAGCAATCATTTTTCGAAGAATGAAATGTCGTAAAGTGCTAATATTTGTATATTGTGTGTTTTTTATCAAAAGAGATTTAGAAGTCAAAATTTCTGTCTGCATTTAGAAATTCGAGATTAGATTTAAGATGAATAAAAATGTGGGAACAAGGCTATTTTGCTTCTATATTTGATCTGTACACTATTTTTCTGAAAATTCAGAATTGTATTAGATCCTAATCTGGATCAAAAAAAAAAAAAAAAAAAACCACATTCTTCATTTATTAGTTATTAGTTTAAAGCACTTATATGCATATTGTATTACTTACAGAGTTACATGTCATTATTTCGCATGTGTTTCAGCTGATAATAGTTCTAAAGCGTCTCTTACACTTCTTTTTTAAGTATTAAATAACTAACATATTAGTTTTATTGAAAATGAATTATTAGAAAATTTGTTTGTTATTTATTGACTTACTTATTTTCTCAGTATATACTTTCATTCTTTTTATTATTGGGCAACAATTTTTACCGATTACAGATATCTGGTCTGTCGTATTTTTTCGTGTTTCTCGCCAATATTGTTTGTTTTGGTGCAGTTTGGATATATTTCAAAGTGTTCAGCGAAGATGGCTCACAAGATATGTCACTTTGGTGAAATATTTTCCTTTCCTTTTCTACGCTTTCATTATTACGTTCCTGTTGAATTATCTCGATATATTGTTTTTTGACACTATCATTTTTGAAGCTAGTATTCGCGAACTTCATCATACTTCATGCTATAGGGCTTCATTTTGAAAATATCAGATCAGATTTGAAATTTAATGTATTCCACTTATGGTAAGCAGCATTTGTATTTTAAAATTTTGGGATGAAGAATATATAATAATGATAATGAAAAAGGATTATACGTAGGTTGAGAGATCCTCAGCTTAATTTGAACATATTAAAACGAAACATATAACAGCGGAAAGGGAAATATTCCAAAACTCTTTGGATTTCAGTGTTTGCTTTTAGATAAAAAATTTAACTACCTGTTCTAGCATCTTTAGCTTTGTTCCTTTCGAAATTCAGTGAATTTTTAGATACATTTAATGTGATCTATAACCACAATAACATTTAAATTATTTTGTGCGCAAGCGCAAGCTTCTTTGTATCACATACATGTGCAAGGTGTTTGCTGTGCAAATATATTTTATTAATTTGCTGTATATTTTCTCATGTTTAATTTTCGCAGCTTTCTTCACCTTGACAATGTTTGTTTTGTATTTAAAGCTTCAAGAATCCAAAAAATAATGGTGGTATACAACTTTATCTATATCAGGTAAACACAAAAGCAACCATTTCATTTTGCTGTACATTCTTGAATGTTAGAGCTATAAAGCATGTTATATCCTGAGATATCACATATGGAAAAGCATGGAAAATACTTATAACAATATAACCGATTTATTTTTGACCGGGGAACACTTTTGATCCCTTAAAGTGTTTAGATTTCAGATCACAAGTTTTAATGGAGCTGAAACCAAGTGTTCGTTTTCCTGAAACGGAATTCGATATGATTGATAATATTACTATCACTGTACAGTATTGCTTGAGTGTAAGTACAGGAATTCATGAAAAGTCCAAGCAAATCAAGATTCAATACCAATTTGATTAAAACATCACTAAAGCTATTATTGTTAATCTAATCACAAAGGTAAAATGGAATAACTGGGCAGTCTAAGTGAGTTACAAGATGGCCGTAATTAATGAGTTTAGGATACTGACGTGTTCTATTTTTAACATTTCGAGAGAGATTCAAAGATATAAGAATTATTAACTTCAATCCTTAATAGTTCCTATTAAGTATCTGTACAGAATAGGAACATTTGATGGAGAAATATTTCATTGATCTTCGGGTCGCAAAAGTGTAAATTTCGCGATACATTCCATTATCCAAATTGGCGTAATAAGGCTGATAAATTTTTGCTTCGTAACCCGTTGTGGAATAGACTGGCCTGGCATATACACTACGAATAAACCAAACAGCTAAAATATTGAAATTATAGAAAAACCTATAAAAACAAATTCCTGAAAGTTATTTTCTAGTATGTGACCATACATAAGAAAATTTGCCGTAACCCTGGTTTCTTGGATTAAAAAAGAGAATTAATTTACAAAAATTCAGTAGATTCAAATTCCCATAGTTTTGCCAACAGTGATGCGCCTTCTTACCTCATTCAAATTATTTCCTGCTCTTTTCGCATGATATGGCCTTAGTCCACTCTCGATATATTCCTCTATTTTGGGTTCTCTTCCAAGTATTACACCTCCAGCTAATCGAACTAGTTTCTTGACTTCATTTTCTCGATATGGTAAGTATTTATGCTTGCAAAAATAAAAGTGACATCCTCGAAAAAGCTCTGGCTCCTGAAAATACATAACTTCGAAAATGTTCGTAAAATTCATATAGAAACTTAAAATTCTTTCAATATTTCTATTTCACTAATAAATTTGATCTACATCTCCCATCCCAATGTGATTAAATGATTACATGATCCCAAAGTGAAAATTTTTTGAGACTTCCAATGATTCCACAAGGCATTGCTGAATTATCTTTAGTTCACTAACTGATAAGTCAACGAAATTCACTTAATAGTTGACCATTTTTACAAAATTCTTTAAGATGGATTCACTGCACAAAATCGTCAGTTAGACTTAACATAACAAAACAAAAGTCGTAAATTTGCATAACAGCGCAGGACTGTAGTACAAAGAGGAATAAGACAAAAAATAAGAACAAATTTCATTTCTCTTATCTTTTTTTCTTTTCTGAAATTAACAAAAATGATTGCTGTTTAAGAAAATCATTAGAAGCAAGTCACTGAGAACTAATTTCATTTCATCTGCTGATAAACAGAGAAGGGAAAAATTATCAGTGACAGAAACGTCTGGAAATTTGTTCTGTACTGCATATTTTAAACAAATAATAATATCGAAGACAGGAATAAATTGAAGACTGATGTTGTATCACTGTCAAAAATTATCATCGTAATTAAAAAATAACTACACAGGCAAACAAACCATTCTAGCATAATTTATTCTGGCTGTAGAACATGAATTTTTAGCAAGCAGTTGACCATTACGAATAATTGTTGAAATTTCATACATCTCTTCATCTACGATGTCATTTGCTTCCAAACATGCATTCAACCATTCACTGGTTAAAATATATTGTCCACGCAGCATAGCTTCCAAAATTTCAACTATAAAAACTATTAATTTTCTCACTTTCTACTTTTAATTCTCACGAGTTTATCATTCTGGTTGACCTGAAGCTCTGAAACTGCAAAATTTTTAAATAGACCTTACCACTGATTTCTGTTCCTCGGTTTTTCCCTGCTTGAACAACAAAATGTGTGGCATTTTCTAAATTCATAGTATTTTGTAACAGATCACTGAATGAAAGTTTGCCACGTTCAATGTTTAAATTCGGTAATGTTGTCGATAGGAAGACAGAATATTTTTTGGATTTTCGAGAAGGATATACTGCAAAGAATATATTGCATTATTAAAAATCACTGTTTTAAATACATTATTTCCTAAACGTGAAAATTTACGAGTAAATTTTTACTTATTATTTCAAATACCAGATCAAATTTGTCCCGATTGGTGCCGTAAAAAAAAAATACTTTCCTTTCTGATTCATAACAAATTTATCCAGACATTGAAGTCTCAGTAAATTATATTAAGAGAACATGTCTTCGTTATTGATCTACTCTAAAACTATACACTTCATCATGGCCATTTTTTGAACGGGCTAAGTTAATCGTACCCATTTGAATCGGATGGGAAATTCTGCCAAAAACTGCTCGCATTTCATCATCTTTAATCAAATCCATTGGTGTTTCATCCTATAATCCAAAATTCATTCCTCTATTTTCTAAAATTTTCAATATTTACAATATATATACTGAAGACAACTAGCAAAATCAAAAAGAATTAGCTGGGTTAAACCATTTAATGGTTTAGAACAATTAAATTAAGCTTACTTTCAAGTTACGCGCTCGTCTATTTGCTCCCTTTGATAACAAGTATTCTACAACATCAACAGCCTGCCAACGCACAGCTGCGTGAAGAGCTGTTTCGCATAGCTCTCCACCTACGTTAATTTTGATTAATTAAAATTTTCGAAGTTAATTATGCCTTCATGCTGACATTTAGTAAACTATCACATAAAAAGGAAATACTCGATCATCCAATTCAGTACACCTTCCAGTTGAAATATGATCGAAATTTTTTAAACCAATTATGCTAACAATCTCTCAAACGAGATTTATTATGCCGCTGATGTCAGATTACTTCGTTTCAACAAATTTGACAAAACGATCAAAAATAATCTCAACTTTTTTCAGCATAATTTACTGAAGTTATTTTAAATTCCAAAAATCATACTCTACCATGCGCATCGATGAGAGCACCATTTTCAATCAAAATTTTGCAAATTTCAGTGTAATTATGAGCTGCAGCATGATAAAGCGCCGTGAAACCAAGATTGTCACTTTCATTAGCATCTTCTCCATTCTATGATTTAAAAAAAAAAAAAAAAAATGAAATATGACATCGTTATTATCTCTCAGCAGAAGAAAGTCATACATTCCTTCATTATAATCCTCATATCATTTCTATTTATCATGTTACAATAAAGAATAACCACCTTTAAAGCTTCCAAAAGCTTTTTTTTTGATCCGCGTATAGTTGCATTCACTAGATTATATTCATATCGTTGAACTGGTGATTTATGAGAATTTTGTGCTATTGTTGTTTTTAATGGGATTGCACCTAGATTTTTAGCGCCCCAATTTTTCAATCCAAGTTCAGAATCAATTGACTGAAAATTTCCTTTGAATGAGAAATATTCAAGTGTCAGAATACATGCAGGATATTGTAACACTGAAATTCACTGAGGAAATTACTCTTCCGAATCATGCTACTTATAGCTTTCAGTGGTAAAACTCACTTATGATTAATTTACAGATTCAAACATTAATAGAGATATGATTTTCAAAAACATACCGTCCTTTTCTTTGCTACAGCTCTACCAAAAGTATTTCGGGGTGGTTCCTTGAAGAATTGAAATTTCTCTGGTTCATCATAAACACGTAATTGCTGAGTCATTACAACATCATTTTGGATAGAAGTTCTAGCAATAACAGTATCATTTAGTTTCGTGGATGGTGTAACATCGCCTGATAGCGAAACAAGGTCCAAAACATTACCACTCGAAACAGGAGATGTTCTAAGAACCGGTAAATTAATTCAATTCTTCACCAAAAATCTTTATTGAAAAACAAAATGGTTTTTTATTATTGCTGAAAATCAAAGTAAATTCAATCCAGAAAAATCGAAATTAGCAAAATATGACGTTGAACCTATATTTCAGAAAAACCAAACAATGCAAAGACTTACTCTGACGGTAATCCATTACGTTGCTCATTTATGTTCGTATGATTAACATCGTCTTCGATTTTAACACATTCCTGCGTAGAACAAAACTCTTCCACAGTTCTTGGCTGTTTATCTGTTTCAACTAGACTAAGCATAAGTTGTCGATCATACTGGGAAATGGTAAACTAAAAATATTATCCAATATTGCTGCCTCTTTCAACTGAGTGTGTATCAGAAATTAAAATATCGATATATTGATACCATTAAACAACATAACTTTGAACATGATGACGCCAAGAATAATGTTCAGTGCTTTAAGATTGCAACATAATTGAAGATCTGATATGAAACAACTTAAAATATAGAAAATAATTTAAAATATAAGCATGTTACTACCACCTTATTTCTGTCAAATATCATTGCAAATAAAATTTACCAGTATTTCTTATCAAAGAAATAATTTTACATCTATTTATTTTTTTCATGCTTTAAAATAAACTGCACAGAAGGAGAACTAACGTCAGATAGAGTTTCTTTCAGAGATAAAAGATTTTGGAAAAGCTGATCAGCAAAAGTGGCGGACTTCATATGCTGTAATCCAACGGGTAGTAAACACTGTGGACATAATGGGAAAGACTTTCCATCGCAAATTGTGTTGACACATGTCCTGAAAAATGCATGGATAACTGTTTTACTCACATGTATTCATCAAGACAAAATTTAAACACTTCACACACTTCTATATTCCGAATAACTCACACCTGGATTTTGTGGTGCTTTTTTTGGGTGGGGTTTTTTTTTTCGTGGCCTCAGGAAAATATTTCTTCACCTTTCGTAGGATTTCAAAAGTATCAAAATTAGCATCACCAGAAATCATTATGTGGACAGTGTGAGACCTGGCATTTTTTATTAAAAACTGGTGACAATGGAATGTCAGTTATCATTTGACAGGGAGTGAAAATTTGAGGGTTATTAGGTAGCATTAAATATATTTGCCGCTTTGATTTTAAGTTGTGGAAAAGTCAGTTTTATTCAGCGCTTCCAATAATCTATCTACAAGTCGGACATACATTTTCTAAATAGTATATTAAACGATAAAAATTTGGGAATCATTGGTATCTCGGAAATTTTATGAAAAAAATTTTCCTTGAGTTTCTAGTTTTAAAACACTTTGTCCTAGAGCGAAATTTCGAAATTATTGTAAAGCTAAACAAGAAATTTACCAGCAAAAAACATGCTTGCATGATGATCCAATAAACTGTAACTTATCCGATAGCTGATGACTGAAATTTGCAAAATTTAACAATAATTCAACAAATTCGTATAATAATTTGATGAATTTACAATCATTCGTTGAACTAGATATTTTATCGCAATAATCTACTAAATTTCAAAAATTCAACTGACAATTACTCACTTCTACATTTTAAATTAAATATAATTATTTTGAAAAAGAAAAATTTCAATTTCTAGAAAATTAGTGAGAAATTAAAATAAACAAGAAATTTATGTATCATTTGATTGATTATAGTAAATACCATTGATCACAGCATATACTTTTCAGAAATGCTTCCGCATGATTCAATGTTGAAGCGAACATTACTTTGCAACCTGAACCGTTCGAAGTAATAAATGTAATAGTTGATGTAGTCTAGAAGTTGTAATGAAATCACTAATCCGGTTAGATCAAAAGTGTTCCTGAAATTCCCGTACAAGAACTTCCGGCATGCACGTATCCGTCTGATCAATCAAATACATCGACAGCTAAACAACCATAATTCTCACAATTAACGGTCTAACTTTTCAATTCATTTTTAAATTTAAATTTCTTCCCCGAGCCACTGTGCAACTTTTTGCATCCCAAAGCAAGTATAAGTAACTGCGTAAGTCATTGTTGTTTTTCATTTCTGATTTATCAACATTTGGATTATATGCTTGTGGATTTGATATAATATTGTTTAAATATTAAAACACTTTATATATAATATTGTTTAAACATTGAAATACTTACTTACTTAATTACTCATTTAGTTAAATTTAGTTAAAATTAAACATTTAGTTAAATTAGTTAGATTAAAATAGAAAATTTTCAATTCAAAAATTGCAATCAAAATTTCATTTCATAATAAAAATATTTATTCATTTGTTTAATTAACTCATTAATTTAAAAGTTTTTGTCTTTTTTTTTAAAAAAAATATGCATTTGTTATCCAATATATTTGTATTTTTAATGTAAACATAGTCAATGAATAGAATAAAATTTGTAATTTAAAAAATTAGCATATTATGAATACTTTATTTATTACTTATTTACTTACCTATAGTTTAATCACTAAATTTTATTCATAAAGAATTAATGCATATTTTTGTATTAACTTATTTCTATTCTATGAAAGTTTAATTAGAAAACAACTACTTTAATTTACCCAACTGGTTAGGGAAGAATGGTTTTGAAATTTACCCATTTGATTTACCCGTACAATTTCAATTCATCAATTAAGCAGTAAGTGAACTGGAATGAATCCTTTCTTATTTTAATGATTTTTAAAAATTTTCTCTAATATTCAACAAATAATTCACTGTAATAATTTGTGTAAAGTAGATGGCTGTGTTCTTTAGTAGAATAAAGTTTGAATTTTATTTTATTTTATTTTATTGCCAAAGAATTTCAGTTCAATTATCTATTGATAATTTAGGAAATTTTTCGAATTATGTTTGTGATAAGAAATAAGAATTGTTATTTATCAATTGCTTCATGCTCTGATAACATATATCTAAAATGCAATATATCTCATTTAGTAATTCAATAAATTTAATAAAACTTTATTGTAAATTGCTTTTTAAATTATTCGCCGCAAAGTTGAATAAGAAAGATTAGCAAAATGAAATTAAATAATTTCATTTCAAATTTTCAAATATTATATTTGCAAAATTAAAACATAAAAAATTAAAACTATTTGCCAAAAAAAGAGAAAAAAAAAACAGCTCAAGAAATCTTTTTATTTTAAAAGAATTTAGATGTGTGAATTTTGAAATAGTTTTTTTTTTTTTTTTTTGTCAACAAAGAATTCTATTAATGCTTATCATAATGTTTTCTATCGTTTTCAATCATTTTACAGCAGCTTTATCTCATACTTTTTCTGGCGCACTTGTCGCACTAATTAATGATGTTTCCATTGATGAAAGCGGTTTATTGCCAAGCTGATTTTTATGTCTAATTCGACACATATCAACCATTCGTCTACCATATAGCTGAAAAAAAAAAAAAAACATTGTGATTTTAGTCTAAAAAAGTCTAAAAAAAATTTTTGAGTGAACTTTTTATTATTTCAATGATAATAAACACTCAGTTGTAAAAGTTTATGAAAAATGCTTAAAATTAATCGAATTACTTTTTGAGGAAAAAAAAATTTTTTGAAGTTTTTAGAAATTTTTGTTAGCGAATTTATTTTAACAGTAAAAAAAAAAAAAAGCAAAAAACAAAGTAAGACTAATTTTAGGAATGTGATGTGATTAGCATTTTTTCTCGAGAGAAAATTCTCGAGAGAATCAACAACTATCAATAGCTAATGGATAGATTGATAATTGCTAATTAGGGAATCACTAAGAATTTTGTCATATTAAAAGCTTATCATTGTTAATTAAAATTTAACATACACTGATATTATCATAAAATTCGATACTCAAATAACAGAGCATTCCAATCAATAGCATTCCTAATGAAATAAGTAAAAATTGTGTGATATTTGTAAAACGGATCAGGATAAGTCCTAAACCAAAACCGGTTGATTCCCAGAATCGATAATTAGCAAATGCAGCTTCAAGATGACTAGAAGATAGTGCTATCCATAATCCTATAATTTAAATTAATTATCAATTTTTCATTTTTAATTTTTTTTTTCCCGATTCCTTTCGTTTTCCCTTTTCTTCTTCACTTTTCTCTTTTTTGTCATTGTTTTTTTTTTTTTTCGTTCTTTAAGATTTAATTTAAAAAAAAAAAAAAAAAGTTTTAATTATTTATCAAATAAATTAAAGAAATAAAAATTCCAACCACTAATCTGAGTGTTCCAGACACCATCAGCCATGCCTAAAACACCAACAATAGCATAGAATAATGATGTATCACCAGGATTTAAAGGCCAAATCTAAAATTAATAATAATGTTAAAGTTTGAAAATGAAAATTGAATTGAAAAGATTAATATTAAACCGGATTTTTGTTACCGGATTATATTGTTACCGGATCAGATATTTATTCATTTTAAATTAAGCAATTATCATTATCATTTTCTTCAGCAATCAAAAAATGATAATGATATGAAATTGAAAAATAAAATGAAAAAGAAAAAAAAATGATTTTAAAAGTTGGGAAAGTTGTACTTTTTGATAATTTCATACTTTTTTCATCAAATTAAAATTTGATAAATGAAACTTATCAGAAGTGTTAATGATACAAGCATACTGATAACAGCACCAAAAACAAATAAAGGCATTCGTCCAAATAATTTCATCAATGGCCCAAAAACTAGGCTACAAACAGCATCTGCTACACCAAATCCTGTCATTACGAATCCAATTTGGCCAATACCAAGGCCACAGCCAATGTAAGCCTTTAAAAAAAGTAATTGTTAATTGATTAATTTGATTATTTGACAAGAAAATTTTCATCTGTCAACAAAAGAACTAAAGAAAAAATCTCTATTAATTAACTTTATTGTCTACCATGAAACTATCATCTTTCAATAAAACAATAATTTTAAAAAAATGTACTAATTAATTTTATTATCTGACAAGGAAATTTCATCTATCAATAAAACAGTAAATTAATTTTTATTATTTGACAAGGAAATTTCATCTGTCAATAAAACAATTAACTAATTTCATTATTTGGTAAAGGAAATTTCATCTGTCAATAAAACAATTAATTGGTTTATTAACTTTATTATCTATCATGAAACTAGCATGAAAACTATCATCTCTCAATAAAACAATAATTTAAAAAAAAATGTACTAATTAATTTTTTTATCTGACAAGGAAATTTCATCTGTCAATAAAACAATTAATTAATTTTTATTATTTGGCGAGGAAATTTCATCTGTCAATAAAACAATTAATTAATTTTTATTATTTGGCGAAGAAATTTCATTTGTCAATAAAACAATTAACTAATTTTATTATTTGACAAGGAAATTTCATTTGTCAATAAAACAAGAACTATAATTTCTAAAAAAAAAAAAAAAATAAATAAATAAAAATAAAAAAAAAAATTAGAAATAGAACTAAAAATTACTTTTGTATAGAGGCCTACAACAAATGCTTGTTCAACACCGCTAAAAAGTGTCAAAGGTACAAGTAGCAGTGATTTAGGATAAGTAAGATTCCGAAATATTGCTTTACAAATATCTGTTGAAAAGAATGGTGCATTTAATCTGTAATTCAATAATTTTATCATTTAAAAATTTTTAAAGTAATTTTATTTATAACTTTTTTTTTTTTTTTTTAGAAGAAATCTTTTTAAATTTTCAAAAAAGTTAAACGAAAATTTTTTTTTTTGTTTGGAATACTATTAATCGCTCAATTATAAAAATGTTAATTAAATTATTATTTATTCACAAAATTTCCAATTACATTTTTATTTATTTATTTATTTATTTTTTGGTAATTTATCACAATTTGTATTAATGAGCATAGTTTAGACTAAAAGAAAAATAATGGAAAGTTGTATGATAAAAAATTTTTAATTTAAATTTTATTAATTGATAAGTAAATATTAGAAAATCATTGAACTTTTTCCAGCATTTTCTTTTATCAAATATTTTTTGTTTCACTGATAATTTTATTATCTGCTAGTAATTCTTTATACTTTTTGAACAATCAATTATTTTACAAAAAATTTTTATAAAATATTTGTAAACGCATTTTTTTTTTTTTAAAAAAAAAACTATTCCACAGACTTTTGGGTTATTCGAAATAATATTATAAGTATTTTGCCGATATTAACTTTAACATTGGTTTTATTTATTCTAATTAATTAATTTATTAGTATTTGAAATAATTTAATTTAACATTTCCAAATATGCGAGTACTTTTTATTTTTTGATTTAATTTAATATTTTCGGTCATATTTTAACTAATTAATTTATATGTATTTGAAATAATTTAATTTAACATTTCCAAAATGCGAGTACTTTTTATTTTTCGATTTAATTTAACATTTTTGGTTAAATTATGCTTAACATTTCCGGAAATATTACATCGTTCCGTTTGACAAGAAAAACGGAAAAAGAAGTGAAATATTTCAAACCTGGAAATTTCATCTTTTCTTAGTGAATTCAAAAAAAGTAGCACAATCATAAGTGCAACAATTGTGCAACAGAAATAAATGCCACAAAGTGACAAATAAACACTTTGCGCCGGGCGCTGTAAATTTTCAATTGCTTGCTTACTTAGGTATGATATATTATCACGAAATAAATGACCACAACTGAAATTTGCATATTTCAAATATTAATTTTGATTAATTCAACAATTTTTTTTTTTTTTTTGTAAGCAAAAATAATTTTAATTTAAAAAGAAGGAGATAAATTTACATTTAAAAAATGACTAATCAAAAAATAAATAAATAAATATTAATAAAACTAATATACAAAAATTTAAAGCTATGCCATCGAAAAGTTACAGAAAATAAAAAAAAAAAAAAAATGTTAAAATTGAAGAAATAAAAGAATGAAAAAAATTTGATACCATTTTTGCACCTGATCTTCTAATTGATAATAACCGGTTGAAGCGGTAAGAATAAAGGATGAAATAAGATTACCAATTACCTGGCCTAAATGTAGTACCATAAAGAAGTAGCCAAAAAACCTGAAATATTTTAATACAAAAATTATAATTATAATGCCTGTAACATTTTAATTATATAATAATTGATTTCCAGTATTTTAATACAAAATTATAATTACAATGCTTTGCCATTTTATTTATTTAATAATTGATTTCCAATATTTTAATACAAAATTATAATTATAATGCCTGTATCATTTTAATTATATAATAATTGATTTCCAGTATTTTAATACAAAGTTATAATTACAATGCTTTGCCACTTTATTTATTTAATAATCGATTTCAAATATTTTAGTACAATTTTAATAAAATTATAACTACAATGCTAATTTAATAATTGATTTTCCGATTTCAAGAATGATTTATATTTTATTCCGAGAAATTTGTCGATTATAAGTAATAATACCTAATAATAACGACATTCTGCGCTTCAATATTTAATTGCGCATATTTTGTTCCACATTCTAAAATGTAAACACATTTTGCTGCCCAAAGACAACTTCCGGCACATCCGGCAAGAATAGAGGCTGGAATAAGCGAGTAATATCTATAAAAGATGTTATATAATTATATAAATGTTTTTTTTTTAATTTTTAAAGTATTTCTATTTTCTATTTATTATTAAAGAATATTGGATAAAATAAAATATTTAATTGAATACACAAATAATAAAAAAAAAAAAAACTTAAAAAAAAAAACTTTGATAAGAATGAAATGATATGATATGATATGATAAACATTGCTATTTTCTTGATATATTTTAATTTTCTTTTATATAAATTATTTTATGCTAATTTTAATAAAAACTTACTTAGGTAGAAAATTTGAAAGCATATAAATCATAAATATTCCTGATGATGCGATTAACGTACGTTTACATCCAAGACGATTCAAAATGAATGATGGAACAAATAAATATGATAATGATAAGCTGATATAAAAGATTCTAAAAATTCTTAATAAAACTTTAAAAAACCAAAACCAAAAAAAAAAAAATTTTATTTCAAATAATTTTAATGTTTTCAAAACAAAAAAATATTTGATGTTAGATTAATTAATGATGCTATCAGTGTGCTAGTAAAATGTTTTCTTTGATAAAAAAAAAATATTATAAATTAAATTTAATATAAAATTATAAAAAAAAAAAAAAATAAATAAATAGAAACATACGAAAGGCTATCTGTTCCCAAACGACCATTAATTGATGATTGTAAATTTTGTAAACCATGAAAAGCAGTAAAAAGAAATAAAAATGCTAAGCTAACAATCCATAAATTTACTCGAATTTTTCTTTTTGCTTTATCAGAACGATATTTCTCGGAGCCAGACAAAAGCGCACGGCGTCTTTTTCGAATTAATTTTGCAGCAAAACCTTGGCTAAAAATTAATTTATAATATTTCAAATTCATTTCAAATTTTGAGTTTTATTTTTTGCTTATTTTATAAATTTTATAAATTGAAAAATTGAAATATAAATTTTCATTCCTGAGTAAGATAACTCCTGATGGTTCCGTATCATCAACTGATTCAATACTGGTTAAATGATAATCAAAATCTCGTATTCTTGTCCTTCTGCTAATCATACGACGTCTTGAGCCATGAATTGGACAAAATGGATCATAGACATAAACACGTTCAACTTGATTGTCCAACGATTCAGGATCCGGATCCGGTTGTTTACTGTTGTACAGTGAATCACCACGAAATAAATAAGCACTAAAGAAATATGAAATTTTCATTCATTTGAAATACACGTTTTGTTAGCGTTTTCTAAATTAGTGAAAAATTTAAAAGATTAATTTTTTAAGATTTAATTTAAGAATAAAATTTTTAGAAATTAACAAATACCATTTAGTGTTAATTTCATTTTCACGAAAAGATGATTGATAGTTGGATGCCGGTTTAGCTACCGATAATGGCGGTGATGATAAACCGGATGATTGCTCATCAATTGTAAAAATTGGTTTTTCCGATGATCTAGTGGTGATTGAATGTTGATGATGATGTGACAATGATGTCTTCAAAATTGGTGACGATAATTCCGAAACTTTTGATGTTTGATCCACAATAATATTAGTACTTTTAGAATGTCCAATTTTTAATTTATTCATTAATTTGCTACTCATTTTGCGAATTCCAAACCTTTAATAAAGCATTTGCAAAATTTTTCAAATAAGAATATAAAAAATATTTAAATTGATAAAAAGAAAAAAGAAAGAAAAAGTTGACAGTTACGATAAATTAGGATTAATCTTTCCATTTAATAATTAAGTTAAAAAACTCAAATAATAACATTCAAAGTTTTTTATTTTTTATTTTCAAAGATTAATTCAAAATGATTGAATTTAACATCTTAAATGCTCTTATGTTATAATCTGGAAAGCGTAGTATATAGGAAATAAATGAAATAAGTAATTAAGTAAAGAGTAGTATATAGGAAATAAATGAAATAAGTAATTAAGTAAAGAGTAGTATATAGGAAATAAATGAAATAAGTAATTAAGTAAAGAGTAGTATATAGGAAATAAATGAAATAAGTAATTAAGTAAAGAGTAGTACATAGGAAATAAATGAAATAAGTAATTAAGTAAAGAGTAGTATATAGGAAATAAATGAAATAAGTAATTAAGTAAAGAGTAGTATATAGGAAATAAATGAAATAAGTAATTAAGTAAAGAGTAGTATATAGGAAATAAATGAAATAAGTAATTAAGTAAAGAGTAGTATATAGGAAATAAATGAAATAAGTAATTAAGTAAAGCGTAGTATATAGGAAATAAATGAAATAAGTAATTAAGTAAAGAGTAGTACATAGGAAATAAATGAAATAAGTAATTAAGTAAAGAGTAGTATATTGGAAATAAATGAAATAAGTAATTAAGTAAAGAGTAGTACATAGGAAATAAATGAAATAAGTAATTAAGTAAAGCGTAGTATATAGGAAATAAATGAAATAAGTAATTAAGTAAAGAGTAGTATATAGGAAATAAATGAAATAAGTAATTAAGTAAAGAGTAGTATATAGGAAATAAATGAAATAAGTAATTAAGTAAAGAGTAGTATATAGGAAATAAATGAAATAAGTAATTAAGTAAAGCGTAGTATATAGGAAATAAATGAAATAAGTAATTAAGTAAAGAGTAGTACATAGGAAATAAATGAAATAAGTAATTAAGTAAAGAGTAGTACATAGGAAATAAATGAAATAAGTAATTAAGTAAAGCGTAGTATATAGGAAATAAATGAAATAAGTAATTAAGTAAAGAGTAGTATATAGGAAATAAATGAAATAAGTAATTAAGTAAAGCGTAGTATATAGGAAATAAATGAAATAAGTAATTAAGTAAAGAGTAGTACATAGGAAATAAATGAAATAAGTAATTAAGTAAAGAGTAGTATATAGGAAATAAATGAAATAAGTAATTAAGTAAAGAGTAGTATATTGGAAATAAATGAAATAAGTAATTAAGTAAAGAGTAGTATATAGGAAATAAATGAAATAAGTAATTAAGTAAAGCGTAGTATATAGGAAATAAATGAAATAAGTAATTAAGTAAAGAGTAGTACATAGGAAATAAATGAAATAAGTAATTAAGTAAAGAGTAGTATATAGGAAATAAATGAAATAAGTAATTAAGTAAAGAGTAGTATATTGGAAATAAATGAAATAAGTAATTAAGTAAAGAGTAGTACATAGGAAATAAATAAGTAATTAAGTAATTAGATGATAGATACTTTCAAGTTCAATTTCAGTATCATAATTATTATCAATAAAAAAATATCCTTAAACTTGCATAATATTTTTTCTCTCCGATTCCTTGCGAACCATTTCATCAAGTATTTCGGAAATTTTTTCCGGCGGTAATTCAGCTGCATCAGCTACCGTTTCAACATCAACCAATTGTTGATTAAACTAAAATTGATGGTAATTTTTTTTTTTTTTTTTTTTTTAATTTTTCAAAGTTACAAATAGTAATTTAAATATTTTAACAATTTATTATCATTTCATTTTATTTATATCATTTTAAGTGATAATATGTAGCTAATTACTAATTAATCAATTAATGGTGATAATATGTAGCTAATTACTATTTAATTAATTAATAGTGATAATATGTAGCTAATTACTAATTAATTAATTAATGGTGATAATATGTGGCTAATTACTGCTTAATTAATTAATAGTGATAATATGTAGCTAATTAATTAATTGTGATAATATCTAGCTAATTACTAATTAACCAATTAATAGTAATAACATGTAGCTAATTGCTAATTAATTAATTAATAGTGATAATATGTAGCTAAATACTAAAATTAAATAAGATTAATATAAGAATTTCATTTAAATTTCGATTTCTCTCTATCAATCATTGTAAATCAATAAATGATTGGGTAAATATGCAATTATATTATTATTTAACTTACCTATCAATGATTTTTACTTTTTTTTTCTCAACTATTATTACTAATTATTTTTATGGAATTTAATAAATGTAAATGATTAGCATTACTGAATAGTTCAGCTAATATAACAAAATAATTAACTTAATTAATTAATTAATCAATTAATTAATTAAATAATTACATCATAATCAAAGAAGGATCGTGTTGTAGGCTGTTGAGTTAATGATTTCTCGTGTGGATTATCTTTTACTAAATTCCATATATTACGTTTATCCATAATCTGCATCTGATTGCTCTTTCTATTCCTCCTAAAATTCAAATTTTTATCACTGATAAAGCCCAAACTTATCACAAATTTTAATTTTGTTCTATTTCAATTAACTAATTAATCAATCGATAAATTCATTTGAAAAAAAAAAAAAAAAAAGAAGAAAGAAAATCAATGATCATCTATAACTTATTGATAAATTAAATTAATTAATAATAATAATGAAAATATAAATTAATTCAAAATGGAATGTGCAAAATATTATATCAAAATTTGAGCTAACAAACAGAAATATAATTTATAAATTCGGAAACTGAGCTATTAGTGTGGCAGCGAAGATTGAAAAAGAATGAAATGTCGTTAATAGCTTCTTTCTTCAGCTAATATCGAACAAAGTTCGACAATTTTTCGAGCATTACAACAAAAATTGAGCATTTTCTTTTTTTTTTTTTTTTAAAAAAAAAAAAAATTTAACAATGCTAAGCATTTTGTGCAAACAAATTTATTTACTTCAATTTTAGGCTAAAATTTAAGAAAAAAAAAAAAACATTAAATTTTATTTTGATTTAAATAATATATGTATTAAAGCAAAAAAAAGAAAATGAAAAAGAATGAAAATAGTTACAATAAATAAATAAAAATAAATAAATAAATAAATAACTATTACAACACTTTAGTTAATCATACAATAATTATTATTTCTATTTATTTTGTAACTCAAATACCTATTATTAGATTTTCTACCCATTGTTTTGGGGTTTATCTTCCCATAAAATACTACCCAACTCGGAGGGTAAGAAATAAAATTTCCCTTTGTATAATAGAAATGAATTTTTTATTTTCTAGAAGTAAATAAAAGTTTTCGGAAGGTAAACAAAAGTTAAAATGCAACAAATTTTTTACTTCTGGAATTACATATCTTTAAAACAAACATTGAAAATTGATATCATTGATATCAATTTCTCAGAGATTATTTTACATTTCTTTGATTAACTACGGAATTTCTTTTTTTTATTTTATTTTTCTCTCAGCCAATAATTTTATTTTCTTAGTTTTATTTTCTTAGGTAAATAAATTTTTTAGTTGATTAAAGGATTTTCTTCAAAAGTTTTTTTATTCTTTTTGAAATAAAATAAAAGCTTTTAAAATTTATTTCACTTCTATGATTACATTATGATCTCTTAGATCAATTCTTTATCACAATTTTATTGCATTTATTGGGTAAATAATTTTTTCTTTGCTAATAAAAGGTTTCTTACTTTTTATTTCTGGAAAATAAAATTAGAAATAATTATAATAAATAATTTAATAAAATACTTTTTGTGAAATTCTTAGATAACATTTCATCGCTCTTTGATATTTTGACAATTTTTCAAAAGTATTTTCGGCAATTCAAAATAATATTAATAATTTAAATATAACAAATTTTGCTATCGCATATTTTTATTTTTATTAGTAATTAAAAATATATGTTGAATTTCTGATAAGTAAGAAGAAAAAGTAATTTAATTACTTATTGATAAGTGCAAAAAAATGCATTTCTTTCTTAAATTTCGTTTCGTAAACATTTGAGAAAATTTTTTAGGAAAAATTTTATGAAAATTTAATTTGAATATTTAAAGTAATATTTGATCATTTTTTTGTTAATTAATTGCTATACGTAATGCATGATTACAGTACAATGATTATCAAATGCAGAAGCGCAATGATTCATAAGTCATTTCCGCCCATAAATGTAAATGATTAAATTTTACAAAAAAAAATTAAAAAAAAAAAAAAAACTTCATAAAATGAACAAATTAATTCATAGCAAATAATAAATCAAAATGTAATAAAATCATTTACAATATTATTGTGATAAGAAAATAATTTGATTACTTTTAATCATTTTTATAAAAAGGTACAATTTTTTAATCATCAAAATAAAGCGCTATTATTTCTTTATTTTTTCATTTTTATTTATTTATTTTTTTGCATGAATAACAAAACATTATCATACATAACTGCAAAGTGTCATCTAATTTTGTTAGCACTAAAAATGTCAACCACTAGATTATAGGATCTGATGCCGTTGACAAACACCTTTGATTTGTGTCAATTATTGATCAAAAAATGAATTTGTTGACAAACACCTCTGATTTGTGTCAATTATTGATCAAAAAATGAATTTGTTGACAAACATCTCTGATTTGTGTCAATTATTGATCAAAAAATGAATTTGTTGACAAACATCTCTGATTTGTGTCAATTATTGATCAAAAAATGAATTTGTTGACAAACATCTCTGATTTGTGTCAATTATTGATCAAAAAATGAATTTGTTGACAAACACCTTTGATTTGTGTCAATTATTGATCAAAAAATGAATTTGTTGACAAACACCTTTGATTTGTGTCAATTATTGATCAAAAAATGAATTTGTTGACAAACATCTCTGATTTGTGTCAATTATTGATCAAAAAATGAATTTGTTGACAAACATCTCTGATTTGTGTCAATTATTGATCAAAAAATGAATTTGTTGACAAACATCTCTGATTTGTGTCAATTATTGATCAAAAAATGAATTTGTTGACAAACATCTCTGATTTGTGTCAATTATTGATCAAAAAATGAATTTGTTGACAAACATCTCTGATTTGTGTCAATTATTGATCAAAAAATGAATTTGTTGACAAACACCTCTGATTTGTGTCAATTATTGATCAAAAAATGAATTTGTTGACAAACACCTTTGATTTGTGTCAATTATTGATCAAAAAATTGTTGTTAGGAATGAAAAGTGAGCTAAAATTGTGTAAATAATTAAACAAACTACAAAATGAATTATTAACCAAAGGTAAAATATGATTTATTAATTGCAGAATATTAAAATTTGTACGATTTCAAAAATAATTTTTATTTATATCAAAAAAAAAAAAAATCCAAATAATTTAAGAGTGTAAACAATTTGTTATGTGAAATTTATTAACAAATTCTTCTAAAGTTTTAAAAATGAAATTATTGAATATTCCAAGAAATATCATTTAGAAATTAACAGCTTCTTCTTACAGTTATTTATTGAATATTTTCAGCAGGCAAATGCTAATTTTCAAATTTTTGAATTCTTTGTTAACAAGAAAATTAAAAATTCATTGATTTATTATTTTGTAAAAAATGAAATATTGAAATTTTAAAATATTTGTTGTAAATTTAAATAATATTTAATTTTAACATTCCAATAATTCATATTTCGATCAGAGTAAAACGAATATCATTGAGAAAACAAAATTAAATATCTGTCAACTGATAAAGTACAAAATCATTGATTACAAAATCAAGTACAAAATCACTGACAGTACAAAATCACTGACAAATTAACATTATAAGCGTTTTCCTGAAACTAAAATCCGATTATTCTACCGGATTTCATTGTTTTCGTTATTCTATCTGAAAAGAAACAATGGATCATTCCGTATATTTCAAGATATCATTTCACGAATAATAGATCAGAAATTTTAATCTTATTTCGGTAAGATTAATAACTGATAATTGCTTCCGGTTACTAACTGTTCATTGCTATCCATCCGGTAATTCTCCTCCGTTTAATCGGACTGATTGGGATTTTAAAAACGAAATGATTAATAGTGATGAATAAGAGAGAAAGAATTACTTTATACTTACTAAACAGTTTCCTCAACAATCAATAAATTTCATATTTGGTTGCTTCTTTACCGCGGATATCCATTGGACCGGAATGGTTGCAGCACGTGAAGTGAGGTCACGTAAGAAGTTAATAGGTTATCACGTATCGAATACGTCCTTAAATCTTGTCATTAAGAAAGTACGCTAAATGATAAAATAAAAGTAATACTTTATCTGTCATTAATATTGCTCCATTTATCCTATTCCAATAAAATATATTTAAAAGAAATCACAAATGTCAAGGTTAAAGGTTAGGCTTAAAGGTTGAGGTTAAAGGTTAGGGTTAAAGGTTGAGGTTAAAGGTATGCTACTGATGTGAAAAATAATTCCTGAAATATCAAGAATATTGAAATTGGAAAACTTTAGATCGATAAATCTTCCATGGTCATTCTCATATTATTATTGTAACAAATTTCAATCCATTTATCCGTTAATTTGACCTCTTATTAAACTTTGACCCATTTTTTTGACCTTTTCACTAACTTATATTTTTTTCTCTGTTAATTAGGCAACGATCATTTCGTTGGGCAAATTTCATATTTCTATCGCAACAGAAATAAATTAACAATTTTATTTGTAACTCAAAATGCTATCAATTTACATATGTGACAAAATTTCATTTACCCGCCAGAATATCATTTCGGGTATTTCATTAAAATTTAGTAAAGTTGGGTAATGCTAAAATATTTCAAGAAATTTCTATATTGCAACAAAATTTTATAATTTTTTGCAAAATCTGAGCACAGTAATAATTTGAAAAATTAAATTTAATAAAATGTATGATTTATTAAAATTTAATGATAAAAGATAATGATAAATGATAAGATAAAATATTAGAAAGGATTAATTTGCATATTCCATTCTGTTTAGGGTATATAAAGAGAGAGAGAGAGAGGGAGAAAGAGAGAAAGAGGGAGGGAGAGAAAGAAAATATATAAATTACCTTCAAGGTAATTTATATATTTTCTCTACTAAAAGCTCTATTTAATGCATTATATCAGCAATTAATTTCTCTCTCTCTCTCTTTCTCTCGCCCTCTCTCTCTCTTTCTCTCTCTCTTTCTTTATATATTCAAAAGATAATTGCAAATGAAAAATTGATGATAAATGAAGCGGTAAAGTAATAATTTAACGATCTATCAATGCATATAACATCGACAGAATATTAAAGTTAAGAGCAAAAGAGATAATTTACAAATAAAGGGAAAAGTTTTTTGATGATAAATTACTTTCGGTTACTTTAATAGTTACTGATAAAGTTAGATAGTTTACTGATAAGATAGTTATCACTATTAAATATAATCTATAATCATTACATTTACTTATGAAATAATACTATTTTTTTTTTTTTTTGTACTTTTTACTTTTTATTAAAACAATGAATAATTGTGATATTTATTATAATTAAAATGTTTATTAAGTAAGTATATTTGCGTTCAGAAATTGACAAAAATTTTATATTTAAATAATTTGAATAAATTTTTATAAATTTATCGATTTAAAAACATTTTGGTTTATTTATTTGAGAAGACTAATGGATGAGACATGAATTAATGGTTGTGACATTTCTTTTTGTGCTAAATTGTTAAATAATTTATTTGTAGAGTATTTCATTTGATGTGTGCCGAAAAGTGGAATAAATCCATTCCACTTTTCGGCACACATCAATCATTCCATCACAATCTATCATCTATTCAAAAGGAAAACTACTAATGACGATGAAGAGAAATGAGTAAATAAAAATTTAAAAAATTTAATTTTAAAAAAATAAAAATTGAAAAATTTAATTTTAAAAAAATAAAAATTGAATAAATTAAATATTTAATTAGTTTTTACTTAAATTAATACCATTAATTAATACGTATCATTGAATCATAGATCAAATTTATTGCAAGAAATTTGCTATATCAAAAGTATGTCAAAAATTTTTTTTCACATACTTTAGTTTATTCTCGACAATGCATCGAGAATAAATATGTTTGTATTAATTTTGTTGACAGAAATGATTAATCCTCTGTTAAGAAGATAAAAATCCCGCAATATTTAATTTTTTTTTTTTTTTTAATTAAATGCTATCACTTTTTTCTATTGAAGATAAAAATTACTAATTGATAATTTAAATTGCAGTATTAAAAATTTTAAAGTATTATTATGCAGTTTTTGCATGGCTAACGAAGAATGTTTTCATTAGCGTTCAAATATAATTTTAATCGTAAATTCATTATAAATTAAATCATTTCAAACACATAAATAATTAAGTTTATAGAGAATTAAAAACATTGATAATCAGAAAAATTAATTTAACTTAAATGAGAAATTAAAATGATACTGGCTTAATTTTAATTTTTTTTATCAGTTCAAAAAAAATTTTTTTTTCTTTTGTCATTGTGGTATGTGATAAACAAACATAAATTAAAAAAAGAAAGCAAATAAACACAAAACTACGATAAATTAATTATGGATAATTTATAGTTTGATAGTTTTAATATAAGAGAAATTTAATTTAATTTTTTTTTTCTTCAGACATATAATTTATATTTAATTAATTCATATTTAATTTTAATTCGAACATATAATTCATATTTAATTAATTAATATTTAATTATAACTAATGATAAAATGAGTAAAGTAATTCTATTTTTAATTGCATTTTTATTGTTGTTGAAAGCATAAATAAATTGAATTAAAATTTTGCTGAATTATTGCATTTTTATTTTTTGTTCAAATTCGATAAATTAATTCCAAAAAAAAAAAAAATAAATAAATAAAAGTTAGCTCATTTTCAAATCACTGTAGCATAATTTTAATTTAATATTTCAATTTACAATTTCTTAATTATTAAATAAATAAAAAAATTACTTAAATACCAATTTATTAACTCTTCACTAATAAATCTTGAAATTTGCATATATTTTTCATATAAAATTTTATTTTATCAATTTAACATTTTATAAAGAATTGAAAATGCTTAATTTTATTTTGATAATTTCACTGAAATTTCAGTGAAATTTATTTTCTTCAAATGACACAAAAATTATTTTACTCTTTGTCACCTTTTTTTATTTTTGCAGCGTTTGTATTATTTTGTTGAAGAATATTTTTTTTTTTTTTTTTTTAAAAGACTAAAATTCAAAAGTTCAAATATTTCATTTAAATATAAATTTTATTAATTGATTACGAGAATTTCTTAAATGAGAATTTTAATAGAAATTAATGATATTGAAATGATGGAAAAAGCAAAATATTCAAACTGAGATTTGCATTTATCAGAAATCATCAATACTTTTAAATAAAATAAATTTGAAATTTTTATGCTAACTGTCGAATTACTTGTTCAATTAGATTAATTTGCTTTTTTATTTTTGTTTATTTATAATATAAAACTGAAAATTATAAAAGAGTGTAATTTGTATTGAATAATGCTTAATTAAGTTTATAATTTGAAAAGAAATGAAACTTTTTTCCATTGTTCCCATTGCATTTCAATTCTTATTAACATCAAATTTAAATTTGAGATTTGATAATTTGATCATCCTTAACTTTTTTTTTTTTGAAAGATATCATTATCAGACTTCCTTGAGTTAACTGATAATTCAAAATGTTAACTGTCAAGTGATCGCTTTTAACTGACTTGCCTGTTGTTTACCATCAAATTAAATCTTAAACTTTTAGATTTAATGAAACTAATTTAAGAAATGCCAAATGATAATTTGTTTCTTGCTTATCACATCAATTTCGATTTGATTTTAAAGAAAAATTTTCAAAGTAGAATATTTAATTTTAATCAAATAAAGTTTTATAAGCGATAATTTGACATATACAATTAATTGACTGATCAATACTATTTTTTGTTTTTATAAAATAACAAAAAATTAATGATATCTGATCTGCCTGATAAGATCATATTTTAGGAGTTCAATCATTCATCCAGAAATTGATCTTATCATTCTTGTGGGATTGTTAGTTTTGGGTACAATACAAACAATAATAATAAAATCTACTTTATCATTTTCAAATTATATAGACATTTGTGATATATGTGATAAAATTCCTTCATAAATATATTCAAAATATTATCCAGTTATTAATTTCTAATCTAAAATTCAATTATTTGCAGGTCAAAAATGCGAAACTTTCATGTGTTAATTTTATTACTAGTTCAATTTGTAAATTCACAACCAGAAATTTGTGGTCGTTCTCATAATTTAGACAATCTTATCGATAATGGTAGAGTTATCACTGTATGTTACTTTCTTTTTGTTTTAATTTTATATTTAAAAAAAAAAAAAAAAAAAAATTTCTTTTTTTTTTTATTTTACTAACATTTAATTTCCTTTAATGTGCAATAAAATTATATATTTCAATAGAATTTAAATGAGAACAATAAGCAAATTATGCTAATCTCTTATTTTTCGAAACATAAGTGTGAAAAAAGCTAAATATAAATATAAAATTAAAACAATTAGAAAAGTTTAACTTCATTTCTAGTTTATATTCTAAATTTTAATTTCTATTTTTTTGGGTTTATTTTAATAACATTTACATTCCATTAATTTGGAATAAATATGCATTTTAATAGATTTTAAAGGATGACAATAAGCAATTATAAATGCTTTTTTTTTTTTTTTTTTTTTTCGAAACATAAATGTGAAAAACGTAAAATATAACTAAATATAAAACTAAGACAATTAAACAGATTTGTCATTATTTTCATTTTTCATTCTTTCTATTCTTTCCCTCATTCATCCGTAATTAATCGCAATTGTTGCATACGTGAATTTATACGTGATCGGAAAGATTAATACAGTTGCAGCAGCGTCGCGTAGTCGGAGGTAACGAGTCCACACCACACGTATGGCCTTGGACCGTACAATTAATTTACGCCGAAACAAAAATTCATCGATGTGGTGCAGCGCTTTTGAGCGATGATATCATTATCACTGCAGCACATTGCTTCTCTCGAAGGTTTACTTCTAATTCCTCAATCAATAAAAGTTTATATTAATCTTGGATGAAATTTATACTAGAATTGATTTAAACAATCAAAATAAAGGTTAGAAATAATTTTACTATCATTTATCTTTGCTGAAAAATAATAAATAAACAAATATCACTTTAAAATATATAGTAGAATTAATTTAAACAATCGAAACAATAATGATAATTTTAGCAATATTTATCTTCACTGGATTTTGCTGCTAATCTTAGATTTTGTATTATTATTATTAGTATAGGATTTTGCTACTTAGATTTTGTATTATTATTATTAGTATAGGATTTTGCTACTTAGATTTTGTATTATTATTATTAGTATAGGATTTTGCTACTTAGATTTTGTATTATTATTATTAGTATAGGATTTTGCTACTTAGATTTTGTATTATTATTATTAGTATAGGATTTTGCTACTTAGATTTTGTATTATTATTTAAGCTTAGCAGCAAAAAAAAAAAAAGAAGAAATATTTAAATGAAACTTTATAATTTCACCTAGCAAAAATTGATAATTCAATGGAATAAAATGTTAATGTAAATTGGTGATTTAATGAAATGAAATGTTAATGTTTTTAGTCGTAATCCGGCACGTTATACAGTTCTTATTGGTGGTCATGAAATTGGTTCCGGAGAAAGCTATCGGATTCGTAATATTTCAATACATCCACTATTTAACGTTTTTATGCCAAGTTCATTTGATGTTGCCATTGCCAGGTGAAAATATTTCTTCCGAAAATTTCATTTTGCTACGATTTTGCTAATTATTCCCCCTTAGAAGTTCAAATATATGCAAATAATCAACAGAAATTCCAACATGTCACCAAAATATTCTGTACCTCTCTTAATAATCTAATATTTTTAGGTTACATGGAAAATTAAATTTTAGTGAAAATGTACTACCAATATGTTTACCGATGCTGGAACCATCAACAGCAGATAGTTGCATTGTTACCGGTACTATTGAATAATATTGCTAATTAAATGTAACATAAGAGAACTATAAAAGGTCATTTGATGTCAAAAATTCACCTTTACCTTTACCAGGTTTCTTGGTATATATATTCTTTTTTTCCACAGGATGGGGTTATCAAGAGGAAAGTGGTAGTTTTTCATCAAAATTACGTGAGACACACGTTCCAATCATACCAATCGTTGTTTGCAACAGTATTTTGCACTATTTCGGTCGTGTTGATCCATTATCCATGATTTGTGCCGGTTCCGGTGGTGCTGATGCTTGTCAGGTTTTACTTTTATCTTTTGTTTTGCTTTTTTTTAATTTAAAAAAGAATTATCTCACTCAAAAGTGAAAATGATAAATGAGAATACTAAAATAGCATTTTCTAACTAATCGATCATCAATCGTTTTAGGGTGATTCAGGTGGTCCGTTAATGTGTTACAGTCGTATACGTCAACGATGGGAATTACAGGGAGTGGTCAGTTGGGGTCACGGATGTGGTCGAAACAATATTCCTGGAGTGTATGCTAAAATTAGGGCTGTCACTAGTTGGGTGAATTCACAGATGAAATTACTTCAACTCAATGATAATGATATTCTATAGCTAACCTTTCCTTTTTTTTTTTTTCCTTGCCCATATTTATTGATCATTACAGAAATTGCTTGTCATTTTGAAATTAATTCGTATTTTCTCGAAATGAATATCCCTGAAAAATAAAAATTATTCATATATACATTCGTACAATGCACTACTTGATATTTCTATTATTTGATTAGTTAAATTAAGATATATTAAACATTGTTAATTTATTGATTACAAAAAATATGAAATACTATTCTGAAATTATTTTCTTTTAGCAACAATTTTTAGTGAAATTGATACTTTCTTTCTGTGATTTTTTTTTTTTTTTTTTTTTTTTTTTTTGGGACAACTATATTGCATTTACATATTTGTATGTATGTTTCTACGTAATGATTTTGTTTTATTGTAAAAAAGAAGAAAAAAGAAAAAACAGTTAAACAATTTTTTACTTTGAATATTTTATTTATTTTTTTTTTGTTTAAGAACTAATTCACAATTAAAAAATTAAAAAGCAATTAGAATTTTTTCAAAAAAAAGGAAAAACATGGAATAATAATATGGTGTTTTTGTTTTAGAATTAATCAATTTAAAAAAAAAAATGAAATTAGAAAATCCACTAATTATTAGATTTTTGAAAATTGATCATTTTCATTTGATCAATTAATTCAAGATTATTCCATATTGCGTTTAAATTATTCCTCAATTAAACACTCTTCTTCGAGAAGAAAGATTTTGCGGAATTCTTTAACGAAATATTAGTGTGAAAAAATAAGCATTATTAAAATAAAAAGGTACCTATCTATCACTGTACTGAAGAAACCTAGCAGTTACCATGCTGCTGGTACCACAGGACAATTCAACCAACATCGACGGTACCTCAGAAACTGCGATAAAATGATGAAATGGACTTTTTTGTACTTTTTTGTCAAAACCACGAGGGAAATCCAATACCATGAAAATTCGATACCATGCTAATGCCCAGGTCAACTTAGTACCGTACTAAAAAAAAAAAAAAAAACTTTTTTGTACTTTTTTGTCAAAACCACGAGGGAAATCCAATACCATGAAAATTCGATACCATGCTAATGCCGGTACCACGGTCAACTTAGCTACCGCTGATGGTACCTCAAAAATTACCATGAAATGATGAAATGGACGAACCCCCTTGTACTCATAGGTTTCAATTTTCTGAGTCACGTCGAGAAGATTTAATCTAAATTCCTACGAATTTAATACCACGTCGGTACCACAAGACGATTTAACCACCACCATTAGTACCTCAGAAACTACGATGAAATGATGAAATGGACGAACCCCTTTGTACTCATAGGGTTTTATTGAACTCGCAACTTTTGTCCTTCCGGAAAGAAAGTCTAAATTACACCGTAAAGGTTTAATATCTTATAAGCAGGTTCTTCTGAGAGATTCAAGTCCTCGGAATATACATATTACTAACTCTTCTTTACTACTACCTTACCTTTCCCTTCATTACCTAATATTTCTAAACCATTCACGTAATTATAACGTGACCTTAAACACGATTACGCTTAACATTAATACCTAATATTTCTAAACCACTCACGTAATTATAACGTGACCTTAAACACGATTACGCTTAACATTAATACCTAATATTTCTAAACCATCACGTAATTATAACGTGACCTTAAACACTACTAAGCTTGACATTAATATATGCATTAATATTTGCAATATTTTATTCGACATCTTAAAAAATAATTATCTGTAATTTTATTTGATATTTTTCATGAAAACGTTGTTTCTTCAATTTTTCATCTCGAATTTGTCACAATTAATAATTTTAAACATCAAAATATTTCTTGTCATTTTTAATTTAAAGTTTTTTTTTTTTTTTTTGTGTGATGCTTTGAAATAAACTCAAATGTTTTTATGTATTTCATAGTTTACTATTCACCTACTAAAACATATATATAAATTAATTTCTATTTGACAATTTTTACTTCACATTGGCTAATATATATGAAGAATGTTAAAAATGAAACTTACATTAATGAATCGTTCAACTTTTCAGTAAACTTAATATGATCGCAAAGAGTAGTTAAAAAAGAAACAATAATGGAAGTTTGGAAAAATACTGCGGCAAAAATGGCAAAAATTTGGTATCGAACGAATAACTGTTTTGAGGTAATTTTGACATTTTTTTTAATATACAAAACGTATGGCATTTAGACTGAATTAATTATTAATATTGCATATTTGCGAATGTCTTCGCAATTTTTTCTCTTCTTGCAATATTTTATAAAATTGATAATTTTTAGAAATGTTTTTTGGAATATTTCTTTATCAAAATACATTTCATCTTTACGCTGTTCTTCTGTATAAATAATCAAATTCTAAGCAATTATGAAAATTTTTACTAGAAATTAGTTAGAATAAATTTACTTAGTATTATTCCTACTGTTTTCTTTAGAAATATTGCTTAATTTCTTTTCAAAAATTTTTGGAGACATGATTTTATGAAATTGTCTTGAAGAAAATCAAGTATTCTTCCTTTATAAAAAAAAGCAGAGAGAATTCATTTATATTGTGGAAGTAAAGCTAAGTACAGAAAGATGTCTGCTTAAGATAAATCGGTAGTGTTTTTTTTTTTTTTTAAATTAATGATTGAATGAATTATTTTAAATATTTGTCTAAAATAGCTTTCATAATAATTGTTTCATAAATTTTTTTCTTTTTACTCCGATATGTCCGATCGTTGTATTTTATAAGCTTTGAATCAAGGAAAGTAGAATATTCATATAAGCAAGCGTATTTGTTTAGATTTTTTGACAAACTTTTCTAATATTAGTTTATCTTCACTTTAATTTAATTGAGTAATTAAATTCATGTTTAAAAGTTTGCTATTTATGTTGTACATATAGAAAAAGATACAAAAAAATTTTGTCACAAAGCTGCGTCATCTACTAAACCAGTTGTATTCTTTCCAATAATCATCTTTGATCTTTTTGTAAAAATAATTGTAAAAATTTTCATACATTGTGTCCTTTTTTTTTTTTTTTATTTTTCGGAATTTTCTCTCTAAAACTTCAACGCAAAAGTTACATTTGTTGCTTTTCTTTTATTTATAATTCTGGATAAAGTTACTGCCATATATAAGTTAACCAAGAATTTATGTTACTTTTACAAATCTATCACAGAAAGCTTTACAATGAAGTTTTTCTAAAAATTTTTAACAAATGTTGTGGAATACCTAACTCTGGAATCGGACTTTTATCGACAAGTATTTGTTTGGTGATTCGGGAATATGATTTGTAAGGAAATTGCTTAATTCTACCCAAATAACTTTTGGGAGGAATAACTTAGAAAATAGTTTTGCGAGATTTGAACTTTTTTTTATCCTAATTTTCTCACTCCCCTATTAATTATTTGGATGACTTTCCTGAATTCCTTTATCGTGTTTCTTTTTTTTTTTTTTTTTTTTTAATGTATCAATTTAAATTGTGTTGCAGAAAATTCCGATTTTAAAAGTTGATGATATTTCATGAAGAGCATAGTTGTAGCTTGATTGTTTAATGTGTAATGGTTTGTAAATGTTTCAGAATTATTTTTATAAGATTTGTAAATTCATGGAAACACGAATTTCGACTGTCATTACATATTTTAAAGAAAAAGAAAAACGATATTAAAAAAAAAAAAGGAAAACTCTTTCAAATAGTTTAATATAAATTTCTAAATAAAATGATCGACCAATTTAGTTTCTCAAGATTTTTAAGAATTTGTTGGATATAATTTTAATTTCTATTAATAATCCAATTATTGTATAATGACGAATATGATAACATATAAACTACAACTATATTATTCTACATTTAAACATAAAACATGATATTTACTTATCGAAAATAATGATGAGTAAATTAACTTAAATGGCAAAGTTTGAAAAAACATACACAAAAAAAAAAAAAGAACTTTTCTAGGCTGAAAAAAAATTTGTCTTACATTGTTTTTTTTTTAAAAAAAAAAAAGAAAAATTATATTGTTCTACATTTGAGGATGAAACTTTTTATCGTTTATACATTTGATCGTTTGCTAGAAACTATCATTTCATTTAAATGATCATTTGCAGATCTTTGATGTCCATTTTAAATGATTTCTAAATCATTTTCAACTCAAATGAAAATCAGTATGGGAGAAGCTTTATCTGAATTACTTTTGGAGAGGATAGATGATTTAATCTACAGTCAATTGCTCATTATTTCTTTTTTTTTCTCTATGATTATGCGACAGGTAATTAATTATATGCACTATTGCTAAGAATGCAAAGTTAATTCTGGTTTGTTTTGTAGAATTTGTAATAAATTTAAATTCTTAAGCATAAATTGTATCGAATGGATTTTGAAATGAATTACAGAGGTGCTATTTTTAGTTATATTCAAATTAGAGGTAATTTAGAAACAAATAAAATTTTAGATTCGTTGGGGTATAGTTCGTGAAATATGTGGTGGACTTATTGGTGTTTCATTAATTTATTATTTTATTGGTTGGAAACTATTGTATTCGCTCATCATTGTAATTTTAAATATTATCATAAATTCAGTCATGAAGAATCGGTAAATTGTTACACTGACCAATATTTTATAAAAATTTAGGTATATCATTTTAGAGAATTGAATTATGAGATAGTTGCAGTGTTTTGTCATATATACATTTTAAGCTATAAAACATTTTTCAGCTATTTACCATTGGCATCTTTTATTATCACATTTGTTTATTTGGGATTTCTTCGAATTATACATCTAATTGGCTTTCCAGCTCTTGTTTCACATTCAAATGCTGTTCAGCTAATTATGACATTAAGAGTATGTTTTGATGATAATTTCATGATAATAATCATATCATGGAAAATACATTTAACAAAATAGTGTTATTTTTATTTGAAAAATTAAAAATAGAAATAAATGAACGAAAGATTTTATGGATCTAAAAGATTTTATTGATAAATGTAAAGAAAAATTTTTTGATACTTCCTATATATTTTGTGTTAATTTATTTTATCTGAATCATTATATTAACGGATTTTATTAAAGCAAGAATTATTATTCTTATTTTATCTTAAAATGGTTCTTTTTTTCTTTTTTTAAAAATTTTTTTCTCTAAATTAGCGCATTCCATCAAGTTGAAATGTATAAAAAAAGTGTAAAAATTATAAAAAATGTCTGTCACTGTGACGATTCTTCAATTTGATGGAATTAAATTATGAGAAATTAAATTATTTCTCATATTTAATAATGAGAAATATAATTTATTGGTGTAATTTTGTATGCAAACGTACAAAATATTAAATGAAAATAAGAGCAAATTGATTGATTGATAAATAAAAATAAGGTTTTCTCTTTTTTATAAGAAAATTTGAAATTCTCTGAAACTGTAATCATTAATTTGCAGCTTGTTGGTTTAAGTTTCGAAATTGCTGATAGTAGAAGAAAAGATGAGATGAAATTTGATCTGACTAAAACACGATTTATTGAAGAACCGTCATGGTGGCAGACATTTTTATATTCATATAATTTTCCAGGTCTTTTTACTGGTATGTTTAACTGTTTCATATTCTAAAACTTTTTTTTTTTAACGGTGTAAGCCTTTTCAATTTTTCTTTTTTTTTGATTTGAATATGATTGATTCATGTAAGTTTGCATGCAAACGATCTTATTGATAACCTATCCAAATACCTTTAATTCATTTTACATCATAATTGTGCAATCTTTATAGCATTGCATAAGTTTTTTATTTTAATGAAAATTAATTGAATTAATAAACCTTTAATCCTTCTTCTTTCATTCAATGAATTTACTATAGCATATTTAAATTAGATTTTTCATCATCATACCTAGCTTAATTTACACTTGCAAAAGTTGGTTGGTGATAGAAAATTATTATTTTTTCTTTTTTCTAATAATTTTATAATTTTTTAAGGTCCATACTATACGTATGCAATGTATCGAGATGTTATTGATAATGATGATATAATGGAAATATCCGTTTGGGAACATATTAAATGGCGTTTATATAATTTTGCTTGGTCATTACCTGCTTTTCTTTTGCTTTTATATGCTTTTCCACTTGAGGTTTGTTATATGATAATGCTATTCATTGCAAGTTAGATAGATAAGAAAGGAAGATATCAAATCGTTCTGATGTTATTATAATCATAAAATGAAATTATTATATTCATAAAATAGTAATATAAATAATATAAAAAATGATATTTTCAAGAAATACTAAATAGCTTTTTTGTTTTATCCATTATTTCTTCAAAATTTTGACTTAATTGCCAAAATTTCTTTAATAGATGATGCGTAAAGATGAATTTTTCGATGAGACAGTTTATTATCGAATATCGGTTAGTTTCCTAGTATTTTTATGGATGCGATGTCGTGTATACAGCGCATGGATGGTTGCTGAATCAATCTGTGTGCTAAATGGAATTGGAATTTATCCGGAGGAAAGTTGTCCATCAGCTGGAAAAGGACCCAACAGAATTGACATTTTAAAGTGATTTTGAAGTTAAATTCAAATAAAATCTTTTGTGAATTTTTATTTACCGTTCATCTACGGTCTAATTAATTTGGCTCACAGTTTTAAAAACACAGCGATTGTTACTAGCATATGATGAATTGAAATAATAGAAAAAGTAGAAGAAAGTTTTATAATTCTTACAAAATAATATTTATTCATTTTTATAGAGAACAAATAAATAGAAAGGGAACAAAATATAATTCGGAAGCAATACGTAATTTGGATATTTGGTCAATTGAATTGAATGCTTCATTTCGAGGTGGTATGAGAGCTTGGAATCGTACAGTTCAATTCTGGCTAGCAAATTGTGTGTATAAACGTGTTCCACGTTCTATGGGGTAAACTATATTCAATTAATTTCTTTTTGATGATTTTTTTTTTGTTTTTGAATATGAAAAACAATAAACAATGCATGAAATAGCAAAGAATTTATCAATAAGCAAAGGAAAAAGCATTTGCTAATTTATAATCTTTCTGTTTCTTTTTTATGGATTTTACAAAATTAAAGAAACGAAAAAAAAAAAAAAATTACTAATTGAAATATTTCAGAGTGTTATTGACAATGTTAGTAAGTGCATTTTGGCATGGTGTACATCCAGGTTATTTCCTGTCATTTCTTACAGTCCCTTTGTGTACATTAGCAGAGGATAATATTCTGTCGTTGGTGCCGAAAGATTCTAATGGCAAATTACCACTTTCCTTTACTGTTTTGTAAGTATTCGATGAAAATTTACATAACATTTTGAAATACATCGTATATTATATTACAAATCTATTACAAAAAATAAAAAAAAAAATTTGCCGAAGAATAAATGAAAATGACAGTTTGCTTAGCATTCCTATTTTTTTTTTTTTTTTTTTTTAGTACCTATTTTTTCGTTCCAAGATATCAAAAATCTTGCTTTATAAAAAAAAAAAAAGCTATGCACTGATATTTTCTTTAAAATTTTGTTTAAAGAAAAAATGGAAGATGAAGTAATAATTATTATAACAATCAAAATAAACCAAAATGTGAATTTTGTTAAATTTATTTCTATGCTTTAGTATTATTAACTTTATTATAGTTGGTACATTATACGACAGCTTGGTTTTACATTGATGGCATCAGGATTTTTATTACTGACATGGCGTGATACAATTCGTTATTGGAATTCGGTTTATTTTCATGTACACTGGATTATGATTACAATTATTCTACTCTCATGGTTGTATAAATCATTAATGATTTCAGCAGGTATGAATTTATAACAATTATAAACAGAATTTTAATGGGTTGACACTAATATAAACTTTAAGCATTGAATGAGTACAGCATAAATTTTTTTTCTCCAAGAAAAAAAAAAAAAAAAAAGATTAATTTTTGATTGTTCAAGGTTTTTCATTGTTCAACGCCTGAACGAATATTCGAATGATGATTGAGCGATTTTTTTCTAGGAATCATTTTTTCTACTTTCCGTATTAGCAATCATTTTTTTTTTTTCTACCTGAATTTAAACATTCAATTGGTTGAGTAGCTTCTCTATTTTATATACAGCCATTAAAATAATGTGAAAATACTGTAACTATGTTTAGTTGTTTATTTTTGCTATGTTACTTATAATATGCTAAGTTTCATCTAAATTAGTATTATTCATTCTAAAATTTCTGATGATTATGAGTAGGAATTTTTTGCTTTTTTTTTTTTTTTCTGTTACATTTTCAAATTACAAAAACCTTATTTCTTATTTCAAGTTAACCTTATTTCAGCAAGTGAGAACTCATTTAAAACAAATATCAAAATGAAATCAAATAGCAATGAATTTAAAAAGGTATGTTGCTATTTACAGTATTGTAGGAATGGTTTTTTTAAGTATAGGATAAGAAAAATAAGTTAAATAATGGTTAAATTTAATCAATGAGCATTATTTTCAGGAAGAAGCTGGTGATTGGATAGTTAAAAAAATGGATTGACTGTCGTTTATTACAATATTCTATGTTTAGTTTTATTCCGATCATTTGGACCAGTTAAACTAATTCCTCATTTTGAGTACTTTTAGTATTTGATTTACAATATTTGTATTTGACTTATACTTAAAATTTCAATTTTTTTTTACAATATTTGATTTAAAATTTCAATTTTTCAAACTTTGATATCAATTTATTTTTATATTTTTTTTTTTTTTTTTTTTTGCTTACAAGACATTTGCGGGAAATATTTGTTCTATAAAATTTCGTTTTGTTATTTTTTATTTGATATGGAAATTGTATTTGTCGAACGCATTATATTAAAGAAATCTCAATGTTTACAGAGTTATTATAAGCATATATGAAATTGTGCATATCTATTATTTTTTAATAAAAATATTATGTTTGTCATTCTTATAGGTTAGTTTAGAAGTGAAGAAGCAATATTGTGTTTTTCTGTTTCACAAGAATGTCGATTGATTCTTAAGATATGTGAATCTCAATTCTCTTTTTGTATGAGTACTTATTCGTTTCTTTCCTCAATTTTTTATTTATTTTTTTTCTTTTTAATTCTATTGTAAAACTTTTTTTATGATTACATTTTCTAAATGTATGTTTGAAAAAAAAAAAAAGCATTTTTTCTTGAAGAATTTACCAATAGAATGTTATATCTTCAAGTTGTATTTGATCAAACTGTGATCAGAAAATAAGAATTCGAGAATAATTTTCACACAATGCTGTAATATTTATTTATTTTTTCAGCTAATGAAGCAAAGTGTCGCAACGGAGTTGAAATCAACAGTGATCAGTAAAAATATTAAGAAAAAACCGGATAGTATAAGAGTAAAACGCAAAATAGCATTACCGGATTCGTCGTTGAATGTGATCGATACCGTGAGAAATTCTTTAACTGAAACTCTGCAAGATGATTATGAAGCAAAAGTTAAAGAAGAAAATGAATCGAACAAATTGGAGAGAGGAAATGATTTGAAGAAAGAAGTATTGAAGCGAAAATCAACCCGAATGAAATCAAAAAAAACGAGAAATTTGATTACGGAGAAGATAGAGGAGTTAAGAAGTGATAATAGTGTTAAAACAAGAAATAGGAAATTGACAAAGATACCGGATTCCGGCAATGAAAATAAGCAGATTATCACGGAGACCTCTGTTAACTTAGGTATTGCTTTAACAACATTATGAATAAATAGGAGTAGTCTTCTGTTATTAAGATAATTTTAAATTATGGAAGTATCAAAAGAAAAGAAGAGAAGAAAATGTTAATTAAACAAAATAATTTTTTAGTTAGTATAGAATATTTCAATATTTTATAAATGGAAGATTGATTTTCTATCTGAAATGTTTATTATATTAATTGAAATATGATTAAATAATAATTTTTTATTCGTTAACCCTCATATTTCAGGCTACTCTGCACTACCAAAACGAAAACATTCAATGAAAATAGCTTTGAAAGACGATAGTTCATCGATAGATCCTATTGCACAAAAAGTAATGCAAGCTGCTGCTACATCAAAAAAAATGCTCGGTGCACATGTCAGTGTAGCAGGTACTATTTCTCTCTCTCTCCCTCTCTCTTTTTTTTTGATTAAAATTTCAAGGAAACATAATTGAAAGTAAGCAATTTATTAGATCTGTTGAATTAAATTATCATTTGTGTTAGTTAAACGATCGGATATGTGTATTAAATTCCATTATAAAAAAAAGTAAATAAAGTCTATCATATACTAATATTTGAATAAGAATAAAAAAAAATTTATTTTAGGTGGTTTGGAACAGAGTTTTTACAATGCTTTATCTATTGGATGTCGATCTTTTGCATTTTTTGTCCGAAATCAACGTTCATGGAATAGTCCACCTATAAAAGCTGAAGTAGTGCAAGCATTTCGTGAAACTGCACAGGTATGTTTATTTAATAATTAATAACTATTATAAAATAATTATAAAATTATTTTATTATTTTAGATATTGGCTAATTGCTGATATATTGCATTTCATATACACGATAGCAATATCCTAGGAAAAAGCTCAGAAGAAAATTGAATATGAAAAAAAAAAATGTTTGAATAAGAAATATAAACTTTCTTTTCTTTTTGAACTTTTTTTTTTTTTTTTTTTATTGCAGAAATTAAAATTTCCAATGGATCAAATTGTTGTACATGGATCATATTTGATAAATGGTGGTAGTTGTGACATGGAAATATTAGCTCGAGCTCGAGCATGTATGTTAGACGAATGTAAGCGATGTGAACAACTTGGTATTATCTATTACAATATTCATCCTGGTATGTTAAGTTTTACTTCATTTTTTTTTTTTTTTTACTGTGCTGTTGGGTTTTTCAGGAAATTTCACTATAACAATGGAAATGGTATAATTTTCTTTCCTATTTTATAGCAAAATACAATTTTTAACTTAATTGTCTCATTGTTATGATAAATGACTATAATTGATATTATGTTAATTAATTTGTGAATAGAATTTGTAGATGATTGTGTGAGAAATATTTCTAAACAAATCAAAAATTATTCTGTCTTTGATCTCTCATAACTATAATGGATAAATTGAGAAAAATGCTTTCTAGTGATTAGATAATTAATGCTTCCTATTAATTTGCTTTATGTTTTTTTTTTTCCTCTTTTTTAATTTGCTTTATATTTTATAACCAAACAGGTTAATTTTTAGGATCTACCGCAGGGAAGTGTACACGTGAAGAATGCATCAAAACAATTGCAGCTACTTTGAATTATGTTATAGATCAAACTGAATATATTACAATTTGTTTGTTTTTGAAAATTTTTTTCAAATTTGACAAATTTCTGAAATTTTATTTCTGTTGAAAGAATCTTCAAAGACTATTTGAATTTGCAAATAGTAGGAATTGTTTTTGTTTGTTTTTCTTATTTCAATTGAGAAGTTTACTTAGAAGTTATTGTTAGTGATTTTTTCTTTTTTTCTGCGATGTTTCTCATAAAAAAAAAAATTTTTTTTTTTTTTTTTAGTGGTTGAAACGATGGCTGGACAGGGAAATACTATTGGTGGGAAGTTTGAAGAATTACAGCAAATTATTAATTTGGTGAAAAATAAGAAGCGTGTGGGAGTGTGCTTTGATACTTGTCATATTTTTGCTGCGGGTTCGTTGTTAAAAAAAAGAAAATTTAACCTTGTAATGAGTCGATCACATGAACTTTATCACTATTTCAAATATTTCAATTTATTTTAATTTTGAGAGTTTTATTCAAAGTTTGTATTTACGTCTCATCATCATTTATATTAGGGCATGAATGTGCTAAATATTCTTTTATTCTCTCTGGAAGAACAAAAGATATCACACCTTATGGTGGTCAGGTTCAGTTTGCCTATAACTATGAAATTAAACAAAGGTCATAGGTTGATTTGATATTGAAAATGAGAATATGGGTATTATTGATTTGCTTTCTAATCTCTAATCCTCTCTCCCTCTCTCCCAATCTCTCTCTCTCTCCTTCTCCAATTCCTAATGGATTCTAACTCTTCTCTATTAAAGACATCAATATGTTCATCAGGAGAATTGTTAATTCAGTGCTGAATGTTTTGTTGTTTATTTCTAAAGTTTTATTAAAAATACGAATTTTTGACTCTAAGTAATCTTTTGAATCAAGTATTATTATAAACCAATAATGATTTTCCATAATGTTTTTCAATTATTATTATCAATGCTTATATCAATTAGATTTAGGTTATGACATACGATCAGAAGATCGATATAAGGAAACTTTCAGTGAATTCGAGAATACTATTGGCCTTCAGTATCTTCGTGCCTTCCATATTAATGATTCAATGGGTAAACTTATTCTATAAAATTTGAAATGATTTTAAGTTTAGCTCTACATATTTATAAGCAGTAAATATCTATAGGAAGCAATTGATAAGTCTTTTTAAGGAAGTCGGATGTCATATTAGTATCAGCTTTCAGAGATACACTAAGCTAAAGTATAGATTCAGACTTACAGATTCTAAAATAATCAATTTAGGTGATCTTGGTTCAAAATTGGATCGTCATGCAAATATTGGTAAAGGCAAACTGAAGTTAGCAGCTTTTCGTAATCTTATAGCTGATCAGCGATTCGATGGTTTACCAATGATTCTAGAAACACCAGAAGGAGACTATGCAGAAGAGATGATCAGATTATATCATTCATTGAATAGCAAACCACTGAAAGAATATAAGAAAGATATTAGATCATTTTTTTCACCCGTATAGAATTTTAGCTTATTTTTCATTCATTTCAACCGAATTTCATATCTATTACCTATTGGCAATAAAGATCTCAGCTAATTTATTACCTTTATGCATATTAGTACATTAATATTTATCAAGAAAACCAGTTCATCCAGAATAAATGCGCCTGAGTTCTTTTTTTTTTTTTCTCTGTCTAGAGATTCTTATAAAGCTTATTAGTTTAATTCTCGAGAAGAACAAACTATGAAAACTCACATAACCATCTGCTGCTGTTAAATATGAATAAATGTTTAACAGTAGTTTGTTGGGTAACATTTTGAACGATTTAATGATTTACATTGAAGTAAATTGTAGAACTTATTAGTGAATATATCTGTATTAATTGAGACCTACCATATATTTCTACAAAGTTAATCTTTTTTTTTTTTTTTTTTTTGTTATCATTGTGTTATTCTTCTTTTGATAGCATTATCATTCTTATCTACTTAATGGGATGCTAAAAGAAATAATTAATTTCTTTTTGTATATGCAAAGAGAATTATAAATTACGTTTAACTTATTTTATAGAAATTTTATTGCGATAAGTTCTATTATTATTGTTAGCATTGATAAAAAAGTTGAATCTGTGATCAAAAAAAAAAAAAAAAAAAAACGAAAAAACGAAAAAAAGAGATGATAAGAATTTAGAAAGATGTTAAAACTTTGAACTTCCCATATTTACAATTATTTTACATTATTTAAACGAAGCAATCAGTTGAATTATCATCAATATTTCATTTCAAATTGATTTAGCAGCAATGATTCATTATGAAAGAAAACTGGTTTTGCTTGCTTCATCAATGATTTTGGTACATCTTTTTCGTAAAATGTCATTAAATTTTGAAAAGTTGAATTGAGCTTCAAATTATTATTATTATTATTATTACATTTCATTATTCATCATTATCATTGCTGTTAGTTATATTTGTTCACATCTATGTGATGTCTCATTCTCTTCGCAATGACAAAATTTTTCACAGATAATAGAAATTTCAAATGATTACAATCTCAAATATTGTTGTTCTGTTCAATTTCATTTCAACTTTATAGATTTTTCAATCGGATAGCAATACATTCATGCAATAATGTAATAATTTATATATTTTAACTAAGTTTATTTTTATCAAAAAAAAAAAAAAAGGAAAAAAAATTGCAAAAATTTAGACTTTCTTAGAAATGTGCGAATAGAGAGAGAGAGAGAGGGAGAGGGAGGGAGAGGGAGAGAGAGATTTATTACAAAGATGAATGATATTTAAATGAAATTTAACATATTTGATTGAATCTTCCTCTTATATTCTATGATGTATCATCTATCAATAATTATTGAATTAAAATTTTAACATCACTATGAATAGGCTTTCTTTCTTTCTTTCTTTCTTCTTTTTTTTTCCTCAACTAAAAACTTTATGAATAGATTTTTTTTTTTTAAAAAAAAAAAACTAGAACTTCTACTTTGTATTAGTGTTTGAAAAAGAAAAAAAAAAAAAAAAAAGAAAAGAAAGATTGCTTATTCGAAAGGAATTTGAAATAAATTGAAAAATTTTCCTATTTCTGTAATTCAAAATCGATAACAATTGAATATTTTGTATAGTTTTTTCTTTCTATTTTTCTTTTTAATGTTTGCCAATCATTTACTTTTCTATTATTGAAATTATTTTGTAATTATTATCTATCATCAAAATAAAATTTAAAAGAGCTAAGAAAAAAAAAAAAAAAAAAGCAAATAATAAAGAAAAAGAAAAAAAAAAGAAGAAGAAGAAGAAGAACTCTGAATTACAGGAAATATTAAATTTTGAAAGTTACTTTTTTTTTTTTTTTTTTTTTCTCTCAATAAAATAATTCAATGAAAATATCAAATAATAAATAAAGTAGTGATAGATTTGATTTTAATAAAATATTTTATATAGTTTTCCTAAAAATGAATTGAGGACTAAATTGGATAGTCTCTTTTGGTAAGTATTTTTCAATTACATCAATATTCATTCTATTACTAATCTCTTAAGATTTCTATCAATCATTTCAAATTTTCTTTAAAAAAAAAAAAAAAAAAAAATTTTTGAAGAAGACATCATAATGGCTCATTGGTTTGTTATTTAACAAAAAGGACATTATTTCTTCTCAATTTTAATTTCCCTTATTCAGTAGGAAAGATTAAATGATTTAGGTTTGGAATTTTGTTTTCTTTTTTTTTTTTATTTTTTTATTTTTATTTTTGTCCCAATCATTATTTTGCTTTTCACAATGAATAAGTTAACTTTTATCAAAAAATATGACAGAAAAAGAAGAAAAATGCCATAGTATGAATAATATAGAGTAGATAAGCTAAAGATGATTGAATTATATATCAATAAAATTTCAATTTTGAAAATGAATTTGTGGTAAATATGTACGATAGTGATAAGATAAAAAAAAGAAGGAAATTAATCCAATAGTTGTAAGCTTCTAGAGAGAGATTTGAAGTAATTCTTATCAGTGATAATAATAGCATAATAGTAATTTCGTTTAATTTAAGCCAATAATGATGCAAATGATAGCTAAATGGAAAATTAGATTATCATCTGAATGAATATTTAAACCTGTTTTCCGGATTCTGAATAATTCGAGCTATTTTCAGGATAACCAATACTGAAGCATATTCCCTGCATAAGGAAAACAAAATTATCATTAATTAAAGCAAATTTTACCTTCTTTTCACCTCCACCCACGCAATGGACAATTTGTGTAGCATAACGTCCTGAATTGTGTCCTCGTTTAATTGTGATAATAGCAAGCCATTATAGATGTCAGAGGTCAACGAGGAAGTTTTGGGATAGTGGTTTAGTTGAGGTAGGTTTGGTTTGTGGTGAGTGCTTTAGGGAAATGCATATTCCGGAAAACGTAGAAATTACGGAGTGATGGGTGTCTAGCAGAATAAGCATATCACGTGGTGTACGAGGTGGTTTCCATTGCAGGTGTTATATGTTATTAAAATTGCGAGTGGCAATTGTGAACTGAATGTTACTAAATTTAATTTGCATATTATATTTTTCACTGAAATCATGCTATTTCATGCGTTTTTGATTATGAAATATATGCATGTTATAGAGGAGTTAGACGAATAGGTAAAAAGTTGTGGTAAAAGTTAGTCAAAGTTGGTAATAATCCTGATTGGCTGTAGGTCGAAGTATACATGATTATTTGATTTAGTATCATTCAACAAGGTAAGAAAATATTATGCTAACGTGATTGGGAGTATACGAATAATTATTTCATCAGTTGATAAATCTAACAAACACGATTAAACATCTATGTTACGTCTTTTTAGGATGCTAAATGTAGATATTTTTTGCGTTTAAGACAAAAAATTGTAGGTTTATTCTTTTACGATGAATAGAATTTCTAATTTTTCAGGTTAAAGATATCGAATAAAACTATAAGTGGTGCAGTAACTGCTTATTTGTGATGTCAAAAGGTACATCAAGTAAACGTCGGCATGGCTGTAAAACGCTACGTGAACAAAATGATGCAACTTCAAGTTATACGAGATCATCTGTTACAGCTTCAAGTAATTCCAATACAAGCCTCTGTCCTCTAATCTTTAATGGACCATCATTACCTGGTATGGTGGATTTTGCTTATAAAGCTTATGACAAATTAGGATAATTCTATTTTTTAATGATGGAAATTGCTCAGAATTTCTTTACTTTTTCATATCAAAAAAAAGTAGAATTGAACGACTCTTCTGTTGTTGCGAAGAAACACTTTGTGACCGTCTTGCTCACTCTTGTCTTCATCTCTTGATATGGATCGTATTCATTTGAAAAATAGCTAACTGTAATCACTGCATCCAAATTAGCTCCAGAAAATTTTTGTGTTTGTATTTCGTAAACATATCATATATAAAATGATTTGGGAATTCTTGTTTAATTAATATTGCGTTTAATAGGCGGCGATATAAATCGCTCTCCTCCCGAAAGTATGCCCTGTGAGCCGTCCACTTCCAGCATCCATCAGGTTGCCGATGAAACTGCTGATTTGAGTGAGCAGTTTTCATTTTCAAAAAAATTTAAAAAATATCTGACACTTAAATTTCCCTTAAATTTTCTTAAAATTTTCCTTTTATTATGCTTTTCTTTGTACATATCAAATCACATCAGAGAATATTGCTTTTAGTAGAAGTTGCATAGCTTAAATTATATTTCTTGAAAATAATATCGTTTGTCAAGTTTACATTTTATTTGTAAATCAGACTCGGAAGTTTTGTTGCCATTACCGGTTCTTTCAACAATGGATACAACAGGACCGTTGGCTAATTTAGACGATAACAATCATTGTTACGTTGGTTTAGTCAATCAAGCTATGACTTGTTATCTGAATTCACTAATACAAACGTTATATATGACACCTGAATTCCGAAATGCAATTTATGGGTAAGTGAAGAAAATCGTTAGTTAAAGGTTTTTTTTTTTTTTTTTATTTCTAATAAGAAAATGAAATTGGCATGGCTAAAGTACTTCACCATTTCTGTAATATTTGATAGGTGGAAATTCACCGGTTCTGAAGCTGCGGAAGCTAGAAGCATTCCATGCCAACTACAAAAATTGTTTTTGCTTCTGCAAACCAGTGACCGTGAATCGCTGGAAACTATTGATTTGACTGCATCTTTTGGTTGGAGTAATTCCGAGGGTAAGTTTTCATATTCATGTTTGAATTGTTAGTCCATAAATTATCTAGTAATTACAGTTTTTTTCTCGAAAACCTTATTGACATGGTTTTTTTGATTACACTTTGTGCTTTAACGATCCTTGGACATTTAAGGCTAAAAATACCTTATCGTTTTTTTTTTTCTCGAATAAATTTTTTTTGTAGCTTACGAGCAACATGATATCCAGGAGTTATGCAGAATAATGTTTGATGCATTAAAACAGAAATGGAGCAAAGCAGACGCTAGTTTTCAGGAACTATACAGGTAATCATACGGTCAAAGGTGTGGTAATAACATCGGAATATCTTGTGTTCTTTGATTCGAAGATCTGAAACTTCATAATAATAATTTTGAGACATAATCGATTTTATAGGGGTAATATGGAGGATTTTGTCAAATGTCTTTTCTGTCAAAAGGAAAATATCAAGCAGGATGAATTTCTGGATTTGCCATTAGCAGTGAAACAATTTGGTGCCACTGATGCCTTCAAAAGTGTGGTAAGTTTTACGTGACTCATTTTTATCTAATTATTTGCTTCATTAAATATTTGCAGGAAGAGGCACTTCATGCTTTCATCAAACCTGAAGTGCTGGAAGGAAGTAATCAGTATTATTGTGAAGGGTGCAGAAGGAAGCAAAATGCGTTAAAGGTAAGATGTCAAGAAAGTTATTGATTCCGAAGTAGTCGAAGTGCATAAAAAATTTCGACCAATTACATTGATTTAGTAGCTATTAGCAGTAATCCATTAAATGTTTTGGAAGAATTTAAACTTTTGAAAATGAGAAATTAGTAATGATAAAATGAAGTAATCCATGTGGTCTCATTTCTTTATCTACATTCTTTTAACAGCTTAGTTGTGATAGATTGTTCTTTCATGAATTTATTTCTTCATTTAGGATCTTTCATCCTACCAGCATGCTATTTTCCTATGAATTACATGTTTTTTTTTTCCTTCTTGTTTCATCTAGCAATAGTGTATGATATTGAACCGAGCCTGTACTAGCTAAAAAATTGTACCGAAGTAATAGTAGCATTATATCTTTCTGTTTTTTGTATTATTGATTCATAAATTCGTTATGGAATCCGTTATAGGGTTTGCGAATAATAAAATTTCCCTATTTGCTGTCAATCCAGCTTAAACGTTTTGATTTTGATTGCAATACACTTCATCGTATCAAATTAAACGACAAGTACGTTTATTTATTTTTCCCTATACCGTTGTCTTGGTGACTGTTTATATTTTTTATGTTAACCTCTTAATTCCGCAATTTCCTATCAAGTTGTTTTAGAATGACCTTCCCAGCATTACTAAATTTGAATGAATTCGTTTACGATGCAACGAAAAGTGAGCCACCGAAGAAGATCAGTTGGGCATCAGCAGTCTCAGTGTCAAGGTTTTTTTTTATTTCTGTTTCAACTTATTAGTTATGGGACCAAGTCATTTAAATGTCTGTTATTTATGCTATTATGTAATAATGTTATGTTTAACATAATTGTCATTGAAAGTTTCTTCACATTTTGATTGTTGCAGGAAAAAAGATGAGCCAACAACATCAAAACCAAATTTATCTGATTATGGTAATAGTTTTTGAAAGAGTCGAGAAGTTATGAATTCATTGTTAGAAATCTTCAGCCATTTAGTGCTCCTCACGTTGCGGTTTTCATGCTAGTTATGGACAGTTGTCAGCCTGTTACATAACATATTTTTTATAGAATGTCTTTTTTTTTCTTCTATTTTAATTATTTATAATTGATATGTTTTAATATATTACTGTGTCTTAATTACTTAGTATCTCGTGCGGAACAGAATAATGGTCATTTGGACGAACAAGAAGTTGATATGTTACTTAAAAGAGATGGTCCATTTCTCTATGAATTATTTTCGGTTATGGTACATCAAGGGAGTGCTTCAGGAGGCCATTATTTCGCATATATCAAGTGAGTTTTAGGGTTTTATAGTTCTGCTGTTTGGAATAATGATATTCGTTAAAGGGAAGTATTTTCTTGGACAGCGAAGCAAATATTTGCATTAATTTCTGTCTTTTTTGCATTATGATTCTTATGAGATGATTGTAGATCAGCATTAATATTCGGGTTACGGGGATTTAATAATATCTGTTTTAGTGATATTATCCTTTTATCGTTATTCTAATACTTATATTGTGCAGTTATCTCGATTATGACGAATGAAATATTTTAGCTGATGGAATAATGATAATTTTCAAGTAATAACTCATCATTTTATCTATTTTTTTAAGGAACATGGATCAAGATAAATGGTTTTGCTTTAATGACAGTAACGTAACTCCTGCTTCAATTGAAGATATACATCGTACATTTGGTGGTTCTTGTGGTGGTTGGTCATCGGGAAATACAAATGCTTATATGTTGATGTATAGACAGGTTTTGTTTTTGTCTTCTTTTTAATATCTGAAGAATTGGAAATTTAGGAATGATTAATTTTGTTTAACATTTTTGTTATGAGCAAGACCGAACAATCAGTTCTTAACCGAAAATTTTATAAGATAGATTTTTTCCAGATTGATCGTAAGCGAAATGCAAGATTTATAAAAACTGGTGAATTAGCGGACCATCTTCTGGAGCGTTTGAGGCGATTTGAGGAGCTAGAAGAAGAGAAACTTCGAGAAAAACAATACAAAGAGTCGCTTGTTTCGGTAAAATTGATAAACTATAACTGTTTTATATGTTCGTCTCTGTTTAACTGCTCTATTATGATACAAATTCGTAGATCAGATAATTATAAATGCTGCAAGTATTATAAAAACTGTGAATTTATATCAGTGTTAAGGTGCACAGATGTGTTTCAATTTCAGGTTAACATAATGTTCAATGGAGCTCATATTATACCAGATGTTGCTAATCTAACGGAAGCAATGAAATTTCCATACACAACGAAATTATCCGAAATTTACGATGCAATTCTTAAGGCATTTTGTGCTAAGACTTCTGTTTCAGTTTCTGACGTTCGGCTGCTGTTGTGCAAAGATTTCACTTATTCAATTATACGTTCATTCACAGAAAATGAAATGCAAAAGGTTATTATCACAAAATGCTAAATAAGTATTCTTATCACTTGTGCAAATAATTGCTATTGCTTTTGACATATCTTCTTAGCTTTATTTGAATAATTTTTTGGAGAATAAATAAGCTGTGCAGTTAAGGAGAATGTAGTAAGAAGGAAACAAATTAGGAAGCTTATCATAATAATAAGCAAAAAAAAATTTTTTTCCAGACATTGGAAGAAGTATATCCTGGATGTTCCGTAAAGAGTTTATACCGCCCGATTGTATATTTTCTGTTAGATGTTAAACCGTCTGAGGCACAACAGTTTTATCATATTTATGACGATGAATCAGTTGGCACAGTAAAATTAATTGCACTTAATATTGAAAATGGAACCTTTCTGCCATCATTTCAAATGCAATATCACGATAATGAAACAATGAGTATGATAAAGCAGAAATTGGGACAGGTATCAAGTATCATTGTTTTATACTTGATCGTTAATACTCTTTGTTAATATATACTCTTGTTGTTTTTTATAATTAATTTTGTCAGAAATTCTACAATATGATGAAGAGTAAATTTTTAGATTTTTCATATTTGTGGTGATAAAACCGACAACATGCGTTTGGTAATTGATAAAGGAATTGCTGCATCACCGACAATGGTTTTGCTTGATGATGACAGTTTTACCTGTGCACAAGCTCTGCTTAATATCACAAATGTCAAAGTAAGCACATGAAATTACCAAGAGTTTTATATCTATAAGGGCAAACTGTTACCACTTTTTACTAACATTCAATATTCAGTTGTATGTGGATGTTGGTGGGAGTGGTTATTCAACGGATGAAGATCGAAAAATCGACTTTGATAAGTCAAAGATGTTTGCACTTTTAGAAAGAAGAAATCATGCAAAAATATTGACAATAAGTCTTCCAACACCAGGTATGTTATTTTCGTTTATTCATTTTTTTTTTTTGGATGAGGGGAGCATAGATATATGTTACATAATTCTGTTATATTTTTCTTTTCCTTCATAGTAGCTGAAAAGAGTTATTTTGAAATAAAATGCGCTTTTATATTTTGCATCTTTGTTTTTAGTTAATATATTTTATATTATATTAGCTATTGAAATGAATGAATTTAGATGATTATATACAAGCTGGAATTATTCCATCACTTTCGCATGATGTCAGTCGTTCAACAACTCCGATAGGTAGTATGCCTGCTGATACAAATACGACAACATCAGGATCTTGTTCAGCAGTTATTGATCTACGTAGTGTTCCCGCTTCAGGTATACCAGAAACGCTTACAATGAAGCAGACAACTCCCTCAATGGCTAGTAGTCATTTGTCATCGGTAATTTCCGAGGAGGATAATAATAGTCCGTGCTTGGTAAGTAATTGCTTTCACAGTATTGTTTTGCAATGGAACAGTTTATTTATCATTTTTAGATGAAGGCATAAAAGTTTTTGGTTTTTTATAATTCATTTTTAGATAAGTTAGATTAAAAGCATATTAGTCTTTGCATGACTTTTTATGTTTCGTGATAAGGAAGATAACAGTGGCCATGAATGCTAGACTACGGATGTTTCAGTAAAGTGGTCTTCCGATGATAGAACTATATATAGAATATAGTTGTTTACATTTTTAGAAGTTCTGATGATAAATTCATCAGTTTTTGCATCCCTTGAATTTCTATACAAAGAGATTTTTTAGATACTTTAGTTTTTGTGGAAATAGGAATCATTTCATTTTGGTGAACATATGCATTAGTTTGCTTATTCGTATGAGGCATTCTATAATATTTGATCAAATTTCGATAATTTATTTTCTTAGGTATTATTGAATATGAAAATTAAGGACGGTGATGGTGATATGGAATCTGTAAGCACAGCATGTACTCCGATGGTATCACCGGTTGTATCTGATAGTGATGATACCGCTGATGTTACTGCTAGGGATTCCGCCGTTGATCGAATAAGCCGTTATGAAGTAATCTTTTGTTGCTATTTAATTTTTGCATTCATTTGAACTTTTCTTTAGAGAGATTTTCCGGGAACTTTAGTTCGAATCATTTCATTTTGGAAATTTTAATGGTTCCTTGTGTTCTTTTATTTCAGCGAACGTATGATGCAGTCATGGCAGCTTCCGAACAAAAACGGTTATTTGAAATGGAGAGTACAGTAGAAGTTGAAGCAAGTATTGCAAGCTCCTCTGGTGATACACTTGTGGGTGGCACACATACATATATTTCCGGAACAACACAATCTAGTTTTGATATTATCATTCGTGGAAAATCACGAGTGAAATCACTCAACGGTTAGCTTGAAATGCTGAGAATTTGTGTTTGTTTTTAATAGATTCTTAATAAAAAAAGAGCATGATCTTTAACCATTTTTAACATCTGATTATTGACTTATCTATAGTTGTTATTATTATTAATCAAGAGCTACATTATTCGATTTGGAATAAAACTAATGCTTTGGAGCAATTGTTTCATCGTAATGTTATCTGTTTAGATGTTGAAGTAGATGTAGACGATCGACAGTTAGTTATTCACATGAAGCAATGGTTATCAGCTGTAATTGGAGTTGATATGAATGAATTTGTTGTCCTCAAACATTACAGTACTGATGACGCTGATGGTTATGAAAGCATTATTAACGAAACGGAAACTATTCATGACGCTTACTATGCTGTTCAAAAAGTATGACATGAATTAAATTTAATATTTGCTACTGTTAAAATAAAGGTCATAGGGTTTTGGGGTGGGTAGGGGAGGGCGGAACTATCAAGTTAAACCTATCTGATGTTGAATGTAGCACATCTATTGTTGATATGTTATTATAATCCATCTTCATTTTATGCTGGTTCCTGTTTATCCTATCTTGTGGAGATCCAAAATCCTTGATATGAAAGAAAAACTGAACTCAAGCTGAAATGTGGGAATATTTCTCTTTTCGATATTTTTTTTAATTTTTTAAGCTGAAGTTTTTTTTTTTTTTTTTTTGGAAAGTTAAACAAAGTCAAAGAAAATGTGTTGTAGCTGTCGGTGAAGTTGCGTTCGCCGTTGAAAGAGAATGAAAAATTGATGCGGATTATCAGGTTTGATCGTGAAAACGCTGATGTGAGTTTTTCAGAATAATTTCATCAGTGTGCATTATTCATATTCATGAATATTATTTAAACAAAAAGCAAAATCTTACTTGAATTTCAGTTAGATAAGTGGCCTACATTGTTCAGTATTCCAACTACTGTTGATATGCAAATACGTACATTATTGATGCGTTGTCAGGAACAGATGAAAAAGGTGTATGCTACAAAATACGACCTCAACCAGTAAGTGGTAGATCAGATAAACCAGTAAAAACTGATCATTTCATTCCATTAATCTTCCTATCATTTGTCTTATATATGGCTTATAAAAATATATGACAGATTTGCTATTATTATTATTATTCCATTTTGTTTATTGAATCGTGTCTTGCATTAATTTTAACTGTACCACAAATAAATTTTTTGAAAATAAATCATGAAATCATAACATCAATTTTAGTACTTATCATATAGCTGTTTAATCTTATAATGCTGTAATGATAGACAAACAGACAACAATTCATAGTTTATTAATGAAGTTATCTTTCTTATATCTTTTTTTATATCATATAATGTTATTGTTATTTCAAAGATTACGATTACGAGAAGTGATTGTTGGTGGCGGAGCACCAGTATTGTTTCTGGGTGACCAGCTCGGCAGACGTGGTCACGATTGGAACAAAAATTTGTATTTGCAATTTCTCTCAGGTTAAACACATTTCATGTAATAAACATTAAACTTTTTTTTTTTTTGACTTACTTGAACTTACATAAACTTTTAAGACATTTCAGTATATGTGATACAGTGCAGTGCAGCATTTTTTTTTTTTTTTTTGTAGATGAAGAAGTTGCACGAGCAAAAATGCATACATCAGCATCTTATCCAGTGATGGTGAGACGTTGGAAATCATCAGTGCCAGAAGTAACATCTTTGGTTGAACTAATGATACCAGTAGATAAGCAGAATCAGGTAGCAGCACTTAAAGAACAGATCTCCTTTCACTATCGTGTACCATTTGATCAGATTCAACTGTCAGAGGTAAAAAATATTCCATAAGTTGTCATTCTCTGCTTATATCAGCTATCATCTGACTAGCACCTAGTTTGCAATAATAAATGAAAGATGTAAAATCAACTAATCACTATTTTAACAATTGAAAGTGTTAAGTTGCTATCTTTTATGCAATTTAAAAACTAAAAAAAAAATCATCTAAATTTCATTTTTCATAATTTAGAAAAGTTATTTTTATAGGCATTTCCAACAACTGCTTGGAGTAAGTGGCCATATACGAAGGATAGAGTTGATTTATATGAAAACGTTAGTTTTACAAATGGTGAAGCACCATCTAACGGAACATTTAATGGGAAACTCATCTATTTCAAGTGAGATTTTTGTATTTTTTTCTTCTAGTCCTTAAGTATAAAATCTTACTATCCTTAAATTTATAGCTCTAAAATTTTATAGTTGTAATTGGTATCTTAGTAATAGGCATTTTGCCTAGTATCAGATTCAATCTAAATATTTTCATTGTGATTTTGTAACATCGTATATGTCGCATGGAAAAGATGGCTACAATTCAATCAACAAAGACAGAGAGAAAGAAAGAGAGAACAAACTGAAATCAAGTTGTTTGGTTGTTACTTTTTGACATCTTTGAAGATATAATACTTTTTTTTTTCTTAATTTTCTTTGAAATTTTAGATTAGCTTATGAGCAAGTGCGGCAGTTAACAGAGAAGGAGAAACGTTCATTAAGATTCAAAGATAACGTTATAAAACCCGGCGATGGTACGATTTCGCGAAGGAAAGAAAGACCACTGAGGATACAGTTATCGACTAGTATCACCGAAGATGATTAAATCAGTGTTTTATTCATTTATTTGCTACTCCTTTTCTTTCACTTATAATACATATTATTAAATTGTGTATTAAAATGATTTAGAAATAATAAGAAAAATGGTTGATCATATTGTTGTAACGTGTAGAGCATTATAATTTATAACCTCTAATTGGAATTGCTTTAAAATTATTATGAAACACAGCTTCTGTTAATCGGTTGTGATTCTTTTTAGGCACTTAGTCTTATTTACTCTGTAGATTGAAGAGTTTAGAATTGATGAGATGATTCTTTTTTTTTTTTTCCTTTTTTTTTTTTTTTTTTTTTAAAGGGAAATTGTATAACTCTGTATGCAATTCATTCAGTGCCTATTTATCTTACATTTTTTATGCATTTTTCCTTCTACCATGCATTTCCTATCGCCTTTGCACTGTTTTAAGTGCAATGATTTTCGCTCTACCAAATATTTTAAAAAAGGTATTTTTATATACCTTTTTTTTTTTTTTTGACTGCAGTTTAAATCACTTCCTTAGAAATTCTCGCTGTTTTGAATTACTCATGGACCATATCACTTTGGTTACAAAGGAATCACTAGCTTTTCACCATTAATTATTATATTATGGTTAAAAAGTTGGTTTCTTGGGTGCCACATTCTTATAAATGCTGTATGCTATATTCTCATCATTACTTTTGTTATGTTTTACACTCATTATTAGTTCAAATGTTAAGCAAATATGAAAGAACAAATAACGATATCTTTTTTTTTTTTTTTTTTTTTTTTTTTTGCAAATTTTCATAGAGTTAACATTTGAGGATTAAGATTCATATTTTTGTGTGTCAAACATGGTAGTGTCATTAGTTACCAATTAGTATGAGTTTCTGCCATGTTATTTCTCCTAATGATCTATTAATTATTTTTACCAAAATTATGAATTTATTTACACTCTCCATATAGTTGAACAAGAACTAGTCGATGCAAAAATTGTTAAAAGCGACATTTTAATGCTAAATAAATAAAATCACAGTTGGAGGTAAGAAATATTTCCATTTTACCCTTTCTCGCTCATATTTTACTATTTTAATAAAATTTACTTCTAGGCATACAGTTTTCAAAATTCATCGTAGCACATAGCAATCTACTATGTACACCTACACTATCAATAATACCATGGAATAACAATAGCTCACCTGTTTGATTTCTTCCTTATGTATGCTTATGTATGATATGTTGTTATGGGAGTTAATAGTTAAGCGTTAAATAAATCATTTGTTATTTGTTAATGTTTGTTGAAAATAGCTCAACATTTATAGATCATTTTTGAAGGCTTACATTATTAATCTATGGTTAGCTAACATATCGTAGAGTTAGATGTATATGTACATCTATTTTGTTTATATGATAGGTAAATTCTCTAATTTGCAGACCAATTTGTAGATCATATAGATATTATCAGATAGATTGATCAATTAACATCTTTTATCTTATTTTACTAGAGCAATATAGATATGAGTGATAATAACAAAATGATACGTAATAGGGTTTCCCCTGTTGTATTAGCATTACATTTAATTTTGTTGATTTGATTGATTGATTGATTGATTGATTGATTGATTGATTGATTGATTGATTGATTTCTCTTTGACATTGTCAATCAACTGGGGAGTGATCAATTTTAATGGTGATTAACCTGACTATATTGTTGATGCTAAAAGAAATATGAATATAGTTGAGGTTTACTTTCATCCATAGAAGCTGCCAATTCCGCAGCAACCCATACCATAACCGCCCATTCCCATACCAGATAAACCATAGCCACCGATGCCACCGTAACCTCCATAACCACCAATTGCACCGTAATTCCCATAACCGTATCCATAACCATAACCGTAACCATAACCTAAATTTAATTTTGGGCAATGTAACAAGAAGAGAACATTTAAATCATAACAATTCATTTATATTAAAAAAAAAAAAGTAATTTCCATAAATAGATAAATATAAACAGATTTATTTGTATCATTCTTTTATAAATAATAAATTAACATTGTTAAATTTAAATATTATTGTAGTATATATTTTTATTTTTATTACTTTAGTCAAATTATTTAAAAGATTTAATGTTTGGTCATTTAATACAACTAATTAATAAATAATTTAAATCATACCACCACATCCATGCATCATACTAAATCCACAACCACCAAAAAATTGTCCTTCGATAACACATAACAAAAATAGAAGTGAAAATATTAGTTGTATCGTTTGCATCACAATTATTCACTTTAGTTATGTTGAGTTAGTTAGCAACAAATTAGATATATTAAAATAAAATTTTCGTATCGTTTAGTGTAAAAATTTTATTTATATTTATATACATTTTGTTGTGGACAACTTCTTACCACTTTCTTGTTATCATTGTTTGACCTTTTGTTGAAGTAAAGTATACATTAAGTTCTATGCAAATAAAAATCACAATGAGAAGAGTTATTTACCTGAAATATATTACTATTATTACTCTCTTCTAAGTAACACATATTTGAAGTGCTACTTGTCATTATTAGTGTCACTACTACTACTATCATTTATTCTCTTATTATTATTATTATTATTGTTGTTTATCATTATTGTTATTAATATTATTATTACTCTTATTTATTATTGTTCTCAGTTGTTATTATTGTTTATCGTTATTATTGATATTATTATTGTTATTATTATTATTATTATTATTATTATTATTCTACGATATGTTTATAAACTTCTTCACTGAAATAGTATCATACTTCATAGTGGTCTTTTTTTTTTTTTTTTTACTTTATTTCAACAATAAATTTTGAATGAAATGATTAAAGTCACGACTGAGAATTATTTTCATTATTCTTATTATGTATTTTGTATATTCATTATTAAATGTTCAAAATTCATCGTTTTTTTTTTTGCTTTTTTTTTATTATTATTACGATTATGTTAAAATGAATTAACAAATAATAATTTTGTTTTTTTTTTTTTTTTTTTTTTATTTTCATTTTCGATTAAATATATTTTGCATTCATTATGTATTTGATGATTATCATTTATATATAAATAGTTAAACAAATTGTGATTAAAATTATTCAATTTTTACAGATGTGAATACAAATATTTTAACTATGTAATTTATGATTTATTCCGGAAAAATTTATTCCGGATTTCTATTATCACTGAATTGATTATTCGTATACTAGCATCACTAGCAAAGTTAATTAACAAATACTGAATGCCAATTGATTTTTTCTGGTAATTTTGGAAATTTTTAATTGTTTGCATTTTAATTTTTAATTAATAGTAAAGTTCTATAATTTTAATTAATAATTAAATAGTAAAGTTCAGTAATTTAAATTAACAACTATTAGTTAAATTTTATAATATTTATAGAATAATACAAAAATTGTTGCATATTTGTTAATACTTTTTTATCATTTTATCATTTCCATTATTCGATATTATCAATATTTCATATTTCTCTTACATTAATATCATTTCGTTTCACTGTATTCTCATTGCAAAATCATTTTTACTCAACAAATCTCTTTTCTATTATTATCAGTTATCTTTAGATCAAGAAATTTGATAAAATTATTAGCTAATTTGACTGATCGATTGATCAATTAATCGATTAATCAATTAATCGATTGATCGGCATGTCATTACGATATCATTTGATTCATTCGATAAATGCTCATATGAATTATATGTGAGAATAGAATGTTGCAGTAAATATGAAATGAAAATGTATCTTTTGAATATATTTTAAAATTATTTCTCTTCCAATGAAATTCTGTATGTCACATCACTTTTACCATTTTTTTTTTTTTAAATATAATTTAAAATTAAAACGACAAAGTAAACAAATAATATTTTTTCAAATCTTTATTATCAATAAAAATATATTACTACCACATATTAATATCATTCATATATGTACATGCACATACATACATACACATACACATACACACATACACATACACACATGCACACACACACATGCACATACATACATGCACATACACACATACACATACACACATACACACACACACATGCACATACACACATGCACATACACACATACACATACACACATACACATACACACATGCACATACACACATACACATACACACATACACATACACACATGCACATACATACATGCACATACATACACGCATTGTTGTCAGTAGTAGTTTGTGCGATTGCAAATTGAAATGAGAAAAGAACCGGCTCTTCTCTCTTTTCAGTATTTCCCACTTTTTTCATCCTTTCCACCTGTCTTCTGTCCTCAAATCATGCTTTATACATATTTACAGGTGTGTGTGTGTGCATGTGTATGTATGTATGTGTGTGTATGTGTGTGTGTGTGTGTGTATGTGTGTGTGTGTGTCTGTATGTGTACATGTGTGTATGTGTGTGTATGTGTGTTTGTGAAATTAACACCTTTTTTTTGATAACTTTAACTCAAATTACTCTTCATTTCTATTTCTTATCAATATGTCACTTAATTATTTTGGCAGTATTTTTATAAATGAAATACCATCAAGAATGTACAAAGAGAGAGAGAGAGGGAGGGAGAGAGAGAGAGGGAGAGAGAGAGAGAGAGGGAGGGAGAGAGAGAGAGGTTGATGTTGTTATTAACACTTAATAGTATAGGCAAAACCTATCACATTAATGTTTTGTACTTTGTACCATTTTCAATAATAATAATAATAACAACATAATCAATATCTCTTATCATTTATCATTTATCACTATTGCTTATCATTATAATCATTAATTTATCACTATAATTGTTAATACTAAAAATGTTCATACAGGAAAGGAAGTAATTTCTGGAAAAAGAGCGCATTCTCATCGTTTTCACATCCATTTCATCGAGAAAAAAAAAAAACGAAAAATTCCAACGTCCCATTTGCACCAATGGCCATTGAAACAAACAAGTATTGTTGGGTGGGTGGGTGGGTAGGTGGATGGGTAAGTGGATTGCTTGCACTCATCATATCCATCTGTATGTATGTGTATGTATGTATGTACGTATGTATGTATGTGTGTGTGTGTGTGTGTATGTATGTGTATGTATGTATGTGTATGTATGTATGTGTATGTGTGTGTGTGTGTGTGTGTGTGTATGTGTGATCCTGTTTGGAGCAAAAATTCTCATTTCATTAGGTTAGGTTGATATTAAAATCAATGGTGCAACAACGACAGCGAAATTCTTTCTAACCGTATCTAACCTCTCTTTCTCTCTCTCTCCCTCTCTCTCTCTCTCTCTCTCATCGTTTCCGCCCACGCCTATAGCAACCACCCACGCTTTTCCTCCTATTAGTTTAACTAACAAACTAACTGTTTTGTTATCTTCATTTGATATGCTTATTATCAATAATTATTATTCAATTTGAATATTTATTTATGCATAGCTGAATTATTGATTTTTTTGTTTATCTCTCTACCATTTTATCAATGTTAACTGATAATATTTGAAAAAAAACAAACACCCAAAGATGAAAATTAATTTTGGTACTTTTTAAATTGCTAAAAATACTACTATAAGATTATGTAGTAAAAGCAGAATGATGAATCGTTTGTGTTGAAAATATTATATTAAGCATTTCTTAGGTTGAAATTTTTTTTTTTTTTTAATTTTAATAAATTTTTTACTTTTCTCTTTTTGTTTGTTTGTTTCACATACAATTTTTGATTATATTTTAGTATGGAAATGATATTAGAGTTTTGATAGTTTTTTTTTTTTTTTTTTTTAATGACGGAAGCTATTGCGGAGGAAAGCAATGTATGCGGTAGCGGAAACAATTCGTTTTATAAAGTTATCCATTTTTATTCAAGAATTTTGCGGAAAAATAAGGATGGCAATTTCCACTAGACACTATTGTAATTTATGAATTCATCTTTTGGTGTAATATATTAGTTTATTTGCTTCCTTTTCCTCTCAATTTCTTTTAGTTTTATGTCTGTTTAGCTTTGTTAGCATCGATATAATAGGCTTTTCCTTTTTTTTTTTCCTTTTTTTTTTTTTTTTTTAAAACATGGATGAATGTTTCGTTTTAGTTTGAAATTGCTTTTCACAAATACATCAATTTGCTGCTTTCTCTTCTTTCACATCAAATTTTCTTATTACTCTCTCAAAGGTCATCCATCCATCCATTCAAACATTTGTAAGAAAGAATGCATACGTCACCATGAAATTTCTGTCTTAAAAAAAGAAAAAAAGAAAAATTAATAAAAATTATAAAATGAAAATGAAGTAATCGAGAAAGGAAGTGAGAAAATTTTAGATGTAAAATGAAAACTTTTTATATATAACACTGTTATATAGCATGTTTATATTACCGGAAATTGAAAGTTGTTTGGGAAGTTATGTTAAAATTAAGTGAAAAGGTGGTTTAAATAGAAATGAAGAAATTAAAAAAAAAAAAAAAAAAAAAAAAAAAAAAAGAGAGAGAGGAAAAAGGAAAGAGGTAGAAGAGGGAGGGTTATAGGATAGCCATTGATGGAGTGAAATAGAAGAGAAAATTTTATACGAAAAATTGAAGAATGCAAAAAAGGTTCGTATGGAGCGGAAATGATCGTTCCTTCTATCATCATTGCATTATTTATATTTTTTTTTTTTTTTTGAAGAGATGACACTACCGCATCATCCATAGAAACTACGATACAATGATGACTCATTGATATTTTATCGGAAATGATCCAATGATGAAGAAACGAGTTAATTATTCTGTTATAATTAAAACTTATCCAATTAATTTTAGGAATGATTAAACTTTATTTAGATCAATTTTAGGAATGATTAAACTTTATTAAGATCAATTTTAGGAATGATTAAACTTTATTCAGATCAATTTTAGGAATGATTAAACTTTATTCAGATCAATTTTAGGAATGATTAAACTTTATTCAGATCAATTTTAGGAATGATTAAACTTTATTCAGATCAATTTTAGGAATGATTAAACTTTATTCAGATCAATTTTAGGAATGATTAAACTTATTCAGATCATTTTAGGAATGATTTGAATAAAAGGTAGCATTTTTAATTTTAATTGATTATTGAATTAAAAATTTGTGGGTGGAAGAGTGAAGAAGGAATGAAATTATTAAGTAGAAATATGATACGACTAGATTAAATGCTAATTTTTGTGACTATAAAATAGGAATAGTTAGTTACAAAGGGAGAAGGATTTTAATAGCCTTCAGAAAGCATTTTAAAGAGAGAGAGAGAGAGAGAGAGGGTAGGAAGAGAGAGAGGGAGAGAGAAAGAAGGGAGTATTTTATAATAATAATAGCTAATCATTTCATTTGGGCCTAATTAACTGCAACATCCATTTGTTCCCTTTTCATGAAAAAGAAGCCTAATAGAATATCTCTTTTACTCTTATTATAACTTTCTTTCATTTCTCTGATTTTCATGAAATATTCTCCATTACTATTATTGTTTTACTTCTTCTCTTCTTCATAGACTCTTCTCCCTCTCTCCCTCTCTCTCTCTCTCTCTCTCTCTCTCTCCTTTAGCCTGATTTTAGGCCTTATTCTTTCCATTTCTCTCATTTTCATTTTGTTGCTTTTCGTTCTATCGCATCTGCTACGGGGTCATATGGTGTAATCGATGATCGGTCAATCTGGTCGACATTATAGATGACCAGGACGGATCGATGTAATTATTGGACAGACGGAATGAAATGACCAAGACGGATCGATGTATTATTGGGAGACGGAGTGAAATGACCAAGACGGATCGATGTATTATTGGGAAACGGAGTGAAATGACCAAGACGGATCGATGTATTATTGGGAGACGGAGTGAAATGACCAAGACGGATCGATGTATTATTGGGCAGACGGGATGAAATGACCGTGGCGGATCGATGTATTATTGGGAAACGGAGTGAAATGACCAAGACGGATCGGTGTATTATTGGGAGACGGAATGAAATGACCAAGACGGATCGATGTATTATTGGGAGACGGAATGAAATGACCAAGACGGATCGATGTATTACTGGGAGACGGAATGAAATGACCAAGACGGATCGATGTATTATTGGGAGACGGAATGAAATGACCAAGACGGATCGATGTATTATTGGGAGACGGAATGAAATGACCAAGACGGATCGATGTATTATTGGGAGACGGAATGAAATGACCAAGACGGATCGATGTATTATTGGGAGACGGAGTGAAATGACCAAGACGGATCGATGTATTATTGGGAGACGGAGTGAAATGACCAAGACGGATCGATGTATTATTGGGCAGACGGGATGAAATGACCGTGGCGGATCGATGTATTATTGGGAAACGGAGTGAAATGACCAAGACGGATCGATGTATTATTGGGAGACGGAATGAAATGACCAAGACGGATCGATGTATTATTGGGAGACGGAATGAAATGACCAGGACGGATCGATGTATTATTGGGCAGACGGGATGAAATGACCGTGGCGGATCGATGTATTATTGGGAAACGGAGTGAAATGACCAAGACGGATCGATGTATTATTGGGAGACGGAATGAAATGACCGTGGCGGATCGATGTATTATTGGGAAACGGAGTGAAATGACCAAGACGGATCGATGTATTATTGGGCAGACGGGATGAAATGACCGGGGCGGATCGATGTATTATTGGGAAACGGAATGAAATGACCGTGACGGATCGATGTATTATTGGGAGACGGATCGGTGTATTATTGGGCAGGCGGGATGAAATGACCGTAGCGGATCGATGTATTATTGGGAAACGGAGTGAAATGACCAAGACGGATCGATGTATTATTGGACAGATGGAATGACTGAAATGACTGATTGCAATGAGTGAGGAGGATTGTGTGGTTTAGCTCGTGTTGACTAATTTCAACTGAACACTTTACGATGAATCTTTTTCGCTTTTTCATTTCCATTTTTCTTATTTTCATGCTTACTTAATGAATTGTCCATTTTTACAAAAATCATAATTAAATAGCAATGCATCAATGTTTTTAATATAAGCAAATGAATAATTAGCATATATAAAGTTATATTTGAAATAGAATTGAGTAAAATTATAAATAATATAATGTGTGTGTGTGTGTGTGTGTGAGTGAATGTACTTCAAACATTGTTTCATTTTTATGAATTTGTCTCATTGGTTTGCCAAAAGTGAAACAAAGCGGAAAATTTGAAGGAAATTAGATTATCTAAATTAAATATAAGGAGCATTTGCTTACAAACTGACTTATTCATTACAAGTATTCCTTTAGGCATTTTAGCATATTATGGTTTATTTTCATGCTTCATATAACAAATTTCAATTTTTAAAATTGGTGAGATAAAATTACTGATACGAATATGATAATAATAACAGTAATCAATTTGTTATCAATAGGTTATTATTAATGTACTGGTAATTGTTTACAGCATGTTTTGCTATATTTAGCATATAAAAAGTGGATAATTAAGAATATAAATTTAATTTTTATTGATAATATTTTGAACTTTATTTTGCATTTGCTAAAAGTATAGCTGTTAACAGTTATTATAATTTTTGATTTGGATAAAAAAAATGGATTGACTTATTGGTTAGAAGTGGAATTGAAATTTTGCATTGTTAAATCTCAACATATGGCATTCTATGCTATCATACTTTTATCACTTTTTTGATTCTTATTCAAATATAATTCTTCCCCTAATGATTATTTATTGTAATTGCAATTTGTGATAACATTAATGATAATAATCTGTACTGAAATTTTTTAGATAAGCTCTGTGATATTTTGGAGAAAGCCGTTGTTTGGTGTGTACCCAGTATTTTCTGGCTGGCAATGTATACTTCTGTAAAAGGGAATGATTATCATCGGATATCACGAGAGATCCGTTTGGTGATCCCTCATTATAATACAACAAGCAACTGTTCCCAATAATGATCTGTTGGAAGCCAACAATGACTGGAAAAACAACACAGTGGCTTTGGTGGTCTACTCTGATATTTCTTCTTCTTAGGGCTACAAAAGTATGATTGTTTATTTTTAGCTTTGTTGTCATAAATTTTTATTTCAAGAAGTAGATTTGAAATGAGAAGAAAAATCAACAAGATAATGTAATAATCTGGAACGATAAAATAATCACTTTTTGAATCACTCTAATAAATAATTAGTATTAGGAATTTTGTAAATTAAATATATGGTAAGAATAATAAAAAAAAATTTGATAAAATTTTTACAGCAATTTGGTGTAAGACGAATGGTAAACAGTGATAAGAATGATAATATGAATGATAAAAGCATATGGTATTCGGAGAATATTAGTGTAACACGTCTTAAACCACAACCTAAAACACCCAGCGAATTGAGTAAATTTTTATTCCATCTTTTGTTTTATAACATCTTTTGTTTTTTAATTTGTTTTAAAAAAATTTAATTTTATAACAAACATATCACCAAAATTAAATTGTCTTTCGTTTTTCTCTCAGGATAACCATAATGGAAATTTAGTAGTTTTTTTCAAAAGAAATGTTTCAGAGATACCAGAATGTGAAGATTCAATCAATGATTGTGCATATGGTGGTAAATGCGTTACTGATTCAAATGGTTACAAATCTTGTCTTTGTCCAGCAAGTTGTCCGGCATGTGGGTTTTTTTCCAAATTTTTTTATCAATTGTTACCAATTTAGTGAAGAATCTCGTAGCTTACCATATATGATTTAGTTTTATCTAATCTAATTGTTTGCAAAGATTTTTTTATTCTAAATGATAAATCGAATAACACGTTATGTTGTTTTATATATTCATTCTAACGAGGAACTACTAGTATATTTTCATCTTTTGGATTTCTAGAATAGATATTGATTTAACTTACAGCTTATTTTAGCAATTCCGGTGTCATGCCGTGCTGGCAGGCAGGATGATTATTGCATGTCGATGAGTGATGATTACAGAGATAGGTATCTACTACCGGAACCTGCTTGTCATATGGTTTGTTATATTTTTATTTTACTCATTTTCAGAACTATTTTTTTTTTTTTGAAATTTTTATTTTTACTTAATTTGATCAGTATGTGAGATGAGACGGTCGCATGATCCTTGTTGTGAAAAAAAAAAAAAAACTGAATATATATACGGTGGAAAATCTGTTTCTTGAGAAATATAAATTATTCTGAATAAATGTAAAAAATTTTAACATCCGGTTTATGGTTCATTTATGGTTGTGGTTATAATTGCTATGGTGTTATGCTTCACAAATAAATTTATTTGCATATAATTTTTAATAAATTATATGTAATTACAGCCTTTTCTAAAAATTTAAATTGTAATTTGAGGGATGGGCATTTTTTTCTTTTTGAAAAATATGAAAAAGAAAACCTTTTATTTAGTTTGAAATTCTTATCTCTCCCAAAGGATTCTGCAACATTCCTTATATTCTGTTAGAGATATCGGTTTTCTTTTACTGATCTAACTATTTTTACTAAATTAGTACACTTTGAAATTTCATGACCGGAAACTGAACGTTTTAATCTTAATTATTTCAAAGCAAATACATTGCTCAATTTACCAATTTGCCGAATGTTGACCTTGAGTTCTAATGGTTTGATGAATCGATTAGATAGTTGAATTTTACATTCCAGAAGAGCAAGTTTAAAACCGGAACTTGTTTCGTAAAAGTTGTTTATCATTTAGTTTCTTCTATCATTATTGTTTTTTGAAAATATTTGGAAATGAATTTTTGCGCTAAATTCGCTGTTTTTATCCGAGACTAATAAGTTGTGATAGTTACTTTTTGTTGATGAACTTAATCCGAAATCGTTATTGAAATTAAGACTTACTGTCATTCTGACTTATTTCACCAATGACTTATAGATGTTCGAGATGTTTCGAGTTATCTCCATATTCTTAGAGTTAATCGAAGTCAAGTGGTTTTATTTAATTTCGTTCATTGAATATCACTAATTAGAAAGGCATTTCTGATCAATCGATGGATAGTGTGAAGAAGATTTGAGAGCAAACTTTATGCATAAATGAATATGGGGATTTGAAATGAAATGAAATTATTTTCGATCTTAGCTTCATTTAGATTGTTTGTCAGTACATTTCACAGAAATATCAAAAAATCTAGCTGAAATAAGATTAGGAGAAGAACATGCATTGTATCCAAGTTTTGTTATCATTGATACTTGTTCATTGTCTGTAACTGATAGTAACTTTTCAGGAATTAGTAATGATTTTTGGAAATTGATATTTACATTCATACGAGATTGAACTTACTTACATTACTATTCTTTAAATTTTTAGCACTGTACATTACAGGGGATTTGTGTTTGTCCTCCAATGTTTGATCCGTGGAGATTAGAAGGAGCTATTGAATTACTTCCCTTCAAATGTGATCGAAGTATGTTTTTATTTTTCCATAAGAATTAATAAATTTAATCTGTTCTGGAATTTGCTGCTTTCATTTGAAATTATAACATTGCTACAATGCTGGAAATAATATGAGATAGCGAAATTGATAAATGATAATGTTAAGGATAAATTATAAGGAATTTAATATAAATAAAAAGAGAACAATGGGCTTACTTTAATCGTTTAATTAGAGCTTTTTTGATTTCCTAACATACAGCTCATACATGTGCTCTATTTTCTGAAATACATTTTTTTCCTTAAAAATTTCTTAAAATTATTTGTGATTGATTAATTATTCCTAAATTTTGGAAATGGAGTAGTTGCAGGAGAATTAATGGTACAGGGACGGGCGCTTCCATCCGATTCTGTTTATCAAGGCACAGATGCCAGTTTATTTTGTTGTATCAATATGGATCCGAGATCATTTATTGATGATGATGGAGTGTGTCCTCAATATCTTTTGCTATATTTAATTTTAAAAATATCGCAAAATTTTACTATCATAATTTTGTTTCTAACTTTAACATTTTCATTATATTGTGAGAAGCATATAGTTAATAATATTTATGGAAAATTTTTCATGATCTATGTTTTAGATGCAAGATTTTCGATTTTCTTGAATTACATATCTGAAATATAGTTTTATGTAGATCGTTGGGTGATCCATTCGAAATGCTTTCATATATTAGTTAAATGAATATTTGCGAATAGATGATTAATAATACTAAATAGAAAATGCGGTTCTTAAAAATTTGCAAAAATTGTTGATTAATCTGGCGACCTTTAATTTTGTTTTTACAAATGTAAGGAGAGGAAAAATTGGATTTTTAGGTGGATTTTATACAAAATTCATCAATCATACGTGAACCAACCAATACACCATACGATGAAGTTTTCACCGATGGCATTGAACCACCACGTTGCTGGTCACTGGAAATTAAGAATGCACAATATAGTGATAGCGGAACATATCTTTGTCACGTGAAAACAAACGGTAAACACGAAATCAACACCAATCATACGATCAATTTTTTCGTTAAAGGTACGATCAGTTTCATCATTTATTTATCGATTGATTTTATTGTTGACAGATTTTAAGTTTATGCAATGTTGTCTAAAAATAAGTCATATTTGTTGTGAAATATGGGATTTGTTATATTCGAAATATCCAGTCAAATTCATTGGGATAGAGATGTTCAGGAATAATTTTAGTTACACTTTATAATTTTCCTCTCATTTTTAATTTTGACATTTATTTTAAAAATTGTTCTAGATTTTAGGTGCAGGACCAGCATCGTCAAGTAATGAGATAAGATTGAAGAAATAGGATTTTAGAAAGAATCTTAATTTTAATTGCAAATATCTTTTTCTTCAAATGTCGATGTAGTTGTATAATTGTAGAAATATATGTAGCATTTGGTGATACGTCCATTTGGTGTTTTTGATGACATTCATTCAATTTCATTGTTACAAACCACCCTTTTGATAGAGATTTTGATATCATAAATGTTTGAATTGAGTACATATTAAGAAGAAAAATATCATTAAACCCATGCTTAAAAAAATGGGTTTAATTTTTCTTCCCTTACAAATTATTTTGTTTATAATGTAGATGCGGAAAAAGTAAAGTGCGTTTAATTTAATAAAAGATCAGTTGAGTTTTTTCTTGATCACTAAAAATTTCAAAAGTTTTTACTGGGAAGAAGTCTGGAAAAAAGTTTGTCGTGATGACATTTCAATGAGGAGGAATTTGTTGAATTCTGAAATTAGTTCGGAGGAAATTATCTGTTAAATATCCTAGATCAAGGTAGTCTTCCCACTGGAGATTATTCATCCACCAAACTGAAATTTCTCGATCTGCTTGCTGAACGACGAAAAGCCAAGAAAATTGAGGAGAAAAGTGAGTTAGTAGGACATTTAGCATGTAATATCACTTTATGACTTCTCTAATGCATGCTATTTGGTTTGTGGATTTCAATTTTACGGTAATTTAGATTCAATGTATTAGAAAAAAAGCAATTCGATGTGGGCCAGATGAAGTAGTTCATAGTACAAGAAATAGGAAATTTATTATGTCTTTTTCATTGTGATAGCTAAATTGGTTTTGCGGATCTTTTCTTTCTTTCTTTCTTTTCTTTTTTTTTATCACTTTTCAAGTTTTCGATCAACTTCAACGAAATGTAGGGCTGTAATTTATTTATTTTTAGTTATTCTTGAAAAATTGTTATTCTTAAAAAGCTTTCTATAACTATGCAAGTCTAAAGATAGGTGATATAAATTATTCGAATACTAAAAGTCAAGCAGATACTGGAATGCGTTTTTGGTTGACATTTTTAAAACAATTATTTCATCTAACATATCCTATGGAAAAGAATTTATCAGTCATCTGTTCAGTGGGCTTATTCAGAAGTGAATTCACCACTGTAGCAAAACTCTTATATGAAATTTTATAATTGAAATTCATTATACAACGTACGTCTAGCATTAATATATCATTGTTCCAACAATTATTATCAGAATTTGTGATTAAAATTTTAGAATTTAGAATTTCATTCCTAGCAGATTTTTGATATTTATAATTTTTTTTTATCTTCTGATATGTGCATGTTATGTTATCATTTGCATGATTTTTGTTGTGTTGCATGTATGCAAATTTGTTGATCAATATGATGCATTTCAGTAAGTAATTTCATTTTATACTTTTTTCTAGCACCACGAATCATCCAAAATGTGACAGTGAGAACAAATGCAACTCATGCGGAAATTCGATGGGATGCGCAAGATGATGGACCAATGTTAAAGATTGATTTCAAGTAGATCTTTTCCTTATTTATCAACTGTTAAATCTTTCAAAGAAAAAAAAAAGGCATGTTAAAGTGAAAGTAGAAAAGATATTATTGCATTTTTTGCACTGAATGAAAATCTAATTGGAATTTATTTTATTGAAATTGTTCAACTAAGTAAAATTTTAAAATAAATTAGTATAAGTCTTTTAATGATATTGTAGATTAATGCGACGAACAGATGGAGTAGAGGTATGGTCAGATATAAATGCAAAATCTGGTGTGGTCATTGGAGAATTGTTACCAGCAACGCCGTATACATTATTCATATCAGTGTTTGATGGTCAAAATGAACCATTCAAAATAACCGAACATTTTACAACATCTGAAAGCGGTAATTTTAGTGAAATATTAGAAATGAATGCATTCGTGTGATTAATATGTGATGAGAATATTTTAAGCTATAAAACTTGACATATTAAAAGTTATCAATTTTTTTGATTGGAAAATGTCAACTGTAATTTATTCACACTAGTTTAAAAAAAAAAAAGAAAGTCATATCCTTCATTGAAATTTACAGAAAAAAATTTTATAATTTTAATTCTTACAGTACTTTCTCTTAACTAACAGTAAAAGATGGATAGAAAAAAAAAAAAAAAAACCATCGTATATAGCATCTAAAGTTATCTCAGTTTCATTTTTTAAATTTGATAAATTTTTACAATATCACTTTTTTTTTTCTCTGTGTATTTTAGCTCCAGAACCACCAACACTGGGTGAAATACGTATTCTCAATCTTCAGGGTGGTTTGTACTGTGAAGTTGAATGGATGCCACCGAAAACACCAAATGGACGTATCACTAAATATTACGTATGTTTATATCGATTTTCATATTGAATAAAATCATCTTTCCTGTAGCTACATCATATTATCTTAGTTTAAATAGTGGAAATGTTGAAAATTTGTTTGAATATCACATTTTAACAGGTAACAGTACGAGGTCAAATACGACATGTTTCGCCCGGTGGAATTTTATCAAATGATGATTTTCCAGCAGAAGAGAAAAATCAGTGTGCTAATTACAATAATAATGATAGTAGCTATACGAGTGCTGATGCTATTGCAGATTTTTATTCATGTCGTTTTGGACCATTAAAAGTATTCAATTTTTTTTTGTTTTTTATGCATATAATTTGGGAATAAAATCTTAATTAACAGATTGTTTAAAAAAAAAAAAAAAATTAGTTACATTAATAAAATTTTTTTTTTTGAGCCAGGCTTTTTTTTTTTTGCCTTTACTAAATTTTTGGGAATATCTGGAGTTCATAATTTGAAAGTTTTTTAGGATTTCATTCCAAATATTTAACTTACAGCCGAATCGAAATTATACTGCATTCGTATGGGCTGAGAATGGAGCTGGTCGAAGTGAAAATGCAACATTTTCTGAGCAATGTATAACAGATTTTGCGCAACCTGATGCCGTCGATGCTCCAGCTTCAATGTCGCAAAATGGGACAGTATTTGGTTTGACATTTAATAGCGAACCGGATGAAGTTAACGGCCCTGTAGCGTAAGTGATTTTTAATTCATAAATGACTATGATATTTTAGACATTTCAGTTTGCTGTTATTCAATTTTTAGTAATTTCACATCTCATCGAAATGAAATATTAATAAATGAAAACTAGAACTAGCTTTTATGCAAAATTTTATCCATTATACTAATTTTGGTATGTATATATATACTTTGCTCTTTAAATTATTTTATTTGTTTAATTTTAGAGCGATTTTTCTTTATGCAAAAAAGACATGGAAGCCTTCAAGCAGCTATTTTTAACTTTGCAATAAATTTTAACAAATCTGAGTAAATTTTCCCATTCTCATTTTATAGATGTTACTACGTTGCAATTGTTCCGCTTGCACCAGATGTTGTTATTGAGAGTTTGCCGGCACCTGATTCACTTATTGTTGACACATTCCTGAAAGCAATGGGCAATAATTTACAGAGTGAACAGCTAAAACAAGTAATTTGTCTACTTTTTTTTTCGTAGTTTTAATACATCACTGTACTTTAGTATTACTAATATACGATTATTTTTTTTTTTCTTTTCTGTCTTTAGTGTAGGTTTTTCCTAGTTGTTTCTAGCAGCTTGTTTAGGTCAAGTGATTGCAAGATTGTGATACATATTTAAACTTTTTTCGGATGAAATATAAGCAATCCTCCAATCTCTTCTTTTAAATTCGGAAATATGTTTTTTTGCTATCTTTCTGTTAATTTTTGCTTAAAGTATTCAAAAAAAAATTTATATGATAATATCTATGAGCAACATGTGGAGGAAATAATCGTATAAAGAAAAACTTTAAAAAAAAATTTCAGGAAACGAAACAAAAACGTTACTTTGCATATATCGCAGAAAGTTATATGCAGTATCCGAAAAGAACACTTATTGGTGATGGTAATACTACAGCTGGTGTAGAACCCTGCAATGTTTTGTATGTCATATAATAGAAATTGTAATAATGATAACATTTATCAATCCTCTAATCTCTTCTTTTCCAATAAAAACGTTGTAAATTTTGGAAATGTTTTGCTTTTTTTTCTGTTAATTCTTACTAAAATTATTCAACTTCCACATTAATAATATTTATGAGCAAAATATTTATCAAAATGTTTTTTTTTTTTTTTTTTTCTGCATAGCCATTTATAGATATTTGAGTCGTCATCGACCGGAGGATCCAGCATTGAAGCCTGGTCTAAAATATACGGGTTTCTTAATTGCACGTGTTGATCGTGATTATGCTTCACGTAGTGATTCATTTCGACATAATGATCTTTTTTTCATAAAAAGAAAACGGTAAATTTCATGTCTTCAATTTATAAAGTTGCTTTTTTTTTTTTTTTTTTTCCTTATACTTGACAATTATTGTTGCATAAAACACATCATTATTTCTTTTTTTTTTTTTTTTTTTTTTGTTTCTACTTAGACTTAAATTTTCTGCTTATAATTTTTTATTTATCATTGAGTGGTATGTAAAATTTAGTATATACATTAAATAGTATTTGTATTTTTATGATATAGATCAGTAATTTTTTTTTTTTTAGGAGGCGATTGCATCAGAACATAGAAAAAAGATTTTTGGATCGAAGTCGTTGGTTTAGTTATCGTGAGAATTCGGAACTTCCACGTCATTTTCGACCATCACGGCAGTTAATTGTTAGTGGTCCAGCATATGGCTTTAGCGGATATTTTAAACCTGTAATCTTGGAAGCTTTTGATGGTATATATTTTAAATGCATTGTTTATAAGTAAAATTTCTTAGAGAATTGAGCGATGATTTGTTCCTTAGCTTAGTTTTAATTAAGTAAGAAATCATTATCTCTGAATTCTATTGGTTAAATTTGAACTTTGACTACTGCTTCCAATAACAGAAATTAATAGGTTTAATACTGAAGATTTTAGAAATAATTAAATACTTTTGATACTGTCAACGGTAGCATTGTAAGAAAAAATAAAATAGAAGTTGTATAACTTCAGTTTTTGTCGACATTAGTCATCCATATTAATTTTTCGAAATTAAAAGGGGTGATTTTTTCCTCAAAAACAATTGATCTGTTAATGAATGATTGCTAAAATAATTAATTGCAGAGCAATGGGCCCAATCATGGATGACAGTACTGTTCAGCGTGCTTTCTTTGGTTTTATTCATCATGCTAGTCTCTTCATTTGTTACCTATATTTTGCACAGGTATTTTCTTCACTTTGATGCTTTTAAATATGACATATTTGAAACGTTTTTTGATGTGTACAGTTTGTAACTTTATTTCTATGAAAATTATCTTTAAGCTAGTAGTTCACATATATGATTGAACTTCCGTGATCATAATTCGTCACTAATGATATCTTTGAATTTTGTAATAAACAACAATTACTATTATTTTATAAATTTGCAATATGAGGATGCTTATATGGAACTTTATGTTAGGAATATTTAATGATACGGCAGAAAATTGTTTTCTTATTTTTATTTATTTTATTTTTCTTTCACTCTGTTACGCTTTAAGACGTGGGATGATAAAGCAATTATGTCCGATGAGTAAGGATCGTATACTTCTAAAGCCTCATTTTCATGCAACACTCGTTGATGATCTACCCGAAGAATATACTATTCGACGTCGTGATAGCAATTACTTATGCATCTCTGAATTTGATGTATGTTTAATATAGTTTGACTATTTTTTTTTTTTTTTTTTTTCTACGCTTTTTTATAAAATTATTTGGGAAATATGATCTTATCACTTGTTATAATATCAGTTTGTTTTCTATTACTCTTAACAGTTCTTTTCTCCTTTCTTTATTTGCATTCCATCTTTCTATCATTTTCATATTATTTAGTATTTCTTTTTTTTTTTTTTTTTTTTCTATAGGCTTTGCCAAATTATCGTTCAATGGAATCGAGTGCTTCGGAACGTCTCGAGAATGCCCATAAAAATCGTTACAATGATGTAAAGGCATTCGATGCTACACGTGTCAAATTACCAATTATTGGAAATGATCCATCAACTGATTATATCAACGCTAATTTTGTCAAGGTTACCATGCTAGTACTAATCAATTCTTATTTCATTTTTCTTTTTTCTCTAACTGTTTTGTTAATTTTATTTTTAGTGTAATTTTTTGCGTTTTGTTGACACAGCTAGTTAGTCTTTTCATGATATTTTAATTTATTTAATCATACTGAGTTGTTGTAAAAAAAATAAAATACAATTATCAGTGTTGCATTAGATTGTGATGTTGTGTTTTTCTTTTGTTTAAAAATGACATATTATTCTTCATGTGTAAACCAATTTGCTAAGTTTTGTTTTCACTTATTTTTTTTTCTTTTTTTTTTAGGGATACAGAGGTCGCAAAATGTTCATTGCATCGCAAGGTCCGCTAGATGCTAGTACGGATGATTTTTGGCGTATGATTTGGGAGCATAAAGTACGAGTTATAGTCATGGTTGCTAATCTCTACGAAAGAAATCGAGTTTGTGATTTCATTATTTTTTTTTTTTTTTTCAAATTTTGAATTTTTCAATGTTTTCTAAAATTTGTTACATTTCAGAATTTTAAAGCTTAGTTCAGAATTCTAAAGCTTAGTATACGATTGATTGCTTACTGTATCAAACAAAAATGTGTCTAATAGTTTTGTTAATTTTAGTGTCAATGTGCGAAATACTGGCCAGATGATGGGCCAAAAGCATATGATAAATTAGAAGTTCGTCCAGTTGATTCGATTTACTATTCTGATTATGCTATACGCAATTTTGAAGTACGTCGTATTCAACCAACGGTAGCAAATGGTTCTCTCTCTGGTAGTCCTGCGATCATTTCATATGAAATTCCAAGTATAACTGGTGATACAGTTGCCGATCCTTCTGCAGTTATTGTGAATATGAAGTAAGCTAGCTATTTTAATGAATTACTCTAGTTTAAAGATAACTGTAGACTATCAATTATTTTGCAAGTCATCACTTTTTTTTTATTTCTTTATTGTTATTGACTGAAATTTTCAGGTCTCGTTCATCATCAACGCATGGTTCAGTTGATTCTATTCTTAATGAAGTATCTTCGAATTCAAAAAGAAATTCACGATGTAGCTATAGTAATACACAATTGAATGATATTCATGCAGAAACGGAATTTGTTACTAAAACTCCAGGTAGTTTAGATTGTTTTCTCTATGAAATCAGGCAATTTTTTACAAAATGTTTTTGGTGACGTTCTATAATTCAATACAAAAGTTTTTATTGTTGTTTTTTTTTTTTTTTTTTTTTTTTTACATCACATTTAACCGATCATATTTGTGTTCTTGAAAAATTGTCAGTTTACAGATTTTATCAACGAAGAAATGATTCTTGTTAGGAATATAAAAAAAAAAAGAAAAAGAAAATATTATTTACAGAAGTTCGTCATGTTGTACAATATCACTATACCTCATGGAATGATTTACAAGCACCTGAATGTACCACTGGTTTGCTACGCTTTTTATCAAAATTGCGTAAATTGGATAATTATATCCATGGTCCTGTTGTTGTTCATTGCAGGTATATTAAATTAGAAACATTTGTTTTTGTCTGATTATAATTACAAAAGAGCAGTCTAATCATATATGGTATTATATCATAGATTACATTATCATTTCATATTATAATTCATTTCATATTTGAGCTTAGAAATTCTTTGATGTTTTAAAAAATCATAACAAGCTAAATATGTTATTGCAGTGCTGGTGTTGGTCGTACAGGTACTTTTATTGCAATTGATAGTTTATTAGATCAATGTATAGAGGAAGGTAAAGCAGATGTGTTTGGTTTTGTGTCAGAAATGAGAAAGCAACGAAATACTATGGTTCAGAATGCTGTAAGTTTCTATTTGCTATTAATTACATTGTAATATTTTCTAAATGTTTGCTAGAGTTAAGAATATATATTTTTTTATTTTTATTGCTTTATTATTCAACAAATTTTGCACCTTTTTTTTTTTTTTTTTTTTCTACATCATTAAATATAGTAAATAATGAGAATGATAAAATTTTTGTCGAAATACTTTTGATTTTTCTCATGGATAAAAAGAAAATATATTTTAGGAGCAGTATCTTTTTATTTACAAAGCATTAGCTGAATGGTATATGTTTGGAGAAACTGATATTGAAGTGAGTCAATTTCGTGAACATTATCGTAAATTAAATGAGCCACAGCTTCGTGAACATCAATCGTCAACTAATCGATCAGCATTTACTGCTGTTTTAAAACGACCAACTCAAAAGTTGCACCAGGTTAACAATGATACCTGTATTACCGAGAAAGTACCAACTGCAATGCAAGCTGAATATAAGGTATTTGGATTTGCATCGAATTTCTAGATCGGTAACATTCATTCAACATGCTATAATTAATCAGCAATGTTGATCATGATTGTAATAGGTTATGCTTGGTATTATAAATATATTTTAAAGAAAGAAAAATGTGTTATAAAAAAAGTTATACTTTATATTACAAATGTAGAATTAAATAAGGAAAATTAGAAAGTATAAAATTATAAGATTTGTGAAAACTATTGTTTGACAACCTACTTTGCAAAAAGTTATAGATTTCATTTTTAATTTATTTAGCGACTGGAGCGTACACTTGAACCACGGCGAACATGTAATTTTGCGCACAAACCAGAGAATTTAAGAAAAAATCGTGTTGAGAATGCTGTTCCATTCGATCATTGCCGTATCGTTTTGCCAGTTATTATTGGAAGTGTTAACGATTCAACTTATATTAATGCTTCTTTAGTTAAGGTTACTGTGTTTTATGATTTTCGAACAATTTTAAGTAAGACTTAAGTGGTGAAAGTATGTGTGACTATCGTAAAGGTGGTAAGTTCGAGAAATTTCAAACATTTGTTTTTTTTTTTTTTATTTTGTATTCCTTTACCACTATAAAGAAGATATAGTTTTTATGTATTGTGCAAATGTTTATTACTGATTTCAGGGTTATTTTTATCCATATATCCTAGCTCAGGATCCATTAGATGAGCAAACATGTTATGATTTTTGGTGTATGATTGGTGAGCAAAATTCACGAGCTGTTGTGATGTTGTCATCTGAATCTGAATTTATGCCAGCTGAAAAAGTAAGTTATCCATTGTTTGGATTTATTTTAATGAAAATGCTCTTGAAGTATAAACAGTTTGGAAGTTGAGAAAGGAATAAAACAAATCTTTGCGCCTTTTTTTTTTTTTTTTTTCTTTTTTTTTAATGTGTTTCAAATTTTAGTATTGGCCGAGTGAAGTAGGATGTATAAAAACTTTCGGACGCGATGGTGAAGTATCAATCAAACTAATTGGAGAAGAATTGTTCTCAACATTTGCACTTAGAAAGTTTACATACAAATTTACAAAAGTTCGCATTTTTCTTTTTTCGCAATTTTCTTGAAGTTTTCAAAGCTGTTATCATTAACCAAATCCAAGTTTTTGAATAGTATTGATTCTACCTATATATTTTTTTATGTGTTTCTAATAGCTTTAACATTTGGATTTTTTTTAAAAATTTGTCTTCAATAAATTTATGTTTTCTTTTTTGGTATTGAGAAAATCGCTGTCTCAAAAATTTGTTAAAATTTTTCGAATTAAAATCTTCGTCATTTACGACAAAAAAAAAGGAAAAAGGAAACAAATCTTTCCAGGAAAAAACATATCGCGAAATAATACAGTATGCTTACTTATGTTGGCCAGCAGACAAAGTACTGCCCGAATCAACTGAATCAATAATTGATTTAATAAGTCGAGTGCTTTCCTTACAAAGTGATCATCAAGAAGCAGGTCCAATTATACTGCATTCAAGGTTTTTTTTTTTTATCGATGCTTTATTTTTGATAATTCAGAAGATAAATTCTTGTCTGTGTCAAATTTCTTGCTTAATTGTTTACTCACTAGTTCGATAGATTTTAATAATAAATAAATTGTTCCAATAATTAGAATGTTTCAATTGTTATTTTTTTTTTCATTTCATTCAAGAGATGGATCATTAAAAACGGGTCTTTACTGTTGTGTGTCATTATTGCTTGAAAGACTTAAAGCAGAAAATCGTATCGATGTATTTCAAACTGTTCGAAGTTTGCAGCAAAAGCGACCACTTATGTTCACAAACTTTGTATGTTTTTTTTTTTTTTTTTTTGAAAACCCTGATTATGAATTTTATCTACTTTTTTAAAGCAAGAGTGAAAGCTTATTACAGCAATTTTTATGCTCCATTCTTTTTTTTTTTTTGAAGTATTATCTGGCAAAATATGGTTGATTGGGATAATAATGCAAAAATACCATAACACTATTTATCGCAATTTCTTGAATCTATGAAGATTTCTTTTAAAATAGAAGTCAAAATTAAGCAGTACAAATTATTGACGGTGATACTTTATTGTTTTAGGAACAATATGCTTTCTGTTATAAAGCTGTCATCGATTATCTGGATACATTTAACAATAAAAGTACGATTGACTGAGTGGAATAAAAATGGTATGGTTATATGGAAGCGCTTGATTACAAGAAGGAAGGGAAAATTTGATTATATCATGAAAGAATGCTAAATTAAATATTGCACATAAAGAAGTTTTGATTTCAGATTGGAATAAGTAAAGTTTGTATTTTTATATGGAAAAAGCTGGACGAAAATAAGAAATACTAAAGTTACTTATGATAAACATTTCTGTGAAGCATTGTGGAAAATTCATCCAGGAATATTATTGAATCGATATATCTAATCGTTATTTTTTCCAAACATTGGTTTTCCCTTACTTTGTACTGTCATTTTTCTTTGTTTTGTTTTGCTTCTTCATCTTCACTCGATGTACAGGTACAAAAGTTCATTTGTTTAATAACTTCTTCAAATAAATTTGTCTTGATAGTTGATGAATGATTTTAATTTGGTTAGATTATAATTAGCTTTAAAAATTCTTGACCTATCACTTTTTCGTAGAACATCTTACGGAATATGATGTGATTTGTAAAGAATGAATGGGACTTTTAAATTCTCCTCTTTTCATCATTCATTTTATTCTCCTCTATCTCACTGTTCGAGCTTTCTTGTTACCTTGCCGAGCAGCTATGCCAGACAATTTAATAGCATAATTTTCTTATTTAGTTTTTTTTTTTTTTTTTTTTTTTTTGATGCAACAAAAATATTATTATCTTTTCTTGAACGATAAAAGTGGATTTTTTTTTTTTCTTTATTGAATATTGTTTTCTTTTTTAGTGATGTTTAGAAAAAAAAGAAGTAGCATAATTTCGTTCTCTCTCTTCTTTTGTAAATACAAAATTATACATGTTATATGAATTATATTATTTAGTTATTAATATTTACTTCATTACTATCACTATTATTACTGTCATTTTTTATCATTGCCAGTAATTTAGCATTATAAAATTTATGGAAACATTTTAGTTGAGCATTTATTTGTCATATAAAAAAGAGCAAGGTAGCAAGAGATCGTTTCTTTCAAAATTTGATAATCAAAAAAAAAAAAAGAAAAAAGAAAAGTACGACAAATGAGGAAATCCAAATGTGTATGTGTCTTTCTATATGATTGTATGTTGATTTTTCTTTTTTAGTAAAGCTAACTGTTAAGATAATTTTGATCTGTTCTGTTTACTGAGTGATTCTCAATGATTTACAATCAAAAAATAAACAAAATAAGTTATACGAAAAGCTTTAGTCATCAAGTATCATTATGCATAGGCATTTTATACAGACTTAGGGATGTTATTTTCTAGTATTATCCCTTCATATGTATATGTATGTATGTATGTATGTGTGTGTGTGTGTGTGTGTGTGTGTGTGTGTGTTTACGTACGTGTCTGTATGTATGCATGTGTTATATTGAATTTTTTTTTTTAAATTAAAGTAAAGTTAAAAAAAAAAAAAAAAGTATGTTATATTGATAAACTATTCTGATTTTTATTATTATTATTATTACTGTTAGTGAAAAATTTTATTAAATTTGTGAAGCCCATAATAAAAAAAAAAAAATGCTCTCAATGTAAAATTACTCTTTCAATAAATAATTTCTTTTTTTTTTTTCAAAAACTTTTTCTTTCTCTTCTTTGTTTAGCATATATTGTTTACATTTTTTCTTAATCTTTGCTACCTCTTTTTGCTGTTATAAAATTAAAATATAGTAAAAGGATAAATAGGTAGAAAAGTACTACAATACTAGAATAAAAATAAAAAACTCAGTGCATAATTGTGATTAAATTAGTATTGTTAAGCATAATTTGTTTTCTTTTTTCTTTTCTCTTTTTTTTTTTTTTTCTTTCAATACTGTTCAAATTTTTATTTACTGTTTATAAAAGAATTGTTTACATGAATTTAATTGACAATATTAAATTATCGACACATACTCTCTATTCTATTCAGTGTCATTTTTTGTTGTCCTCAAATACATATTCATTGATTTTTTTTTTTGGAGTACAGATTGGATCAAATTATTAATGAAAAAACGGATTATTATGATAGAGGTTGATTACTTTTGTTAAAAAAAAAAAAAAAAAAGAAATTATATCTCATAATTTAGTATTTATAATTCGTTATTTTTTTCTTCTGACAATGTTATTAAGAAATTTCCGGTATAAAAAAACAAAACTGATCATTATTAATTCATCTCTAGTGTAATTGAAAATTTATTATTATTTCAAATTCTAGAAGTTTTTTTCATAAATATTTAAAAAAGAATGGAGGAAAAAAAAAAAAGTGTAGTTTGTATTAATGAGAAGATTACATGAAGAAAGAAAATTTTCCAACCTGAACTGAAATATCTTTTGAAATATTAGAAAAGGGAAAAAATTAAAAAGGGAAAAAGAGAATAATCAAATATTTGAGGAGAAAGTAAAAAAGATAATTTTTTTAGGAAAGGAAGAGAAAAAAGAAAAAAAAAAAAAAAACGATTATTTTCTTTTTTATGTGTCTTTGCAGCTGTGACAACAATTAGTTAATCAAATAATTGATCAACCAACTAATATTTTAATCGTGAAAATGATCAAATATTGTATGTATATTGATTGCATCGTAATGAAATAGAAGAATGGAAAGATTTGATAGTATAAAAGTGATTTTAAAATGATAAAAAATCATTTAAAAGATAAGATATTTTTAAAATATTGAAATTTGGAAAGGAATATTTCTACCAGGTATTTATTTCTTTAAATATGTGAAAAAATATTAATTACAGTTAGAGGAATCGTATGATATTGTAATTTGGAAAGGAATATTTCTACCAGGTATTTATTTCTTTAAATATGTGAAAAAATATTAATTAAAGTTAGAGGAATCGTATGAGATTTTAAAAATGAAGTATAAATGCAAAGTGAACTTTTTGTAAAAAAACAATAGTAAATATCTAAATTGATAGATTTGTTTTGTGGTTGTAAAAGTAATTTAGAATATTTATAAAATAGTTAAAAAAACATTCTGATAAACAATAAGCTTAATTAATAAGTAATAAATGTCAAAGAAATCAAACATAAAATTATTAAAAGTAAGAAAAGAAAAAAAAAGAAATAAATGGCGTCAAAATTTTATTTACAACTTCTTTTTTATATATCTATCTCTTATTTGAATGCATTGCATTTAGTTTTAAATATGTTACAAAATGTTTTTTTTTTTTTTCAAAGATTAATTTTAAAATCGCAAATGCTTATAAAATGAGTTTCTGAAAAATTTGTTAAAAAATGAAACTTAAAATTGCAATAATTTATTTCAAAAAGTTAAACTGTGCAACAAATTTTTTTAGCATTGATGTTTTTAAATGACAATTTTTTTTTTTTTTAAATTTTTAAAATAAAGATTTGATATTAATAATAATTGTATTTAGAGGTATAATTATTTTTGATAGTCATTTGATAATAATTCTTTGAAGTTTGTTGAACTATTGATTGTCCCAAATTCTAATGTAAATCTAATCGAAATTTAGGATTTTATTACGATTATTATAGCAAATAAGTGTTATATATAGTGAAATCATATGAATATTAATGAAAGAGTATTATTCGTGATAATAATTTTTAAATTTAATTTGAATATAATAAAATTCATAAAGATACTTTTGCTTTTAGATTAATGAATTGATAAACTATACATTGTTTATATTTTGATATTATTTTCATTGGTTTTTGCAAAAAAATAAAAAAAGAGATAAAATGCAAGAAATGGTATTAATTCAATTTTTGTTTTCAAAACAGGTTTAATTTACTTCAGTAAGAATAAATGTTTGATTTAAAATTAATTGAAATTGAAAAAAAAAAAAAAAAAAAGTGAAACAGTAAAATGTCAAAAAAAAAAAAAAAAAATTGATGTAAACAGTAAAATGTAAAAAGTAAAATTATTATGAAGTCATTTGAACAACAGACGACATTATAATGATTAAATTATTTATTCATTGAAATTATTAAAATAAATGAAAAACATTATCAATTGTTGATTAATTTAAATTTCGAAAAATTGCTAAAAATTTGCAAGAAATTATGTAGATAGAATTGTTTACATATGGAAAAGAATCACTGATAGTTTAGGAAGATAAATTTAAACATGAACAGATAATTTGTGAGAAATTTTCGCTCTTTTTTCTCTTTTTTTTTTTTTTTTTTTGGCGCAATTCTTCCAGAACCATTTTACCTGCAGAAAATTTTTAATGATATGACATAAGGTGACATGATCTGATCTGATCTGATCTAATCTGATATGATCTGATATGATATTACTTTATGATTTTGAATAATAAATTTTGATAAATTTGGAACATTATGAGAAAAAAGCTCTCATTTATTTGTTAAAGATGAAAATGAAATAAAACAAAAATGTAATTACATTTTAATGTATCAAATCTTTTGTTGTAAATGATAGTGGTATTAGCTGTGAAAGTTGCATTTCTATTCGTTTATTGGAAGTTGATGATATCATTATTACCTGAAAAATATTAATTAATGAATCTGCATGAATATTTCATTAGGAATTATTATTAATATTATTATTAGGAATTATTATTATTATTTATTATTACTATTATTATTAGGAATTATTATTATTATTTATTATTACTATTATTATTAGGAATTATTATTATTATTTATTATTACTATTATTATTAGGAATTATTATTATTATTTATTATTACTATTATTATTAGGAATTATTATTATTATTTATTATCATTATTAGGAATTATTATTATTATTTATTACTTATTATTATTATGAATTATTATTATTATTATTATTAAGAATTAATAATAATCATATTTGATTAAATGTTATTATATGCGCATAACAATTGAGCTCATATGTTTGAATTAAAATTAGAAGATGAAAAAAAAAAAAAAAAAAAAAAAAGAAAGAAAAAAAGATTTATCACCTTCATGTCACCAAATTCAATAAGAAATTGTCGACAAAGTCCGCAAGGAGCAGTAGGCTCAGCTGGTGTTGCGCAAACTGCAACTGCTTGAAATTCACGATAACCTTCAGCTACCGCACGTGTTACTGCACTCCGTTCCGCACATATTGTTCCACCATAAGATGCATTCTCGACATTTCCTATAATTTTATCTTTTTTTTTTAAAAAAAAAAAAAAAAAAAGATTACATAATAGCTGATTGATTAAAAGATAAGAATTATTCATTTTTATTATTTACAATTAATAAATAAGTTGAGTGTTTGTTTTTTTAACATAAAAAATATTTATAATTAAAAAATTTAATTAGCAATTTTAATCAATTTTTTTTTTTTTTTTATTTAACATTAAGTAACAGAGAAAAGAAAATTAAAATACCTCCTGTGATTATTTTACCATCTTTGGTTAATAAAGCAGCACCAACAGTAAATTTGCTATACGGACAGTATGCTCGATCCATAGCAAGTCGAGCAGCACTTGTTAAAGCATCTACATCAATACTCATTTCTGTAATTTATATAATTTTTTTAATTTTAATTTTTTATTTCTTTTTTTTTTTGGATAAATAAACTTTTTTTTTTTTAATGTTAAAATTCATACAAAATTAACTAAACTATTAATTAATAACTATTGCTAAATTGCTAAAATTTACAAATAGTCAATAACTTGCACTACAACTAATTATCACTAACCTATTGTTATCAGTAATTTCATCTTCAGTATTCTTCGTCTTATCTTATCATTAATCATTTTTGTTATGTACAATTAATTACAATTATAGAACTAGTTAAAGTAATAAGTAAACAAATGCAATGACCAACTAACTGCTTCATATAAATGAAAAACAATTTTTTTCTAAAAAAAAAAGAAACGATAAATGAAAGTATAAATAGCATTGAAGAGACTTAAACTTCTCTTAAAAAACTAGTTTTATTGTAAATTAAAAAAGAAAAAAAGAAAAGTGAAAGTAATTATTTAAGATAAATGAATAGTTGTGGTATTTGATAAATTATTTGCTGTGTATTTTTTTTTTTTTTTTTGCTAATCAAATTATCATTTCATTCTTACATTTATCATTCATTCATAAATGATTACAGTTTCATTTTTTTTAATCATTCTAAAATTAAACAATTTAACAAAATGTTGCAAATTTTTTAATTTTTTTAAGTTTGAAAAAAAAAAAAGAAATATTTTAATATAATCAATTTTATTCAAACAAATATCATTTAATAATATAAATTTGTATAAATGTTAAATAATAGTAATGCTTAAGATATAAGCAAAAATGATTAAATAAAAAAAAAAAAAAAAGAAAAAATTTTTAATCTATTGAATTTAAATAGAATGAAATTTGAATTAAAGATAAAATGAAATTATCAAGTTGGGAAAAAATATTTTAAAAAAAAAAGTGACAAATATTTATAGATCTTTTAATTGGTACAAAATATTTATTTATTTTTTTCTTTTTAGCATTTAAAGTAAAATTAAAGGATTAAAATGGAAATTAAAAAGAGATAATATTATTTGAGCAATAAATAATTGATTTGATTTGATTAATTCAAAGTAATTTATGTTGAAAGTGCAATGATTGCAATAAAAAAATTAAAAAAAAAAAAAAAAAAAAAGAAAATTAGGAAAAAGTTAAAGAAGCGGAACATACGTTATCACTAAACTCTGCAATTTACCTTGAAAAACTGATTAAAAAAAAAAAAAAAAATGATTTATTACAGTTAATGATAAAACTATTGAACGAAGAAAAAGTAAGTAAATTAATTATATTCGTACGAGAAAAAAAAAATGAGGAAGTAATGATATTTCTGGTTTCAATTATTTTATCGATGGTATATCAGTGCGGAAATGATAAGATCAGAAATCAGCCAAATGATAGAAAGATTTTTAAATAATTTTAGAAGATATAAAACAAATGATTGAAGAGGGAACAATGATTATTAGTTTGATTGTTATTATCAGAACAGATAACAACAAAAAATAATTTATCAGATTATAAAATATGAAATTTCGATTGATTAAAAGAAAATATTAATTTGTATTTTTTAAAAATTTTTTTTAATTTAGTTTTCTATTATTACAATACAATATAATATGATTAGTAATAATAATAATGATAATAATAACAAAAGAGTTGGGAAAATATCTGAAAATTAATAGTAAAAACAATGACAATAATGATGGTGATAGTGATAATGATAATAGGTATGATAGTAATAATGATAGTGATAGTGATAATGATAATGAGTATACTGTTGCGAATAGAAAAAGTAAATAATATATGCAATAGTAATAAAACAATTATAATTCTTCAAGTTATTTGGTATGAAACTGAAACAGTCAAATCTCAGAAACTCAAAACATTTGATAAGTTATAAAAATAATATATTTATTCATATTAACATTAATTAGTATTAATTAATTAACAAATAACATAATTCAATAATAACAATAATGATAATGACAATGATATAATAATAATAATAATGATAATAATAATAATAATAATAATAATGGTAATAATAATAATAATAATATTAATAATAATGGTAATAATAATAAGAACAATGATAGTAATAATGACAGTGATAATGATAATGATAATGAGTTTACTGTTACGAATAGAAAAAGTAAATAATAGTAAAAAAAGAAAAAGTAATTAATATCGTTCAAATTGTTTTTTTTTTTTTCTAAAAGGAATTGTTTGTTTATTGTAAATATTTTTGCCATCTCACTGACATCTTCAATCATTTAATTTACACAAAATGTTAAAATCCATTAAATGTATTTCATGTTTTACCAAAAAATTTAAATATATTTCAAAACAATAAATTGTAAACAATAAACAATAAATTCTCTCACTGCTAAGAGAATTTATTAGAATTACAATGGAAATTCTCTGCAATCACTCTGCTACAGCTATTATTATGTGTGTTTCTTTAAATTTTCAAAAGCAAACGAAAATGAAAAATTCTATTATTTTGTATGAAAAAAGAAAGAGGAGAGAGAGAGAGAGGGAGAGGGAGAGAGAGAGAGAAAGAAAGAAAAAAAAAGTGAAATATTTGTTGATGAAGCATAAAGCAGATGTTTGTTTTATTTAAAGATTAAAAAATATCACATTTATCAATTTTCTACTTTTTTTTGTAAAATTATTTAGATTTTTTGTTAGTGAAAAAAAAAAAAACTTATGCAAATTTTTACAAATATAATAATTAAAGAATGAAATTTTAGATAAAATATAAAATATAAATAGTAGGAATAGCTATTAATTGAATTTTTTGTACAGATATGAAATAGATTTGATAAGAATGATATGATAAGATGAATTTAATTTATATTAGCAAAATTAGTTTTTTTTTTTTTTTTTCATGGATGATAAATTTAAGCAAGTAATAAAATGAAACTAAAAAAAGAAAAGAACTGATGAATAAAAGTGATAAAATTGAATATTTTAATTTAAATTTTTTTTCCATTGAACAAAATAAATCTAAAATTGAAATAAAAAAAATTAAAAATATAAAATTTTAAAAAATTTAAGGTGAAATAATCATAATAATTATTAAAAATTGCTTGTAAAGAAAAAAAAATTTTTTTTTTTTTTTTTTTTACACATATAATTTATTAAATGGTTCATTTTAATTTATTCATCGATTATTTCAAATAAAATCCTGAAAAATTGAAATTTTATATTTCTCTTTCTCTCTCTCTCTCTCTCTCTCCCTCGTTCAGTGATAAGCGTTATCTTTCATTTATTATTTTCTATGATAAATAATTTGTAATCATATAACATATATCAAACAGACGTAACGAAACGAACAGTTTATGGAATAGAAAGTTTGTTTTGAACAAAAAGCAAAAAGAAAGAGAGAGAGAGAGAGAGAGAGATGAACGATGAGATATCATTGATAGACAGATAATGTGTCACCATCTGTCCACATAAGTAGCCATTGGTCATTGGTCACATCAAACATCCTTCCGCATCATTACCTTTCTTCTTTCCACTACTTTTATTATTTCATTTATTTCTCTTCCAGACTATTCGATATTTCTTACTACTATTACTTATATGTTTGTCTGTATCTATGTTTACGTGTATGTTTGTTTACGTGTATGTGTGTATGTGTGTGTGTGTGTATGTGTGTATGTGTATGTTTATATAAGGAGAAATAAGAGGAATGGACGGTGTACACAGGTAGATAGGTGCATATCATCAGAATTGGCCATTTTATAAGATTGCCATCGTTTGCTAATATTTATTCTTTCAAATACTTTTCCAACAAACTTTTAAAATAATTTACTGAGAGAAAAAAAAAAAATTTAGATAAAAAACGATTTATTTCATTTCTGAAAATTTTTTTTTTCCTAAAATTTGAAATTAAAATTAAAATTTGAAGTTTATTATTTCACTAACACTTAAGTTAAATGATTGTCCTCGTTGTGTTTTCTATTGCTTTTTTACTTTTGGATTTGTTCAAAAAATAATATTTTCCTAAAATTTGAAGTTTATTATTTTATTCTAATTTGTTATCCATTTATTTCTTTTCAAAAAAATTTTTTTTTTCAAAATTTTGGAATTAAAACTTGAAGTTTAGTATTACTTTAATGATTATCTTTGTTATGTTTTCTATTGGTTTTTTTTTTTTTTGTTTGCTTTTTTGCTTTTGGATTTGTTAAAAAATAATATTTTACTCTAATTTATTATCATTTTCATTACTTTGAGTTAATTAAAAAATCATCATCGTTTGCTAATATTCATTCTTTCAAATACTTTCTAACAAACAGTAACAAACTTTTGAAATAATTTACGAGATGGAAAAAGAAAAATAAGATGAAAAGTTGATAGAAATCGATTATTTATTTCTTTTCAAAATTGTTTGTTTCTAAAATTTGAAATTAAAATTTGAACTTCGTTATTTTATTTTATTACTTTCATTACACTCAGTTAAATGACTATTAGAGATTGATTATCTACTTCTTTTCAGAATTGTTTTTTTTTTTTCTAAAATTTGAAATTAAAATTTAATATTTGTTATTTTAATTTATTATCATTTTCATTACTTTGAATTAACTGGTTATCTCTGGTTTTTGTTTTCTTCTGTTCTTTTTTTTTTTTTTAAAATTTTTTTGAAAATAATATACGTAATAATACTTTTTAAGCTTTAGTGAATATAATAAAATTCTTTTCAAAAGATTTAACAGAAATATTCTCGAATACATAGGTAGATTTAACAGAAATATTCTCGAATACATAGGTAAGTATAGATCAATTAATTTATAAGAATATTCTTAATGTTGACTGCAAATCCAATAAAAATTTCTTTTAAATTACTTTAAAATTTGAATTGAACTGATAGAAATTTAACAAAGAGAACAAATTTTACAATTTATAACGCTTAATATGATCGTTATGATACAAATTAAATTAAAATAATTAGTATTAATATTAATTGTTCATCTAATTATCTTAAACAATTAATTTGTCTAATTTTATTTTAAAAGTTTTTGTCCCAAATAGATTTTTTAGCAGATCATTACTAAATTACATTGAACAATTCAAATTAGTAATGAAGAAGAAAATGTGTCACTGTACGATGTTAATTAATGCAAATATAAAAGAGAGAGCAATGATGGACGTTCATTTGTTTGTTATCACTGTTAAGAAAGTAAGCGAGTTTTTATCATCGATAGATTAGTGATATTGTGATAACATTGCATTGATAATCAGAGGACATTCTGAATGATTCATGGATGGAAGACTTGGCCACTAAGAGAAGTTAGTATATTGTTTGATGTCATTGCATTGATAATCAGAGGACATTCTGAATGATTCATGGATGGAAGACTTGGCCACTAAGAGAAGTTAGTATATTGTTTGATGTCATTGCATTGATAATCAGAGGACATTCTGAATGATTCATGGATGGAAGACTTGGCCACTAAGAGAAGTTAGTATATTGTTTGATGTCATTGCATTGATAATCAGAGGACATTCTGAATGATTCATGGATGGAAGACTTGGCCACTAAAAGAAGTTAGTATATTGTTTGATGTCATTGCATTGATAATCAGAGGACATTCTGAATGATTCATGGATGGAAGACTTGGCCACTAAGAGAAGTTAGTATATTGTTTGATGTCATTGCATTGATAATCAGAGGACATTCTGAATGATTCATGGATGGAAGACTTGGCCACTAAAAAAAAAAAAAAAAAACTTCGAATAAATATTTTTTCAAAGTTCTTTCTTTATATATAAATTCATTTAGATGTTTTCCTCCATTTATTATCAGTAATTTTTTTAAAAACAATGTGATAAGAGCACTCACCAGATTTTTTGTTAATTTAATATATATATATATTTTACGTGTAAATAATACATATTACCTTTAATAGAACTGTAAGTAACGTACGTACGTGTAAACATTTTTATACAATTTAATTGTAAACAATTTATGTTCAATTAATTTATCTATGAATAAACTTCAATTGCATTTAAATGTTTCAATTATCGCCGAAATCGTTTTTTATGAGTTAATAGAAATATTTATGTCACCTCAAAATTTCTTTTTTCTTTTTTTTTGTTGTTATCGAAATTAAATTAAAGTGATAATTATCGAAATAATTACTGAAATAGTACCATTAATTAAGGTAATACTATTTCAAATATACATTTCATAGTTTTTGTATAAGAGAGAATTTATTAACAAAAAGTTTTTTTTTAATTTAGGAAATTAGCAAGAAAGAAAAAATTTTATGAAAAATAAGAAATACAAGAAAAAAGAAAAAGAGAAAATAAAGGAGGAAAATTGCTATGGAAAATAAAAAGTGAAATTTTAACATTTTCGTTTTGACATTTATACAAATCAGTTTTTTGCATATCATAAAAGTAAATTTTGATAATTTAAAAATCTATTAACTTAAATAATTTCAAAATGTTATTTAAGTAAATCTTTAACAAATGCAGCGATGATGCATTTTTCATAGTAATTCCAAAATTATCCATCAGAATTTAATTACCCAATTACTCAAATATTTGCATATTAAATTTCATAAATACTTAAAATTCACTATCCAACCTGATTATCTCTTCCTGATTCGTTGTGTTATTTTCAGGAATGAAAAATGAAACATTGGATAAAATTCAGAATACATAAATGATTAGTAACTGCAAATGATGGATCTAAAGAGTTTAGCTCGTTAAAAATGCTATTATTATAGGGTCATAGGTCACAAGGTCACTCAGATTAACAACTTTATCCTCTTTCTTTCGTTGTCACTCGAAATGCTAAAATTGATTGATTTCATCATATTCATAATTTATTATTTCAGAAATCAAAACGAGTTTGCATGCTATCTTTTCTTTTATGCTTTCCGGTTTTATAAATTTTTTGTGCAAATTATTTTCCGGTTTTCTGGATGGGATTTTCTCCTGGAATTCTTGTTTTATCACAACACTATCTCATTTCACTTTTCATTTTTATGATTATCGTCATTTTATATCACCAAAAATGCATTTATTTATTATCATTTTCTTTCCTCCTCCTCCCCCCCACCAAAAAAAAAAACTTACATTTCAAGAAATGAAATAATTCTCTCTCTCCCTCTCTTTAATTCCAAGCTTTCAAGAAATGAAATAATTCTCTCTCTCCCTCTCTTTAATTCCAAGCTTTCAAGAAATGAAATAATTCTCTCTCTCTCCCTTTTTTTAATTTAAGCTTTCAAGAAATGAAATAATTCTCTCTCTCTCTCTCTCTCTCTCTCTCTCTCTTTAATTCTAAGCTTTCAAGAAATGAAATAATTCTCTCTCTCTCTCCCTCTCTTTAATTCCAAGCTTTCAAGAAATGAAATAATTCTCTCTCTCTCTCTCCCTCTTTTTAATTCTAAGCTTTCAAGAAATGAAATAATTCTTTCTCTCTCTCCCTTTTTTTAATTTAAGCTTTCAAGAAATGAAATAATTCTCTCTCTCTCCCTTTTTTTAATTTAAGCTTTCAAGAAATGAAATAATTCTCCTCTCTCTCTCTCTCTCTCTCTCTCTCTCTCTTTAATTCTAAGCTAAACTATAAATTTGTGATTAATTTAGAACTGATAAATTAAGAATTAAATTTATAAAATAAGATCAAAATCAAAAAAAAAAATATGAATAAATATAATCCTATATGATTAATTTAAAACAAACATACTTTTTTTTTTTTTTTTTTTTGGCTAGTTAGCATTAAAAAAATTTGCATAAAAAAAAAAGAGGAAAAATGTAGATTGATAATGATTATTCATAAAATTTAATTTTTTTTTTTTCAATTATTATTAAATTTAAAAAAGAATCCTTCCTGTCATATTTTATTTATTATATTTTCTTTTTTTTTTATCACTGATTCATCCATTTTATTATCATTCCTTTAAACTATTCAAATATCAACATATCTCTCTATGTGCTATATAAAAGCGTTTGTTTAATTTTTATTGTTGAATTATTTATTTCTAAAATTTTACAATCAAAATTTCAACAATTTTTTTTTTGATTCATTCTAAAATTAAATAATTTATTTTTTCTTTACTCTTTTTTTTTTTTCAAGCAATTATTTGACAAACATATTGTCAAATGTTAGTAATAATTTGATGTTAAAAAGATAAATGAAATGTAAGAAACAGGAAAGTTAGGAATAATTTTTTTTTTTTTTTTTTATTTCAAATTATTTTTGCTAAATATTTCAAATGAATTTGAATGTTCGAACAAATTTTCAAATTTTATCACTATTACTTTTCTCGAGACTACTCAATCATTCGATGTTTCTTGTAATTTAAGTTATTGTTATTTTTAAATACAAAATAAGAATATAAAGTAAATATAAAGTAAGAAAGAGTCTTGAAATGATTTCTAATTGAATTTTTAAATATAAAGTAAGAAAAAGTCTTGAAATGATTTCTAATTGAATTTTTAAATATAAAGTAAGAATATAAAGTAAATATAAAGTAAGAAAAGAGTCATGAAATAATTTCTAATTGAAGCATTAATTTTAATTCATACATATAAAATTTGTCATTTTAGAGTTTAAATAATTTTTGTAATTTTTTTTTTTTTTATCAATAAATTAAACCAAAAACGATATTATTGGTATAAAAAAAGAATAAAGTTTATTTAGTTGACAAAATATTGTCACATGAGAAGGAGAAATCATTCAATTACAACATTTTTTATACCTTTACAATAAATAAATGAACACATTTTTTTTTTTTTGATTGCTAAAATCATTTCATTCGTCCTTTCTTTCCTTTTCCGTTTTTTTCTCCCTCTCCCTCTCTCTCTCTCTTATTTTTGCAAAAAAGTTATTCAAACTGTAAATTTAAACAATCATGAAAAATGTATAAACAAAATAGAGAGAGAGAGAGAGGGGGAGGGGGAGAGGGAGAAAAGGAGAAAGAGAGAAGACTTCCTCTCTTTTCACTTTTTACTGTCCACACACAAATTTGTCACCCCATTCTCCCGCTTTACCCAATTTTCTCTTCTTTGCTTGTTGATGATATTCTACAAAAATAGGTCAATTTGGTTTATTGTTTTATCTTTTGCTACTATTTCAAATTAACAAGTAATAATCTTCCTTATTTTTTAAAAAAAAAAAAAGAATTAACAGGTAATAAATAGATAATTAACAGGTAATAAATAGATAATTAACAGGTAATAAATAGATAATTAACCGTGTGTTTTTCTTTATTTTTTCTTTTTTGTTTTGTTTTTCAATTCTTTTTTTTTTTTTAGTGTTCTATTAAGAGTGGCAAAAGAATGAAATAGAAGAAAATGAGAAATAAATAAGTAAATTTTGGATTAAATTTTTCAAATCATTTCTAATTGTTTAATTTATGTTTATTTTCCTTTGTCAATATTTTATCTAATTTTTCTTCTTTTATTTCTTTCCTCTAATTACTCTTTCATTTTAATTGACACATTTGTTTTACATATTTTTGTATAAAAATGTTAATAATATCTTGTATTTTGTTTATTTTTCCATAATATAAAATAAAAATATCACATATAAAAAGTTATTGTTTTTCATTCTTTCTCTCTCTCTCTCTCTTTCTCTCTCTTTTATTTTTATTATTTATTATTACATTAAATTAGTTTACTGTCAACTATATATTGAATTTCTCAATTTCAAATATTAGTTTAATTTATGTACATTTTAACCTTTAAATTTTTAATCAATGAAATTCATTGATTACAAAATATAAACAAACTATTGAAATTGAATGATTTACAAACACAGTACCCCAACTTTTAATTATAAAATGATAATTGTGCAATGCTTTCCAGTAAACTAGTTTTCAGTAAACTTTCATCACTTCAATTCATTTTTTCCCTCCCTCCCTCCCTCCCTCCCTCTCTCCCACCTTTTTTTCATTATTATTATTACTACCAATACCAACTTTCCTTTTCCTATCCATTTTAATATTTCAAAAAAGTTTTAGATTAGATTAAAAAAAATTTTGAAATTATCGTTATCATTCTAATATTACACTTATTTTAGCATTTATTATGATAATTTATAAGCGAATAAAAAATTGAAAAATTAGCAAAGAATGATAAGCGAGCATAAATGATAACTAATTGTAATTTTTTTTTAATTGAAAGACAATCTAATAATCTTTTCATTATCATAATCATTTCACATTTATTGCATTAATTTTCACTGATTTATTGTGACATGTAAATGAGTTGCGGTATACGTCATTGATGTCATTGTCACGTAACATATCACGTGACATCAACTGATCATATCGTTATGTTTAGCTAAGGATAACTTATTCTTATCACAACTTATCACAATATCATCTCAATCGTAGGTTAGTTTACTTATCACAGTATTATCCCAACCATAGGTCAATTAACTTATCACAGTACCACCCCAATCACAGATTAATTTACTTATCACAGTATCACTTCAATCATAGGTTAATTAACTTATCACAATATCACTCCAATCATAGGTTAATTAACTTATCACAATATCACTTCAATCATAGGTTAATTAACTTATCACAGTATCACTTCAATCATAGGTTAATTAACTTATCACAGTATCACTTCAATCATAGGTTAATTAACTTATCACAGTATCACTTCAATCATAGGTTAATTAACTTATCACAGTATCACCCCAATCACAGATTAGTTTACTTATCACCTTATCATCCGTAACCTTTATCAAATCATACATTTCCATCTCTTTTCATCTAACATTCTTTCCAATCTTTTGTTCAATATCTTTACCAATGTCAGAGTGATTTTCCCTTCTTTTCTTCTCATCATTTCCTCTAAATGTTCCATTTCCAAATTGCATCAATGAATTAAATTTAAAAAAAAAAAAAAAAAAAAATTGAAATGAATTCGTCTTTTTTTTTCCTAAGGTATTTCTTTATGCTAGTAAAGATGACATTAATCTTCATTATATAATTTTTTTTCAAATATTTTAAACTTACTGCCAATATTAATAGAGTATGTATATCTTTCTACATTATATTGGCAATGCAATTTCAGGATGATTTCAGGATACATAACGTTTGTCTTTCATTAACGTACAACGTGATATTTCTTCCTTTATACTTTTCTATCTATAATCTATAATTTCTACCTTTTTCTTCACGCTTTCACGTATACGTCATTCAAAACGTGTCACGAAACACGCAATTGAATGTGTTCAAGACGAATCACGAAGCACGCAAGACGTGTCACGAAAACATGCAATTAGACATATTCAAGACGTGTCACGAAAACATGAAATTGGACATATTCAAGACGTGTTACGAAACACGCAATCGGACATATTCAAGACGTGTTACGAAACACGCAATCGGACGTATTCAAAACGTGTTGCGAAACACGCAATCGGACATATTCAAGACGTGTTACGAAACACGCAATCGGACGTATTCAAAACGTGTTGCGAAACACGCAATTGGACGTATTCAAGACGTGTTACGAAACACGCAATTGGATGTATTCAAGACGCATCACGAAGCACGCAAGACGTGTCACGAAAACATGCAATTAGACATATTCAAGACGTGTTACGAAACACGCAATCGGACGTATTCAAGACGTATTACGAAACACGCAACTGGACTGCGTTACATATTGTCTCATTTGGGATTGTGTAATGTTGCATTCATTTGAGATTATCTCATTTTGCGCGTTATATGGTATTGCGTCATATTGCATGTGATAAGTTCCGTTATCTCACGTTGCGCGTTATCCGTCATTTACGATTACGTGATCTAAGAATGCGTTGCGTAACTTTTTTTTTTTTTTGTGTGGGGGGGGGTAATATCACAGAGTATGATTTTTCATACGATTTATCACATAGAGTCATAGATTTATTTCATAAACATTTCAATTTTAACTAACATTTCATTTTTGATGAAAAAAATGCATACTTTTCTAATTTTGTCAGCGATAATTTCATCTTTCCTTCATAGATTTTTTATCATATTTGATAATGAGATGAAAAGTGATTAATTAAGAAAAAAAAAAAATTAAAATACAAATGATAAATTAAGCCTATTTTTATTAGCCTTTATATAGATTATTTTTGTAACCTTAATAGTATTTACGCTGATACAAAGTGAGAAAAGTTTGGAATTTTAGTAAAAATTAGAAATATATTAGCGAGAAAAAAGAAAAAGAAAAAAATTTGTCCTTTTTCGCCATCTGAATAATCATAAAACATTTAAAAAAAAAAAAAAAGCATTGAGTGTCATCTTTGTATCAAATCTAAATCATTGCTCTCCGTTCTAATCTCATTTTTCCATCTCTCTTTTTCTCATAAATGTGCTAATAATACATGAGAAAAAAAAAATTTATTCCGTTAAAATCAATGATTATAGTGAAAATTGTATCTATTCTCTTTGAGTGTATTATTGATGCATTGTTTTTTGCGCAATTTAATTTTCTCTTCATTAATTCTTTCTAATCATTAATTTCTCTTTCGTTTTGTTTATGCAATTAATTCGTCAATGCCATTTTTGGATGTAATTTATACTTAATGATCTAAAAAATTTCAGTATATGGCACCAAAATTGGAACAATTAGGCCCATGTACTTCAAATGGTAATCAAAATAATGAATGTACGGATGATACATCAGCTGCACAAATTTTGCCAGGTATTTTATACGAACCAAACAGTTTTCATCACTATATACCAACACTTTATCTTGGTAAGGTAAGTTAAATTTTTTCTTTCATACCATTAAAATTAAATGATACTTTTATAATATTTGTTAAAAAAAAAAAGAGTGAGAATCCTTCTCTACCTTATTTATAGTATAAAAAAAAAAAGTGAGTGCTTTATCTATTTAATTTACTACTATTATAATTATAATCTATTATTTTAATTTTTGTATTCTAAGAAATATAATTAGCAAACATTTTATCCATTACTTGCTATTCGTTTCTCTTTTTTTAAAAAACAAATCTTTCTTTTTTTTTTTTTTTTTTTTTTTTTATAATTATGCTACCATTTTGTTTTTAACTTTACTATTATTAGTTGAATCATTCGATAGAATGCAAAATTTGAATTTTATAAATGAAAACTTGCAAACGATGATGATTTGCACTATTTTGAGGGAGGTTTTGCGCGTTGTTATGCAGCAAAGGATTCATCAACTAAGATGGAAGTAGCACTAAAAATTGTTCCGAAAAGTCGTCTCACTAAGCATTCAAAACTGGAAAAGATGCGCAAAGAGATAGTAATCCATAAGTCATTGAACCATCCAAATGTGGTCAAATTTTTGAGTTTTTTCGAAGATAACATCAACGTCTATATGGTGCTTGAACTTTGTCACAACGGAACTCTCCTTTGTCGCATTCAAAATGCACCTGGTTTGTTGCCCTCTTTGATTTTTTCTTTTTTTTTTTTTTTTTTCTTTATAAAAGCAATAGAGAAAACTATTATTTCATATCATTTCATCCTGTATTTTGGAGTTAGTCAAACGATTTGATCTGAAATTCTAGCACATTCTAAACATTATTGAGTATTCACTTATTTTCATTATGATTTGAAAAAAGTTAAAGCAATGAGATGACCTAAAGAAACTGTTGTTATTAGTAGTCCAAATATTTGATCTCTGTAATTAATCATAGTACCGAGACGAAAGGAAAGAAATGCATCTTAATTGGAGAATAGATTTTTTTTGTGGAATTTTGAGATTCTGCAATCAAAGTTTGTTAGCTATAAAAGTTTTTTAATCTTCTTAGAATAATGTCATTAATAACATAAAATCGAAAAGTCATCGACAGTTGAGCTGTGCTGTCCAATTAATCTCACTTATTCAAACAAGGTAAACACATTTGCTCCTTACATCCTTTCTCGTTTTTCTTTTCCTCGTGTTTCTCATCTATATTTCATCGTTCTAGGAGGGCAATTGAGGGATAACAGTGCCCGATCGTATTTATTGCAAATTGTTGACGCTGTCACATATTTACATGAAGAAATTGGCATTTTACATCGTGATCTGAAGCCTGGCAATATTCTCCTTTGCAGTAATGATCAGGTAATTTATCATTTTACTAGTTTTTAATTTAAACATTTTTCGGATGTCATGTACTGAAAAAACCTTGCTTAGCTATTTCATCTACATTTTATGTCAAGTTTGATTCATGAACCGATTGTTTAAGGAAATGAACTTGTCTGTTCTGAAAGTCTCATTTTTTTTTTTTTCGAAGTTTTATTAGGAAGTTGGTTTGAGTTATTGGATCATAAATCTGCTTTTTCTCTTCTTCCTTCCCTGATGAAATTTCTTGCTTGTCCAAAAACTCAGTTTGGTTTCAGAAATTTAAATTACAGGTCAAATTGGCAGATTTTGGTTTGGCATTGAAATTAGATGATTTACCTTATTCCTCGATGAATGTTTGCGGGACACCAAATTATCTTTCACCTCAGGTATGCATCTGTTTTTTTTTTTTTATTTTAAAAGTATTGGCTTCTTTCTTTCGTTCCCTTTCTTTTGCAACATCTTTTGAAACTAATCAATGATATCATTTTTTATATGAGAATTTCTCCTCTATTCCATTCATTATCTTTTCTATACGAAGTTTGTTATCAATTTCTTCCTGTTTCTTATGTCACTTATCAGTTCCGCATTTTAAGAACAGTAAACGAACCTGAATTTTCTTTTTTTTTTTCTAATTTCAACAATGTCATCAAACATTTCCGGTAATTTTTTGTTTTTTTTTTTTTTCGATAGCATTACTATTTCTGGTCAACTTTGTGATCATGATTATTAAAGAGATGAGTGAGTTCATATTTCATACTTAAATCTCCAAATTAATGGATAATCTTCAGGACCATATCATCTCTATTAATGGTCAATATCATTATCATTAAGATGCGTTTTGTTCATTTGACGTTTAATGATCTTTTTAGTGAGACTTAAATTTATTGAAAATTCCATCAAATTAAAAAAAAAAAAAATCTGAGAAAAAAGATGAGATGAATGAAAAATATAAATTTTTCAGGTACTTAAACAAGAAGGCCATTCAAAAGAATCAGAAGCGTGGTCCATTGGTTGTATACTGTATTGCATGTTGGTCGGTAAACCGCCATTTGAGGCTGATACATTAGAAAAAACTTATGTCAAAATAGCATCCGGCGACTATTCTTTTCCGCTTAAACCGAAAATTTGCATTTGTGCCGAAGATCTCATTTCGAAGTAAATGATATACTGATATATATAGAGAGAGAGAGAGAAAGATACAGAGACAGTTTTCTTACTTATTGATATTTGCTTCGGTTTATATTTTTTTCGATAATTATTAGAGATTATTCAGATTATTGAATGATATTAGTGAAAAGTAAAAAAAAAAATCATTGAATCTTCTTGAAAAATCATCAAATGATTATCTTTTTTTTTTTTTCACTTTTCAGGTTGCTTACGTTAGATGCAATGGCTCGAATGAAAGTAACTGCTATCAAATCTCATCCATACTTTGGCAACAGAGATATTGCGGGGTTAGTTTGCTAACTTTAAAATTTGCATTAAAATTGACGGCGATAATTGGTGTAAGCTTTAATGTACTTTTCAATCGATGCCAAACTATCTTTTATCCGACTTTAAACAGCTGCTAGAAGAGAAAAGAGACTGGTTTTTGTTTCTATAAATTTTTTCTAAATGAAGCAAAATATGAATTTTGACTGGCAAAAAAGTCATATGTGATAGAAATAACACAAATAAGCGCTTAAAATGTTCTTGCATTAAAAGATAGCTAATTTTCTATTGAACGACTTTTATCTGCTACAATAAGATAGTTCAGGTTTTTCGGTTGGCAGTGGTCACTCGAATGCTTTTAATGTTAATAAAGAATATTTTAGAAAAAATGAACCATACTCAGCAAAAACGAAAGAGAATAACATATTTCAATTGTCTAAGAAAAATTTTAATCAAGTATGTTGCTACATGTTTTTGTTCTTTCCGATAGTTCCTAATTTTTCTAGCATAAATACTTTTGTATAAGACTATTAAAAGTAATTATGACTTTTCTCTAATAAGTCCTCATTTTGCAATTCTTATTTTGCCAATGGAATTCTTGATTTTTTCATTTTGTATTGAGAAATTGCAGGGATTTGGAGGAGGTTGCAGCATTGGTGATTCTGGAATTGGCTCCGAAGGATGCTTAAATGCTCGGTCACCACGATCGGTTTCTGATTGTAAAGTTTTGTACAAGCAATTGCTACTTGGCTATTACACTGGTATTATTATACTTATTGTCTAAGTACCACTGTGTATTTTTTTTTTCTTTTTTTGTTTTATACAAGTTATATGAAAAAAGTGATTAACATCATTTTTTAAAATTCTTTTACTTATACATATATGTCAGACTTAATTTTTCATATGCTCATAATAAATGTTGATATTCGACAAGAACTAATTTTTTCGACTATAATTAATTTTGTTTTAGTATCCGATGAAGTGTCTCATTTGCTAGATTTTCAATTGAATATGGTAAGCAAATGGATGGATTATACTAATAAATACGGTTTTAGTTGTACTCTCAGCGATGGTACTTATTGTACTCTTTTTATCGATAATTCTTCTCTTTCACGCAGGCATTTTTTTTTTTTACATTCTTATGACTAAAAGAATTCCATTAGTAATAAATCAAGTATAATCATTAAGATTTGATCATTCATATATTCATTAAGATAAGATCATTTCATATCATTTTTCACCAAACATCAGTATGAATATTGTGATAAAGATAGCTATATCTTAATGAATTCATTTGTTTTAATTTTTTCAGTTTTCAATTTTTTTTTTCTTTTAGGCGTGCTGCAGAAAATGAAGCTGGGCGTTATTTGATGATAAGTGATACAGGTCAGGATCCTTGGTCTTTTTTTGAATGGACTACTTTGCATACTATCAATAATGAACGACTGAAAAAAAAAATCCGTATTGTGGAACTTTTTAGGTTGCATTATTGTCATTTTTTTTTTCTTTTAGATAAATTTGTTGTGGAAATTTGTTAGAATAATACTAGTGAGGAAAAAAAATTGCCTTATCATATCAGAGGATTCAATATATTCATATCAAAAAGTATATTTCCCTCAATTAGTATTGATTTCATTCCATCTACATTTTATATTCTTATCACTTATCACTTGTTATGTTTCCATTCTTCTACTGATGAATCAGATGTTGATCAGTTTATCCTAACTTCGATATTTTCATTTTTTTTTTTTTTTATCACTTACAGTGATTATATGGATAAGGAGCTTCAGCCAGTATATGAACATAGCAATATTCGGCAACAGTTAGATGCTTTAGTTTATCAAAAACGACATGGTGGAGTGCTAGTGATGTTTCTTGCTTTAGGAACAATTCAGGTAAATTTTACAAATTACTTTTACACTGTTTATCGAAGTTTTATTAACTCTAAGATTAATTTGACATATGTAAGTAATACATAAACTAATTCTCTTTACTAAGCTACTTCTACTTCTATTTAGGAATAAACGAAGACTTATATAGTTTTTTTTTTTTTATTTGTGATAGAATTTTTTTTTCATGAAAGTGAATTTTCTTCCTAATTTTTCAAAAAAAATCTTAGTATTCATTTTTTTTTTCTTTTTTTTTAGCTTAATCATAAAAGCAAAGTAAGCTTATTAGATAAACATAACATTGATCATATTGATGATATACATTCGCATTTTACTATTTGTTCACAGTTAGAAAAATATAAGTTCTAACATTTTATTGTACTTTTTTCTTTTTTTCTATTATAATGTAAAAATAATAATTCATTTTTTTTTTTTTTCTAGATTAATTTTTTGGAATCACATGAAAAACTAGTCATTAATCGAGATGAGCATGGCCGTTTATTGCTTACGGTGATCGAACAATGTGTTGATTTTCATACATATCAGCTGCTTCCTTACGCCTCAACATCAAATCGCACAAACTGTCAAAAAGTTCAGCAACTGCTTAATAAAGCTTTTCGACTTTTGGAAGGCGAGAAAGCATTGTTGCAAGGATCTTACTGTGCTACCCAGTGTTAGCTTCAATTTTCTGAAACTATAACCGAGATTGATCTTTAGTGATAATCTCCCTGAATCTTTTCGAGATTGATCTTTAGTGATAATCTCCGTGAATCTTTTCGCTAGAAATATAGATGCAGTAATCGGAAACGAGTCTCTCTCTCTCTCTGTCTTATATACATATACCTTTCTCTGTCAAGCGTTTTCCATTTTCTGTTTTCACCTTTCAGTTCATTCTCGACTATTTTTGATTGCATCAGTAAGTGTTTTTCTTTGCTAAGGGATGGATTTACTACTGCTATCACGACCAAGAAAATTTTGTAGGATTTCCGGTGTTATTCAAGTTCGAAGTTTACAATTTCTCGCTTTATTATCACACTTTAATGTTAAGCCAAACATTAAGTTAAACTTCACTCATTTGTAGTTCTAAAGCACATTCAATTTTTGACCTTCCCTTTTGTGTTTACTTTTGTCCCTGCATATTCCTTTTTTTTTTTTTCTGGAATCATATTTTAGCATTATTTTATTGTACGAAAATTATTCCCTCTTTACAATAGATTCTTATTGTTTACCTTCCATTCTTTGTTATTATTTTGACTAGAATTATTGATTTCTTTCTTTAAATTTTTATGCAATCATGCATGCACAAATAGCTGCCATTCGAGATTTTGGACAATGTTTGATGAACGAGAATGACCGACGAATCGCAAAAGCTGAATCAACTTTTCTTGTTTTCTATTTTCCTCTGCGATTTTTGTTTTTTGTCGTTTTTCATGAATTTATTCAATTTCTTATTTTCATTCCATCCATTTTATATCACTATTCATTTCTATCCTTCTAATGACATTCCGATGTTTCCGTGTATCTTTTCTGTTCAGGGATTTTTCATAGATGTAAATATTGACTTAGTAGATGAGGTAATTTTAATATTTGAGAGATTTAAAAATAAAAAAGAAAAAAAAATGAGTGACAAGAACTGATTGAAATAAAATAACATTGAAAAGAACAGTTTTTTTTTTTTGGTTTCATAGCTATCCCGTGACCTTTATTCTCGATAAAGGTATACGGTATACACTGCAATAGAATCTTTTATAACTTCTTATCCCTTATTCCAAGCATCATTTCATATACGTGTATGACATTTGGTTACATACGTGGACTGCCTTCACTTTTTTTTTTTTTTTTGTGTTATTTTAACGTCTAACATAGATTTCTTTGTTTCTTCTGTTTTCATTTTTTTCAATTTTTTTTTTTTTTTGTTCTCATTTGTCTATTTTTTTTTCTTTTTTTTTTTGGTATTTAGTTTGGTTTATTCTGACGAATAAAAATACAGTTAAAATTCTTGGTATTATTACATATAAACAAATGCAAAGGCTTGAATAATATACATTTGTGACAGTCATTGAATATAGGAAATGTCGGTGACAATTATTAATCGTTTCATTTACAAAATAGCAAGCTTTGAAATTTTTTTTATGAATGAATGAATAATGAGATGATAAGATTTTAGGTTGAACAATGAATGAACTGATAAAGTCAATTTTAGCATATATGACAGGTCAATTTAGCATCTGTGACAGGTCAACTTTAGCATCTATGACAGGTCAACTTTAGCATCTATGACAGGTCAACTTTAGCATCTATGACAGGTCAACTTTAGCATCTATGACAGGTCAACTTTAGCATCTATGACAGGTCAACATTAGTATCTGTGACAGGTCAATTTAGCATCTATGACAGGTCAACATTAGCATCTGTGACAGGTCAATTTAGCATCTGTGACAGGTCAACTTTAGCATCTATGATAGGTCAATTTAGCATCTATAACTTTGCACCTATCAATGAATGATGTTAGATGCCTTTTTAAATGTTTTTTTAATTTGACATTATGACATATGGAATAGGTAAGTTTTGACATATATATATATATATGCATTTTAAATTAACCTAAATTCTATATTGATATCACTGATAGCTTAGCTAAAAAGTTGAAAATTTTATTTTCAGATGAATAATTAATGAATTTTATAATTTTACATTACTTTTAATTTAGTGTTATACAACTATTAATGTTATATAATATCAATAGCATCTTATTGTATAAATTTTATTTAGGTATTAAATAAATTAATGCATTTATACCTGAAAACATTTTAATAATTCAATTATTATTCTCAATTATTCTATCTTAAATTTCGAATTTTTCAATCAATTTCAAGCAGATAGCAAAGATTGCTCGAATTTCTAATTCTTTTATTTTATCATATCTAAGAATTAGTAAAGTAGTATTGTAATATTATGATATTGTAACGGAAATTTTGATAAGATAAAACTTCTTTCATTTAAATTTGATCCAAACAACCTAATATATTGTACCATTTTTTTTTTTTATTTTTTAAACGAGAAATTCTGCATAACAGAACTAATAATAAAAGTATTAAAAAGTAAAGTAATACTGAAAATAAAACTAATAATAAAAGTTATTAAAAAGTAAAGTATTACTATTATCTAGTATGAAAACAGAACTGATAATAAAAGTATTGAAAAGTAGAGTATTATTTAGAACTGATAATAAAAGTATTAAAAAGTAAAGTATTACTATTATCTAATATGAAAACAGAACTGATAATAAAAGTATTGAAAAGTGAAGTATTACTATTATCTTCTTCTTATTTATTGAAAAAAAAAATCGCAAATAACATTTGAATGTTTAATATACTTTTAGTCTAATAAACACAATTTTTATAGATCATTTGTTGAGAGTTGCTGCTATCATTGTTAATCGAAACAAATTTTATAGTAAATATAAATAAATTTACAATAGTGAGATTATTATTTGTTGTTGTATAAAATATTAGTATAATTATGATGCACAATAAATAATACATTGTTTACTATTTACAAAATGAAAATAAAATAAAATGGTAGGAAAAAAAAAAAAAAAGAAAGACAGACAGTATCAATACAAATTCTATGCAATTATTATAATTAATTAATTAGTTGATAACTATTGATAATAATAAAATTACTGATAATAGTTAATGCTACTAGAATTGGAAATGATAATAGAATGATAATAGCAAAAGGTTTATTTAGTTTTAAAAAACTTTAAGCTATATGATTGATTTCAGAGTTTATCAAAAAAAAAAAAAGAAGAAAAAAAACTTCGAAATAATTAACATCAAATAAATCATACAAATATTTGAAATTAAAAAAAAATACTACTGGTAAAAGCAACAATTTTTATAACTTTATTAAAATTTAAAAATTATTTCATATACAGTATTAAACAATGAAAACTTTTAGATATTAAACAAATAATTGAAATCATTTTTTTTTTTTTTTTTTTTAAACTTTTACTTCATCAAAATAAATACTTTATACCAATTTTTGTTGTGCTATTTTTGCAAATTTTATAAAAATATATCAGAAAGGATTTTTATGATAAAAAAAAAAAAAAAAACATAGCAATATTGATTAATTGAAATAAAAAAAAAAGTTTGGTAAAAATACTAATTTAAATATTTGAAATTTCAAAAAATCCGTTTTTTTTTCTTTCAAATATTTAATTTTACTTTCATTAATTTACTTTACAAATTTTCTGCACAAGATCAATCCTATAAGTTTTTCTTTACTTTACTTTACTTTACTTTACTTTACTTTACTTTACTTTATGATTATTGAAAGGAAGATATGTTAAAATTTAAAATAAATTGTTTCATGAATTTAAACTATGACATATTTGACTTAATGATGTCACATCAAGCAAATTAATAAAACTGTCTGTTGACATATATGTCACGTGTTTAGCTTCTATCTCATATGACATTTTCAAAATTTTTTAAAAAAAAAGAAAAAGGAAAGAGAAAAAAAAAAAATCTTTCTATCAGATTTCAAATAATTCTGTTAAAAAAATCAGTTTAAATTTACATTTTATATCCCTTCCTAAACTTTGTCAATAATTTATTTTTTAAATTTTTTGAGAAAAAAAAAAAAACCTTTTGACATGCTCTATTTTTTGTAAAATTTTAAAAAATTAACTTTTAAAGTAAGTTAAAAAAGGAAATTTGATATTAATATTTAACACATTTTTAAGAGAAAAAATTTTTCAGGAAGAGGTATAAGTAATAATTACAAATAATTGAAGGATAAAAATTTTTTAATATATAAATAGAATCTTATAATTGATCATTTCAAAAAAAAGAAAAATAGATGCAATTTGTAAAATAAAAAAGCAAAAAAATGAAAGGGTTAGAGGGAGAGAGAGAGAAAGAGAGAGAAAATGAAAAATAAAAAAGTTTTATTATCACAAAAACTTAAAGTGTATGAGAAGAGGAAAATAGGAATTTTTAACACAAATAATTTAACAGTTTGAACCCGAAATTTTCAAAACAATAATTTTTATTATTTTAATAAATGAATAATAAAATAATTAATTTTTCATAGTTATTTTAACAAATTTAGTGTGCAATATTAATTGATTTCTGCACAAATAAATAAATAAATTTTGTTTTTAAAGTTTAAAAAAAAAAATCAACCAACTATTCTATATATTATTTTATAAATGAAATTTTTCCGAAAATAATGAATGCATTATTAAAAAAAAAAAAATCGAATATGATTAATCGATTTGACACTAAAATATTTATATTTACAATTTCTACATGAATTATTGAAAATAGAATATTATTTTAGCATTTCCGGAAACACATTAAAACCAAAGAATTGTTGATTCTTTGAAAAGATGAAGAAGAAGAATTGTTCCGGAAGCGTTGTACCGGAAAAAAAAAAGACGATTACAAAAAGCTAAATCGAATTTTAAGATTTTTCAGGCTCTTCTACAGGTCCTAAAGTATGCCATTGAGCAATAGGTCTACGTGGACTGGCTAACATATCCATCCAATGTCGTAATTCGGCACCTGTTGCTGAACAGCCTAGTATACAACGGCCAATTGCATCATTAGAGCCAAGCTTATCATAATCCATCACAGTTATCATTAATGATACCTTCTGCAATAATTTTATTACTGCTAAAAATTTTTGATGAGATAGAGAGAGAAAGAAAGAGAAATTTTTTGATATTAATTTTAATTTAGATACTATCAAAAGATTTAAATTGAATAATATTTGAAAAGAAATAAATTGGATTGCCTAAATGTTATGAATAGTTTTTCAAAAAAGAAAAAAGAAATCTATTAGTGTTAAAATTTTGAATTGAATAGAAAAAATAAATGCATGAGAGAGAGAGAGAGAGAGAGAGGGAGATAGAAATTTTTTGAAACTAATTTTAATTTAGATATTATCAAAAAATTTAAATTGAATAATATTTAAAGAGAGATAGATTGAAGAGGAAAAAAAAAATGTAAGAAATAATATTGCTCAATTTTATGCGTAATTTTTTCATAACTATAATTTTTCAAAAAAAATTTTTTAATAATTTAAAAACAACAACAACAAAGCAATGTATTTAAATTTAACTTAGTTTATTTACATTTAACTTAGTTATATTTAAATTTAACTTAGTTATTTCAACTTTATACATACTTCATGGTATTATCAAATAATAGGTTAATATCTATTCGCATCCTTTTTTTTTTTTTCTTTTTTTCTAAATTAGAAATTAAAAAAAAAAAATCTAAAATAGAAATTAAAAAAAAATATATAAATTAGAAATCAAGAAATTAAAAATTTCCACTTATATAGTATTTATTTCAAGAGAATTTATCCACCTGAATTTGCTCGAATGGTACTTCAAATGAGAATGATTCATTGTAGTAAGGATTTAGAGTACATTTTTTAATGCTTGTTTTCTTCTTTTTCAATCTTTTTCCACCTTGTAGCAATACTATTTTCACATATGGATCTAAAATATATCTGAATTTAAACCATTTAAAATTATTAGCACAATTTAAATTATATCTTCAAATCATTTAATTCACACATTTTTCAATCATTTGAAAATTAGAAAATAAAACTGAAAATAAATGATTTATCACTTTTAAATGATATAAGCTTACCTGATAATCCACCAACATCCATTTTTTTCAAATTCTTTGCTTCCAAGATAACAACCGTAAGCTTACCAGCTGTTGGTACATACCTCAATGAAAAGCAAATATCGCCCAAACTTTTATCCTATAATAAAAAAAAAAAGTTAAATTTATACTAATATTTACTTAAATTATTAATATTCAAATAAAAAAATGTGTGATAAATGATAACTGATAAGAATAATGTAAAACAAACTGCTTCTTTATCATCAGGTGGTGGTGCAATATCTTTCCATTCCTCAATCACTTGGCCAAGATCTATTTTACCAAGTGGTATCAACACTTGGCCAATTTGATCATGTTTCGAGAAACGATCAAAATCATAAACAGCAAAAACCAATGTTTTTGATGCTATTTCAACAAATGGTACCTTAAAAATAACTAAGTAATAATTATCATTTCAAATTAATTTTATTTTAATTTGTTAATTTTTTTTTTTTTTTTTTTTTTTTTGCGAAAAGTAGGCTAAAAGTAAATTAATTTTGTTAATTTTATGAAAAAGAAACTAAAAAGTAAAACAAAATATAATACCTTGAATATAAATGTTTCATTAAAAACAGGATTGAGAGTTTTACGATGTACTTTCGTCTCCACTTTCTTCTTTTTTTCCGGTAAAAGATATAATTTCACATAAGGATCTGATGTTCCACTCATATCCATTCCTGGTAAATCCTCGGCTTGTATCACTGTCACAGCTAACTAAAAATTTCACATGGATATTAGTAATAGAATTTAAATTTAAATCAATAAAATATTTTTTTCTTTTTGGACTACAAAAATGAATTCACTATAATTATTAGTTTTTTTTTTTTTTTTTGAATTACTTTAAATAGAACAATATTTTATTTTTTTTTTTTGTAATAGCATTATTTAAAATGCATTTTGAAATTTAAAATTTAACTTATGTTTTGCACTGATATCAGTAATAGAATTTAAATTTAAATCAACAAAATGTTTTGTTTTTGGACTACAAAAATGGATTCACTATAATTATTAGTTTTTCTTTTTTGAATTATTTTAAATAAAATAATATTTTATTTTTTTTTTTTGTAATAGCATTATTTAAAATGCATTTTGAAATTTAAAATTTAACTTATGTTTTGCACTGATATTAGTAATAGAATTTAAATTTAAATCAACAAAATATTTTTTTTTTTTTGGACTACAAAAATGGATTCACTATAATTACTAGTTTTTTTTTGAATTATTTTAAATAAAATAATATTTTACATTTTTTGTAATAGCATTATTTGCATACCATTATATTTATCTAATTAAATGCATTTTGAAATTTAAAATTTAACTTATTTTTATTTAATGAAACTTAAATAGTATGAAAAATTTTTCAATGGTTAATTAGTAATCAAAAAAGATTGAATAGTATTGGATTAAAATTTATATGCAAAATATTTATAGCACTGACAGTTTCTATTAAAATTAGTTGTAAGTACAAATTATTTACATAAAATTTAATATCAGTTTATAAATTTAAAACTTTCAAAAATACCTGATTTTGTTGAAAGTCATAGTCGAGCTTATACTGTAATCTTCCAAGTTTTACCTGAATAGGTAAATAATAAAATAATTTGTATTATTTTGTAGAATTCTTTTGGTTTAAGCATCATTTCTCATTCTCGTCGAATGAAAAAAAAAAACTTTTCAGAGTAAAAAAAAAATTAATAATTTGTTTAAAAGAAATTATTCAAAGTTAGGAAAAATTATTTAACAAAAAAATTGATAATAATAAATGAAATGGAATGAAATGAAACTTAAACTAAACTAAAAAATCATTTAAAAAAAAAGTTTAAAAAAACTTAATTACTTCTTCTTTTTCCTCTGCTTGCTCTTTCTCATTTTGTTCCATATTTTCTTCCAATTGTTCTAAATCCGTTGTCAACTAAAATGGAAACATTTACTCAAATATTTCATTTAAAAAAAAAAAAAAAAAGGAAAAAAAATAGAAATAATTCAAAATTTAAACAAATACAGCAAAAAAGTTTATTTCAAATTTAATCTTTTATTAGTAAAAAATTGATAACAAAATTTTTTGCCTTATTTTTATCAATAGTGATAAGATCAGCGCCTTTTCCACCAAAAAATCCTTTCAATCCTTTTTGTTTTTTTTCGCCATGTCGTTTCTTTCCAAATAATTTGCGTATCAGAAAGAATGCACAGCACAAAATTAATGCAAGGCAAATTATGCCAAAAAAAACGAAAACCCATTCTGATACTAAAACAATTATTGAAATTTAAAAATTTAAAAAAAAAATATCTTACAAAAAAAAAAAAAAAAAAAAGAAAAGTAAAAAAGGTACACACAATTTTTATATTTTATTTCATTGGCAAACATTTTTTTTTCCTTATCAAAAAGCACAAATTTTGAATGTTTATCAACAATAATTTATATTATTTATAGGAAACAATAACAATTTATATGAATAATAATAATAATAATAATAATAATAATAATAATAATAATTCATTCTATTACTTATTTTATACCAGAAAAAAAAAAAAAAAAATTGTGCAAATATTTGAAATTAATTTAAAAGTGCAAAAGCTAAAGCTAAAGCTAACTTATATGTATGCCATTCTGCAGATGGTTCTAATCCATATGATAGCCTTAAGATATTTTCACTAATATTTCCAAAACTTTAAATTACTTTAATTTTTTATTCATTTATTTTTTATTCCCACATGTAAAGTAAAAATTAAAATATTAAAAAAAAAAAAAACGAACAACCAGTTTTTGCCATCATTTTTTTCCGAGTAATATCAGAAAGTGTTTTAGCTTTATCACCAACAAAATTTACCACCGCATCTTTTAATGATTCTTTATTTGTTGTTAATTGTCTGTAAAAATTATTTTTATTAATTATTTAAATTATCATTAAAGTAAATATATGATAAATGAGAATTGTTCAAAATACTTTCAAAAAAAAAAAAAATCTTTTTTTTTATTTACATATTAAAAAAAATTTTGTTAGCATAGATGAATTTTATGAATAATTCAATGAGAAAAAAAAAAAAAAGAATTTTAAATTATAATGTTGAGCAGATGCTCAATCATTATATGATTTTAATATTTGAATAACCTATTCAGAAAGATTTTTTGAACCAATAAAAATGTTTATTGATAATTCAAGTAAACAATATTTCTTATCTTTTATGATAAAGTGGTGTTGCGATTAGTATTATTAGAGAGTGGTAAATAATTTTTTTTTTAGCACTCATTGTTTTCAATTAATTATAGGTAGTTCATTTCATTTAGAAATAGGTGGAAGAATGAGTGAAAGGGAATATTGAAGTAGGGGTAAGGTAGGGGTTAATTTCGAGAGTGGAAGAGGATATTGAAATAACGGAAAGTAGGGTTAATTTCGAGAGTGGAAGAGGATATTGAAATAACGGAAGGTAGGGGTTAATTTCCGGGAGTGGAAGAGGAAATTTAAGTAAGGGCAAGGTAGGGGTTAATTTCGAGAGTGGAAGAGGATATTGAAATAACGGTAAGGTAGGGGTTAATTTCGAGAGTGGAAGAGGATATTGAAGTGACGGTAAGATAGGGGTTAATTTAGAGAGTGGAAGAGGATATTTAAGTAAGAAAGGATAAGGTGGAGGTTAATTTCGGGATTATACCTTTGAAATTCATGTTAAAATGAAATAGATTTTTAAACATAGTCGTTGTTTTTATGAGAACTTGTGAAATTTTTTTTAAATTAAATCTTCAATCAAAATCTTAAGGTTAAATGATTACTGTTTAAGTTTGGTAACATTAAGGAATCATGATAAAACTAGAAAGAGAGATACTGAAATGCAACATTATTGATTGACTTTTTTAAAATTATTTCAGATTAAAATTATTTTTTAAAATTATTTCAGAAAAGATTATAATATTACATCTTATTACATTGTTCTAAAATTGATTGAAAAAGCAATTTGAGCTTATAAAAATTTCAAAAAATATTGTGAAATATTTCAAATTTTCTCATATAACTTTTCAAATATTTCAAATATTCTCATATAATTAGGAATCATTTCTTTATTCCTTAATGGATCATCTTTTTTTTTTTTTTTTTTTGAAATTAAAATTTAAATTGAAAATAAGCTAAGCTTACGGAATCGTTCCTGTGCTTGTTCGAGCAGCTCTAGTAGATGCAATTGTCGTGGCGGTAATAGTCGATGATACTATCATCATCGGCTCATCAGATGGCTCATGCTCCATGCTAAGCTCATGGCTAAACTCTGATTCATCACTCAAATCGATCTTCACCATTTCCTTTTCTTAGTCCTTTTACTCATTCACCAGTATATTTTCTATATATTAATGTAATTTTAAAATTATTGAAAAAAAAAAAAAAAAAAAATCGATAAATCAAATTGTGTTCAATCAAATTTTAAAGTACAATTTAAAAATAAAATATTAATTAATAGTACCTTCTATTCATACATCAATATATTTTCTACATATAAATTTAATTGAACATATTTATAACTATAAAATTATTGAAATTTTAACTTTAAAAATGTAACTTTAAAATTTTTTTAAAAAAAAAATCGATAAATCAAATTGTGTTCAATCAAATTTTAAAGTAAAACTACAACAGCAATAGAATTTCATTATATTTCATGTCATTATTTATGGTTTTTTTTTTTTTTTGTTGTTGTTAATAAATTTAACAAAGAATTACCAAAGATTTTATCATTTCGTTTGATCGAGATCATAGCGAGATCAAAATTAATAAATGATTGGAATGTTAAATTTTTTTTTTTTTTTTTTAAATTTATTAATCAAATTTTTGATTATTTATTAATTTTATACTAAATTATCTCTAAACTGTTATTTCTTTTGTTATACTAATTCTACATTTGTTATTTATAATAAACTATATCAAATGTTATAAATTAATGTGAAATTTTAAAAAACAAAACAAAACAAAAGAGAGGGAGAGAGAGAGAAGAGGCGGAATAAATAAATTTTTTTGTGAGAGAAAAGGGAAAAGAAAACAATATACAGAGAGAGAAAGAGAGAGAGAGGGAGAGAGAGGGTAAGTGTTATTGGCCTATATTTAAAGGACTGATTGATTACATAAAACAAAAACAAAAAACAAAAAACAAAAAACAAAAAAGGAAGAAAATCATTTATTTGTTATACTGAAATTAATGAATGAAATGACGAATTCAAATTATTACTTTGTTAACAAAAAAAAAAAAAAAAAAAATGTCACATTAATTTATTTCATCAAAAACTAAAATAATTTCAGTCAATTTTCATTTAATTCATTTATTGATTTAATCTAACTTTTCATTTACTTATTTACAATTATTTAACCAAAATAATAGCATACAGTAGCAGAAATAATATTTTTAAAATAATATTACAAGATTAAAATGAACTTTTTTTTGTGAAAAAAAAAATTAATTGTAATAATTTCTTCTAATAGTAAAATATCAAATTGAAATGGTTTAAAGATTAGTTTTGAAATTAGTTTTATTTGCCACTTCAATGTATATTCAAATATATTCTGAATACAGTAATTATCTATTTCAAGTGAAATAAATGTTACAGAAAATATAAACTTATATAAATCTCTCTCTCCCTCTCTCCCTCTCCCTCTCTCTCCCTCTTCTCTCTCTCTCATAGTAAACAATGTAATCTAAGAATTTGAAATATATGTCAATAAATTAATCTTAGCTATATTAAAATTATGAATATGTATGCTTAAAAATGTGATATGATCGAATTATAAAATTTTAACAATACTTTTAGCTTTTTATAACTGATTGAAATGAACTTTAAATATTCAATTTCATATAAGAATTGAAAAAAAGAAATGAAAAGTATCTTTCAAAAAAAAAAAATTGAAATTATAATAAGAGATGATTACAATTTGATGCATTTTGTTTATTATTCAAAGAGAGAGAGAGAGAGAGAGGGAATATATCTCTGTATGATAATATTTTGAAGAGAAATTGAATTGAGCAATTTCAGTGATGTGAGTGAAAAATAAAAATAAAAAAAATAATGATCGAATATTTTCAATAAGCAAAATTTTTGCTTCATTTTATTTTTTCCCTTATTTTCATTGAAAAAGAAAAGAAAAGGAAAGAAAGAAAGTTATTGTTGAAATGTTAAGTTTAAAAAAAGTTTAAAATTAAATTTAGATGAAAAAAATGATAGAATTAATTGAACAATTTGGTAGTAATTATTAAAATTGCAAATTTATTCATATAAAATTTCTAAAAATTTTCAACTATAATTGTAAATGGTCGAGAAAAATTCTCACCTAATTTATAGCTGTGACAATTTTTTCTTTTTTAAACTATCTAAATGACATTATCAGATAATTATATGTAAAATTATTTGCTCATTTCAATGCTAAATGTAAACATTTATATCATTTTTCTAGAATATATCAATTAATGCTAATATTTCAGAAAGTTAATATCTAATTATTGTCTTAAATTTTTTGCTAAATTTAAAAAAAAAAATTTTTTTTTGCCTTTTTTTATGAAAAAAAAAAAAAAAAAAAATGTGATAAATTCATGGAAATCAGAATTGATTTCATAAATTTAATTTATGCAATCAAATTGAATTTGCAAGAAATATAGGCCAAAAACAGAGAAAATAATAAGTTAAAGCTTTAAATAAATAATAAGCCTAGATGATAGCACGTGTGCAATAGCTTAAATATAAAGCATTTGATCGGTAGAATATATAAAAGATTTAAACAATAAATTTATAGCAATGAAAAAGGATAGATGAAATAGAGATGAGAGATGCAAAAATATACATTTCTAGTTTGGCCATTAGTTTTGATAGTCTTCTCTCTAGCATTTATGAGCCTAGTCCTAGTTTCCTTTTGCTAGCACACAGACAAATAGAAGAGACTAATGCTGAATGTAGAGCAAACAAGCCTGAATACCCTTAACGATTACTAGGCTTTTTACTTTATAGATGAAAAATGCATTCATATTGACTAATCTTTCTTCATCTTTTTCTCTAGCTTTGGCCAAGCTATTTTCTGTCTTGCAATTTATAAAAATCGAAGTAAACGAGAGAAGCCAGAAAACCTAAGCTATTATGCAAAAAGAGCTGTACATCTGTAGCCAAGGCAAGCTTAGGCTTTTTAACCAGAGAGAATTGATGAAAGTTTAGATAAAAAGAAGAAGGAACAAAGAAAACGAAAAATTAGTTTTAGTTTTTTAATCAAAATGAAATAACGAAAAGAAATAAACGAAATTTTACAAAACTTTTTTTTTTTTTTTTTTTTGAGGACAAATGAGCACATAATGCATAGATTTTCTACAATCGATCCAAGCGGCATTGTTAAATATTTTCAAAATTCAGTAAACAAAAATGTTTGCATACTTATTGGACTCTTTTTTTTTTTTTTAAAACTGAAAGCAAAAAGAAAAAAAGAAAAGCGAAAAGAAATAACACTTTTAATAATAGCTATAGCAGAATGATTAAAGAGAATTTTGTTTTTAATTTCAATAAATTCTCCTAGTATGGATTGAAATATGTTTAAATTCTTTGATAAAATATGAAATAAATTTAATAGATTTTAAGATTTGAGTAAATTAAATGATTGATGATGTCAGTAATGATGGCAAAAGTTATTTGTAAACAAAAATAATTTCTTTTTAGAAAAAAAAAAAAAAAAAAAACAAGTTGAAGGAAGTTTTTTACTTTTTCTTTGAACGAACTTTTCTTACAATTATTTACTTTTTTCTATTCGCAATATTATACTCATTATCATTATCATTATCACTATGATTATCATTATTATTGTTATTATTTATTATTATAGTAATAAAAATACACGCAATTATCATTGCTAGAATAACTATAAAAATACAATTCTATTAACATCATCATCATCATCATCATCATCGTCATCATTGTTATTATAATTATGAAATTATAACTTAAGTTTGAGAAATGTTTGCACCTACAATAAAAAATAAGTAAAATTGCATGAGTGACGTAAATCTTTCACGTAATCTGAACGTACGTCGGTTGAGAGGTGCAATTTTGATTTATCTTAAACAAAAATCGATTATTGATAGACATGTAATAGCGATAAACTTACGAATTTAAAATTTAGAAAAATCTTACGAATTTAGGAAAGAAAATAAATTTAGTGTATTTCGATTAAATTAAAATCATAAGCTGTCAACAGCTAATTGTTATGAATTAATCATTAATAATAAAATAATTTGGATGAAGATAAGTGCTTCTAAATGAATAAATTAATGCAAATAAATTATAGGAAAAAATAAAATTTATAAAATTTTAATCTATAATTTTATCATTTTATTCCGAAAAAAAATTTAATTAGTAAATAGCTTTAATTACTAAAATATTTTCTTATCAAAAAAAAAAAAAAATTACTACAAAAATATTAACTATAATTTGTTGTTAATTCTGTTCCTCTTTGTAATGTATCAATAAAAAAGTGTCAAAATTTATTTTAATTTCATCTTACATCCATTTCACTTCTTTTCATAATTGTTATTGGATAAACTTTGCAAGAAAACAAATTGAAATTTTTGAAAATGCATTACATTTATTTTTATAGCAAACATAAAAACAATGCAATGAATTTCTCCATTTCATTGTAAAATTAAATCACTTAAAATTAAATATACATTTTCTTCTCTCATCCAAAAATTGATTAGTTAAATTTAACATGCCCATATCGATTTTTAAATTTTAGCTTTTTTTTTAGCTTTATAAAAAAATCAGATATATTGAGAATTTCTATTACTAATATTGGAAATTTCTTTAAATACTGCTGCAAAAAGCAATAAAAATTTCCATTTCAAAAAATATAAATTTTGAAATATAAAATATATCATTGATGAGCTAATTGAAAGAATATTAATTGTTAATGGAAATTTTAAATTGTAATTGAAAAATGAATGAATAATTTTGAAATTATGCCTTTTTCTTCTCTTTCATTTAACAAATTTCGAAGTTCGTTGTTAAATGCCATCAGTGATGTGAGCAATGATTATAAAAAATAAACACCAAATTTGCATAATTTGCCATTTAATTTAAAAAAAAAAAAATTATTAATTCCATTCACACAGTATTTTTATTATCACATTGTTATATTTGCTATCACATTTGTGATATAACTCTAATATCAGGTCAATATCTGTAATTGATATCTCATGACCTTTAGTAAGGAATGACCTTATCTGTTGTTTCCTGATCCATGAAATGTACTGACCTGAAAATCTATAAAGTCTTTTTTTTTTGGGAGAGAAAAAGTTGACTCATTATTTTGTCACAAATTTTTTTATTAAAATTATAGCCTGAAGTCGTCGTCAATAATAATAATTAATAATAATTAATAATAATAATTAATGATAATAAATAATTAATAATAATAGGAATTCAGATATGTTAAAAAAGCAATAAATCTTATTATTGTATGAAAAATAAGATATGAAACTTTTAAATAATACTATTTGATTCTGACTTACTTTTTTTTTTTTTAAATCGAAATTTTTTTATATATTTTTTGATAAGAAACTTTTTTAATTTGCATAAAATTTAACTATAATAGTGGGTAAACATATAAAATATATATTTATAAGTTTGAAATATGCATAGAGAGAGATTCACTCTTTGATAGAAAGAGAGATTCACTAGAAAGAGATTCACTCTATGACCTCTGACCTTGATCATTATCATAAAATTTCATTTTAACATTAATAGCTGCTTTATCATTACATATCAATAAACTTTTCATTGCAATACTTTGTTATCTTCCAATTTTTACGAATCGAAAAATAATAATAATAGTAGTAGTAGTAGTAGTAGCTCATAATTCATTTACAATTTTTATACTTTAAACTAAAATTTCGATTAAATTCAATCAACAAAGTTTTATTTTCATTCTAAAGATAATAACAAATTATTGTAATTTCTCTCTTAATAGTTACTTCTATTAAAAAAAGAGGGAGGAAAGATTACATTATTCAAATTTGAAATTTAGCAAAAGATTAATTATTCTCCCGGGAATTACCAGTGCATAATTTTAGACAGATCTTAGCTATCACTCGAAATGCTAGTTAAAATAACTTTTTTTTTCTTTTCTATCAAAATTAAAAAAAGAAATTGCAAAAGAATTTTTATTAAAAAAATATTTTATATATACAAATTGTTAAAGTGATAAAAAAAGAAAGAAAAAAAAATGACATAAAAATTTTTTATTTATAAAATATTTATGAATAAAATTTCTTTGTAATTTTGATACTTTTAATTAATTAAAAGAATTAAATTGGTGAAAAAAAAAAGTTTTTGAATTTATATGAAAAAAATTTTATTATCGAAATTATTGAAATTAAGTGGAAAAGTGTAACTTTTTGAGAAATCATTCGTAACAATAATAATAAAATTAATTTATTATGCAAAAAATTTTTTTTGTAGAAAAAAAAAAAAATGAACAAAATATTTTCTATTTGTCCATTTGTCTTTGATAAAATTTTAATTGTTTTAATTGGGAAAATCAAATTTATCACTTTGTTATCACCAAAATAACGATACTATCATCCAACAGTAGTTTATTCACAAAATATTTTACACTTTTTTTTTTTTCGGAATAGAATAAATAATATTAGAGTGTAATTCTGATGAAATGAAATACAGAATATATCAACACTTTATAATTAATAAAAGAAAATAATAAATTGTGAGATATGAAATAATTTTCTTAACAATAATATTTAGAAATTATTCCAAGGATAGAATAACAAATGAAAAAAAAAGTGAAATATTCCGGAAAATCGGAATATTAAATCAGTAAATCATATTATATCATAATACATTTTACAGGATAAAAATTTTTAAAATGCAAAATGTATTTGTAAATAATACTGCAAATTTGGAATTCTATATAATTTCGGAAATGTGTTCTATGGAAAAAAATCATTATATTATTTAGAGTGATTACAAATTATTCAATTAATTGCAAATCGTAATTAATTAAATTCGAATTAAAATCTAGTCACTCTATCAGTTACAAAAATTAAACTTAAATCTTTGGATGCGCATTTGTCATTTGCATAAATTCGAACATTCTTTTTCGAATAAAAGTTTTCAAATATAATAATTACAGATGAAAAATGAAATTAAAAAATTAATTATATTAACAAATTTTATTATTTTTAATATCAAAGAATTTGATTTGATCATAAAAATATTTATATGATTGATTGATTACGATGACAAGAAAAGTCATCGATCGTTCATTTTCATTTGAATAATTAAATTGCATAATATGAAATAAGAGAAGTAATAAGGAGAAATGAAATGGGAAAAAAAAAAGTGAAAAAGAATAAAAATGAAATTTTTAAAAAAAAATCAAAATTATTTCAAAAATTCCTAAATTCTCCTGAAAACTTCTTCTTATCATATTTATGCAATAAGTCAAAAAACAAAAAGAAAAATGAAAAAAAAAGTTATTTCAATAACTGATATAAATCAAATAAATATAAGTAAAAATTAAAAAAAAAAAAGAAATTAATTTTAGCAATTTAAAGTTTTACCTTTTTCTTTTTTTTTTTTTTCTATCAAAAATTTAACAAAGTTTAGCTAAATTATTCTTTGATAAGATTTCATTGTGTTAAATTTTGAATTAATTATTACGATTTCTTAAGAAAATCAAGAATGATCTTTATTTTTTTTTTCTTTTGATATTATATTCAAATATTTTTAAACTAATTGATAAACACGATGAAATCTTATTGGAGACAAAATATCCGACATCCTGCATTTATCAAATTTACTAAATTTCATTGTTGTTCTTATCACTTTCCTGATATTATTTTGAATGCAAAATGTTATCACTATAATGTTAATACTGATTGCAACGAATAAAAGAAACGTATTGTCAATAATGATCCATTGAGATCCATCCATTTGGTAAACAATTAAATCAGCAAAATAAATAAATAAATAAAAGTTGAAATTGTTTTCTGAGACCTTAGCAGGATTATTTTGATAAATATTACTCTTAATATAGTCGTCTTTCAATCAGAATAAGTTTCATCGTTTTTCATTTGCCATATTTATTTCTTTTGTTCGACTTTATTGAATTAATATTTAACATTGTTGTTAACACTGTCGATTTTGAATTTTGTGGAAGAATTGATTTCATCGTAGTATCATTATTTATGGATGAAATTTTTGATGAATCTGCAAAATATGTACATTTAGCTATGATCAATAAGCAAATATCGATAAATAACAAACAACAAAAAGCTTTAAGCATATGCAAATTTGTATAATTAAAGTCATCCTTCTACTCTATTTGCTAAAGTAATACTTACGGGTATCCTTCTACTCTATTTGCTAAAGTAATACTTACGGGTTATTTCATTCCTGGCAAAGTCATCCTTCTACTCTATTTGCTAAAGTAATACTTACAGGTATTTCATCTCTGGCAAAGTCATCCTTCTACTCTATTTGCTAAAGTAATACTTACAGGTATTTCATCTCTGGCAAAGTCATCCTTCTACTCTATTTGCTAAAGTAATACTTACGAGTTACTTCATTTCTGGCATTTTTTCCCTACCATTTCATTTTTCATAATTGTTTTAAATATTATTGAAACGAACCATTTAATTGTTGTTCATACATTTTTTCATTGATTTCATCAGAATGTTTTGTTGAAATACTTTTTATAAGTAAATTAATTAGCAAATTATTCCACATTTCATGCGGTTCTTTCTTCATCTCTAGTTTTCCATCAATAATTCGACGTCCATCTGCAAAAAAAAAAAAAAAAAATTTTCATTCATTTATCATTTGAATGAAAAATTGATAAATTGATCAGTTCTATTCGTTATCAATTAGATACTGATAATTCACGCTATCAATTAGATACTGATAATTTATGTTATTAATTAGATACTGATAATTTATGTTATTAATTAGATACTGATAATTTATGCTAATATTCTTTAATATATACATATAAAATGATTCGTATGTGATAACAAATCATTCGTTTTTTTTTTTCTTTTTTGCATTATTAATCATATTTAATTCGTTTAGCTTTTCAATCAAATTTAAATTAATATTATTTTTTTTTCTTTTTTTGCATTATTAATCATATTTAATTCGTTTTAGCTTTTCAATCAAATTTAAATTAATATTAAAGTTCCTTCGTCGAAAAATCACTTAATTTAGCTTTTCAATCAAATTTAAATTAATATTAAAGTTCCTTCGTCGAAAAATCACTTAATTTAGCTTTTCAATCAGATTTAAATTAATATTAAAGTTCCTTCGTCGAAAAATCACTTAATTTAGCTTTTCAATTAAATTTAAATTAGCATTAAAAAAAAATTCCTTCGTTTCATTTTTATTGTTATTAAAATGAAAAGAATTTTGAATAATTAAAAAAAAAAAACATTAAATTTCTTTTCAATTATGAATCATTTTAAAATGCATAAAAATATTTTAACCATTTCTATAGGAAACTGTTGGTTTATTCTTGCATTGTCCAAAAAATGTAAAACTATTGTGCGTTTTCTTTGGTTGTGCGTAGAAATCAACACATTCACTAGGTAAATTCACCAAACCCAACATTGTTCAATTGATCGATTTGTTATTTGTTGACAAGGATATAAAATATTTTCTAAAAATGTGAAATTTAAAAAAATATATCACAAATTTATTAAAATGAAATAGCAACAGAAATTTTAATATATATTGCAATGGAAAGAAAAGGAAGAGAATGAGAAAGATGAATAATTTCAAATGTTTTAAAAAATATATTTATTTGTATAAATTACTAAAATTACTTATTTGTATAAATTACTAATTACTAAATTATTTAGTATATACTAATTACTATATTACTTATTTGTATAAAATACTAAATACTAAATTATTTATTTGTATAAATTACTAATTAATAAATAATAATTGTCACATCTATCTAAATGAGAAAGATGAATAATTTCAAATGTTTTAAAAAATATATTTATTTGTATAAATTACTAAATTACTTACTTGTATGAATTACTAATTACTAAATTACTTATTTGTACAAATTACTAATTACCATATAAACCAACTTGAAAACTGTCAAATGCATAGAATATTGAAGTTTTTGCCTATAAGCTACAATAAATTAGTAATAATCATACTCTATAAATATATCAAGACTTCATCACTTATAAATGTTAACACTTTGATTTACAAGGATGGGTAAAAGTTTACCTTAGAAATATCAATCACAAATTACCTGCATCAATGGATTGATGGATTGAAAATAAGGAAGTAAAAATTGTGAAGTAGTGAAAGCAAACAAACAAAAAAAAAAAAATTACAATAATGATGAAAAGTTAAAGATTTTTGATGATAGAAATGTGAAAAAGAATAAACGATGATCAAAATGTATTAATCGTGTGCGACACAAAATTGTGTCACCAACCAACTTACTTTGTCATCGCTTTGTGTCACCAACTTACTTTATCATCAATTCTTTTTATAGTGCATTGAAAAAAAAAAAAAAAAAAGTATAACTGAGTGTCCGCTAAAGAACAGCCATTTATTTCTTCTCTAATCGAATTTGTATTGCGGAATCTCTGGAATGTATCTGCTTACCAACCACCTGTTTTCTTCTTTTGCTCTGAATTGAATTTGTTAAAAATAAAATAAGACGTCATCATCAAACACCTTTGCATGTTGGGTAAGGTAATAACATAATCATACAGTATTCCTTCCTTCATTATCAATTGACCGATCAATATAGTTCATCTGAAATTGAGTATTTAAAATGATGATAGAAAAGAAAGAAACAAAAGAAAAAAAAAATTGTATGAAATTTCAACCCTCTTTACATCTATCTTTCTATGTATGAAACACCATGCATTTCTTTCTTTTTTTTTTTTTTTGCTTTCTGAGCAAAATGTCATCAACTTAAACTATCCATAAAATTGAATACCAATTCAATTATTTCGCGAAAACTCGTTAATTAGGAATTTTTCTTTTCTTTTTTTTTTTTTTTTTTTTTTTGTCAAAAAAGAAACATATTTTCGTCCTTTTTCAAGAGGAATTTTTTTGAGCAAACAAAACAAAACAATCTATTCTCTTCTCTAGCTGTCGCATTCCTTTACCGTAACAATATTTATTTACCCTTTCTTTTCATTCTTGCTATAAAAATTTGACTAATTTTCATTTTCACTTTTTTCTTTTTTTTTTTTTTAAACAAAAATTTTTGCAAACGTATAATTTTATGGTTTAACACTTTGCAGGATTTATGAATTCATTTAAATTTATATCAAACTTTTAAATATTAAATTAAGCAAAATGTGTAATATATGACTGAGCACTCTCGACTTGTATATTCTAGTATATTATGAATGAGTCGAGAATAGTTTTGAGTATTCCCAATTTGTATTCATCGTATCTATTTTTTCAAATTTTCAGCTATGATTCTTGAAAACATCGATATATGACTATGGAAGAAGAGGAAAGAGAAGAAGAAAAGAAGAAAGGAAAGAAAAATTTTACTATTCATTTCATACGTCATCTTCTTTTTTGCTTTTTTGTAATGGAAATGAAAGTACAATTTTTTTCATCGTAATTAATTATATATTTTATTATTATTATTATTTGTTCATAAGCAATTGACCATCATAGTGTGAAATAATCCGTCTAAGCAAGGTGAAATTCAAGAATTCGAATTTGAATTTTTTTTTCAAAAATACCGATTTTTTAATTATTCCTAGTAGATAGTGGCATCATCAAAGTTTTATTTCACACAAATAAAGTAAGCAAAAAAACAAAACAAAAAACACTACCCGAAAGAATGAGAATACATAAATTAACTGCAAATGATAATAGGATAAATATAGCTGCCAATGATGAATCAATTTCATTTTTCATGCTAACACCATTTAGTGGAAGACAACTATCTGAAATTAATAATTCTCTGATATTAAAAATAAAAAATTTTGCAGGTGTATTAATTTTAAGAGACACTTCCAACAAAGTCCTAATATGCAACGTAACTAAAGTGAAAATTTCTCATTCATTCAGTCAAATTAAAGTTAATCTAAACGTAAATATTCCATCTTTGATTTTAATGATGAAAAAAGGATGTGCATTATGAATATCCATAGTTAAATTTGATAAACTAATATATGCTTCAATTCATTTAAATAATTTTAAATTCAACCACAAATTTCGCACCATATTTTGTAAGTGTGAAGTTATGATAAGGTTGAGATTGCTGTAAAGATTCTGCGTGACAAGATGAATGACGATAGGTGACAATACGAATTATACCATTTGCATTTGACGAGTAAATCTAAACATGGATATGCAAAAAATAAAAAAAAGAATAAAATTCATATGATTTATAAAGTAATGAAATATATTATAAAAGAGTAAACTTTAAAAATGCCACTCTATGTTCTAAGTAACATTAAGTTAGCATGAAAAAAAATAAAAACAACAAATGAGAAACGATAAATTTAGGATAATACTTCATTCGTTTATAGTCACCACAGTGTCACCTCCAAAAACGGAAAACATTCAGGAATATGAGGGAAAGAACTGTTCCCGAAATTTCGGGAATTTCAATCTTAACAAAAAAGCATCGAGTGTACAAAAATAAAACTAAAGTTTTAAATATGAATGCTTACATGACACAGAAGCTCGGAAGAGATCGATCTTCTGCTTACGATATATTGCATTCCGTTTTCTTGCCAGTGACCGATACAGAAGAATTTCTCTATAATGAAATATTTTAACAATTTAATTTAATTTTAACAAAATATGAATTTTTGTTTTTTTTTTTTTTTTTTTTTTTTTTTAACATTCTTGTATGCTGTGCTACATTTTATCTATCAATCACTAATCCGGAAAATTTTAATTTCAATAAAGCACTGACTGTATCAATTAGCATCTCAAAGAATTCCAATCAATTTAACAGTTTAATTCATTTCTTGAATTTCAAGTAGTTACATATATTCAATACCATAAGTTATGTGATTATGTACTGCATTACAATAATGAAACTCAATAATTTCTTAATTTTTTTCTGTTTTTAAAAATTTTTGGCAGAGGGAGAAAGAGAGAGAGAGAAAAAAAAAAGATGTAGCAATTTATGTTCAAATGATTTCAAAAATAAGAAATCTATACCGAATGAAGTATTACTACAATTGAGATGCATAATTAATTCATAATCATAAGTGCAACCAAATTGTGCAACAGAATTCGTACATGACTGAATGAAATGTTGTCGATTGAATGGACAACGAACTGTCTAAAATAATATATGTTATATGCAAATTAACAAAATATTTTAAATCTTTTTCATATCATATACTATACAAGGCGATAGCATGATCCAGTGATCAGATAGCATGATCCAGTGATCAGATAGCATGATCAAGTGATCAGGCAGTATAATCCAGTGATCAGACAGTATGATCCAGTGATCAGATAGTATGATCAAGTGATCAGGCAGTATAATCCAGTGATCAGACAGTATGATCCAGTGATCAGATAGTATGATCAAGTGATCAGGTAGTATAATCAAGTGATCAGATAATATGATCCAGTGGTCAGATAGCACGATCAAGTGATCAGATAGTATAATCAAATGATCAGATAGCGTGATCAAATGATCAGATAGCATGATCCAGTGATCTAGCATGATCCAGTGATAAATCAATCATTATTCTTTCAACAAGCACATATTTATATCCAATGTAATGACATTATTTATAATTATTTAAATAACCTTAGCATCCACAAGAGCCATTGTGTCAATAGAATATTCGTTGATAAATTTACATGATACAGGCATCTTCCTCATTACTTTATCATATGTAATTTCTATGATATTCTTATGTCTTCGTTTCATCTGCAATTATACATTCAATTTATTACTCTTCTCATTGAAGGAAATTACATTTGTAAGTTGCAAGATTAGACACTTACATCAAAATTATTTAATAATAAATAATTTTAATTTTCTTTTTCCAAGTTCGAATTCAAATACCAGCATCATTCCCTTTTCACTTCTATGAACGATGGGATAATATTTTTCATAGCACAACAAACAATTCATATCATCATAACGTAGCGACTCGGGGAATTCTAGCCAAACCAAGTGGAATTGATGATTGGTTATTACGCTGGTCTGTACTGGTTGTCATAGTGTGATGTATTGCTCCGGTCGCTATGAAAAAGCTCGTCTCTACGATTATATTGATAAGAAATGATAAGAAATAATTGATAAGGAATGAATTGATATTTATACTTCAATGCATTGATATGTGTTAGTGCATTGTTGTGTACTTTTATATACTACCATCTTGTAAACATTTCCAATATTTTCCATTTGTAAACATTGTGATATCGTATAATTCATTCCATTTATCACTTCGATCCATTTATCTAAATTCCCTATTCATTCATTAATAAGCTTGTAGCAGTGTTAGTGCTTAGATTCTATAGAAGAAACGAAAAACCGGAATGTGCTTACCGGAATAGAAATCATTTATTGAACCGGTTGTCATTGATATCCATTTATGCTTACTGGATGAATTATAGTTACGTCTCAGAAATGTTGGAAAGTGACATTGTGACTTGAAAGATGGACCTCAAGAAATCAAGAAATGTTCCAATTAATTTCCTTATCTTCAAATTTTACACTTATAATTTTGATATTTTTGAAGTTTTGATTTTAATTTTTTTTTCACTTAAAAAAAATTTAGAATTTTTTTAAAAGAATGAAACTAGAACAGCTAGAAAAGTACTAATTAAACTACCTTGATGATATTCAATTCTAGTTCCAGCATTTGTAAGATCTGTTAATTCATTGCAGCTAGAATCAGCTGATATACCCATACGACCACCAAATGTTGTTTTCTGATGTATCTAAAATAAATTTTTGCTAAATTATTTCAGATGAAAAAAGTTGAAACATTCCTGCATGAATTTTTGCTAATATTTAAAAAAAAAAAAAATATGAAAATATAAATAAGTAATTGCTTAATGCTATGATAAGATTTAATTTTAAATTTCAGTTTGAAAATGAACTGAAATTTTTTGATTAATTAATTTGCTCATTTCTCTTCCAAACAAAAATTCTTGATATGCTATCAATTAGTATTTTAATAATAAAAATTTCATTATTTTGATTGCAAATATTTTACAAACAATACTTTTTCAAAAATTTTTTTTTGAAAAAAAAAAAAAAAATAATCATAAATCATTACAAGACATCGAAAGATTATATTTGATCCTGTAATCGAAGAATTAATTATACGTACAGCAAAGAATTCAATTCCAAATGAATTCCAATGTGCTATGCATTCTAATTCATCTTCTAAAATACAAAGAATCATAAAAATTGAAAAATCAAAAATATTATTTGTTATTTTTATATCAATGCTTCTTTTTTTTTTTTTTTACTTAAAAATTATTAGCTAAATAATTTGCTTTAATATTATAATGCATTATTAACTTGCCATGACTTTCATGATTTGGTAATTCCGGACATGCTTCATACCGAAAACGATATTTTCCATGTTCTGAACAAATATTTACAGATGAAATTCTCGAAGTGCATGAACCATCTTGAATTGTATATGTAAAATTGAAAGGTGGCTCAAATGGACATTGTTCCGATTTTGCATCATCTGATAAATAATGATGATTAAGTGTCATCGAAGTAAATTTTAATAATAACTGAAAAATAAAAATAGAAAAAAAAAGTTTTTCTAAAACAAAAATTTATTTACATTCATCAATAATCATTTAGAATGAGGTAAAATTGGTATTAATTTGATATTTTAACATTAAATATTAATCATTATATTGTTGTGTAGTAAATGAATTCTTGTAAAAAAAAAAAAAGGAAAAAGTTAGCATTCAGAAATTATAATTGCAAAAATTTTTTAAATTTAAATGTTACTTCGAAAAAGCGTTTTCATCGGTGTATCACCACGAAATGCAAATCTGCAGATATTATCGATATTATCACTACTACTTTCATATTGCTTAATGCATTCACCTTTAATATTTATCATTTTAATAAAATTAATAAATGATAAATTAAGATTTCATTTATATTTAGTGATAAAGTAAAATTACTAACTGATAAAAATGATTTAAAAAAAAAAAAAAAAAAAAAAAAAAAAAAAAAAAAAAAAAAAAAAAAAACGAAACTTACTTTGTTTGTACTGTAAAATATTAGGATGTACATTAAAAATTGCAACACAACGATAGCAAATATCATCATTTCTGTAAAAAAAAAAATTTTTGTTCCAATCAATTATAAAAATTAAAATACAATTTTAATTAATTCTTTTTTTTAAATCAATTATCACTAAAAAAAGAAAAATAAAGAAACAAATTTGTAAAAGTTTTTAGAGGAATAAAAAAGAAATTAAAATATAAAATTTTAATTAATTCTTTTTTTTTTGACAATTTTTATTAGAAAAACAAAACAAAAAAAAAAAAAAAAAAAAAAAAGCAAAACTAAGCAATCAAAAATTGATTTATTAATAATACTAACAGTTCAAGTCGAAAAATATAATTGTATTGATTTGATGAGCTAACAATGCAATAACCCAAAGTATCCATCCAAGTTTCATTAAGCTGTAACAATGCTCTACGTCCATTCAGATGATAAGTTGCATTCCATTTCAAACGACATCCATCTAAAATATTATAAATCCTTCTATTATTCTCTCTCTCTCCCTCTCTCTCTCTCTCTTTCTTTCTCTCTTATAAAGTTATTTATGTAATAAACTTGGAACAAAAGCAATATAAAAAGCAAATCAATTCTTTTATTCCTATTTATCATTAATCTCTCAAATGATAACATATCAGTAATACGTGAAATCCGAGTAATCTAATAATTTCAATGCATTATTTATAAAATAAAATTAATAAATCAAATTATTTTCCCAAAGAAAAACTTACCATTTTTGATAATCAAAGTCAGGGAAGTGACAATAAAAATCAAAAGAAATATCAGAAATTGTAATTCATATGTGATCATATCTGATTAAGATGTTAGCATTGAATGAAAAAATACATAAAACCATATCAGTGATAAGTCTTGATAGTTTGTTATCATTATCAGTGAATATTGCTGACTAAAATTAGATTTGAATTTAATACAGAGGGTTTACAGCAAAGTGATGGTTGTGTATGATATTGTGATAAGATCAGAGAGATCTCAATATCCGACAGATAATAAACTCTTTTTTTTTTTCTCTCTTATAAACCATTGTATTATCATGCATCGATTATTTTTTTAAAAAAAAAGAAAAAAAAAAGTCTTTTCAATTTTATAAATAATTAATTTTTCAAGTTGAATTGTATGTGAGAAGTAATTAAATAGAGTAATTTTTGTCATTTTGAACAATTCATTAATGGAATTCAAAGAAAATAGTTTGAAACAAATATGAAAGTACAGAAAAATCATTTCATCGTGAAAATAAAATAAAGTAGCAAATAAAAAATAAAAAACGATGAAATTATCGGTTGACAGAGTGACAGTGAAAGGCAAAAAGGATATATGCGACACTATTATTCAAGGTCATCAGAATAGTACTTTAAAGTGATAAATTTCAATTTAGTTTTATTTGAATTTTTTATTATTATTGAATGAATAAACTATCTAATTAGCAGAATAAAATAAGTGAAAAATAGAGTGAAATGGTTAAAAGAGGAAAAAGACATATCTCGTTGATAGCACTAAAAAAAAAAAAAAGGAAGGAAAATGTGAAAAGGAAGAAGTCAATATTGACAAGAGCGCAAAGCACATGCGCCAATCGAAGAAGGATGAATGATGTTAAGGTACGAAGAGCTGAAAAATGTACTAAAAGATGACAATGACAAAGATAATATTGGTGACAATGATACTAACAAATGATTGATTGATAATTTACTAATCAAAAATTTAATTAATTAATTAATTAATTACAATTGATTAATTAATAAAGTTATGATGAATGGATAAAAACTTTAGTTGAAATTATTAATGAATTTTTTCAAGCATCGAATAGGATAAATTCGTATTCATAGTTTATTTATTGATCGACTAAATGCTTTAAAATTTTTACTATTTTAAATATTTTATGATTTATAATGAATATAATTGATGTGAAAAAAAAAAAAAAAAAAAAAAAAAAAGAACAAAAAACTGAATTATGGTCATATTAAGAAATAATATAATTGATAGAATTTATCAAAATTTTTTTCAAAATTCAAAACTTATCAAAATTTTTTATCAAGATTTGAAATTTTTAACAATATTTTTTAACAAAATTTTTGTTAAAAAAAAAACAATTTTTGCATCATCTATCAACTTTTTCTTTTCTTAATTTATTTTTGTTCTTTAATGTGGAAATAATTTTTGAAAATTATTTTAAATCAGAAGTCTTAATAATTCAGAACAGTTATAAGTAATACTTGTACTTATCATAAAATTTGAATTCTTCAACAAGAATTATTCATTTTCAACAAAAGAAGGACGCCAATTAATTTAATTCAATCATTTTCTTTTCAAAATTTTCAATACTTTTTATGCAAAAAGTTACAAACTTCTTTTCTTCTAATATTCCAATTTATCAATATAAATGGAAGAAAAAAAATTGATGTAATATGGAAATAAAAAATAAAAGTAAAAGTAATGAAATAAAAATAAAAAAGAAAAAAACAAACAAACAAACAAACAAACAAACGATACAATGAATAATAATGCCTAATCTAATTGAAAAATGATTGTAAAATGAAATGTTTTATAATGAATTTTGAGTAAAAATTCAAATTATTAGACAGATTAGATAAATTTCAAATTTTTTAAAATTTCAAAATTAGATAGATAAATTTCAAATTATTAGACTAAAATTGAGCAAAATTTCAAAATTAGACAAATCGATTTATTAGTTTTTTTTTTTTTTTTTTCTGGAAATTTATTGCTTTCAAATATTTTGATAAAGTGATAAATTTGAAAATTTTATTTTCTTCCCTTTAATTTCTTCTTATTGATTCAAAATTGATACATATATATTAATTTTTTTGCTCCTTTCTTCCTTTTTTTTTTTTTTTTTTAATTCTTCTTCTAAATGACAAAATGAGAATAACAACAGGTAATAACAGGTTTTTTCATCTTTTCCTGATTCATTCATAAGAGAGAAGTTTGATCACTTCGTTGGTCTATCTGTAACCGATTACTAGCAAAGGTAACGATTCATTCAACTTCCTCCCTCCCTCCCTCTCTCTCTCTCTCTCTCTCTCATATTAAACTTTCTTTGTATTTATATATATATTTTTCTATTTTGCTATTTTTTTATTTATTTAAAATGAGACTGAATTCATTTTATATGATGTTATTTATGTAAAATTCCAAACAAATTCATTAATAAATTATTTTACACTTTTTTTTTGCTCATATGTTTGTCATTTTAAATATTATGATTAAACTTTTTTTTTTAAAAAAAAAAAAAAACAAAAAGCAAAAGTTTATTTTAGCAGATTTCATGAACTATAAACGTTTTTCAATTTACTATTAGTTTTTCAATTTTACAAACTTAAAGAAATATTTGAAATTGTCATTTATGTGAGCAAAAACTTTACTATAAGAATAAAAATTTAATAAATAATTTTATTAATTTATTGACTTTTTATTTATAAAATCGCATATATATATTTATTAATTTAACTTTTTGTTTAAAAAATTGAATATATATATTTATTAATTTAACTTTTTTTTTATAAAATTGCATATATATATTAATTTAACTTTTTTTTAAAAAAATTGAACATATATTTATTAATTTAACTTTTTTTTTATAAAATTGCATATATATATTTATTAATTTAGCTTTTTCTTTATAAGATTGCATATATATATTTATTAATTTAACTTTTTGTTTAAAAATTGAATATATATATTTATTAATTTAACTTTTTTTTATAAATTGCATATATATATTAATTTAACTTTTTTTTAAAAAAATTGAACATATATTTATTAATTTAACTTTTTTTTATAAAATTGCATATATATATTTATTAATTTAGCTTTTTCTTTATAAGATTGCATATATATATTTATTAATTTAACTTTTTGTTTAAAAATTGAATATATATATTTATTAATTTAACTTTTTTTTATAAAATTGCATATATATATTAATTTAACTTTTTTTTAAAAAATTGAACATATATTTATTAATTTAACTTTTTTTTATAAAATTGCATATATATATTTATTAATTTAGCTTTTTCTTTATAAGATTGCATATATATATTTATTAATTTAACTTTTTGTTTAAAAAATTGAATATATATATTTATTAATTTAACTTTTTTTAAAAAAATTGAATATATATTTATTAATTTAACTTTTTGTTTATAAAATTGCATATATATATTTATATTTATGTGAAGTAATTTTATTTAAATATTTTAGTATGAATTCTTCCACTTTACTACTATTACTAGCACTACTACTAGTAGTATCATTACCTGTGGCAAAATTAGCTAGCTTATTTCATCCTGGTACCGAGCAAAGTGTAGCTGTAAAAGGTAAATTATTGTGCAACGGTGAACCAGCTGCTAATATAAAAGTTAAACTCTACGATGTTGATGGTTTGTTTTTTATTTTTAGAAAAATTTAAGTGAAATTTTAGTATAATTCAAAAAAAAAAAAAATAAACATTTGCTTCTTTCACTTTTCAATTTATTATGATAGCTTCCTTAACTTACTGGAAATATTCCTATTTATTCCAGTCTATTAATCATTCATAATTATTAATTTCTAAGTTTTATAAATTTAATATATTCGTAGGATTGATAATAATAATATATTTGGTTTGCAATTAAGCTGTTTTTTAATATTTTTAATTAATTAATTTCTTTTTTTTTTTTTTTTGTAATTCAGTATTTATTGTTTTTTATGAATATATTATAATTCAGTATTTGTGTTTTTTATGAAATTCAAATTCTAATATAATTTTTTTACATGAAATTTATAAAATTCAAATTTATGAATATTTTTTATTTTTGAAATTCTAATATTTTTTCTAATATTTATGTATACATATTTTTTAATATTTATAAAATTTAAATTGTAGTTGGCTTAGACGATCTAATGGCTCAAGGAAGAACTGATAAAAATGGTGAATTTTCATTAAATGGTACAGAAACTGAAATTACACCAATTGATCCTAAATTAAATATTTATCACAATTGCAATGATGGACATAAGGTTAAATATATTTTATTTAAAAAATTTTTCAAAAAAAAAAAAAACAAAAATTTTTCTTGAATTAATTATTTTATTAATATTTGATCTTTTAACTTTTCGAATTTACATCACTGATAATCTGGTGATCTTCTGATAATGCTTATCAGAAAGGAAATTTCTCGAAAATTTTATAAATCAAAAATGATCCCTTTAATTTGCCAAATAGTATATGCATAGATCACTTATTGATTGGTGAGTAATATTTTGTGGAAGTTTCAAATTCATAAGTTTGACACATTTTTTTTTTTTTGAATTGCCAAATATTTGATAAGCAAAATTTATATTTCACACTGTGATAATGCTAAAGAATATTGAAAAATGATAAGAAAAATGATTAAGTGAGAAATTGATGATTAAAATGATAACTTCTAGAAGATGATAATATTATTTCATTTAAATATACAAATGCCATAAGAAAGTATTCTCATTTATTTTAATAATTCTCTAAAAGTTTCTAGAAAGTATAAATTATTTGCGATAAATTTCAATTAATTGCAGGATTGTTCACGAAAAGTATCAATTAAAATTCCAAAAAGTTCCATTGTTGAAGGTGAGAAAGCAGGTGAAGCATTTGATATTGGTGTTCTTAATTTATCCAGTAAATTTCCTGGTGAAACACGTGACTGTATTAATTAATATTGTTTAGTTTTATTTCATAAAATAAGTTATCACATCAAATGATAACTATTTTAGTAAGGTTTGATTCAAATTATTCATCAAATAATGTTCATTTTTCAGGTTTTATTCATTATAAATTTCATCTTCTATTGTTAATTATGATTTTTGATCTTAAATTTAACAAAAAAGGATTCTTTTTTTTTTTGATACAAATACATCGTTTTAAATGTAAATATTACTTAATTCAACATTACCACTTCAATATTTTTTGACGATGTTAAAACAGAAAATTTGAGAATGAATTGTTACATTTTTGTTTTCCTGAAAACAACTGAACCCAGAAAATAACAGAAAATTTTAATACTGTTTTCAACTATTCATAACACAAAGACTTCTTTATTTCTAATTTTTTGTATATTTGAAACACCTGTAATAATAACACTAAAATAAATTTCTAATTTTTTGCATTACTTTCTTATTGCACAATTAAACTGTCACATTTCTTTTTTTTAGCAATTATTTTAAAGGTATATATAAATAAATAAATAAATATATATACCTGTTTATAAGATATCACGAAATTAAAATTATAAATAATGCCAGGCTGTAGATTTTTTTCAATAAGGCATACTTATGACAAAAAAGTGACAAAAAAAAAAATTCGTAAAATTTTAAAAGATTTTTTGTAAAATTGATTAAAGTTAGATGTGAAAAATTTTGCTCTGAATTTAATATATATTTTCTAGGTGTTTTCTTTTTCTTTCATTTTTACAATCAAATTCTATTTTATTGGAAGTGTAATTCATTCCCTACAGCTATAAGTGATAAATTAATTACTTTAAAACAAAAAAAAAAAAAAAAAAAGAAGCATAGCACAAAGAAAACATGAAAAAAGGTAAGCTCTTGAGCGTATAAAATTAAGAAAAAAAAATATTTTTGTATAGTAATTTTTTTTTTTTTTTTTTTTGTATATACAAAAAATGAATGGTAATTAAATTGAAAAAAATTTAGTAATGAAACGAAAATAATTTCATTTAACTTAGATATTTGCATTTGAATACAAAAAGAAAAAAAAAAACAGAAAAAGAAAACACAACCACGGATAGACCCACGTGAAATACGTAAATTCATTGAAATTTTTCATCAAATAAATCTAATAAAAACTTGACGATTGATTATAGAACACACAATTAAAGAATGATGATAATATGCAAATTAGCGATTAGCATCGAGATCAGAGATCATATACTACAATAATTCATTCATTTGATCAAATAAATCAGTATGAAATATTACTTTTTTTTTTTTTTTTTGTATGTATGTATGTTTGCATGTGTGTGTGTGTGTGTATGTGTGTATGTTTGTAGGACACATACAACCAAAAGATTATTTGACATGATGGGATATAATGAAAATGAGGGAATTGAACAAAAATGAAGAAATTGAAAGATTTTAAAATTAATTTTCCAAGTTAAAATTGATCTTTGTAATATTGAAAATACGAAATTTATTTGTTCAACTATCCACTGATTCATCTATCAAACAATTAAACGATGAAAAAAGTAAATTTGTAATAGATACGTGTTTCAACGTGACGGTGATAGAAACGATGCTAAACCACGTAGCTGCTGTGAACGTCCCGTCGAATCAAGCGTTTCACCTCGTTTCACTAATGCATTATCTGCTGCTTCTTTTTTCCGCCACTTTGTACGTCGATTTTGAAACCACACCTGAAATTGTAACCTCTATAAATTATGTCATTAAGATGTCAACAGTGATGTGTAAAACAGGTGGTAATTAATAACCAACCGAGTGGTACCAAAAAAAAAAAAACTAATCAAAAACGTTTTTCTAAAATTTTAAGTTATCTTTCAAACTGATAAAGTTTGTATGATTAGTTATCATCAAAGTACCATGATACTAAATAGTTGAGAAAAAAAAAAAGCACAAAATCAAAAATTTACAAAAAAAAGAATTTTAAAATTGATTTCCCAGTAATAATATTATAAATAAATGTAATACAGTTTTAAGTGATGATTTTATCTTTTTTTTAAAGTTTATTTTATGAAAGATGATAAATTTAAATGAAATGTGATGAAAAAAAAAAACGATCTAAGATGAGATGTAAGCATTTTTAATACTTCATTTTTTCTCTCTCCTCTCCTCCCTCTCTCTCGTTTTTTTTTTTTTTTTTTTCATTTTTAACTGAAAACATTTTCCTATCTTCAAAAAGTCTATTTGTGGAACGGCAAAAGATTACAATTACATTACCATCTAATGGGTAAGTCATCAAATTCAAAATTAAATTTTACTCATGAGACTCAAAATGGGAAACTATGAATAGCAATCTACAATTTCTTTTTTCTTCTTATTTTCTAATATTATTATTTTCATAATTCTCAATGTCTATGTATAAATAATTTTTAAAATTCAATCAAAAAAAAAAAAAAAAATTTTCAGATTTTTAAGTGAATTTAAATGAAAAATGAAAAATATTTCTATTAATTTTTTTTTTTTTTTTTACGGATTATAAAATATAATTATTATATATGTATGCTTATATCATTTCACTATCAAACATTTATTCCAACAAAATACTAATTTAAAATAGATCATAGCTTAAGATTAAATTTAAAAAAAAAAAAAAAAAAAAAGGAAAACTAATTTGGTCATATAATGTCTGTGTTTACCGTAATCCATAAGTGAGCATCATTTTACAGGGCTAATTGTTATTTATTAGTAATTCAGCCTTATTGCTTCAATTTGAATTAATTTTTTCTTTTTTGAAATTCAAAATGGATATATTTAAGAATAAATACTTCCATTTATAATCTATAATTAGACAAAAAAGCCATAAAAACTAACAAATTAAGAAATGATATTTGATATTTTATGCTATTCTATCTGCTTAATTTTCTATCAAGAAGAAATGAAATATTAAAATAATAAAAATTATTGTAAATCAAAAAAAAAAAAAAACAAATAAAATTAAATATTCAATCATTTATTTATTTACTTTTCTTTGCTAGTTTTTAAACTATATGGTATAGTGATTATATTGACATTATAAAATATTTGATAATATCAAATGATAAGATAAGCTAATTAATTGTAATTAATCAGCACAAAATTAAAATATTGAAAGATTAATTAATTCTAAGATAACATACAAAATAGCAATTGTCACATTGTTCATGAATAAACTTGTAAAGATTTTAAGGCGCAAAAATACTTCTCTCATTTATATGTATTTTCTTGCTCATCAAACCAATTTCACTTTTATAAAATTATTTTTCCTTTTATTCGAAAAAATTGAAAAATTTAAAAAAAAAAAAAAAAAAAAAAATTAATTGATTACTAGTAATTTAGCTTTAATGTGTTGGGAAAAAAAAAATTTCTTCAAAATTGAAATGAAAACTTTTTTTTAAGGTTGATTCTTTATTTTTTCTAAATTATTTAATCATTGTATGAAAATTTGCATAGCACATAAGTAATTCCCTCTTTTCTTTTGCTCATTTATCTCAATCCCTTCCCTTCCTTTCATTTCATTTGATTCATTTCATTTTATTCATTACTTTTCAGGATGTTGCAATAAAATACATATGTCCGTATATAACGGAAGAAAAGAAGAAAGAAGAAAGAAGAGAGAGAGAGAGAGAGAGGGAGAGAGGGAGGGAGAAAGGAATTGTCGGTGCTTTTCCTTTTTACCTTTATTTCTTCTATTCAAGCAACATAGCAAATTTAATAGATAACGTATCGCACAAACATCACACCAAAGAGGAGAAAGGGAAGATGATACGATGATTGAATGAATGAATGAATGATTAAATGAATGAATGAATGAATGAATGAATGAATGATTGAATGAATGAATGGTGAATGGAGCACCGAATTATGATCGAGTTGTTGATTGAATTGAATTGAACTGAATTTGCAATAAATTGTTCTATCTCTTTCGCATCTAAACAATCCCACTAACTGTTGAATATTATTGTTATATTATTATTATTATCGTATTATTATTACTGTTATTATTATTATTACTGTTACTATTACTATTATTATCATATTATTATTATTATTACTGTTACTATTACTATTATTATCATATTATTATTATTATTACTGTTATTATTACTATTATTATCATATTATTATTATTACTGTTATTGTTATTATTGCTATTATTGTTATTATTATATTATTATTATTATTATTATTATTATTAAATAATATCATTAGATAATTGTTAAATGTGTTTAAATCCCCTTTTTTTTTTCATGAAAATTATAATTCAATTTCATTATTTCAAACTAAAATTATTAGTGATATTGTTAAATTGATCAATAAAACTAGTAGCAACAACAAACTCTTTTCCATATTTTCAATTATTTGATTTATGATGAAAATTATGTAAATTTCAAATTTACCTCAAAGCATCTAAATGGGTTGAAAAAAAAATATATAAATAAATGAAATATGTCAATAGTATTTCGGTGCAAGAGAGGATAAATATTGAGAGGGAGAGAGAGAGAGAGAGACTGTTATTATTGGAAGTAAGTTATATTTTTCTTATAACCAAGCTAGGTTAACTTTTTTTTTTTAATATTTTTTAGAAATTAGTTTAACTTTTTAAACTAACTACACGGTTAGTTATCTTTCGGTTGTACATATTTGATTAAATCGTAAGTATTGAGCTAAAATTATAAAAACTAATGCTAATAATAATAAGTTAATAAAGACATTGTTATGTTACTCAAAAACTTGTTATCATCTTCAAGTTTTTTCAAGTTTTTGCAAATATTTTAAATCAAATATTATTTTCCAGCATGAAATTATAGAGATAACAAAATGTCGAGAGCTTATTGTATTATAATTAATCATTCTTTCATTGATATCTTCCGGCATATGATACTAATTTATGCAAGCATCTGTTTATGTATAGACAGATGTATTTATTAAGATGCAACAATTGATGGAATATAAATTTATGAAATTCACTTTCTTCTCGAAGATTAATCTATCATTTTTACATAATTTGTAAATTCTATCAATTCTTTTTCTTTCTAATACAGTTTCTTCACCATACATTTAATGAAACTTTTATCAATTAATAATATATTAGCTATGAGAGAGAGAGAGAGAGAGAGAGAGATGATATTAGGATTATTTGAATTAGATTAAAATGCTTTAAATAATTATTCATAATCCTATGGGAAAAAAAAAAAATTCATTTCAATGACAAAAATATTTCTATCTTATAGTCAATTTGGAACATATAATTATTGATAAGAGTTTCATTTCGTAAATATCAAATAAAAAAAATACAACTTTTTTTTTTATTGGTCAAAAAGAAAAAAGCTAAAAATGTTTGATCATTTTCATTTTGTGAAATTTAGCTATTAAATTAAAAATGGTATTAATGAAAAAATAGTCTTACTTTCACTTGACTTTCGCTCATGCTTAGCTCTTGAGCAAGTTGAGCTCGATCTGATCCGGCTAAATATTTCGTTTGCTCGAATTTCTTCTCTAGCATGAAAATCTTTAAAAAAAAAAAAAAAGAAAGAATAAATAAATAAGAAAATAAATTAGCATGGAGTATAATCAATCATTGTGAATTATATGCAAAAGCCTAGACTAATTATCTGATATACCTGAATGAATTAATGAAAGAATTAGACTAAACAAGGAAATAGAAAATGAAATTTTTGGAATTTATAAGAAGTATTTACGAGAGCAAAAATCAACATCGATCATTTACAATGATTTAAAAATTTTAAATGATTTAAAATTTTAATTTAAAAAGTTATCATAAAAGTATGAAAGAAACTCACCTGATGACCAGTAAATGTAGGCCTTGATTGTTTCTTATTCAATGATAATGAATTTGGTGATAAACACATGGAATTTGATACCGGAGTTGCTGGCAAACGAACAACATCGGATGCTGTAGAGCTGTTTGATGTTGTTGGAAGTTGAAAGAGGCCAAATGGACCTGGCCTAGTTACTGAAATTATTGAAAAATATGTTGGATTTAAGTTTGAAGTAATTTTACAATACTGTAAAACAATGTTGAAAAAAAAAAGAAATTAAAATTATATAGAATTTATATGAAATTTAAATAAACAAGTGAAAAGTTTATAGTTATAAATAAATTAAGATAACTGAATTGAAATTTTATAGATTCAAATTTGACTTTTTTATATGCCAAGAATTGGATATTGTAAATTTTATGTGCTCTTTTTTAGAAGTGATTAGTTTATTCACTTGTTGTTGTTTTCAAATAATTTACTTATAAATATATTAATATATATATATATAATTGTTAATTTTTGTAATATATAATTGGAAGTTAATTAATTTTGTTTTTTTATCAAAATAATTTGTTGCGCTATTAAATGTGAAATTTGATGCTTTGTTTAAATGATATACGACAACATTGATGACATATTGTGTGGAATGCTTTGATTGAGCCGAAAAATCATGTAATTAATTAATCTATTTTTAAACGAAGCAAATTACTCAATCCATAATGATAAAATATTTTGCGTTTGAATGATTGATTGATTGATTAATTGTTCTAAGCAACAAAATTAATTGCAAATGAGTTATTCGCAAAATTTCTTGCGTTAATTTAAAAGTAAACTTTAAAATTTATCACAAATTTAGCAAACATATGTTGCGTTTCCCTCAAAATCATTTAAATAATTATCTTCGATGAAATATGAGAATACAAAAGAGAAAGAATGCGCAATATTGCCATCATTTCCATTCCCTATCATCCATTAAAATATTCTTAAATCTAAAAGAGACCGCACGACGAATAGTCATAAGTCTGAAAGTCTGATCAAATAAAAATAGCATTCAAAAATGTGCAATAAAAATTATTTGCATCAATTATTTCTTTGCTTTTTGTAATTATTATGTGAATTCCGGATAATCAACCATTTACTTTTCTCATCCGGTTTATTTACTCATTTATACAGCAATAATTTGATATTTTACTTTTATCACATGTTAAATTAATCTCATCTTCAATCATTCGAATATGTTTATACTATATGCTATGCTAACTGATTTACATATTGATCAAACGATTTACTAATCTAATATATTTTCCGTTTTCACTAATAAAATCAAATTAAATTTAAAATGAATTTAAATTCGTTTTAAATTTTAATTTTAACATTTTAAATGTTAGTGTTAATTACAATCGACATCAATGTTCCATTTTGAACAAATTAAATAATCCATTTTATGTACGGGAAAGAAACGATTAGCAGGTTGTTTTTGTTAAAATAAATTTAAATTTCTGGAAGGATGCTGAAGATGACATAAATGTTAAATCGAAAAAAATAACGAGAAATATATGCAAATGAAATGAAATGAAATGAAATGCAATTAAATTATGAATGAATGAATGAATGAGAATAATTTTATTTACTTACTTACAATCATGTTTTTGACAGCCATTTTCATTTCCTAATTAATTGAGAACGATTAATAAAAAAATCATTTTTCTTTTTTTTTTTTTTTTTTAAATCATTATATCATATTACTAAATTTTTCTTTTCAAAAAAAGAAAAAGAACGAAAAGATTTAAAATAATTAACTTTAGCTATAAATTATTGATGAAATCATTGAAATAATTTGAAAAGCCTTTCATTACACAGTACTGTAACATGTTATTAATATTTTGCTCTTTTTCTTTCATTTTTTTTTTCTGTGAAAATTTTTATCAAAAATTTCCCATTGTTTTTTTTTTTTTTTTTAATTTTTGATTTATTTTAAAAGATCAAAAATTAAAAAGTAATATTTTGCTGAAAATATTTGTAAATTATTCAATATAGCTAACTATTTTTTCTTTTTTTTAATGGTCAAAATTTTTGACCATTATAAATTCCCTTTTCTGCTTCAATCTGGAAATTGTATATATGGAAACAAAAATTGAATGCCAATGTCATTTTTGTGATCAATTTTGCATGAAATCATTTCGATTATGCCATAAAAGAAAGCAGAAAAAGTTACACAGGTTGAAGTTACCCGCGGGTTGTCTAAGAGAAAGTCCCCTGCTGCTTTTGCCCTCTATTACTACTACTATTGCATCCATTAATTCTACATCATATCAAACATCATTAGATTTGTAAACGATCAATTTGCTCAAAAATCAAAAATCAAGCCCGCCATCATTCAAGTTGATTTTTGAAAACTAAAATTAATAATATCACCTAGCTTCGCTTATCAGCTAAATCAATTTAATCAATAGTTTAATTATAACTTATTACTAATTACTAATAATAATAATTTTTTCTTTTGGACTTCTTTTTTTTTTTCAGAAACTTTTATTTCCTCATATTTTCTAAATATTTTATAATTAGTGTTTTCAAAATGCAAAAATTAAAAAACAAGAATTATATGGAAAAAAAAAATGATCATTAAAATATTTTCCCTGACAATGACGAAAGCATATTTCTCATATTTTTTTTTTTTTTAAAAAAAAAAAAGATGTACAGAATTTATTAGATTGCTAAATTATTTTAGTTTTGAAAGCTTCAATTACAGAATATTGATGTGCACATTAAGGATGTAATATTTATAATTGCTGAGAAAAGTTCCGGAAATTGCCACCTTATAGAGAAAGCAGTAAATCATCATTATATATGCACAAAATAGTCAATTTTAATTAATTTTTAAACTTCAAGAGCAAAGACTCTTTTTTACCTTCCTAAATATATTTATTTTATCTATCATTAATAGTATTTCAAGACAAACATTATAATAAATGGATGAATTAAAAAAAAAAAAAAAAAAAAAAATGAAAGCACAGTAGCGAAATAAAAAAAAAAAAGAATTAAATATCTAAATTTGAAATTTAAAATAATTTTTTATATTAAATTTTGAAACGAATCTTACCAATCGATAAGTTTTTTTTTTCTTTTTTCTTTTCAAAATTAAAATAATTTCTGGATGGAATATTTTTCATATGTGTGTGTATTTTTTTTCTTTCATCCACTTAAAGCTAAAATGTAATATTGAATTTAAAAATGTGGAATTAGGCCAACCAATAATCATATATCAAATTATAATTTATCGAATATTCTCACCACAGATCTGATTGATATGCTTTTTTTTTTTTTAAGTATTGTCCATCAGGTGAGCCCATCAGATGATATTGAAATATTAAAGTAATCATTCCATCTACAATTTATTGCATCCATAAGAATTATTATCATTTCATAAAATTTTTTCATAATAAGCTCGTTTTCCTTTTTTTTTCTTTTTCTTTTTTACAGACTTTTTTAAAAATTAACAGTGAAATTATAATCAGTTAGTGGTTGTTAACGGTAATTTGTTGATTTGCAATAAGTCAATGAGCAATTGTAAACGGACGTAAATGATTTTCCCGCATCTGTCCTACCCTATTCTTACCTTTACCCCTACTCTACCCTACCCTTTGCACTGCTCTGTCTTTGTTCTACCCTACCCTACCCTATCTATCTTTCATCTTCTTAACGCATCTTTTCTTCTCCTTCGCTTTTTATTAAAAAAAAAAATTTTCACAATTTATTGTTAAATATTTCTTTCCCATCAGATAGATATATTGAAAAGAGTGTTGAAAGAAAATGAAAAACGATTAATAATATATGCTTTGCAAGCGAAAAAAAAAGTGAAAAGGTGAGAAATGTAAATAGCACATACGTTACGTCATGTCACGTCACGTCATATCACGTAATATTACGCTATATCATTCCCTCTTACACTCACTTTAATAACATTTCTACAATTTTATAAAAGTATCATCATCTGTTGTTACCAAAAATCTTATTGGGTCGACGGACAGACTCCATCTAAAAACACAACGAAAATATCACACTCATACAAAGAGAGAGAGAGAGGGAGAGAGGAAGAGAGAGAGAAGAATTACTGCGAGAAAGAGAGAAGAGAAAAGAAGAGAGAACAAACATACATACATAAAATATTTGATCAAAGTTTTCGGTGTACTGTATTTCAGTTAGCACTTGCATTCTGTAATGCTTTATAGGAATGATTGCTTATGAAAAAATTTAAATGAAATGAAAAGAGAACATCTCATTAAGTTAATTAAGTTAATGAGATGATAATTGAAAGAGAAAAAGTATAAAAGTTAGGTAGAATAATTCAATGATAGGTAAATTAATTCATTAATTGATAGAAAAATTATCATCTGAAATAGATGCAAATTTGATACATTTTGAAATTTTAACTTTGTTAATGAATTTATGCTTATAAGTAAATGTTTTGCAAAAATTTTCTCGTTTAACTTTTATGTAGATCAACGATTTCTTTGTATTTATCTATATTTTCAACACTTAGAAATATATTAAAAACTTAAAAAATTTTTTGAAATTTTATCAAAAAAAAAAAAAAAAAACTTTATTTATATGGTTTTCTTTCTTTTTTTTTTTTTTTTTCTAAGATACATTTAATATTGAATTATTGAACTATTTTAATTGTATCTTTTGCTAAAATTTAGCTTATAAACTGGGTTATACGTTTGTTTTACTACAGCCATTAATTTAAATATATGACAAGATATAATTACTTCTAATTATCTCCACATAAATTTTAGCTTCGCAGATCATTTACATCGCTTTATTTAGCATATATTTGACATTTTTTTTTTCTTCTCATTTTATCCTAATCATTAGAAAATTATTCAATTTTAAAAAGAGACACAATGAATTTGCAAAATAATTACTACGCATATTGGCTAATTAAAGAAGAAAGACAATTAGAATATATCAATTTTAGCAAATTAATTTTTAATGAATAATTTAGTAATGCTCATTCATCTATTTACAGCAAATATAAACATACCAAATTAACATATTTAATAATTTGATATATGTATCTACTCATCAAACTTAGTCATTCAGTTAGAAACATCTGCTGTCATCTTTTAACGATTCCATCATCATCATTCAAATCCTCTCTCACATTTCCTTTTTTCTTCTTTCTCCCTCTCTCTCTCTCTCTTTCTCTCATCTTTTATAAATTAAATTAAAAAGGTTTAGGTATTCAGAAGAAAATTTTCTCTTAAATATTCAGATTTTTAACTCTTCAAAAAAATGCTAATGAGCGATTAGGAAATCGATTAAATTGAAAACTTGCTGAGCACTAATCAAACTTTCAAACAGTTTAATTGCCAACACTTTGAAATCACAAATCAATTTTTCAAAATGCTAAATTTTGAAGAAAAGTTACGATAAGATTCTGAAGATGAAAAAATTCATTTCGAAGAACTTTTGTTTTGAAAAAAAAAAAAATGATTAAGATATATAAGGGATTGAAAACTTGCAGAAGTGGTTACTATTGAAATTTACTAAATAATTTATTTAAGATCCAGAAGAAAAAATGCAGATAAAAATGATAAATGTACCAGTATCGGATGGTGCTACCATGATATGCAGGGGATGGTGATGCGGTATCACTGGTGCAGCAGCTGTCATCGATGTACCAAGAATATATGATAAATAGGCGTTCTGAAATTAGTTTAATTTAAACTAATTAAATACAGCATAAAATGAAAGATGGGAATTTTTGTTATAAATTGTCAAATTAATAATTTCAAATATATAAAATTAATTGATTTCATAAAGGATAGTATAATACTATAACACTGTAGCCACAAAAATTATACATGAAATAAAAAGAAATTATTATTTATTAACTTGAATCTGTTGAACTTGTGATAAATCTTGTCCATCAGCGCCAACAGCAGCAGCGGCAATAGCATTAGCAAATGAATTTGAATCTATTAATGAATTAGCTGCATGAGGAATTGTAAAAGCTGATGGTCCAGCTGCGAAAAAATGTGGCCAAGTGACAGTACGTCCAAATTCAGCCAAATCAGTACATCTGAATTAGCTGTGAATGGAGGAAAAAAAAAAACAGAAAACTACTTTTGAGGAAGTCATTTTCAAATGTTTTCAGAGCAATATTACTTTAATTTTTGTTTATATTTGTTTATTTATTTATTTATTTTTGGTGGTAAAAGCTTTTGCTTTAGTGAAAGAGAAGAATTTTTAGTTAATTTTAATTTGATCAAACTAACCGACTGCCATCATCATCAGTGGAATGACAGCGACCAATTGCTCCATTATCATCATCACTTGCTGATGAACTGCTGCAAATGAAAAACGATATCTAATTGAATTATTATCATTTGTCAAATTTATAAATTTCTGGTTAAAAAAAAAAAAAAGGAAGAAAAAAATCCAAAATAAACAGCTAATATTTATCATTAAAAATGATAAAAAAATCAATACTGTAATAAAAAAAAAAAAAATATATTTAATTCAACTAATCTAAAATAATTTCAAACCTGGCACGACTGCTACTTGGTTCTTTCTTTTCCAACAATTTCGTTATACTATAAGCATTATTTTTATTTTTGATACTGGTAGTAGTGCTATTAGTTTTATCCTGATTGCTTGTACTTCGAAATCGTTTCATTTCACAAACTTCTTCCGATTGTTTATTTTCTGGACTGGATGGTGATGTTGATTTACGTTGACGAGTATGTTGCACTGTTGCTAATACTGATGAAGTTGATGATGATGCCGATGATGATGATGATGATAATGATGATGATGAACCCTAAAAAATTTTTAAATTTGAAACAAATTACGAATAATATTGAATTCTTTAAAATTTTCATAGTTTTACAAAAAAGAAAAGAAAAGAAAAAGAAAAAAAAAATTGTTATAATGAATTTATGTGTTATCATGATAATAAAATTGATAATAAAATTGATGATAAATTAAATTTTTAAATAATTACCAATGTTTTGGTTGCAACAACCGAACTTGTAGCATCCGAAAAAAATGAATTCATTGAATGATACTTGATGAAATATACTGAAAAAGGCAAGCAAGCGATTACTGTAGAGAAATTGTAAAGAAATATAATGTTAAACGTTCGTGATGGTAAACTATTGAAAACCTAATTAGAATCATAGATCACTAAATTACCGGAAAAGAGAAAGGGAGAGAGAGAGAGAGAGAGAGAAACTGTCAAATCGATTTTATTTCAGTAAGTCTCAAAATTAAAAATAATTTAAAAATTTCAAACAGGAATAAGAAATTAAAGTTTAATAATTAAACATAAACATTATTGATGAAGATGTCTAGTAGTTACATTTTAAATAGATAAATTTCAAATTCTTAAAAGCTACAGTACAGTTTATTTTAATAGGAGAATGCTGAAATAGTAATTAAAATTTAAAAAAAAAAAACGTTAAAAAAGTATGATTTGAATAAATTTTTTTCTTTTTTTTTTTTTTTTTAATCTCGTAGCTTTTAGTTTTTCTTTTAGTTTTGATTTTTTATAAAACTATCAGTATTTCAAGAAGAATTAAAGAAATCGTTTGGGAAATTTAATATACTTTTTTGGAATCTTACAGTTCATAAATCACTACTGTAAATGATTTCTGCATAAAAATTATTTCATAAATTATAAACATCATCAAATTCCTCATTTCTAGGATTTTAAATTAATGAAGAGTAATATGAAATCATATTTTTTTGTACTTTTCAAATACATAAAAAGATTTTGCAAGTGATAATTTCAAATTAGCAAAAATATCCGTCGGAGGTGGAAACAGTTTATTAAATTAATCAAAAGTGATAACAAAGTTTCTCGAAGAGTAAGTATCGATGAGAAAATTGTTCATTCATTTCCTATAATAAAAAGAAAAAAGAAAGAAACATGAAAATTTTGTCATATATTTAATCATTAATAAGAATTTACCCTTACTTTAAGTATGAATTAAATATAAAATATTATTATAATAAATGAGAAGATGAATTAAATAATGAGAAGGAATAAAAATAGGAACTAAAAATTTGAGTAAATGTTAAAATAACAATTAAGATGAAAACTTATAATGAATGATAATAATAATATATTTAAGAAATATTATCATTGAAAAATATCAGAAATATTCTCATTTCAAATTTAATTTTATTGAAATGCTAAAAATATACCAAATAAATTTCACAAAATTTATTCTTTATCATTTCAAATCATTTTAACAATATCAATGAATCGAATACAGATGAGATCAACAATTTTCATCTGTTTCAAAAAAATAAAAAATTAACAAAATAACATTTGAATGTAATAATAAGAGTAATTACAATTCAAAACTTTTCCATCTTACTTTACTTTACTTTTCTTCCATCTTACTTTATTTTACTTTACTTACTTTACTTTTCTTCCATCTTACTTTACCTTACTTTACTTTTCTTCCATCTTAATTTATTTTACTTTACTTTTCTTCCATCTTACTTTATTTTACTTTACCTACTTTACTTTTCTTCCATCTTACTTTACTTTACTTCTCTTCCATCTTACTTTACTTTACTTTACTTCTCTTCCATCTTACTTTACTTTACCTTATTTTACTTTACTTACTTTACTTTTCTTCCAACTTACTCTACTTTCTAAAAAAAAAAAAAGAAATTAGTTTCTATGAGCAAATATAAATTCAATGAATTGCTACATCTTTTCTATTTTCTCATCATGCAAAATGGGCGTTACTTTTTGATGAAGTAGCAGCAAAAAAAAAAAAAAAAAAAAAAAAAAGAGAAAAAAAACGAGGTATATGGTAAGTTGTTTCTGTTCATCAATAAATGACTTTTAAAAATGTATGATTACTCTCGAAAATGTATCATTTTTATCGATTGAATATTTGAATGAGCAAAAACAATTTTTCAAAACAAAAGAAAACAAAAATTCAAAATTTCACCAAATAATATTTCTTTCGAATTGAAAAAAAAATTTGATTTTAATGATAAAAAAAAAAAAAAATTGAAAAGAAAAAGTTTAAATTTTTAATTTAATCAAAACAAAAAAGAAAAAAAGAAAAATAATATTAAAGATTGAACAAAGAAGTGATAAATAGTAGTAATGATTGGCTTTATTTTTTATTTGTAATGGACACTTTTTTCTCACATTTTAGCTAAAAATAGAAAAAAAAAAAAAAAGATGGCATAGTCTTTTATTAAATAATTATTATTTTCCCATTGATACCAAAAAAAAAGGAAAAAAAAAAGAAAAATAAAAAAAGATAAGCAAATTTTTTATTGGTAAGTCTAAATCAAAATTTATCCATCCATTATCATTTTTCACCTGTAAGAGAACATAAAATAATGCAATTTAATGCTTATTGCAATATGACAATTTATTTTATTAAAATTTTCACATCAAAAAATAGCCATTAAAATATGCCAAGAGAAAAAGAAGCTTAGCTTCTTAAAAGTAATTGCTTAATGGATTCAAATTGACTAGGTGATAAACAGAATAAGCAGGTAAATGAAGATGAGAAAAGGGAGAGGGAGAGGGAGAAAAATGGAGAGAGGGATGACAAGTGCAACATTGAATAGATCAAATCTAATTGAATAAATTTATATTTTTATTAGGTAACAAAGAAAGGAATGATGAAAACGAAAAACGTTTGATGGAAAATAGTGAATGAAAAGCTTTATTATGGTAGGTAGTTATTGCTTTGTGTTAAATGAAAACACGAAGAAAGCAAAGCAATGAAAAGAAAGGGGAAAAGAAGGAAGAGAAAAATTAGAAGGGAAATGTATATTTCTTAAAAAAAAAAGAAAAAAAAAAAACGAAGACATTCTTATTAACAATTACTTTGTAAGTGATTTCTTTTTTTTTTTTTTTTTTTTTAAGATTTACTTTATTTTTTCCAAACTAATTGTTTAATTATTTTTTTTATTAATTTTCAACAGTAAAATAATATGTATGCATTTTAATTGCTTCCTGTTTTTTTGTTTTCTTTTTTGCATCATTTATCTTCTCTTTTTATGAAGTGTTTCTTGTGAAATATTTGTTTATCTAAATTTATACTTCTTTATATCTAATCTTTTCTAATTATAATATGAGCATATTTTGAATATTTAAAATGATTTGAAAAATAAAAATGAATTTAATAAATGCATTTTTATAGTAAAATGAAAGAAAAGTATCAATTTAATGTAAATATTCAAATTAGACAGAAATGATTGTATAATATAAATTGATAGATGAAATTTGCATATGATCGAATATGCATTATAAGATTAACTGTGTCCACTTCTCTAATTGTCAACACATCTATCATTTTCAATGAATTAAATTTAGTTATAAAAAAAGAAGAGAGATAATTAAAAGATAAGATCACATATAATTTAAATAATAGATTTTGTCACATTTTTAGCACTACTGTAATCAGTATACTGATATTTCAGATTAATTAATCACTATAATCCTGATATTTTCTTAGAAAAGAAAGAATAAAAAAAAAAAAACAAAAACACATATAATACTTTTATTGAAGAAAATTGAAGAAAAAAGTAGAAGCATATTTTTACAAGGAACAAATTGCGCCCATTAAATACTTTATCCTTAATTAATAAATTCAATGCAATATTTTGAAATTCAATGCAAAATCAATTTATTCAATATTTTGAGTAAACATAAAATCAATTTTTAGTGAAAAATAGATAAATGTTAATTTTAAAAATAACATTTTTCAATTTCCTCCTAGTGATGGCTGTATAATTTGACTTGAAAATGGTTCAATTTTGAATAAAAACATGAAAAAAAATTGAGAAATTTTATTAAAAAAACAAACAAACAGAAATGACAACAAAAATTTGCTTATCAATGTAAGCTATCTTTTGCCGGAAAGAAAAAGAAAAAAAAGATGAAAAAGACCGGATTAAATTCAACTGATACATTATGCAGTAGAGCAAAGCATTAATCAAATAAGCAACTCAGATTTTTCGGATTAATTTTTTCCAACAAAAGGAATTTTTGAAAAAGGATAATTATATTTCGAGGTATATTGCTAAGTGGATTATTATCTGTGTATGTGTGTGTGTGTATGTATGTGAATGTTTGTATGTTTGTGTATGTATATGTATGTATGTGTATGTCCTTCTACATACATTGATGAAATGATGGAACAAAATAAACTGTGAACAAATCAACTGGACAGCAAAATATAATCATTGTTGACAGTATGAACGATCGGCAAATCATCGTATTAAAAATTTTCATTTGTGTTAAAATTTTATGATTGGAAAAATTTAATTCCTTTTGCATCTTTTCGTCCCCCCTCTCCTGTCCCCCCTCTCCTGTCCCCTCTACCCCCTCCCCCTTTTGCTCAGTTATTTTGATGGAACTGGTCAAAATTGCACAGCATGCCAATAACAGCGCAGATAGCAATTAAAAATAAAAAAAACACTAATCAAATTCTTTTAACCTAAAATCAATTTATTTTTTTTTTTTTTTTTTTTTTAGTAATTTTTGATAATATTAATGATTGCTTTTATTATCACTATTATTATTATTATGATTATAATTATTTCTATACAATATTGTATTATTGAAAGGAAAGAATTTCTTTTTTTTTTAATTTAAAAGTTGATTAAATGCCATTATTGTTAACTCTTATAGAAATCAATTTTTGACATCAAAAATAATTTCTGATGAAAATTATATTATTGCACAGATGGAAAAAGTGCAAATTATTGATTCTTCGTATACTGTTTACTGATGCTTATGTCCTACGGAAATTAATCAGTAATCTGTGATAAAAATGATTACTGCATTTTAAATAATTTAATTATGCAAAAAAAAAAAAAAAATTACTTTTGTTAAAACTTACTTTAAAAATTTTTAAGTATAACTCAATATGAAATAAGCAATATAGCTGGTGACAAGAAAATTTTTGACTGGAAAAAAAAAAGAAAGAACACTGATCGAATGATAATAAGCTTTGAAGTACAATTAAGCAATTATTGATGAAATATTTTAGCTTGCATATTTTCAAC